CCCTCTTCACCCAAGAGAGCCACTTTATACCAATAATTAATGACAAATTTCCACCATATAATCTACCACCCCAGAGAGCAAAAAAACACAGTCTTTTATAAACTGCCAACACTATATTACTTCACCTCCAGCAAAAGTGACGTCCAGAGAAACTGAAACTCCTCAAGAAACACACGGTGGATATAAAAAACGAAGATCTACCCATTGTGAATACCACCAAGAGAATAAAATGGGAGAAAAAAGGAAGATATAATTCGATGATCATCTATATTATTTTGCTTTCATCCCAGCCACCAGAAAGCATGTAAAAAAAATTGACGAAAGATGTGAAACAGGGAGGAAGACAAGATTAAAAAATGAAGAGAAAGAGAAAGAGAGGAATAACACAAAATAAATTTGTTATTTATTATTAACATTATGTGTGTGTATACTAATAATCAGAAAACAAACATTTCTTTTTGCCCTCTTTTCATTCTCCTCTCTTTCCCATCTTTTGCCTCTGTCTTCCAATCCGTTTTTACTAGTCCATATCGAGGAGATGTGTCAATACTTCTTAGTCACCAGGAGGAGAGAATATGATTAGCCATGGCCAGAGAGAGAGAAGGCACAGAATTAGATCAGATACCAAGTGTCATATCTGCGCGAGATTGTCCAATTCTGCGCCACAAACGTGCATACCTTTGTAGCGTCATCCGAGAACAGGGCTCTAAAGAATTCCTCGTGCAGAGAATGCAGCGAAAAAAATGAATCCACAGAATCTCTCATCTGAAGAGAGAGAGATGCCAAATCCTGTTCTATAGCGCAAAACACCACCAAATTTTACAGACCAAGAGAAGCGCGCGCAAATGAGGAAAGAAAAGAAGGCACCCTCTTTTAGCCACCAAAAATGCACACGAAATGCACAGGGATATAATCTTCTCTCCCTCGTCAAAATTGCACCTGGTCTTTTTATCCACACAATTTTGCATTTATAAAGGATAACCAAATTCTTCTTGCCAGATATTTTAATTATAGTGATGAAATGCAGAAGAGTATTTACCACATTTACACCCATAAACGCCTCCTTATTACTTTAGAGGGAGTCCATTAATTCCTGCGAGGCTCCACCAAAAAAAGCGCACGTCCACTAAAATGTATAGAGAAAAGCAGAAATTAGATTTTGCAAAGATTACACTGAGAAAAATGCATGGCAATTTTTCCCATATAAGATTTTTATGAGAATTATTCCCATAAAATGTAAAAATACATAGAAATTACTGTACATCATTGACCGAAATTTTGTAATCTTATTTTATACATTTTAAAAAACTTAAAAAAAAATTTTTCTACATATTGAAAACAAAACGCAAAAATTCTAGTAATAAGTATGATAAAAATGATAATAAGCTTTCAGGGCTTTGAGAATTTGTATTCAAGCTGGAATGGGATTCATTGCCATAGAGAAAATAGCCATAATCTTTAATTTGGTTGCTGTAAATTCTCATAATTATGGTACTCAATGCCATACAGTTTTTTCCGTGTACACAAAACTGAATGAACCGAATCCAACATCAGCACAGGCAAAGATGGGAATTTGCTTGCGAATTCTGGACGACTCTCGCGATCTTCTTACACAGAATCACATCGCGCAGCTCCACAGCTCATGATGGACAAGGAGCACACTTTATTGTCCCATTTTTAAACGTCGCTCCGTCCGCTGAAGAGTGAATAATATAATGTTAAGACAGTCGCTAACATTTGACGCAACACAACTCCTTTTTTACCCATTCACTGTGCATACATACATATACGTGTATATATATATATTTATTATGTGTTTTGTGGATCTCTTGTTCCGCTTAAGCAGAACAATCTGCGCACCCCACACAAATTCACTCATTCTCCCTCTCTCTCTCTCGCGCACACACTTCATCCTTCTCTTCTCTCTCATGTGCAGAAATCCCTTTGGCGCCAAGGCGCCGAAGACACCATCGCGTACACATTTCTGTTGCACAAACTTAGATAACTATCGGAAGGGGGCTTTGTAAATTGCCGAAACAATATTATCCTCCTTTTTCCAAGCTCATCTCGCGTCTCAAAGCTACACCATCTCCCGGCGCCCCCCTTCCCACCCCCATGCCATTGCTGTGTGTACATTTCAGAGCGTGTCTTGGCCTTTTGCGCCACCGCGAAATTACATAATTTTGCGTAAAGAGACAAACACACACACACACGCGCATTGTGGAAAAAAATAATGAGAGCATTTCGTGATTTACGGATTAAATCATTAGTAGCGGCAGTGGAGAAGGGTTCGCAATGTGGGGAATAAGATAAAACGACCCACGGCAGGAATTGCATATGGGATGCATCGTTTGGCCGGCATCATCAAAAGCCAGAAGAGGGTGCAAATGGCGCTTAGATAATCCCCAATTAATTTCCATCATTTTTGTCATGCTCGCTTAGCTAAATGGCCTACATATCATGCAAATGACAATTCACTTCCACGGCTATTTTTTGCAAAACCGCGCGCCTTCCTTGGAAATGTGCATGGAAATGTGCACTTCTTTTTTTCCTATTAGACACACGCAGTGAATGCCGATGAAGTGAAGCACCTTTTTCGCGGTTTTTCCTTTCACACTTTGCCATTGAAGCTCTTCAAATATCAATTAAAAAGAGTCTTTTTAAGCATTGACGGAAGGGAAAAAGCATAATAAACAACGATAAAGGCTCAAATTGTCATCTCTAGAAACACTTTTCAAACACCTTGACAATTAACGTTGAAGAAAAGCGCTGAGAGTCATAGAAAAAGTTCAAAATTGTCTGGAAAATTGTAAAAATTGTTATGCTATTGAGTAGAAAATAAAATCATTTGATGATTGAGAAGAGTCTTAATTGAATCTCAAAGCTTTGTATCTACGAAATTATGATGAATTTCATGTGTTTTATTGCTATTCATATTGATTGAATGATTGAATGTTGTAATAGAAATATTCCTGGCAAATCTTATGATTGAATTTATCTCTCATATGACCAGAAAACAACAATCTTGTAAATGTTTCAATATCTGCAAAGCTCCATTGCAATCCATTTGTTCAAGTGCACTGAAAGGATTTTGCCAAAGGCTGCAATAGAGAGAATGAGTAAATTTTGTGCGTCCACTCCACTTCAAATGGTATTTTGACTCCGAGATCCCAAACAATATCTAAACTCTCATGTCCATTCCATCACTGACTGTTCCATTCCTTCAGCACACACACGGTAGGATCTTCCCATCAACATGAGACAAACATTATGTTGCAATACAATTTGAGGTATAAAATATCCCATTTTCTGGATCTCCCTTTTGCATTCTCGACTCGCTTCTCTTCCCTACAAATCGCCAAAGCTCACTTCTCTCTCTCTCTCACTCTATCTCATTCTTGCTATTAACCAAATAAAATATTGCGCGGCATCATGTGTGCAGCAAGAGCCATAGAGATTGTTGGGGCAAAAGAATAGAAGCTGAAAGGAGAGTTTCGGAGAGTTGGGCTAAAGAATCGCGGCAGAAGCAGAAGCGACCAACAGAGCGCGATGAATAAGAAAAGAGGAATCGAACAGACGAAGAAAAAAGTTGCATAAACTGTCCCAACTCACACAAGTATTCCATAAATAATGTGGCGCCTGATAGTCCAAGACTTTCTTTTGGAATGAAATCGAAGCATATTTTGTTTTTATTATCGTTTTTGGTGGCCCTCGTATCACGGATCGCTGAGACGGCATCGTTTATACTTCCCTCTATATCGTGACTATGCACCAACAGCGCTTAGAGATGCCTTTTGTATAAACTTACACTGTTCAATAATAATTGGTAACTAATTAAATCACAACTCATTTCCTCTCTCTCTCTCTTTGCTTTTGTGCATTTTACAAACGTCAAAATGCAGTCATAATCATTCTAGAGAGAGAGAGAGAGAGTGAATGTCAACTTGAAATTATGCTCACAAAACTCTTGGTTCTCAATCGCGGCTTTTCGAGACATAAGAAAAATTCTCATGTGACCGGAAAGGCCCCAATTTTTGGCCACAACTTCCTTATCACATTACAGAAAAAGAGGCAAGAAGGTCGCTAATCTCACAGTGTATTTGATATACTTGTCCTTTTCTCATTTTCTCCATCCAGAAGATCGTGTTTTCTACGAATCTACACGTATTTTAACCAAATGGATTAATGTTTTTTGGTATGTCCGTAATCTTTTAGAGATCTCCCTCTCTGGAACCACCAAAGACAAAAGGTTGCCTCTTTTACCATCGCGCGCTATAGCGTTTTTTCCTCACTCGCAACGTACAAAAGTGAAATAACACAAACACACAAAATAAGATCAAGAATGATTCTACTCATGGGGGGCAAAAAGTATAAGAAAAACGGAGAATCATGTTCTCTGTCACGAAATCTAGAGCGAAATTTTTGGACTCCTTCTCTGCATCCTCCAAATCGAAATAATGTATTATCAATCAATATTTCTTTATATTTCAAGCATTAAGAGAGTGAGAGAGCAAAAAAAGAAGGAATTCAAAGAGAGAGAGAGAGACAAAAAAGTATAAAACTACTCTTGAAAACTTATGTTTCACATAAGGTCAAAAATCTTCAAATCAGGTGTTCGAATCATCATCATCTTTGGTGGTCCACTTTGTAAATTAGCCACTCAATTCTGATTCAATCACCACCAGGGAAAATTAATTAATTAAAATATCCTCTCTTTTAATATGGACGAGAAGATGTGGAAGAAATAAACGATTCGAAAACAGTGTTTGAATAAACTTTACAAATTATGTCAGTTAATTTCATTCATCTTATCTTTATCTCCACGTTTTTAGAGAAGAGGAAAGAATGTCTTGTCAAAATTTCATACATGTCTCACTCAATTAATTGGCTCTTTTTCCCTCCCTCCTTTTATCACCGCTGGAGCTCCGGCGCATCTAATTTAATCGAAAAAAAATATCTCTGTGTCTTTCCCGGTCCACCAAAATCACTCAACCCGCCAGACAATATTAAATTCAATGCACAAATATCAGCCGAGATTTCACTTGGTCAGAGCGAATGACATCCTCAAGCTGCCCTACTCGACATTTCGCACTTACGTTTTCAAGGAGACGGAATTTATAGCTGTAACTGCATATCAAAATGAAAAGGTGAGTCTTTTGCCCATCAAACTATTGCCTAAATACATCTTTCCTAATTACCCACTTCTTGCAGATAACGCAACTAAAGATTGACAACAATCCTTTTGCCAAAGGATTTCGCGATTCCGGAGCAGGAAAGAGGGAAAAGAAGTAAGTCTCATTTTCACGTAATAACGCTATAGCAAAGAGAAAAGTTTTGCATTTGCCGTCGTTGTCGATATGCATAGAATTTAGCTGAGATTATCAGAAAATGCCAAAGAAAATTCCTCTTCAAATGATATTTTCTTGATGATATACAAATAAATTAGCCTCTCGCGTGTGTTCCCCATTTTCCCCGTCTACATATAATGGTTGGAAATATTTCCATTATAGATTACAATCTGAGTGTCATCGCGGACTATTAAGTGCACCACAAATTGGTGTAGTGTTGAAAGTGTATAGAAGAATCATGTTTGCCACCACAAAAAGAATAATCAACAATTTTGTAGGGAAAATATATTCATCAATTTTCACCATGTTATATTTTGGTCTATCGCGAAATGTTGTTGTCTTTGTACACATCCATCCAGCGACACACAACCCAATTAGCTATTCACCCGACGGACTTGAGCGGCATCACAAGAAGCTCTCTCTCGTATTCTGAAAATTCATCGCCGCAGAGGAGCAATAATAAAATCAACTCACTTTGTGTATAGCATCAGTCTTGTCATGGTGAAAGATAATAAAATATACTTCATATGATATTTTAACATTTTCTGATAAACTCTCAGAGGTCAAGTGAGGGAAATCGACAATTGTAACACAGAGTAGAGGCGCATTAAACACATATATTTTTATAAAAAAAATACACCCAGTAAAAGAAGACGCTTGTGATTCTAGAATGTTTGAACAAAGGCAAACATCAAAGGCAAGAGCTATTACTTGAAATTATATTGAAAATTTACTCGCTTAACTACGCCACTGTGCAGAGATCTAAGGTGGAAATTTATCAGCTATATACCTTTGCTGTATAGATGAGAAAACCACTTCAATAGTTCATTTTGTCAAGCGAATACCCCCAAAATATTGTCATCAAATTATATTTAAGTTTTTGACACAAGAGCCACCCAACATTCCTCATTCAATTCATCTACACACATCTCGCTTTTCGGTCAAACTAATGCTCTGTGTCCGATTCAGCGAGCAAATTTGCCAAAAGGGCGATTTGATACAACGAATTTCTCTACTCCCTCCAACATATATATGTTTCCCAGGGAGAAATTCTCCTCACTATACTATCTTGAAATTATTCAGTTCGTTAACTTTGTCTTTTGCACACCCCCCACCGCCCACGCACTGGAGCCCGGGTCGAAAATGTCAATAGCAAACACACGTACACATCTCGACCAACATTCACTATCAAATTGAGTGGTGTAAGATGGAAAATCGAAGAAGGGTGAGGGTGTCACGTTCAAATCCCTTTCTCTATATCCCGCTTACACTGGCACACACACACACTATTTGATCGGTTTCAATATCCCAAAACTGTCTAACAAACTTGATTTAAACAGATTTTTGATTACATCAACTGCATAGTAATGAGCCAGAGCAGCTACCGAAAATCAATGAGACCACAAATTGAACACACTGTGAGAGAAAAAACACAGCATGGAACAATGTTTAATGCAAATGTTAAATCCCTCACTCTCTCTCTCTCTCTCTCTGCACCCACAACTCCTGATCCCGGCACATTATAGCCCCATGGAAATTCACCCACCCTCTTGCCAATCAAACACCCCTCAACAAAGCCCGAAAAGATCCGACTATTGCCACCGCAGAAACAAACACTCGTGATGTGACTTAACAAATGACGCTGCTTTGTACATTCATTGTAAGGTTCAATTATGCCAAGGAAATTTCCACTTAAATATTTGGTGCGATATTTTATTTAAAAAAAAAATGCAGCGCTTTGATAAACCCAAAATGACCAGTCATTCAACTATTGATTTTTGTCCTATAATTAAACACAAAAATTGCGATATCAAACTCCGAAATCTCATCTTATGCAAAGAATATTGCGGTATGTAGACAAATCACGTTGAAAAAGGGGTGAAATTCAAACTTCTAAAGTGGCTAATTTGCACTCGTTCACTTCCCTCCGCCGCACTGATAATTTCCATGCAATATCACAGAGTGAAAATAAGAAATAGCACACATGTTTCGAATGTCGCTGAGAAGAGAAATCTCAGTGAAAAACCACCCCCCGCATCGAATCAGCCCGTAGACTTATATTGATTTGCCATATCACCTTCCTAATTCCAATATAAATATCATCTCCTTAAGCAGAAAATTCCCTCATTCAACCCTCCCCCAATGCCGTTCCGTATAATTGATTTGTACATTCGAACCAAAACCGGCGAGGGTTGCAAGAGAGGCCGCAATCAGTGTGTGCAAAAATTCAACACACGGACAAACTTCACTTGTTTGCATTGTAAGAAAATATAGAGGCAGAAGCGGAGGCATTAGCAAAAGACAAATAAAATTCACATTCACTGTTTGACCATCGTTTGTGGAATCAATCAAAATGTCATGATGGTTAAAGATCTCGCATCTTTTTGCCTCTTTTTTTTCCTGTTTGTCATTGTGCAAAGAGATTTCAAGCGAGGACATGTTCCAAACCCAGAATTGCCACTGACACGAGAGGGCGAGTTGAAAAAAAAGAAAAGAGAACAGACATTGAGTATGAGAAGGGCATCTTTGCCAACCCACATGAAGAATCGCGCGTTTGGAAAATGCATTGTCAAGCGAGGGTGGAAAAGAAATTTCACGTATTTCAGTGCGAAATTTGATAATCTCAGGGATGAATGTCCTTGATGAATTGATGTTCCAGAGAACAGAACAACTTTAACCACCCTCGCCGACGGTGAAAGAGAGCGCCATGGATGATAGATCAAAGTGATTTCACTCTCACAGCCGTGAAATTATAGAATCTTCAGCCAGAGAGAGAGAGAGAGAGAGAAAAGTGAATAATTCATCGCAATCTCACCTGAATTAATTCAATTAAAATGCGCTTATCATATTGAAAATCAATTACATTTATCATTTTGACGCATTAACTGTGCGTGTGAAAGTCAGAATTTTAAATAAGCTACTTAAAAAGTTGCTTTTGCACACACACATATTGGCCATATCAATGCGTACAAACACTTTCAGTGTAATAATCATGAATAAGCATATATAATATGTTGAACTATCTGTCCGTGCATCACTGTGAAATGGGAAAAAAAGAGAGAAAAATCAATAATCATTTACACACATATCCATTTACTAAATGGCATTATGAAAAAATCACCCCACGCGCTAAAAAGACCCGGAGAAGAAACATCCCCTATAGTAATTACACTTTCCTTGCAATTTCATCGGGAAAAAGGGAAGTCAAGAAATTCACTAACACACACCCATTAATGTGATGCTCTCACTCTTCTTCAATTCCTCAAACATTTCTATCTTCCTCAATCATGTAACCACTCATTTTCTGACATATTACACATTCCTCCTTCGTCTTGTGGAATTTTCCCGTGTGTAGGCGCGCACTGTGAATGTCCTGAAAATGAGGAAAGAAAGGCTCAAAAACCGTGAAAAGAAAATGCCCCCGAAGGAAAGCATTTCATCGGTGTAATGGAAAAAAAATTTAGGAAATTGCGATGGATTTATTCACCCCTCCTGTGTAAATGAATTTTCCTCTGCAGCAAACGCCCAAATGGGACGAAAAAAGGGCAATAAAATAGATTACAGACAACCACTCTTGAGACACTACTTTATCACACATTTCGCGTAATAATCCTTAAATTAGAGGGCAACACACACACACACATGTAGCAATTCTGCCTTTAGACCCAGTAAATTTCATTTAACGCGATTTAATGGGAAATGATCGTCTTTGAAGTTTCAAAAAAAGGAGATATGCGATAAGGTCATGAAGACGCATGTTTAGATATGAATTTCTCGCGCTCTCTCGTCATCATCATGTCGTTATACAATTTTCAGTCTCTCTTTCTCCAACCACAGACAAACGCTGAGCACACGCGGATCATCGGATTCAGATAAACTAACTCCGGCCAATATATCAACATCGCGGGGTGGAGCATTTCTCTTGGATAGTCGCACGAGGCACGATCAGGCCCAATTGGATGACGATGATAACCTTTTGGACGTCGTTGGACCGTCACAGAGTCCGTTGCTGCCTCTGGATCACCCAATGCAGCTCCCCACGCATCCAAATACAGGTGAAAAATCCTCTTTCACACCCATTCACCCTATGAGGTTCCGATAAATTTGCCACTTTGCTCAAATATATAGACTCAAATCAAATCCACACACAAACACATTTTTCTGGACCTCATTCACACCCTACTGCCCATGGATGTTGTCCTAGCATAAAAATTATTGAGACAGCTCATTGGTTTTCAGCCTGGTTCAATCTCTCCAGCACGGGAAAGCGCTTCTCCGCGTCGTACGACATGAGTTCGTACGATGGCGAGCGCGATGGGAGTGACTCCAATTGCTCAGACTCTGGCAACTTGGGGGCATTCACGCGGCCCCAGACGTCAGAGAGTCCGCAGGATGAGAGTGCGACGAAAAATAGTACAACATATCCCTCACCGAACATCTCCCTTGGTCCACCACTGCATCAGTCACCGCATCTGTTGCCTTATCTCTACCCCACGGGTCTGTATCCACCGCCGCCAATGTCGCTCCTCCACTCGCCCGCCGGCGCCATCAATCCCACCCTCAATCCCAGCCTCCTGTTCAACGCACAGCTCGCCCTCGCGGCCCAACATCCCGCACTCTTCGGCCACTACAGCACGGCGGGCCACACGCCACCCTCCAGCGGCTCCATCACGGCCACCTCCACGTCCGCCCTGCACGGCCTCACCAAGCACCGCTTCGCCCCGTACAACCTGCCCGGCCTGGGCTCAGCCTTCGACGCGGTCACGCCAACCTCCTCCGTCTCAGGTGGACAGAGGAGCCTCAGCAGCAGCCCCCGGCCCCGACCGTCATCCATATCGCCCCCCATGCGACCCCTGTCCGCCTCCTCCACGTCCTCCAAGACCCACGCCATCCACGTGACAGACGCCGCCCCGTCGGCCACGCCACCGGCGTCCAAGACACCAGTGCCATCAATCACGCCTCCCCCGGCCGCGGCCTCGGGCCTCAAGAGCATCGAGAAGATGGTGGACGGCCTGGAGCAGCCGAAGGGCGACACGGAGACCACCAAGCTCGAGCAGTGACAGTTGCTAGACATCAACCTTGCGGTGGACACGGCCGAGGGGGTGTGGAAAATCGACAGAGTTCTGGAGACTCATCACAAATCATGACACAATTTGATCTCAACCTAAAGCAATAGCGAAACCCATCATCGACAGGAGTCAAGTTTGCGCATTTCTCCCTTCCGAATTCCCCAACAAATTCACATCACACACACACAGACAGCACTGATGACTTCGAGTGGTGAGATGAACTCGTCAAGAGGATAATCCGAGGTTTAATCCCGCGATCTGGTGAGAAATATCGAGTCAAAATGGTTCACAACCACTAGCATTATTTTATCAATATAGTTTTCTTTAGACTTATTATTTAATTTATGACATCGTATTTAAGAAATACGACACAATAAACTGCAAAAAATGGTCTTAATTCATGTGTTAATCCTTTTTATCATTTCTTCAACACAAGATGCAAAACACACAAGATTTCTGTCGAAAAGACACTTGAAGAGAAGAGTCACAAAACTAGAAGAAAAAATACTAGAAAAGTAGGGTGAATGGAACAAAATCAGTATTAAAATCAATTAGAATCAATTTAATGAGCATAATTTGTCTTTTTTATTACAAAAATAATACCAGCGCAAAAGAGTTTGGCAAATAGATAGGAATATTCAGCTTCAAGGACAGAAAACAAGTATAAAAAAAAAGTCTGCTATTTTCGCAATATTTCTTTGAGAAAATCACCTAAAGTAAAGAGACACAATACTATAAAGAGACAATGGAAGTAAAGCTGATAAGAAGCACATACAAAAAAAAAAACAAAAAAAAAACAATTAAGAGAGAGAAAAAATATCTCATGTAAATATGTAAACTATAACATTTATTTTAATAATCAATGACTTAATATTCAATTAATTTTAGCACATCTTATACTGTTCTAGTTAAAAGGTAATTAAAAGAAGAAGAAAACAAAATTAAATTGAGAGAAAGAATTTAGAGAAAGCGAAATGCAAAGATAACAAGAGGTAAAGTTGAAAAAGTGCAATATCTAATTTTGCCAGTGCAGTGAATATGGAAAAAATATAAATATAGAGAGAGAGAAAAAAAGAGGAATATAAATTCAATAACTAATGATCAAGCATCAATGAATTGAAAAGGAAAGCGCAGAAAGTCCTAACGTGAATCGCAAGAGCAGCACAAGAGATGAGGAGATACAGAGATTATACTTCTAAAATGCGCAACTAGACAGTAATCTGGCTTTGATAACTTCTGAATAATTGGTAAATTTTACTTTTTTTTTTACCCTCCTCCTCAACACAGAGAACTGAGTTGTTTGTCATGCGGAAAAGAAGTATATAACATTTATAATTTCAGGGCTTAAATTCCCATCACATTCTCAGAGGAAAATCCAGGTAATAATAAAATGAAGGAAAAAAAACTTCTTTTTTGTAAACATAAAAAAATTATTGTATAAAAAATTACAAATCAAGATATGATAAATTTTAATCAATTGTACATCAAAAAAAAAACAAAACTTTCCATATATATACATATATAAATATAGTGAAAAAGAGAGTCAAAGAAGAGACAATGAAGTGAAAAAGTGCATTTTTCTTTTAATTTTCCAATCATCACACAATTCATTTTACCCATTTCTATTCCACATTGTTGAGTGTTGAGAACAGACAAAAATACACTTCTCTTATCTGCCAATGCAATAAACCATCCCCAAAACATCCCTCAAACACACCCACATCCCCATAAATCTCTATACTTTCTTCCTCAAACGGCAGCAATATCATCGAGGAGTACAGGTAATTATTCACCAGAACGACTAACTTTGATTAAATGCAGTATTTTGTGTGTCGTAAAAGGAAAGAAAAGAATCCTTGTGCCAACTCCAAAAAAGGCAATTCTAATCATATCATGTCGTGAAATTATGGAAGAAAAAGAATCACGATATTTAAGTCTCCTCCATATTCCAACTTATTAATGTCGCTGTCGTATAAATTGCAATATTATATAGAGACACAAAAGAATTCCTCCAACTATCATGCATACCCTAATTTTTTTCTTCACCTCCATATTTATCATGGAGCTTCGCGCAGAGCTCTTGTGTCTCATTTTCTTGGCACAAGCCAAAGATATCATAACTCGATATATTCTCCCAACTCTTGTGGTATATTATTTATCAAAAGTTATATTCATACTTTGGAGAATATCTCATCCCCAACCCAGCAAACGTGTTCCACCCCGTGCTTTTGCCTGGATGGTTTGGGTGAAGAATCACAAAATTGCGATGCTTCTTCTTCGCGTGTACAAGTAAATTAAATAGGAAAATATAGTTTTCTGATGTTACAACATGAATAAGTTCCCAATAACTTGGCGTTTTGATGACAAAATACACAAATATCAGTTAAATTGTATTCTCCATCGTGACCCTCCCACCACACTTGCCAGTTTGCGCCGTTGTCGCACATTTCCACTGGTGGCAAGCGCGTTTCTCTAACATGTGTATTTATTGTTGTCAACTTACTTAATTTTTCCGCCTATAAAACTAAATTGTTACCCCTTTCTTGGGTGACAATTCGTGCATAAGAAACTTCTTGTACATATAAATAACTCAAAATTGTAGTAAATATGCGCGACTAAAGGGATGGCAAAACGAATTGTGGTGGAGGCAGAGAAAGGGATACACTAATAATAAATTTACCTCGAAAAGACCAACTTTTTCACAATGTTTGCGCGCTCTTTCACCAGTTGGAAAAATGTTGTATATATACAACATTCCATATATATGTCTATTGCTTTCTTGCGACTTCGCTAGCGACAACAAAAAATCATCAAACAGTTAAAGGATTATTCGAGTGCGTGACACCAAAAGTATAAAAATAAGAACACAAACCAAAACGCGACACTGGAAATGGAAAATTCATCGTGTGCCTCTTTTTCCTCCAACACAACTTTCCACAACTGTCCAATTTTCCTTCTGATGGCCTCCCAATTCCACACTCACATCGCGCACAGTGAATTATTGAAGATAATAAAATAATCAGGAAAGTCGGAAAGACAGTTTAATGGTGAGTGACACACGATTATTGAATTAATTTTTTCTATTCCTCCTTCATCCACGACACAAAAGTTATATTATACTTTCTGCGAAACTTTTCCTCGTGAGACTTTTAAGGAATGAAATTCAACACAGAATTTCATGCCTTTCCCAGAGCTCAGAATGGTGAAAATTCCATCAAATTTCTCCCCCACTTTCGACAATCCCTATAATGAATCGAATTCAAGATATTCATATCAATTCATCAATTGCATATTTCATTTTCTCTCTCTCTCCCTGCTCTTCCACCCTCAACCGCGATAAATCGGAAAATCCCAGCCGAGGAGAATCGTCTTCGAGGACTTGCACCCCTCACTTGTTCAACAAGAAGGACAAAATTACGATAAAATAGACGAGGTTCGAGAGGAAAACCCCATAAAAATTACCCACAATCGACGCAACATGCAATTCAATGAGGCCATAATATGTACATGGCCACAAACTTTCTCAATATTAGTTTGAAGACCGTGATAATTTGAATTATACTCTCTCCAACGTGAGCGCGCGCCCCTCAACAGAAAACAACACATTTTTATCTATTCCTCACCCCCGAAGCAGCAAATAGCCATCGCATAAGCGAAGAATATCCACTGAGATTCACCCTTATTCCGCCCTCACAATCATTTTACATATGCTTTTTGGGTTTACAGCTCAATAAATGTTGCCAAAACCACTATCGCAAGAATAGGAGAAATTTTTACGCTTTACGGAATTTTGATTTGCGTCACTGGAACCAATTCAAAAAGATTCTTTTTCACTTTCTCTCTCTCTCTCTCCCTTCCGGGGGATGAAATGTGGGGTGGATTTGTATGAAATCAAACTTGGAATACAAATGGGAAAAAGATAGGCATCATTTATAGGGAAAATATATAGAAATTCTCATTAACCATCTCTCCATTCTCTCACAACAAGTACACGAAGTCGCATTCAGATGAGATCGTGTAGTTAAAATTACTTAAATATCACTCAACAATATTGCACCTCGCCGGATAGTATGAAACACATCGCATCCAGAGACGCCATTTTCTCGATTTTGCATCCTCCAAATATACATAGAAAGACCCGTTGAAGTACGCAGAGTGTGTACACGAAGACATGGCATGAGCGCGAGCAGAAAATAAACACAATAAAATCTTCTCTTCTGCTCCTATGATATGTTCACATTATATATACAATATTATACATCTTAAGGCACCACAAAAAGGGGGAATACAGCAAAATTTCATTACAATTTCCACACCCCACATTTCTACCACTCGTCATTGCTCAATACCTTGCGAAAGTACATCTGTATTTATCGCTGCTCAGCATTCACAATGACACAATAAAGTCTTGTAAATACATTTTAACTCTTAACTAAAAAATCATCATAATTTTGGTCAGAGATTTACAAAAAATAACACAGTTCTTTAGCTAAAATCAAGTAAAAGATGACAGAAATGAGTGAAATTTGATCAGAAATAGAGACAAAGCGGAATTATTCGTGTTTTATGCCTTTTTAGTACATTTTTCGCTGATCAATCAGGTAATGTACGCCCTTAATATTTTATTTTCTAAGAAAACCATAAAATTTTGTCTGTCATTCGCATCACATACACCTTAAAATACCATGAAGCCCCAAATATTTCGTCAAAATACATTTCTCTGAACTAAAGTTTCCTCAGGAATGAATATCAAGCCATTTAAATGCAATTCACACCCTGAAAAACTTTCCTAAAGTTAAGAGATGCTTCTCACATTTCCATTTTGTGATCATACAAATATTTATCCATTTACAAAATGGGAAATATAGTAAATTTTTGTGAATAACATCGCAGCTTTCTCAAGAAACTTTCCTTCAGAAACCCGAATTGTGCCTTTGCAATGCTCAAAGAGCTGTGCGAGGGTGAAGACATAATAAAATTCTCCTGAAGATATACAAAACTCTTAAGCAAAATTTATGTTGAAAGCTCCCTTTTTCCAAAGTCTGTCTCTCTCTGGCGCAATTCACAATCATCGCGCGCGCTAACATCTCACACAGTGCAGAAAATAGCTGTTGAATCGTCCTTTCTCGTTATTTATTGAGGACACAAAATCGAGAAAATGAAATTATTCGTAGGAATTTGATTTATCACGCCGAAAAAGGAGAAGAGTGGCAAATGAAAAATGAACGATGGAACAGAAGGGTGGCAAAAGGAGCAAATAAAGCACCCTTTCCGGATGAAAACAGATCTGCACAATTTCGAGTGTGACAAGTGAGATAAAATACCACTTTTTCGCCGGAAATAGCCACAATGACCTTTTACAGTTCTTGCTGCCCTCGCAATTCTGGCTCCACAACATCCAGAATTCTTCTCCACACAGAGAGAGAGAGGGAGAAAGAGAGAGAGAGAGAGGAAAAGCAGTTCAATTGGAGATGCGAACACAATTCTCTCCTCGTTCACTTTGTCGTGTGCTCGCAACTCTAATCTCCGTGGATATACAATGTGTATGTGTGTGCTTTTTGTGAATTTTCACAATCTCACGCCCCTCACGTCCCCCTTAATTCTCTATTTACTCTTCGCCTTTTTTCATATCACTCGCGCCACAAACTTTTTTCCGCCGTCAACGAGCTTTTTGTGTGCCTCCTTCTGGCTGCCACCAGAGCTCAGGAGAAGAGAGTGAGAGAGACTTGAAACGTTTCTATGGAAACAACAAAAGTTAGGTATATAAGGGGTGGTTTGGAAAATCGGAAAGAGAGCGAGAGTGTGTGAGAAAGATGGGTGAAAAAGGTGAAGCACAACACTTCTATCCCACCTATCTTCATTTCCTAAATATCGCACACACATCAAACCCCTCTTGTCTCACATTGCATATTCATATATGAGCCACTTTGTCACCCCAACGGGAAAAAATGGCTTTAGGAATGATGGCAGAGATTTCAACCCCTTGAAAACTTGAATAATTTATCGAAGCCAACTTGCAAACGATCCAGTTTTCTGGCAGCATAAGAAAATGAATGTCTTGCAAATACAATTAACATCCGCTTTCCTCCCTCTTGCACTCCCCTTTTTTCCCATCACGCATCTCCTCTTTTTCCATCTATCTCCGTCTGTGGCGAAAAGAGCGCGCAAAACCCAAGTGAGATCGCAGGAAAGATTTATCAGTTATTCGTCCTATTAATCTCAAAGTAATTTTCATGCCCTCTCGCACAAGTCTCGGATTTATTCAGAGCTACAATTGCTAATTAATTGCAAGAGAAGTCGTTTCAGTTAATTATGTACATTTGAACCGATATGGAAATGCATTGAGCCACTTTCAAAGGGTGGCTTAGAACGACATTCAACGGATTCCAGTCATATGGTTTCATTTGGATAATGAAAATCTCTCAAGTTTCATGAAAAACAGCACGAAATCAGTGTGAATAGTAAGTATTACATATTATTATTCGTACAATTTTATCATAGAAAACAGTCGAACGCAAATATAAGTGCAGTCAAAACATTTCACAGAAACATTATGCATTTAAAATCACAAAAAATATAATTCGCTTTCGAAAACACAGAAGAATACTTTAAAGCTATTCTAGGCTTCGAAAAACCTTTAAAATAATAACTTATTATAATGAATCGTATATAAAATGCAATGTTTCACCGTCAAATCGGGTTTTTGCAGAAATCATAACCGCACAGAATCACAATATCTACTCTAATATTCATAAATTTCTCTGCACTTCATGTTTAACTAGACTTTAAGCTTGTCTTTCAAATAGTTCTGCGATGAAAATATTTCAAAGGTAATAGTTTGAGAAGGTTTTAATACCTCCAAACAGTGCATTAAAACACTTTATTTCATAGGAGTTCATAGAATTTAGACAAGTATGGAACACTTTGTGTTCCAAACTTGTCCAAACTTTTGAATTGAGTTTATGTATTTCTTCTTCGTCACTGCCAAAAACACGTGATAATTTAGTAAATTCAGCAAAGAATTAAAGATAAAAACTATCTTCAATACAGATAAATTGATTTGAGTGCCTTGAAGTATATTTTTTCAGGCGAATTTACCCCCACAAAGATGAAAATTCTGCCAGAAGGCGTATTTGCAAAATTGTCGTCCTTCCCTTCATTTATTTCTTCCTACTCACTTTTACCCAAAAAATGAATATATCATTTCGACACTCACACCCGAAACTCTGTGCTGAATTTCGCGCGTGTTCGATAGCCAAAGGAGGAGAGCCGACAAGGGGGTTGAAGGAGGGCGAAGAAAAAAAAACGCATTCTGTGTGTGTACATAGAAGCGAGATATTTTCTCTCGCTCGCACATCGGGAAGAATGATATTCTCTTCCACCCCCACCGCGACAAAATTCTCCCGGACGTGCGGGAGAGAAAGTGAGATGCTCCGAAGGGTGCTGAAAAGTGGGTGGCACTAGCAAATATGGCAGCCAACACCAGCCTCAACGCTTAGAGTGGCGTTGTCATGGAGACAGACACCCTTCTTGATGAACTATTAAGTTACATCTGCTCAAAAGAGTGATCAGTAAACAACACATCCCCCATTTTCACCATATATACAACACATCACACCCCAATCGAAGCTAGCTAAGGGCGAATGAAACAGACACACCGCATTTCCATCTGACAGCATGTCAAATATAACGAGCAGCTAAATTTTCTTCTCTTAAGAGAAAAAATTGCCAGATAAATCAGAATACAATCATTCCAAATGCCCTCTCGTCGCCATATCCATTTCAACATATCCCCGAAATTAATTGCAATCGCACGCCTCTATCGCCACCATATCTCACTCCCTCTCTCTGTCCAACAAGGCGGCGAGATTACAAAAGTTGTGCCTGTAATGAGAAACTGAGACGATAAGAGACAATTGATAGAGACACAAAAGTTTTATCTAAACTTCAACTGCATTCAAATCTGTTCCAATTCCCCCAAAAAAATCTCCGAAGGAAAGCCATCAAGATGGAATTTCATTAAACAAACACACACACAAGGGCGGCGAACAAACTCTGTGATGAAAATGCTGTAATAGTTTTCACTCCCCCGTCTTATATACATAGGTGTACAGTGTGTTGTTTATATACACAGAGGGAAAAGCCTTCAAAACAAAGTGAGGCGTTCGCCATGTTTCAATTAAATCAGGATATGACTAAATCCGTTTACTTCTATTCACAGTGATTTTACTCAATGATGATGATGAAAAAAAGCGGAAAATGGTTCTCATTTTCTGTGAGAGGGAAGGAAAGTTATTGCAGAAATTACCCTCCGGATGAGATTCTGTGGATGAAACATTTGATACTGAAAAGGAGAATCACAATAGCAAAGCCAAGCAAAAAGTGCAAACTTTATCAATTTTTATGCAACATTAAGGAAGGTAATTAATAGCTCATCAATTTGTATCACTCTGAACTTTTTGAAAAGTTAAAAATCATAAATGTTAATACTTCTCTAACACTGGAAAAATTCACGGAATTCCAATTACTCAACGAATTCTCATGAGAACGTCGACAATAGAAATTAATTCAAGGAAATCGCAAAGTAAATTGTGTAGTTTTAATGGACAATTTTCTTCCAGAAGCCAACAAGTAAAGTCTAGTGAATCGAAAAGAACTCCCGCTCGGCTTTAGTTTGTGGAGAATTGAGAAAGAATCAATAGATTCTTTAATGTTGCTTTTACCTAGAAATCAAAATGATTTAAATTTACATATTTCGCAACACAATCCTAAATGTTCACAGTGTAAAATCAGCAAAATATTGCGAGTGTTAATTTCTATATTGTTCAACACTTTTCATAATCAGAATCAAAATATTTGTCTTCTTCGCAATTAACCATTCTGTGACAAAAGCGATTTTTCGTGTGTTTGCAAAGATTTGACTTCTAAATCTCTCATGTGATTTCTCACAAAGACGAGGATTAGTGACTTGAAATGGAACCACTTTACGTCGGACAAAAGGACATGGAGACAGATTAGGCGCCTTTTTCGGCTCTTTCGGCCAAGCCAAAGAAAATCTCTTCACGAGTCAGAAAAATTACAAAAAAATATAAACAGCATGTAATTTTACCCACGCTAAAAAGCTGCACAAGTATAAATTTGCAAACTCAAAATTGCAATGCAACATGGTCAGAAGGATGTTTCAAGTACAATTCCAAGACGGTTGATGACAAAAGGGAAGCGCATGAAAGAAATACTCCAAATACAAGATGAAACGAAGTGAATAGGAAGAAGTACAAAAGATTGTTTACATCTTACATCTTTTACAACAACGAGAAGAAGAAAGATATCCATCCATGAATGCAAAAACCAAAAACTCCAGCAATAATTGCCTTTCTCATCTACAATTCCCTTTCAATTGCTATCTCGCAACTCCTTGTTCGTCATCCCTCAAATAATGTGTGATGAGAAAAGCTTAGCCGATCTTCCTTTTCTTCCTTCAGCATTTTCTGGCGTAATCAATTGCGCAATACGCGCGGCAATAGGCAGAAAAAAAGAACGAAAACTCGTAAATACTAGAGGCGAAATCCTAAAAAACAAGCTGAAATATGCGGATCAATTGAAATACACCCTCGGCTCAACAATGAGCTACCCTTATTTGTATTTGATATTGCCATTGGGCGCACTTACAATGGACTGGAAACACGCCCAGAGCATTGTCCTCCTCATCTTCTAGTCCCCGATGGTAAATACCTCCTGAAATTCACCCTCCTCGCAATTTAATCGCCATGCACGTCGCACCTCGCCGTTCAACAATTGCGGATACGTCGCAAATCTGCATCAATTTCTGCACCAGAGTTTTCGCCTCCCAAAAAAAAGGCATCTCACTGCGAGATCTCTTTTCTCAAATTTACCAGAAAACTAGCCTCTTTTGTGCCCGCCAAGTAACACTATCTCTTCTCCAGCAGATCAACAATCTCGCACGATCGCGCTTCAGTGCATTTTGGCCCAAAAAGTGTTTCTCCATCTGAGACTGTGCAAAAAATATCGAGTTAACAAGACTCTTCGGAAGTCCACAAAGTGAAGAAAAATACTCTGATATTGCAAAGTCAAATTCATGTGCATCAAAAGTTCGTTTCTAGAATTCTCTCTGGCTTTAGTGCCAGCAAAGAGAGTCGTAAATAGAGTTAAATAGTTATAGAGTGCGCATAAATAAAGAGAAATCCGTGTTTTCATCAGTGAAAATGCAATTTGGTCAGTCAAATATAGGCAAAAACCAAATATTTTATCAGATTCTTATTAAATCATTTGACGAAATTAAAAGAAAAGAATTAAACTCGTAAAATGTAAATATCAATTGAGATGAAGGGAAATTATTGTTGTATTCTGCGATTTGTACTAATCAAAAACAACTAAAACACCGACTAAATGACTTAATTTTCAGCGTTGGGATTTAAAATTATGATCAAGAACGTAATTTGTGTAAATCCTTTCATAATTATTTTTTCGCTTATTTGAAGTTTTGCCTGAGAAAATCCCGAATCGTCAGCTTCTTTTCAAGAACCGCCGCTCAGCAAAAATGTCCCGTCAAAGCGCACTTTTGACCAATTCAACCTGAGGAAATAAAACTATCAGTAAAATATCGCAGAGTGGAATAAATCTGCAAACAAAAGGATCCTTTTGTGGACCTTTTTGATCTCATATCTTTCATGACTGGACCTTTTGTGCTTAATTAAATGGATCGTGTACTTTTTCGCCACCTTTGATCGTCCACGGAAGTACCGTCATCAATTACAGGAAAATATGATCCTTTTGTGGACCGCACAAGCCACTCTTCGTCAAGCTCTCAGTCTTTCACGGCCGCCTTTGAGCGCCACAACATATCATAACCCAAAGAAATGGCATGAAAGGTGTCTCTATTATTTTTATTAAGAGACCACATAATTTGATGTGCCGCCGATTGAATTCAGGGGGTTTACAGGAGTTTATACCAGGGATTGTTTTTTTTTAAGAAAAGCGTGAAGAGAGAGTTTGAAGATGGTGTTATGCTAGAGAATTCTTGGAATTCTTACAGTTAAAAGATTAATTTTATTATAAAAATATTTAAGAATATTTGTATATTTTCAACATATTTCAGCGCGTGTTTAATCCTACCTTGTAAGTTAAGTGAAAGAAATTAAGCCACAGGATTTCTCCGAATCCAAGCTTTGACTATAAAAAGCGAGAAAAGAAAAATAGAATGCGAAACGCCTTCTGATTGGTCCCACAAAATCACGCTTGCAAAAATTCCCGCAATTTCCCGGAAATCATGAAAATCTCTCCCAGAGGATGAGAATACCAGCACAGTGAGAAAAGCTGAAAGGTTAGAAAAAAGTCCAGAAAGCGCGTTGGAAAACACCAAAATCCAAGTGAAAAAGCCGCTTTGCGGTGAAATATTTACATCCCAATAACACGCAGAAATTGAAAATACACGCTGTAATTTTACTATACTTACCTGCATTGATGCCTTAACTGGGGATTGCAATGCTTGTCACCTGGAAAACATTCTTTCACACATAGAAAAATCGCATTTCCTCTCAGATCAAAATCATTTAAGCAATTGCTTTCAATGACGCCATCTTGGGAATCATATTAAGTGCATTTATCGCTTCCCCTCCGAAACCTGTCAGCTGTGCGTCGGCCAGTGTTGTCAGATTGCAGAGTGAGGTGGTCTGTCTGCCGCAGGGAAAACGTCCTAAAACACTGTTTGTAGCTGATTTTACGGTGAGAAAATACTGCTAATACCTAGAGGAGTGGCCAAGGAAGGCTTTTCCGTAGTGGGCTGTGAGGGGAGTGTGGAAATAGTGTGGATATTTGGGTGTAAAGTTGATGTATAAAATGAGGTTATGTAAGTTGATTATTGGCATTTTTGCAGAGCTTCCCGGAACGCTTCAAATGGCTGACTCGGACGATGAGTACGATCGCAAGAGGCGCGACAAGTTCCGCGGTGAGCGCAGCTCCGGCGATAACTATCGCGAGCGAGACCGTCGAGATGACCACAGAGGTCGCGACGAGTGGATGGATCGCGTGAGGTCGAAGCCCGACTACAGGGAGTTCCGGAATGGACGCGACAGGATGTACTCGCCGCCCAGGGACATGCCGCCGATGAAGAGGATGCGCATGGGGCCACACGATGGCTACGGGCCGTATGGCGGCGGCGGTTGGCATCACGAGTCCGGCATGGGATGGTTGCCACACGGCGGTGGTCATCCGTACGGCTCCGGTGGTCCCATGCCAATGCACTCCAGGTGCGTGAGCTCAGGTGGGAATTCTCCTCGTCTTCTAACTGATTGTGTGTTTCTCGCCCTGACAGGGATTCCGTCCCGAATCCAGACATGCAAACGCAGCCTTGCATAATGACGCTGAAGCAGTTCCTTGCGACGCAGGATGACTCGATATCTGATTCCGATGCCATCACCAAGTACAATGAGTACAAGCTGGACTTCAAGAGGCAGCAGCTGAATGAGTTCTTCGTGGCGCACAAGGATGAGGAATGGCAAGTATCTTCCTACAAACCCCGTTTTTTTCTCACCTCAAAAAATGTTCTTCTCATTCTTGGTCAATTGAAGAGTTGGATGCCAATTGGGAATTTTTGGGATATAATTTCTATGGGATAATTTTTACTTAGAGAACAGCACTCAAGGCGGCCCCACGGAGTCTTCCTCCTCTCATTGTGTGTGTGTGTGTGAAATTATCTCTATTTTATACATGACAACATAATGCTTTTCATCCGACAGCAAAGTGTGGCGTATTTTGCGGAAATTTCCATCCTATTGTGGTGTGGTTTTGAGATGAGAAAGGATGCAAAAATGTAGATAAATATCTCTGCTCCTTGCTGAAAAATGCGCGCAGTCAGGATAAGGAAGCGAATATGAACAAAATGTCTCTGTCGAAAAATTCGTATCTTGGCGAGCAATGCCAAGGAAGTAAACTCTCTAAGTCAAAAAAAAAATCAAATTTTCTATCAAATGAAAAGAAAAAAAAACACTAGTCTTTAGTAAGATAAAAATGAGATTATCTCGAAGGTAAGAACAAATATAAAAAGATTAAGTATAGTTCACTAAGGCCTTGATAAAGAAAAAAAAACAATGATTATTTTCCCACAAATGCCTTGCAAAAGAGCAAAAAATAATAATTCCTTTTTCTCTTGATTTTTTTCATCTCCTGCGCAGATTTCCTTCTGTTTTCACCCACTAATTTGCCATTGTTTTTGGATTCTCTTTTGCAGGTTCAAGGTTAAATACCATCCGGAGGATTTGCTGAAGAGACAAGAGGAGCACGTTGCATTTCTCAGGGTAGGCAAAAGGCGCTTCTGTTCGCTTATGTTTCAGTGGCAGGAATTAACAATAATAATGTTGTGCGCTTGACTTTCAGAAACGCATTGATGTGTTCATGGAGCTGATGGAGAAAGAGATGATCTCTGATGTTTCGCTGGATCTCACTTGCACGGACAAGCTTCTCAAGCTGCTGGATACGGTGGTGATCAAGCTGGAGGGCGGCAGTGAGGAGGATTTGAAGGTACTGGAAGTGCAGACGATGCCAGCACCTGTGAAGCTCGTGGAGGAGCCACCAAAGCTGCCCAAGATCGCCAAGGACGGCGTGGAGACGGAGAAGAGTGTAGCTGAGGAGGAAGGGGAGGTTGAGGAGCCGAAGGTGGCGCCGGAGGTGGAGAAGAAGGCCAATGAGGATGGCGAGAAGGCGGCCGAAGAGCCAGAGGAGAAGGAGAAGGTGGAGAAGATGGACGAGAGTGAGCAGAAGCCGAAGGATGGGGAAAAGAAAGAGGATTCGGCATCCTCGGAGGACTCTTCTGAGAGCTCCAGTGACTCGGACGATGACGAGCCGGCGCCGCCAGTTGTGCCCAACGTCGAGGAGAAGGCGAAGGAGGTGGAGATTGTGTTCCTGGAGGAGGAGAAGAAGGAGCAGGAGCTGCTGGGCGAGCAGAAGCAGCCTGACGTTGAGGAGGTGCCGGAGAAGGTGGTGGAGGAGCAGCAGAAGGACCTGGTGACCATTGATTTGGTGCGAGAGAAGAGTGCAGTGCGAGAGTTGCACAAGACGAGCTCCATCTTCCTACGTAATCTCACGCCGACCATCACGAAGGCGGAGGTTGATGCGATGTGCCGGAAGTACGATGGCTTCCTGCGCGTGGCCATTGCGGATCCGCTGCCGGAGCGCCGCTGGTTCCGCCGCGGCTGGGTGACATTCAAGAGGGATGTGAACATCAAGGAGATCTGCTGGAATTTGAACAACATCCGCCTGAGGGATTGTGAGCTGGGGGCAATTGTCAATCGGGATCTCAGCAGGAGGGTGCGTCCGGTGAACGGTGTGGCGCTACACAGGAGTGTGGTGCGCAATGACATCAAGCTGTGCGCCAGGATCATTCACAATCTGGACGAGAAGCACGGATTGTGGCGCGATGAGGCGGGCGCCGTGCAGGAGGAGTCGCAAGGAGAGTCCTTTGGATTGCTGTCGCGCAATCCTGTGCTGCAGAACATCACAGATTACCTAATTGACGAGGCGTCCGCTGAAGAGGACGAACTGCTGGGGCTGACGGAAGAGAAGAAAGATGTGCTGGAGAGTGAGATGTTCGACAGTGATGCGAGTCTTCTGCCTGTGCTGGACAAGTTGATTCTCTACTTGAGAATCATACACTCGGTGGACTTCTACAATCACTGCGAGTATCCGTATGAGGATGAGATGCCGAATCGCTGTGGCATCATCCATGCCAGGAGTCCGGCGCCCACGAGTCGCGTTTCAAGTAACGATATTCAGGACTACACGAAGAACTTTGAGTCAAAATTGCAAGCATTCCTCACGCCCAGCGGCACCGTGGAGAGTGATGAGCTGGGGAAGCTGGGCGCGAAGCAGGCGGACGCCGAGGTGGAGAAGTTCATACTGGCCAACACGCAGGAATTGGCCAAGGATAAGTGGTTGTGTCCGCTGTCGGGGAAGAAGTTCAAGGGACCGGAGTTCATTCGGAAGCACATTCTCAACAAGCACTCGGAGAAGATTGAAGAAGTGAAGAAGGAGGTGGAATACTTCAACAACTACCTCAAGGATCCCAAGCGTCCGCAGCTGCCAGAGCATCCTGGCAGTGCGGCCAAGAAGAGTCTCGGCGGCGATCCTACACCGCCAGGAGCGCATCCGGCCATGGGATATCGCGGAGCGCCATTCGGGGGCTCACCGTACGGCTCGCCGTACAATCCTTATCCCATGATGCCGCCGCAGAGACACCGTGGCGGCGGATCCGGCTATCCGAGGAGGTATGAGAGCACAACTGATCATTTTCACGAGTGATGCGCCTAATTAATAGGAGAAACATGTCTAATTTCAGGGGAGGCGGCCCCGATTATCGTCCTATTATCCACTACCGAGACCTCGACGCTCCGAGGGAGCCAGATGAATTCCTGTAAGCGACTCCGCGAGCTCCACAATTTTCTCATTTGATTCCCCACACATGAAAGGAGAGAAAGAGAGAGTGGTTAATAAATTTCTTTCTATAATACCCTTAGATAAGAGGATCTCTTAAGTGATGTTTTATGGTTTCAGAGAAGGTCCTGACGGAGCCTGGAATGTAATGTGTATTCCGGAACTGATAATCTCTGTTTTTTTTTTAGTGTCGATTCAGTGTGAAGTTTGCTGCAAACGCAGAGAGTTGTCAAAGCAACGGCGTCTCGCGGACGTAGTTTTCGCTGTTTTCCTCTGAATACGCGGAAAATTCCTGAGCAAATATGTTCACGGCATCTTCGCTGAACGTGACCAACTCGTTTGGTGGTGGCGCACAGACGACAAACACAAACCCAATGAAGGATTTCGAGGTGACGTCGCCCCCGGAAGACACGGTGTCTTGCATGGAGTTCAGTCCGGCGAGCGTGGCGCAGAACTTCCTGATCGCCGGCAGCTGGGACAGCTGTGTGCGGTGCTGGGAGGTGGAGATGACTGGCAAGACGGTACCGAAGCAGATGAAGACCATGGGTGGGCCTGTGCTGGACGTGTGCTGGTCCGATGACGGCGGGAAGGTGTTCATTGCGTCGTGCGACAAGCAGGTGAAGTGCTGGGATTTGGCGTCTGACCAGGTGGTTCAGGTGGCAGCGCATGATGCGCCGGTGAAGACGTGTCACTGGGTGAAGGGATCAAACTACACCTGCCTGATGACGGGCTCCTGGGACAAGACGCTCAAGTTCTGGGACACGCGCTCGCCAAGTCCCATGATGGCCATCAACATCCCGGAGCGCTGCTACTGCGCCGATGTGGACTATCCCATGGCGGTGGTGGGCACAGCGGGACGTGGTCTGATCATTTACTCGCTGGAGAACAAGCCGACGGAGTACAAGAGGCTGGACAGTCCGCTCAAGTATCAGCACAGGGCCGTGAGCATCTTCCGGGACAAGAAGAAGACGCCCGTGGGTTATGCCCTGGGCTCCATTGAGGGACGCGTGGCCATTCAGTATGTGAATCCGACCAACTCCAAGGACAACTTCACATTCAAGTGCCACCGCTCCAACGGAAATTCCGGCTATCAGGACATCTACGCCGTGAACGACATCGCCTTTCATCCTGTGCACGGCACTCTCGCCACCGTGGGCAGCGACGGCACCTTCAGCTTCTGGGACAAGGATGCCAGGACGAAGCTCAAGTCGTCAGAGACCATGGAGCAGTCCATCACCAAGTGCTGCTTCAACTCCAACGGGCAGATCTTCGCGTACGCCATCGGGTACGACTGGTCAAAGGGGCACGAGCACAATCTCAACCACAAGACCTACATCTTCCTCCGACCCTGCTACGACGAGCTGAAACCGCGCGCCAGCTCCTAGGCTGTCCATCTTGGTGACACAAATAAAGCTATTATCAACTACTCGATCAATTTATTCTCTGCCAATGCTTCTAATGGTGTCCCGCCTCTTCGCCATGTCCGTGCCCGTGCGCATGACTACGTCCTCCCGTGTAGTCGATATTGAATGCCTTCTCGATCCCAATTGTGGCCAAGAAGGCGGCAAAGCCGAGCCCGAAGCCCCGGAACAGGACTGTCAAGAGGCGCTGACGATGTGTCCCGTAGTATTGTGTGTTGTATCGCCACACTTCATTCCGGAGCCACGGATCGCGCAATCCCTGGCGCGACAGTGACTTCTGCACCTCCAGCAGCTCTGGCACGTCCTCCACCTTGTAGATGGACGCATCGGGGACCTTTGGTGTGTGGTGTCCTCCCATTTTCCAGCTTCAGCTTCCACTGCAAAACACATAACCTCATTTTATCATTATGTAACGGGAAAGAGGGTGAAAAATTCCAGGATAGGACTGAAAACTCAGTAAAGAATACATATCAACACATCACGATCACGAGGATTATCTTACAGAGTAATAATTTGCAAATAATTAAGGAAAAAATGCCGTCAATGCGGTGAAGATGTCTTTATCAGTTTGCCAACTACGTCTTAACAAAATCGCGAACATCCGAGGGAAAATAGACGGGAAAACCTATGATACACTATTATGGAACACTCACCTATCCACTAAATCAGATTTCCAGCCAATTCAGTGGCGATTTCGGGGATTTTTGCCAAGAAAATCTGGTTGTTTTTCTTCTGCAGGACAGATTTTTGGCAAACACTACTTCCAATTGCGGTCGTGGGCGCTGCTATCGCGAAGAGGACTGTCAAGCGGTGCGAGAAAGAGACAGCAGATCGGTAAGAGGAGAGAAGAGAATGTTGGGGAAGCTAACAAAAGACTAATTTAATTTTTTTAGATACTTTTCACAAATTTTTCACACATTTTTCCCAATTCCGTCGTCAATTGGGATGCCTAATATTTTCTCAGAGTGCAGACAGTGGCTGTTAAAGTGTATTTCCAGCGGAAGAAGGTGAATTGACAATGTAAACAAGTGGGTGCCGGGGTCGGAAAAGTGGGGGTAATTTGACATTTTGCCTGATTGCGCGAGAGAGACGTGCTCAGTTCTCTGAAAAGCGCGATGCAGTGAGGATGCTGCTTGTTGGCCGTCGCGAAATATTCTGTGCTTTGTGTATGTATGTCCGGCAGTAAAACACATATTCCGGCCAATTTGGTGTACCAGAGATGTGAAAAATATGTAAACATCACGTGTGACATCGCAGAAAAGTGTTTACAGTTGCGATCAAGTGTGAAAAGTGTGGGGAAATTGGTGAAAAGTGAGAAGAATTTTGAGCGTTGGCTGAAAAGTTTCCCACTTCTGCCGCTGTAGTTGAGCACGCGCTGCGTGTGTGTTGTGTTCTTTTTATTTACATCGGCCTCTGGGTGTTTTGCGCGTGTGTGTGCGTGTTGTTTATTATGATGGAAAATAAGTAAATCGCGGATGGTGCCACTTGACAGCATAAGAAAAACAAGTATGCTGAAGAGTGCAAGAAAAAATGAATGTAGGTGAATTAGAAGTTACATAAAAGTTTGTGTGACACAAAGTGAGAGAGAGAGAGAGAGAGAAAGAGAGAGATTTGAGACCACAAGAGCGCCGCTGAGGCGCTTGGAAGAGTGGAAAAGAAGGGAAAATCATGGGGAAAATGCTCTGCAGCTTTATCACACTATTGCTTCTCACCTTCTCCGATGCACTCACAACATCAGCGCCGGAAGTGTCGACGCCAGGAGAGAGCACAGTGACGAGATCATCCACAATCCGGCCAGCAGACACTTTATCAGCTTCACCAAATACTCCAAGTGAGTTCCCATTCAATTTCCCTCCAACACATGAGCCTTCCGACTGTCTTACACATGTGGTTTGTCATGCAACAGATGTGAGACAGGGTCAGAAGTTCACGTCTTAATTACAAGCTCTGTGATTAGCAACACAAGTCAAAATATCTCTCTCCTCTCGGGAAAGTCGTTTTGTATAGTCAAAAGATAATTTTTTTTTTCTGGGGAAAATTTCGCCTCTTCTGAATCAATATTAAGTTTGTGGCATTTATGCAAAGCAGATCGAGAGACTCCTTGCGGTATTTCTGCTCACCAACGCAATGCCGGCGCAAAGAAAACACAGACACAATGTTGTTTGAGGAAGTGAGACAAGATTGTTTCCAATCGTCTGTAATGTCTTCAATGAAGCGCTCTTTGAAATCTCAATTAAATGCTCGTCATACAATTTAGCCCGATGTAATTTATTCAAATATAACAAATTGGAATGTCGTTGAAGCTCATGCGTTTAATAATGTTATTAGAGAATGTAGAGTGAATATGACGAGATGTTTTTACGCTGCCGAACACACAACTTGCTCAAGCAAAGAGAGAGACAGAGAGAGAGAGAGAGAGAGATGCTGGCGTGTAAAAGCACAAATGTAGGCGGCATAGGATGAAATTTACTGGGACTAAGAGAAGCGCGAATGCGGAAAAATGCCTTCAATGCAGTGGATAATAAATTAATTCATGAAGTAAAAAAAGAAAATTGAAAGTGTCAGCGGAGAAAAAAAGCGAGGCAAGAGGAAAGAGAGGGCAAAAAACAGTCTATTTTATGTTCAACTTATATATATTTCATTTGGCAACAACGAGAGAAGTTCTTAGAGGCGGAATTCCAATTTGCTTATTGACCCAGTCATGGGGAATGAGTGGAAATTGTGTAAATATTTACATTACTCTAAATATTTCACTTATTCTCTGGTTAGGAATATTTTTCCACTGCAGAGGAAATGATTATGTTTATCCTATTTTCGAGGGGAATTTTCCAATGTGATGGAGTGACTGAGAAAAGATGGCAAAAGTGAATTTCAGCATTAGAAATACAATTTGGCCAGTAAGAAGGTTCAAAAACAGAATTTTATCTAGAAAATGCGAGTGGAATATAAAATTTACATGGTAAATTTACCGAAAATCGGAGAAAAAAATTTTTAGGAAAGGTGAAATTAATAAGATATTAAACTACAGAGGCATTGATGAATACATGCAATAAATCCAATGCTTTCAGCATGTCCTCCATCTCATTTCACGTGTCGCGACGGCACGTGCATTCCGCTGTTCTGGAAGTGTGATTCAAACAGAGACTGTGATGATGGCTCCGACGAGCCGCCCGAGTGTGCTCACTCGCTGGGCTGCCTGGAGGGCCAGTTCCGGTGCACGGGCACACAGAAATGCATCCCCAGCGGATGGCTCTGCGACGGCGACTTCGACTGTGGCGTGCACAAGAAAACGCTGCAAGTGGACACTTCGGATGAGAACAACGACAAGTGTGAGTCTCTATAAATCCTGTTGTGAGTGCAAAATGTGTTCTGTAGCGCAGCTTCTCGCCCAACAGGCGCCAATGTGACGAAGTGTCCGGTCAATAAAGTGGCATGCAAGCCGGGCGTTTGTCTGGAAATTGAGAAATTCTGCGATGGACACTGGGATTGCGTGAATGATGAGCTGAATTGTGCGAAGAATCTGTCCAAATGTGGCACTCTCAAGTGCTCCTTCGACTGTCGTGACACTCCGGAGGGGCCCAAGTGCTTCTGTCCGCCTGGACAGGAGCCAAATGGCACAGCTTGTCAGGACATCGATGAGTGCCAAGTGGAGAACAAGTGCGATCAGCTGTGCACCAATGTGCCGGGCAGCTATCGATGCTCCTGCGTGGCTGGATATACCAAAGTGAGACTTAAGGAGTTAGCCTTCAAATGAACTTTTGCATATTAAATTGCACTACTTTTGCAGATTGATTGGAGATGTCAGGGGATTAATGTGCCGAAAGAAGAGTCGCCCTCGTTGGTGTTCATCACACAGAAAGATCTACGTCGTGTGAGCATGAGTGGCGAATTGTGGTCATTCAATCCTGTCTTTCCTGTGCAAAATCCCATTGCATTTGAGTTTTGGCACAGAAATCGCAGTGTTTGCCTTCTGGCACCGTCGGCTGATGGCATTGTTGAGTTCAATTGCCACAACATCGATGATTTCAGCACACAATGGCATCTTCCGCTGCCCGATGCATATCCCAATCTTGAAACAATTGAGCTGGTAATGTTGGACTGGATTTCGGGCAATTGGTACTATTTGGATGCGGGAAAGGAGATAATCTTTGTGTGTACCAGCGAAATGAAGCATTGCACGGTGATATTGGAGAGAGACATGGGAAAGGTGAGTGTAAAAGGCACATTTACATGAGTGGCTGTGCTTTATCGATGCCCCTTTTTGCTTTTCAGGTGAGGGGAATGGCTATTGATCCAACGGCTGGATTCTTCTTCTTCACGAAGTGGGGCAACAATCCGGCAGCCGTGGAGCGATGTCTGCTGGATGGGAGCAATCGCACGAAGCTCGTCACGCACAAGATTGTCTATCCCAATGGTGTGACACTGGATTTGGCTAATAAGCATGTGTACTGGGTGGACACGTATATGGATTTCATTGAGAGGGTGAATTACAATGGGGAGAATCGCTGGGGCATCAAGAGACAGTTTTCACATGTGTCGCTCATTCAATCGCTGCACGGTGTGACATTCTTTGAGAATGGTATCTATGTGACATCATGGAGGAATCATTCGGTGATTGGGCTGGACAGGAATGAACAAGTGGCCACGGTGATTGTGGCCAATTCTTCTGTGCCGGTGGGAATTCACGTGTTTCACCGACAGCGACAACCTGAGGTGTCACATCCGTGTCGTGAGCGTAATGGCGAGTGTCAGCATCTCTGCATTCCGCTGTGGCGGAAGAATGTGGCCATAGCGCAGTGTCTGTGTGCCCCGGGATATCGGCTCAAGGGTCGCACGCAATGTGTGCTGGTGAAGTTCTCATCCTTTCTGCTGTTTGCACGCGAACAGCCGCCAATGATTAAGGGCATTTCGATGAAGAAGCAAGCGTCTGTGCAGGATGCAATTGTGCCAATTGTTAATATTGAGTGGCCCGTAACGTTGGATTACAGTGTGAAGGATCAGGTGATCTATTTTGCTCACAAGAACAAGAAGAACAACACTTTCACCATCGAATCGCAAGGCTTGGATGGCACTGGGAGAAGGATTGTCATAGCTGGATTGCTGGGATGCAATGGCTTGGCGTATGATTGGATGGGCGGAAATCTCTTCTTCACCGACTCCACGTGGAATACGATATCTGTGGTGAAGATTAGTGATTCACCAACACAAAAGACACTCATTCCAGACGGAATTGTTCATCCTGAGTGAGTTTGTTTTTGTCTTTCCTCATTTATTGAGGTCTCTGACTTGTGTGTTGATTCTCTCTTTGCAGTGCAATTGTTGTGGATCCACAGCGTGGAATAATGTATTGGACAACGTGGGTTGTAACTGGTTACTTTGGATCTATTCAGAGCGCCTGGATGGACGGCACGCATCGCAATGTTCTGCTCCAATCGAATCTTCACTGGCCCACAGGATTGACGCTGGATCATGCAAATGGGAAGCTGTACTGGTGCGATCCGATAATGCCGCTGATTGAGCGAGCAGATGTGGATGGTAAGAATCGTGAGGCGCTGTACAATGGTATGTCTGAGCACTTCTATCCGCACTCCATGGCCTTCAACGGTCAGATGATCTTCTGGACGGACAATGTGCAGGGCAACATTCGTTCTCTGATCATGGATAATGGTGATGTGCGTGATTCTGGTGAGCCACTATTGCTGGAGCGCAATCTCATTGCCAGCATGAAGGTGTTTGACAATTCCAGTCAAACGGGGACGAATGCATGTACGGAGAGTGCAGCAAATTGTCCAGGAATTTGCCTGATAACACCAAATGGCTCTGTGTGCTCGTGCGGTGATGGATTCTCACTGAATGCCAGCGGCACAACATGCATCCCGAGGGTGGATTATGTGGCGCCAACTGACTGTGCTCCTGGCTTCTTTCGCTGTCAGCACGAGCATCGATGCATTGAAGTGCGCTTCCTGTGCGACGGCGACAATGATTGTCGCGATGGGAGCGACGAAGCGGCGGGCGCTGATGGTCCGTGCTCGACGAAGGATCACTGCAACACGACAGCGGGGTATTTTCAGTGTGACGGCAATCGGTGTCTGCACAACGCGACACTGTGCGATGGAATTGCCCATTGCATAGACGAGAGTGACGAGGATGCGACTCGTTGTCCGAACATCACGTGCACAGACAGCCAATTTCAGTGCAAAGTGACGAAGAGGTGCATTCCGAACATCTGGTACTGTGATCAGCATGCAGATTGTGGTCCTGGAGATGCGTCAGATGAGCCAGATGATTGCGGCGAGTGTGTGGAGTATGAGTGTGACAATAAGGTGTGCGTGCCATACGAGATGATCTGCGATGGTTTCGACAACTGTGGCGATCACTCTGATGAGAATGGATGCATGAGGGAGTGTCGCCTGGGGCAGATTTACTGCATGCCCAAGGGATGTCTCAATGAGAGTCTCATTTGTGATGGAATTGTCGATTGCTTCGACGCCAGGGATGAGCAACACTGCGACAACACAACTCTGGTGAGTTATTCAGTGCTTCTTTCACTATATCTCATACTCGACGATGATGATGATGATGATGAATTTTTCCTTTGCAGAGCGACAATAAAACCATCCGGCCGGAATTTCAATGTGGGCGAGATGAGTTGAGATGCCTAAATGGGATTGAGTGCTTTGCAAAGCACTTGCGCTGTGACTCTGTCAATGATTGCCTGGACAAGTCGGATGAGCTTAATTGCACGACAATTACACCGCGACCGAGCTTCAATGAGACGGTGAAGTGTGAGGATCCCGATCGGTATTGTCACAGGACGAATGCTTGTATAAAAGTGGAGCAACTGTGCAATGGCATCAATGACTGTCCAGATGGCTCTGACGAAGGATTCCGATGCAGTGAGAAATTGTGTGACTATGAGAATGATTGCTCACACTTTTGCCACAATGCTCCAGAGGGGAGCATCTGCTCTTGTCCGCCGCATATGTTTCTGGCCAGCAATGGGCGAACGTGCTCGATGGAACATGCATGCGAACACTGGGGAACGTGTTCGCAGGTGTGCAAGCAGAGGGGCAAGAAGTATGTTTGCCAGTGTCACGAAGGCTTCATGCTGCAGTACGACAGATTCTCCTGCCGGAGCACCAACAAGGATTCTCCGTATGTAATCTTCAGTAATCGCCAGGAGATTCGCGGTGTAGATCTCAAGACGCTGGCAGTGAAGAACTTCTACTCAGCTCTGCGTAATACCATCGCTCTGGATTTCTTCTATGGCAATGACTCCGTGCAAATCTACTGGACGGACGTGATTGATGACAAGATCTACAGAGCGTCTCTGATTGGAGACTCTCTGACGAATGTCGAGGCTGTGGTGCAGTCGGGATTGTCCACGGCTGAGGGATTGGCTGTGGACTGGATTGGCATGAATCTGTACTGGGTGGACTCGAATCTGGATCAGATTGAGGTGGCAAAGGTGAATGGGAGCTTCCGGAGGACTCTCGTGGCTGGCGATATGGAGAGTCCACGGGCCATAGCTCTGGATCCGCGTGATGGTCTGCTGTTCTGGACGGATTGGGATGAGGTGGCGCCGCGTGTGGAGCGCTGCTCGATGGCCGGTGAGCATAGGAAGACAATAATGCAGGTGCAGCAGATTCAGGGCGCGTGGCCAAATGGCTTGACGCTGGACTACAATCAGAGGCGCATTTACTGGATAGACGCACGATCAGACTCAATTCACACCACAGACTACAATGGTGAGGATCATCACTTGGTGATACGCGATCCGGAGATCTTATCGCATCCCTTTGGCATATCATTGTTCGAGAATCATGTTTACTGGACAGATTGGCGGACCAATTCGGTGATTCGTGCCAATAAGTGGAATGGCTCGGATGTGGCGGTGATTCAGAGGAAGTTGACACAGCCTTTTGGCATACAAGTGCTGCACTCGAGTCGACAGCCGAGCGATGGCAGAAATCCCTGCGGCGCAAACAATGGCGGATGCTCGCACTTGTGCTTGTTGAGTGTGAATGGCACTTATCGCTGTCAATGTCCGCATGTGATGCGCCTGGATGGCAATAATCGCACTTGCATTCCCAATGAGCAAGTCTTGCTGTTTGTCACTGGTTCAGAGATTAGAGGCGTTGATCTGTATCAACCTAATCATCACACAATTCCCACCATCAGTCACACAACGCAAGTCTTGGCGCCGGTGAAAATTGACTTCCTCGTCAATGGCAGTCGATTGTTCTGGTCCGATGTGCAGTTGAATGAGATCAAGACGTCTGGACTGTCCAATGGACCCATTGAGACAATTCTGGACACGGATATTCCTCAACCGGTTGGCTTTGCCATCGATTGGACGGGGAAGGTGATGTTTGTGTCATCGGGAAGGACGGAATATCGGATAATTGCATGCAATTTGCAAGGTGAATATGTGACGGAGATTCACACAAGTCTTCCGGAAGTGACGAGTATTGCTGTCTATCCGGCATTCGGGCGACTCTTCTGGTCACAATCCAATAGTTCAACAGTCAACAATACGCACAGGATCATGATGAGTGCAATGGATGGAAGTGGGGTGGAAATTGCCGTGGCCACAGAGCACAAAATCGACAGTCTCACGATGGATTATGAGGAGAAGAAGCTCTACTATGTCTTCCCCCACGTGGGATCAATCTATTACTATGACATTGTCCGGAAGATGACTCATGAGGTGAGTGTGTATAAATTGTATATGTTCACTGTTTTGTGAATCTATACTATGTTAATTGTGTTCTTTGCAGGTGCTCGCAATGCAGAATCCTCAGGTGTACGTGGGAAGTGTGACAGTGTACAAGGACAATATTTACTATGCTGAGAATTCGGATAACACCATTCGGAAGTGTGACAAGAATCGATGCGTGGGAAGTGAGATTATCAGGAACAACACGGCGGGCGTGCATTCGCTCAGGATGTTCTTCCCAGCAGCGCAAACGGGCGTGAGTGCGTGCAGTGAGAGGAGTTCAGGGTGTGAGCACTTGTGTCTGGCGACAGGGGAGCACACGAGTGTGTGCAAGTGTGCCATTGGCTATGTTCAGTGGCAGAAGAATCCCACGAGATGCCAGGGAACGGAGGAGTTTATTCTCTATTCGCTGAGCTATGAACTCAAGGGATTGCCGCTGTTTGATGATGTCAAGTCGTACATGATAAATGGGGAGAAGAGTGTTCTGGCGCCCATCTCGAGGATCTCCTTGGCCTCCAGCATTGACTATCATGCCATGAGTGACTTGATCTTCTGGGCGGACAGTGAGCGTGGCACAATCACGAAGATTCGACGCGACGGCACGGGAAGAGAAGTGATTATCCATCAATTTGACTTGGTAGACAGTAACAATAGTGATTCACCGAGTGGCATTGCCGTGGATTGGGTGGCGCAGAATATCTATTGGAGTGATGAGAAGAGGGATTTGATAGAAGTGGCGAGATTTGATGGATCCTACAGATATGTGGTGGCGGCGAATCTCAACAAACCCACGGCACTGGCTGTGGATCCCAAAGCCGGACTGATATTCTACACTGGCGATCGTCAGATTGGCATGGTTGGCATGGATGGCAGCTCGTCATTTGTGCTGTACAATCAGTCTGTGTCGGACTGCAATATCTTCCTGGATATTGACAATCAGGTGGTGTATTGGGTGGAGATGCAGGCGGGAAAGGTGAAGAGGGTGGACTATGATGGGCATCAGGTGACAACGCTGATATCTGAGGGTCTGACAAATCCCGTGGCCATTGCCATTGCCAATGGGCGGCTCTTCATTGCGGAGAGTATTCATCAGAGGAGCACAATTAAGATGGCACCTCTGGCCAATCTCACGGATTTGACGACTATCCGGACGGAGGCGAGTAGCTTGAGGGATTTGAAGGTGTTTGGGCGACATGTGCAGAAGGGAAGGAATCCGTGTGAGCTGAACAATGGCGGTTGTCAGGAGTTGTGCCTGTACAATGGCTCTCATCCCGTCTGTGCATGCTCACATGGCAGAATCTCAGCCAAGGATGGGAAGTCTTGTGAGGATTATGAGAATTTCCTCATCTATTCCCGCATGACGTCCATCGAGAGCATCCATTTGACGGATCACACAAACTTGAATGGACCTGTGGCGAAGATTCAGAACTCCACAATGATGAAGAACACCATTGGACTGACATATGATTATCCCCGAGCACGCATCATATACTCTGACATTCACTCCAGCACAATCAATTGGGTGATGTTCAATGGCACGGATCACAGGATGATTGTCAATAAGCAGATTTCCGTTGAGGGTCTCGTGTTTGATGCTCTGAGTGATCAACTGTTCTGGACAAGTAACATCGATGCCTCCATTCGATCTGTGTCAATGAAGAACATTTCCTGGGATCATCCGGCCAACAATACGAATCTCGTGAGGATTGTGATGAAGCTGAAGGCGGGCGACAAGCCGCGCGGCATCGCGGTGGAGAGTTGCATGTCAATGGTGTATTGGACGAATTGGAATCAAGTCACGCCGTCCATTCAGCGAGCCTACATCTCTGGCTATGGTCTGGAGAGTGTGATCACCACGGACATTCGAATGCCCAATGCAATAACGTTGGATTATGAGGCGCACAAGCTGTACTGGGCGGACGCGAGACTGGACAAAGTGGAACGTGCGGATTATGATGGATCGCACAGGATCATTCTGGCGCACTCAACGCCCAAACATCCCTTCTCAATGGCCGTGTACGGAGATCTGCTGTTCTGGACAGATTGGGTGCTTCACGCTGTGATTCGAGCCAATAAGTACTCAGGCAGCGATGTTGTCTTCCTGCGGAAGGACATTGGGCGTCCAATGGGAATTGTGGTATATGATTTTCTCAATTACCAAATCTTTTCAACATCTAAAATCCATTCTCTTCCACGATAGGTTGTGCAAAACACCACACAAGATTGCTCAGCTGATCCGTGTAAAGTGTTGAATGGCGGTTGTGAGGATCACTGCAGTGTGGATAAGAACTTCAAGGTGAAGTGCGAATGTACACGAGGCCGTTTGGCGCCAGATGGAAAGCGCTGTTTGCCCGCAAATTCGTCATCTTGCTCAGTGGACATGTTTGAGTGTTCTTCCGGTGGATGCATTCCCTTCCACTTGACGTGCGACTCAGTGCACCACTGTCCGGATGGATCGGACGAACAAACGGCGTACTGTGCCTTCCGCACATGTCCCACGAACTTCTTCCAGTGCGACAATCACAGGTGCATTCCGCAGAATCAGACGTGCAACGGTGTGCAGAATTGCGGCGATGGCAGTGACGAAGCGCACTGCAACTGCACAGATAAACACTTTCGCTGCAGCACGGGTCAGTGCATCCCCATCAAGTACAGGTGAGTGGAATTCATTGGCAATCAGTAAGATTGGTAGGAGTTTTATGTTGTATTTTCCCTGCTAGATGCGATGGTGATCCCGATTGTCCTGATCTGTCGGATGAAATCAACTGTGAGCGTCCCGTGTGCCACTTGAAATCCATCGCCAATGCCGACAGTGTGCTTCAATGTGAACACACGACAGCTTGCTACATGCGCTCGTGGAAGTGTGACGGTGAAAATGATTGCTGGGATGGCAGTGATGAGGCCGATTGTCCGGCCACGGTGAAATCCACGTGTCCGGCGAGTAAATTCACGTGTCCAAATGGCGAGTGTATTCCGCTGATGTGGCGCTGCGATGGTGAGGACGATTGTATGGATGGTGGAGTTGATGGAGCGGCTGCCGATGAGATGAATTGCACACAGCATTGTCTGCACAATCAGTTCACGTGTCAGATGAATCGCTCGTGCATTCCGGCATCGTGGCAGTGCGACGGCCAGCCGGACTGTACTGATGGCAGCGATGAGGGTGAGCATTGCCAGCTGAAGCCGTGTCCGGAGAACTACTTCCAGTGCAACAGCACGGGCAGATGCATCTCGCAGCTGTGGGTGTGCGATGGCGATAAGGATTGCGCGAATGGTGAGGATGAGGCGCCCATTCGTGACTGTGATGCCCAGAGATCGTGCTCCATCTTGTCATTCTACTGCAAGTCTGGCGAGTGTATTGATATGCAGTACGTGTGCGATGGCGATGTGGATTGTGATGATGGCAGTGATGAATTGCCGGGATGTTCACCGGGTGTGTTTGCACATGCCGTGTGTGGTCCGGGGATGTTCAGATGCAATAACAGGGAGTGCATCCCGAAGAACTTCACGTGTGACTTCCGCACAGATTGCGAGGATGCCAGCGATGAGGATCCCAAGATGTGTGAGGACTCGAAGATCATCTGTGCCGGCCCGAATCACTTCCGATGCGAGACGGGTGTGTGCATTTCCGATGCCGATGTGTGCAATGGACGGGACGATTGTGGTGACTTCAGTGATGAATTGGCGTGCGGTGTGAATGAATGTGAGGACATCTCGATGCCAAAATGTGCACAGAAATGCGTCGACAAGAAGGTCAGTTGTGTGTGTGTGTTGTGCAAATATCTTTTGGGGAATTAGAAACACCGAATTCTTTGAATTGCAGGTTGGCTACGAATGTACATGCAATGAGGGCTATCGCGTGAGCACAATTGATCGGACACTTTGTGAGGATGCCAATGAATGCGACGATCGTCCGTGTAGTCAAATATGCATCAACACGCACGGTTCCTATCACTGTTCATGTCATGAGGGCTTCACGATGCGTGATAAGTTGAATTGCAAGGCGAACAGTGATGAGGAGATGAGATTGATCTTCTCGAATCGCTACTATATTCGTCAGGTGGACTTGTTTGGACGCATGACACTCTTGGTGCACAATTTGTCCAATGCTGTGGCGCTGGACTTTGACTGGACATCGCAATGTTACTTCTGGTCAGACGTCACGACAACCGTGAGCTCCATCCGGCGGTGGTGTCCGAAGGACAATCGCACGGATGTGCTGCATCAGTCATTGCTGCAGAATCCCGATGGATTGGCTGTTGATTGGGTGGGCAGGAATCTGTACTGGTGCGACAAGGGTTTGGACACAATTGAGGTGTCGACGCTGGATGGAAAGTTCCGCAGAGTGCTAATTGGGGAGAATATGCAGGATCTGCAGGAGCCGCGGGCAATTGTGCTGGATCCCTTCCAGAAGTTCCTCTACTGGACAGATTGGGGTGATAAACCGCACATTGGCAAGGCAGGAATGGATGGCAGCAATCCGAGGATCATTGTTAAAGACGACTTGGGGTGAGTCGATGGTCTTCTTCACATTAAGTGAGGAAGAAGCTTTTCTGATTAATGTATATGTGTGTGTGTCTGCTTCTCAGGTGGCCAAATGCTCTGACCATCAGCTTTGAGACGAATGAGATCTTTTGGGGTGATGCGCGTGAGGATTTCATAGCCGTGAGTGATTTTGAGGGACAGAATCGCAAGGTGATCATCTCTCGTGCCATTAATCCGCATGTGAATCTCCATCATGTGTTCGCTATTGCCGTGTGGGAGGACAGGATATACTGGACGGATTGGGATACAAAGTCCGTGGAGTATTGCCACAAATACACTGGACAGAATTGCTCAACACTTGTGCAGACCATTCATCGTCCGATGGACATTCGTGTGATTCATCCGTACAGGCAGCGCGAGGTGGCGGACAATCCGTGTCGTACGGCAAATTGCTCCACACTCTGTCTGTTGGCGCCCAATGATGCTGGCTTCAAGTGCGCCTGTCCAGATAACTTCTATCTCGCCGCTGACGGTTCATCGTGCGTGGCCAATTGCACGGCATCACAGTTCAATTGCGCCAACACGTACAAATGCATTCCATTCTACTGGAAGTGTGACGGCATGGACGATTGCGGCGATGGCAGTGATGAGCCGGGCAATTGTCCGGCTTTCGCCTGTGAGCCTGGACAGTATCAGTGTGGAAACAAGAAGTGCATCCATCCGAGCTACATTTGCGACGGCACCGATCAGTGTGGCGATGGATCGGATGAGACGAATTGCGACAATTACGTGTGCTTCAACACACAGTTCAAGTGTCCGCGAGCGGGAAATGTGTCCGCGCACTGCATTGACTCGATGAGGCGCTGTGACGACAGGGTGGATTGCGCCGGTGAGGAGGATGAGAAGAATTGTCCCACCAAGTCATGCTCGTCGAATCACTTCCAGTGCACAAATGGTCGCTGTGTGCCCAAAGTGTGGGTGTGCGATGGCGATGTGGATTGCGTGGACGGAAGCGATGAGCGCGACTGTCGGCGTCGCGAGTGTCCGGCCAGTGAATTCAGATGTAAATCCGGAAGGTATGAAAACGCATTCAATTCCAGACAACAGAATACTTTGCTTAAAGATTCTCTCTTTCTATCAACAGATGTATTCCGCCTTCTTGGCGCTGTGATGGCGAACGCGATTGTCCGCAGGGTGACGATGAGCCGAGTGAGTGTGAAATATCTCAGTCCACGTGTGAACCGCTGCACTTCCGCTGCAACAATTCAAAGTGCATTCCTGGTCGCTGGCGCTGTGACTATGAGAATGACTGTGGTGACAACAGTGACGAGGTGAATTGCCAGCGAAGGAACTGCTCAGAATCGGAGTTCAGATGTGGCGATGGGAGGTGTATTCGCGGGAGTCACCGATGCGATGGTGAATTCAATTGCGAGGATCGCAGTGATGAGAGAAATTGCTCAGTTTCCTGTGCCAAGGATGAGTTTCAGTGTCACGAGGCGGCTCTGTGCATTCACATCAGCCACAGATGCGATGGTGATGATGACTGCATCGATGGGAGTGACGAGATGAACTGCGATTGTCTGCGATCGGAGTTCAGGTGCAAGAATGGCAAGTGCATCGCCAATCGCTTCCGCTGCGATGGTTGGAATGATTGTCTGGATGGGAGTGATGAGGAGATCAGTGTGTGCACCACATGTCACACATCGGCCTTCCGATGTCGCAATCATCGCTGCGTGAGTCGCTCCACGCTGTGTGACGGTCACGATGACTGTGGCGATGAGAGTGATGAGCAGAAGTATGTGTGTCAGGAGTTGCAAAGGTGTTTGCCGCATGAATTCCGCTGCACTTCCGATGGCGCTTGTATTGCCGATCACTTCAAGTGCGACGGGAAGCCCAACTGTGCCGATGCCAGTGATGAGATGAATTGTCGCAATGTATCCTGCGACTTTGGCACGTGTAGTCAGGTGTGCTTGGAGAAGAAGGCGGGAAACTACAGCTGTAAGTGCCAAGCGGGATATGTGAAGGGGCCGATGAAGAATGACACGTGCCGGGCGACGGGCAGAGAGAAGTTCCTCCTGATTGCCGCAGAGAGTGAGTTTCGCTTTCTGGCGCCGGACAAACCGGACGGGAGTCTCGTGATGGGATTCGCCTTGCCGCCCACATCCAAGATCACGGCTTTTGACATTCTAACCACGGAGAATGATCTCTACATATTCTGGATTGATGCATTCAATAATCACATCATGAAGCTCAATGCGAAGGATTTCGTGGTGGATAAGAAGAAGTCCACAAAATCATGTGAGTGTGATTTTCTATATACTGCAATTCATGGTCTTTAATTGTGATTTCTTTTTTCTCGCTTTCCAGACGAATCCAGTGCGGAGAAGACAAAGATGCGGGGCAAGAGAGACTCCAGCGATGGACTGATCATTGTGAATGGCGTTGGGAAGCCGGTGGCATTGGCCATTGAGTGGGTAACGCGGCGACTGTACGTGATTGATGCCAAAATCAACACGATCGTGACAACGGATTTGGATGGGAATGACTTGGTGTCGCTCGTCAGCACGGGTTACACTGCATTAGACTTGGTTCTCAATCCCGCCATGCGTCAGATGTTCTGGACAACGCATGCCGTGAGTGGAATCCTGACGGCGGGCCTGGATGGGACGGGCAAGAAGATTCTGCTGCCGCTGGACTTTGAATGGGCCACGAGTTTGGCGATGGATTACACCACCAATCGTCTGTACTGGACAAATCATGTGGGCACCGTAGAGATGGTGCAGCTGAGGGGAATGGAGAAGCCGGTGGATCGTCGGGTGATTATGGGTTATTCGTCGGACAAGAGTCGCGCCAAGAAGCTTGATGTCTTCGAGGATTCTGTCTATGTGACCCTGCAAAATCAGACAATTGTGCGAATCAATAAGTTCGGACATGGCGACGCAGTAGTGCTGCTGAAGTCAAATCACCGAAGCGCCACCATCAGAATTGAGCATCCACTGAAGCAGAACTCCAATATCAGCAATCCGTGTGTCCATCATCCGTGTCATCCCAATGCCACGTGTCTGCTGTCGAATGCGAATCCCGCCGAGAGGAATTGTCTCTGTTCTGACGACACGTTGCGCTCGAAGGACGGCGATCCCGAGGTGAGTGTAAAATTGAGTCGATTTTTAGGCTTCAATCCTAAATGGAGAAGATTTTTAGTCTTTCTTCTTCATTTTTCATTATTAGCTTTAAGACTAACACCTTCTCAATTCCCTTTTTGCTTCGCAGTCAATCACGTGCACAACACTGGGGCAAATCCCGTCGGCGTGTCAGCTGCAGTGCAACTCCGGCTCGTGCATCTTCCACAATGGCGAGTGGAAGTGCTCGTGTCCGCCGCAGTACTCGGGCGAATTCTGTGAAAACTACCGCTGCTCTGGCTACTGTAAGAACAAGGGCATGTGCTACATCGACCTGATAGCGGCGCATCACGATGCCAAGGAGCCGCCGCCGCTGCGCTGCAACTGTCCCAGCGCGTGGACGGGCGAGAGATGTGAGATCAGTGCGATTCTCTGTCGCAAGTTCTGCCACAATGGCGCCGCGTGCGTGGACGGCGGCAAGAATGGCACTCAGTGCGTGTGCGCCGATGGCTTCCAGGGCAATCGCTGCGAGTACTGCTCGGATCTGATGTGTGACAATGGCGGCGTGTGCCGCAAGACGGTGAATGGCGTGAGTGCGTGCGACTGTCCGGACAGATTCTCCGGCAGGATGTGCGAAATTGACTCGTGCGCCAACTTTTGCTCCAAGAACGGCAAGTGCAGCATTTCCATGTCGGGTCCGCGATGCAATTGCAATCCAGGTATTGAAAGAGAGGACGAAGGTTGAGCGGAGTTACTAACGTTGCTCCTTTCAGGATTCACGGGCGTCAATTGTCAGTCCGCCGTGTGCGATAAGTGTCTCAATGGCGGCGTGTGCAACGTGACCGAAGAGTCTGGCGTCCAGTGCGTCTGTCAGCGAGGCTTCTCAGGTGAATTGTGCGAAGTGGACATTTGCAAGGAGAATCCGCAGCACGAAATATGCTCGCCGCCCAATTGTGGCTCACTCTATTGCCAGAACGGCGGCACTTGCAGCTCAGAGAATGGCAGTCTTGTGTGCAAGTGCACGAGTGACTGGTCAGGAGAATTCTGTCAGGTAATTTCCCTCTTTGTTAGACCTTAAGTTTGTGTATTAAAATACACAAAATGTGTTTGTGTTTGCAGAAGTTCATCGGTGGCACTGAGTGTGACAATTACTGTGGCAATAATGGGATTTGTCAGCTAGACGTGCAGAATCAGCCGGTGTGCATCTGCATTGGTGACTGGACGGGCGAGAGATGCATGACGCCGCCGGACTGTCGAGGCGAGTGTGGCGATTGCGAGCCCGGCAACTCGATCAACGAGTGTCGCTGCGCCGACGGTCTCTATCAGCCATGCCGCGAAGTCTTCACCGTGGCAGAGAAGTCCACCAGTGGCACTGTGGCAACTCTGGTGATTATTCTCATTGTCATCTTCGTCCTGCTGACCGCCTTTCTCGGCGGCACCTTCTTCCTGCGACGCCGCCGCATTGGGCAGCCCTTCTCGCACGCTCGTCTCACGGAGAATGTGGAGATCACGAATCCCATGTACCTCGGCGATGCCGATGACGGGCCGGTGTTCGTGCAGGAGGAGGACAAGGGACACTTCGCCAATCCCGTGTATGAGTCCATGTACGCGGGCGCCGGCGGTGGTAATGCGTCTGGCGCTGCCGTGAGCGGAGGCACGGCGCTGGAGGTGTCTCATGTGGCGCCGGAGGAGAAGAAGGGACTACTGCAACATAATCAGGATGATGCATCCAATCACGATCTTCTATGATCAGCGCTCAGAGGACCTCCAGCCACCGAGGCTCTCAGGAGCTCCTCTTAGCCCAAAGGCAGTGTGCGTGCGTGTGTGTGTGTAAATAAGGCTCAATGGCTGTTTTAAGATGATTCTTCTCAAATATTTCGATGGTTATATTAACGAAAAAAAAACATGATGCAAAGTATAGGCAACTAAAATGAACACTGAGGAGCAATTAGGGATATAGTGTAATTGATTTTTACTTACGCTCTGGATCCAATTATTACGTTGTGAGATTATTATTTTTCTTCCACAAGATAAAAGATTGCTATTAGTGCGTAATTTCATCACTGTGCAGCTCAATATTGATATTAATATAACAATTTTTGACTATCTGGCAGAGAAAATCTCGAATGTTACAGAAAGCAAGCTCAAAGTGCCATTTGATTTATTTGTCTTAGAAGACAGTCAAAGTTAGAATTTACCATTAAGAGATTATGTGCAGATTTATAAGCGAGTAAGACTGTAATTTTTGAAAAATAATTTGAGAATTATAGAACAATTCTTTGAATATCAACTCTTTAAATTTGTGGTACAACTACTCACCATGGAGTGCCGCTGCGTTACTTATCAGCCGAGACACCCTGGACGAATTGTTCATCGACTATTCGAAGAGAAAGGACATATTTTTGACGAATCAAGAGAAGACATAATTATAATTTCCGTTTGTCAGTATGATTTTTATTTTTAGAGACGCATTTAATTTGGTATTAATTTTAAAACCATATAAACTATACAGCAATATAGTTTATATTTATTCACTTTTAATTCAACACACAGCAATTTGACGTTGTTTAAATTCATATTAATTTATCCTTTGTTTGTTTTACTTTTAGTTTTCTTAATATTACTTTGCAATTGAACTACTTTTGAAGCAAACACACATTCTCCACACTTTTTGTTGGAAGAAAATAGGGTTTGTTTTGTCAAATAAGGTTCTTTTTTTTTTGTTCTTCATAGTGCAAAAAAGAAATGTTAAATGGTTTTCTTACAGCAGATTACTTAATTACCAACTATACTACTATACTTATCTGTTATTACACTGATATTATTATTTAAATTCATCCATAAGATTCTTCTTTAATTCCCTTTTCGTTTAATCAACTCGGAAGTCGCCTTCCTATACTTCTTTTTTTCACCTTCTCTAGTATATTTTATATAAAAATGGATTTTCACTATTTCTATCATCTACGTTTAAAATGAGTCAACAGAACAAACAACTGTCTAACAAGATACAATATTTACGTGCATAGCAAAACCGATTGTAAAAAAGAGACAACAAAATAAAACATTCTCCTCATTGTACATTGAATACCAACTAATTTGCTATCATTTACTCATTAAACATTCATAGTATATTAATTGACATTGAGTTTTATCTTAATTTGTATCGTTCTTTATTTATTTATTTTTTTTTTACTTTTTTGTGTATAATGGGAAATGCAATATCATTATTTCTCAATATTATTTTGTGTCTCGTTTGTATTTGTGATCATCTTGTATTTTTTTTTTAGTAAAACCATTAATTTAGCCTTTAACATTGTATTTATACGCAAAAGTAGTAGTTTCTCTCTCTCTCTACTTCTTCCCGAGTGCGAAAGAACATGAAGAAGACACTTACAATGTAAACGAAGAGGAAACGATTGTTTTTATTTACTATTCCCTTGTTCATGTTTTTTCTTTGTCATTTTTTTTACCTGTGTGAATATTTTCATCTACAACAATCTTTTTTTTCTCTTTATTTTTTTCCGTAAATTAGTACATTTATACTTTTCTTTCTTATTTATGTAAATATCATTTACTCTTCTTTAATATATTTTGCTGATGTGTTTTCATTTTAATCTCTTTTCACTAATGCAACATTTAGTTAATGTATATTTTCTTTTAAGATATAACAAGATTCTCAGGCCTTTCTTGCCATTCGGCAATGATTACCTCTTTTTGTCCCTTAATGAAATTTGATTACATACAATTATGTAGTCAATTTAATCAAATACCATCAAACGTGCAGCTTCTGCTCGTCTTCACTACTCGATTGGCGACACTATTCAACTTTGTCGCCAATGTCTTATCAGATAAAGTGTCAATGATTCGAAATTGGGATTAGATTTAACTGCACAAGTTGTGCAAGTTCACAAAATTTGAACGAAAAAGTTGATTAGTGCCACAGATTCCCTAATTCTCTCATCATTTACGTCCTTATCTTCAAGACAATTTCCTTAATCACCTAAAGATCTTTGTGACTTCGTTGATTCAAACACAAAATAACATTATAACCTCTCATTTTTTTTCCCTTTTGCTCAAGCGCAATAAATATCTTTGGTCCAAGACATATCAATCCTTATAATCAAACCTATATTCCTAAAAATATATATCATTAATCCATAGATAAAAGTGGTTTCTTTTGCATTTTACCTGAAGAAGGAAAATATCTGTGACTTTGATGTGGTTGAACATTTCCACATTATCCTTTCTAAAAAACCCTTTCATGTCGTCCTACTTAAGAAAATGTGTGCTTTTAAAATTCCCTCTCCTGGATATTGACTCATTGATTTCTTCTCTTCCGTGTATATTTGATTGAAAACCGTTTAAATTCTCTCACCCACTTTGCCTTTCTCTCCACGAAAAACTTCTTTTTTTTTATACATTTACAAAAATATTCCCCTTTTTAATTGCATCTGCAAAATCTCGTATTCTCACTTCACTCTTTTTTATCGTCCACAAAGAAATGGTGGCGGCTGGAGAGTAAGAGTGAATGTGTGATATAACATCTCTATGATTCTGGCGCAGAAATCTACCCACTGAATCGGTTCTTTTTTTTTGCAAAGTAAAAAATACTGATAAAACCAAGGGGTTGCTAATTGAGATTTTGATTGCCACGCTTCTTCGCTGCATCGCGATTTGTTACATCGTTTCGAAGAAAATTCCTGTTGAAATGACAAACTCAAGAATTCTGTGTGGGATTTAGAGAAAAAGTGGTAAATGAAGGAAAAAATATATATTTAGAATGTCAAATTGTCTCATCGGAAGAAGTATTAGGTCTAAAGATAGATATTACAGAGAAATTAGAGGATTTTGTAAGAAAAATTTTATTTCGTAGGTAGATAAAAGGGATTTAAAGACACTTCACGGTTTTTATTGATTAACACATTTTCGTCCGGATTTTTAAAGATTCACAATTGTACAAAAATTAGGAAGTTTTACTAGTTGCAAAAACCAAGTATTTAAGCAACGTTGTCTATTCATTGATGTTTACAGGCTTTTCAGCTGAGAAATTAGCTTTTCACTCTATAAAAATTATGCAGAATAATTTCATAATTAAATTTTGACGAAATTATAAGATAAAATATCTGTTTTTTTTTTTAAAGATCAATTCCGAAATCGTCCTGCGATGAAACGATTCAAGTGGGGGAATTACACGGAATAAATGCATCGCGAAAACAATTTTTGGTTTTGGTATTTGAATTTACATCCCCAATATTAGCAACCCCTTTGGATAAAACTCTCTGTGTGGCTTCTCCGATGCCCGAGAGGAAGCACAGTTCGGAGAAGGTATAAAAAAAAGCGTCATGCATAGTAATTGCATATCGCTTTGTTCGTGCCATATCGAGAGCATCAATGGAAAGAGAATCGATGCAGGTGCTCAAATGATTCTCTCAATTACACCTTCCCTCTGTCACACTTAAATAGGTGAATAAACAATAAATTCCACACACACACACACCCACAGACAATCTCGTGTAACTCGTGATGAATGGGAGTGTCAAATGTGTGCACTGTCGAGAGTGCAAAAGGAGGAAAGTTGAAACCGCTGAATTGCTTTTAATCCCACAAAACACACACACACACACACCTTCAACACCTCTTCTGTCCGACGCCCGCCCCGGATTGTGATTCAATTTCGCGACAAATTGCAGATATTCTGCAAGATATTCTCCTTGTGCACAGCTGCGAGGGGCACATCGAGCGGCTGCTGCAGAATTAGTGGAGACGCGATCGTCTGTATTGGCCTAGGAGAAGATAGAATTCACTGGTAATTGCCAATTATTTGGGGTATTGGCAGATTGAGAGATGGTGGAAAAGCATAATAGTACGGTATGTCATTGACTCACTCCCCCAAAGATGATGCAACACCACCTCGGGCTGAATGGAGTGCTTGGGCGTTCTTGGCACGCGCCAGGAGTGTCATCACCGTCCGCTTTGTCGGATTCATGCTGGAGCGCGGGACGCCCAGCAGCGGTCTTTTCCGCGCCAAATTCCCTGTAAAGAGAGCCAAAAAAGTGCCGTGAAACCACACAGAATGTGAAAGAGACGCTCAAAGTTCAATGAAATTTCCTTTCCATTGCTATAAATTTGATGGTCTTTAAATTGATCTCTTCGATGAAAAGAGACCAAAATCATGACCATCAATCGCTTTATAAATTCAATGTGTCGCGGAATGTAAGTTAAAAACATTTTCTCATATGAAATTGTAATCAAAGACAAGTTTTCTAAGCAATTGATCAATTCCCACTAAAATTAAGGAATGGTAAAGATGTATTAAGCCAATTTTTCAATTGCAAAAACGGATTATTTTGTGACTATGATTTTAATTTCAAACATGGATATGAAAGATATTTGCGGTAAGTTTCACATATTCCAATCGCTTTAAACACCCCATCAATGTTTTAACTTGATTTTAGAGGAAATAACCAAGGGTTGTGGTTAAACTTCACCATCTTTGAACGCTTAAGATTCCTCAGTTCCAGTGTGAATTGTTTCACAAATTTCACTACAAGCGATAATTCCTTAAACTTGCTCAAGCTTCTGTGACCCGAACATTTTAATGAACGCTATTTAAACCATGTATAATTTGACAAACACAGGTTTGCAATGTCAAAAACACGAAATGATCCTGCAGTTTCACTGTTCCTCGTATTGATTTTCAGCAATTTCACAATCACCACAAAGCTGTGGCCTTTCTGCTTTGAGAGTGTTTCTGACTTGGCTAAAGTGGAATTTGCCCCAATTATTTTCTTTCGATAGAATTCTATCAGATTTACTATTATTATTTTTCAATCTGCTCTGCAAATGCAATCAAAGTATAGGATTTTTAAAAATATTTGTTGATAGTATTTTTCATTGATTTCTTTTCCATTCATTGTGAATTCCTTGGAGTTTATGTGTGTATCTTCAGTTGCCAACTAACCGGTGTAAATATTTTCTTTTCATTTCTGAGAATGAGTGTCGATTTGCCACCCATCAATTCACCCATAGCGAAGCGCACGAGAGTTGCAATTAAAGCCACTCACCTATGTTAACAGTCTTCACGACTCTCAGCGCCGGATGTGTGTCCATGATTGTCTCGCCAGGCGCTATCGTGAGAATGGAGTTGCTCGGCGTCAGTGTGGAGACCGTGGCGGGAATGACGGCGCCACCGGCCGCCGCTGCGGCCGCCACGAGATCGTTCACCGCCGCCGGTGTGGGCTGGTGCGGCGTCAGGGCGTTCGCCACCTCGAGCTCCCCATTGGAGCCGCTAATCATAAGAATCGAACTGTTGGGCGGCGCCGGAATGGCAGCCGACGTCGTAGCCATGGACGTGACCACGCCATTGCCGCCGATGGCGCACTCACTCGTCCCATTCATCTCCACGCTGTCCGCGGTGCTCGCGAGCAGATCCGCCGTGCTGTTGCTGTGCGTCGAGGCATTGCTGATCTCCTGACTTTGATTCTGTGACGAGCTTAAGGCCTGCATTTCCCACATTTGCTCCTGTCGAATGTCATCGTGGTAATCCTGCAATGTGAGATTTACCAGTTGAAATACTCCAGATACTCTGAATTGTGTTCAAAATGACCTAAAAATGTATTTATATTCACAGATTTATTCAAGAGCCGCCCCAAGATCAATTTCTAACCCGATTTTCAGCATTCGACACTTGTGCATAAGCTGAGGAAATCACCGTAAATCTCCTTAAGATGACCGCAAGAGAGCTTTTTTCACCTTCTCTTCTCTCTCTCTCTCCTTCTGGAGAAAATCTACGCCAGTGACGTCCTTTTCAAGGGGACTGTGCATATATTTTTCCTTCCTCCACAATTCCGGAAGCATGCAAAATTACACACTTTTTTCGCCGAATTTAACAACAAAATGCAGTGAGAAAGCCAAAGTTAGTAACTCTGTGCACAATTCAACTTGGGGCTATTTGTTGCTCATGCTTCTTTCTGCCTTTTTGTCGGTCTGGACAACTCTCTGAATTATTCCAGCAAACACCCACTGAATTTACATAAAAGTGCAGTTTTGCCGTGCATGTGTATTTGGTTGTGTGGTTCAGCGTGTGTCCTCTGGACGAATTCATAATGCCACCTCCGTGACAGAGGACAACAAGTTCTCCAACACAGTGTACTCAAGTCCAGAGCAGCGCTAGGGAATATCGGCAAATATTTGGTGGGGAATTGTTGGGATTCATTGCAAGGAAGTGGATTATATAAATTTAAATTCGCCCACAACTTTAAAGATTGAGTGAATTGACACACCCCTAAATTAAACTTACGCTATCTCTCTTACCCCGCAAACAGGTCATGCAAATTTCCATCCCGGAAGGTACACTGACTGTGCTCACGATGCTCACATGCCAATCTACATACGTGCAATATACATAAAAGTCGCTCGCTCATCAGCAGCACATACAGCCACCCATTTAAATAGCATAGTTTTGCATATTTATGCTGAATTGACCTACTTATATTAAGTTCGTCACAAGCTCACATTTCCACGCGAGAGTGCCGCGCAAGATGGGAAAGCTCTCACGTGTCTGGTTGCTTCGCAATTACTTCCACCCTCTTACACACTGAAGATTAAAACATATGCTCATTTTGGACAATTTTCCAACTAAATGTGTAGCATTAAATGATCATCAACGCGCATCTTTGGTGCGATAAATTGGGCGCAAAGGCAGTTATGCTGATGTGGATTAAATTGAGCACATACACATCATGCTACAAAGTATTCTTGCCGCATATGCAACGAGACACATTATGCCAGATCAATATTGTAGTTGTGAAAAGTGTGAATTGTGCCGTGGAAAATGCATTCTGTCTCGTGGTTTTGTGTGTAGTTGGAGAAGAAATTTCCAGTGATTTCCATATCTTACGCCATTTAAAATCAACTCGTTATTCTTCTGCTAATCTTGCTGAAAAGTTCTTAATTGGACAATGAATAAAAGCAGTCCATTTTCCAGTCGCTATTTAAGTACATATTGAATAGAATAAAAGGAAATACGCTCTAAAAACTTCATCACAGAACAAATTGAAAGTATTTTTTTTTTCTTTTTCTTCAAAGTTTTCCACAAACATAAAGCTTCTTATTCTATTTTCTCTGACGAAATATGGATATGAGCAATTTAATTTCAAAAGTGCTCCAATTGAGCGATGAATTTTTTAACAATCGCACACATCCAACTACGTGCACACCTTTTGTATTTCCTCAGCAATTTCTAAAGCGCCTTGGAAAGATCACCTTTTGATAAACAAGCTGAATACCAAGTGACGCACTCAATCTTTTACAATATTGGCGAAGCGCCTCTAATTTGTGGTTGTATCTTTGCGCAGAATGAGTGGATGTTACATTGAAATTTAATGATAATTTTTATCATCCATGGTGTCTTCATTCTTCATGATTGTTGTTTGCATAATTTAAATCAGTCAAATGCCCACCCATTTTCTCCTCTTTTGTTGTGGGCGCCGCTCTTGCGCCGGAAATTTTCACTCAAACGATACATACTTCATGCCAAACCCACCCCTCCGGAGGCCCCTCCGAGGGCGGCAGGGTTTGCCCGGGCGCAGTGAGGAAGTGTGGGGGATATAGACAATTTACAGAAGAGTCTGAGCCTCATTTCCGCGCCGCTTTTTTCACTCTCCTCCACCGCGTGACTCTAAAGAGTCGCGCACATCACGGGACGAGAGTGAAGGGATTGTTGTGTTCTTGAGTAATTCTTAATGACAGTTAAAATTTCCAGGAAACATGCTTTCGACGGTGTTACGCACAAATGAAAACATTACGCCTTCTCGCGTCTGAGGCAAGTGAATATGTTGTTTGGCTGAGAATAAATGTATTCCGCAGAGCGTCTCTATTTATCTTCCTGCGGGCATCTTCGTCACGTGATGAAATTCTATAAAATGGTAGATCCAGGACCGGTTGCAGTGGTTAGTGATTTATTTGGCTGGTATATCAGTGTATTTTTCTTGAGGGCAGGAAATTGAAAAAATAAAGGGATCATTCTCACACGCACGGCAAATCACCAATAGAGGAGCACGTATTTGAGCTCTTCATCGGAACGGAATCAGCCCAGCATAAATAATTGTAAGGGGAAGATAATATGCCTTAAACTTGTACACAACTTTCACACACTTGCAGCATTTGAAATCTTAAGATAGTTTGCTCACTTATTAGCCAGAAAGTAAAAAAAAATACATTTTCCAATTTCAAAATAGTATTTTTAAGGTTATTTCCGATCTTAGCAGAATTTGCAGTGTTTCTTGGCATCAAAGATTGAGAAAAGCACTGTTTATTGCATGAAAAAGCTAAATTCTGTACACCATTTCTAACGGTATTATCTACCCCTTGAATAAGTGTGCTGGTGTGTGCGTTCCAACAAGTCCAGGGTTGTGCGAATGAAATGGAAATCCCACCTAAATCACCGACTCTCAATACTTCATCGTGGAAAACGATTCGCCGTATGTTGGCAAAGTTGCGGTATCGAAGAACAAATGACCATCTCCTGGGTAATACTTATTGGCAACCATTAATTTCATTTTCTATTCCAATCTTTTACATTTCCCCCCTCATCACACATAATCCCAAAATAAGATACTCTCGCCCACCCATTCACTTCTGTACGCTCGCAAGCCCAACATGATAATGATGCCATGAGGTGAGGTATTGTGGCAGGAGAGCCATTCGGCATCGGAGAGCGCAATAGATTTATGTCAGAATGGAATTGTGTGCCATTTCCATACATAAATTCGATTCAGAGGGTGTACGAATCAGTCGTGCACGAGATGGTGCCCGCAAACCTGGAGAAATGAATGGTAATACTGAATTCGTCAGTTTAAACCACTTAACTTTGTAATAGTATTACATCGAAAATGGATTAGCTAATGTCGGGGCGAAATTTTACCCGTAGTATTTCATTATGTGAGCGCACTGGGGGGGTTTCGTGGGGGTGGGAGAAAGGCACACCATCAATATTATTGCAGCATTTGAGCATATATAACTCTGTGTCTGTGCCATTTAATTCGAGTACTAGATAAATATTCTTCTCGGCTTGGGAAGCCGTAATGTGTTTAATCAATTTCACTTTATCTGATAAATTCTTCAAAGTACCATTACTGAATGGCTGGTATGGCATTTTCCTCCTTCATTTAACACTTGAGCCCCTCTTCACTTGGGAATATGCCCACTTTTCCACACGACAGACAGAGATTTCATAAGGATTTCCCATGGCTCGAGAGCGTTGTCAGTTATTTTCCATCATGAGTCAGACAATTAAAGCAATTTAATTAAATTATTCCACACAATCGCATGTCCCAACAATTAAAATCATAACTTTTAATTGATTGAAATTGCCACTTTTTGAATTCAATCAAAACACCCCTGTTGTGATATTTATGATTCTCCATAATATTAAATATATTGCCCTGCATTACAATTCACATGAATAGAGCATGCGAATGAAAAATTACAAGCTGTCGCTGAATATCATGAAAATCAATCGGAAATATATGCACATAAATATCATGCACTCTTGTATATAAACATCACATAGCTGTATGTTCAGTACTTTTTTCTATTCCTCTCGTAGAAAAGTGTGATAGAAATCCTTTCACAGCCGTACAACAGGATGTGAAGACACTCTCAACTGTGTCACTCCTCTCAACGGTAAGGTTGCGGAGGAAGAAGTGGAGAAAAAGGGAGGAAGGAAAGAGGGAAAAGATGACACTTATTGCACTCTTGAAACTTACACTTTGGAGGGATAAATTGAGACATGCTTTCTTGCACGTCAAGCAGAGGAATAGCGCGTGGTTCAGAAAATCTCAAGAGAATGTCCAGAAGCGCACAGGAGATTGAATTGTTTTAGTCACTCCTGAGGACAATGCCTCGGCATGCAACTTGTGCCATTTCCTATGAATATACACAGAAGATGCTTGTTCATGACTGTTTTCCAAACTCCCCTTTCTGGGTGAGAAAGTCAAGCCCTCCATGGAGAATGGATGAGAAAAGTATGAGGAAAATGCTCAATGAGCATTCACATGGCGTAAATTAAGACTTTCATTGGACAAAGTTTATGTAATCACGAAACTGCATGACCAGCTCTCACAATTCGCCCGCACAGAGCTCCTCGAGTGTGCATTCACTTAAACTTGTAGCAGTTGTTTATGACATAAAAGCGCACTTCGCTCTGCCGTGCACCCATGATTGTATTGTATAGTCATGGGAAATTTAAGGTATGCTATGCATGCGTGATATTACCACCCTCTTGCATGCACACCGCCAAGTGTGCAAGTGAACATATGTAGTGCAGGTGAAGAGGGAGAGATCCTCCATGGCAAGTTTCGCTCTTATCTATAACAACTGATAAATTATTAATTTACTCATGCACTACAAAAGCACTTAATATTAATTTCCCATCCCCAACAATAGTGTAGAATGAACTTTCTTGACATGTCACCGAATATTTCCCACTATATCATCTTCAAAGAGAGCGCACAAGAGCCTCTTCCTCATGGGAATCGTGATGCGGGTGCTGAAATTTTACTTTTACACAATATATATAGAGAGAAAATATGATGAAAGTTCATGACTTGAGAGAGTGCAATTAATGGCAGATTGTAATTTATCTTTTCTACCCCCAATTTTCCACCCAATTCGTCTTTATATCCAAGGAGGCCAAAAATGGAGAATATTCCCTGAAATTAATACAGAACGACAGACAATGGGTGAGAAAAATGAGAGTGAATAGAATACTAAATAAGAATTAGACTTTATCTCACATAAATGATAAATTGACGCCAAGGATAGCCACCTTATATTCCATTACTCTCGCATAATACAACAATAGGCGAATTGTTTTTACTCTTGTGACTCCTCGCGTCAGCAATATTTCACATCCAAACACACCACAATCAACAGGACTCGGAAAACTCATTATTCTCCCCATTTTTGATGTATGAATGCCATGGAAAAATATAATTCAATCCTATCAAAGCGACTCATTATTCTGTGATTCGTGTATGTACTTTCAAGCCTTTCAAATATCAGACATACAAATCCGTAAATTTCCATCACACGGAAAATGCTGCGAATCTCTTGCCTTCCAGCTACTGCACATTAGATAACATAGAGATTCTGTTCTATACATGATTGTGAAACTGGAGTTCAAAGTTGTTTAGATAGAATTTTCCAATGGCTCGTAATGTCTGCACAATGTGAAACTGTAGGAGTTGTATAGCGAAAAGGATACATTCTATCGTGTACCGAAATGTTCTATTGACCTGCATATTTGCATCCTTTTCACAATTCCCCCGTCTCCCTTTGGGCAAATGATACATTTGCCAAATTACATCCAACCGACTTTTGAGCACAATATCTGCGTTACATAGTGTATATGAGACAATGATTTGAAAACAGGTAAATATTTGCCACAACATCGCACAATACATACAATCTCGATTGACTACATCCGTGAGATATGGACATTTACGCTCAATTCACTTCAAACTCACTCACAATGGTTAACTGGCCGATTATTGACATGTGCATATCATAAATTTAATCCACAATTTACCCTCTATACCCTCGGTATATTATGCCCGGAATTATGTATTTGACACTATAATTGTGATCTAACATATTTAGAGCACAAGGAAATTGATATCAAATTTCCTCCCCCACATAAATGTCATTAAATTTAACGTCAAAGCATCAAATCACAATAAATGTTGGCATTATTTACACCCCAGCCGAATAATTAAATTAACTTAATTGATTAATAACCATAGTGCGCATTTTTACGATTATATATCGAGCTTTTATAGGTTCAGCCAAAATAGCGCGCACACCGTGAAGAATGTGGAGAGAGGAATAAAATGTTGAAAATTTCACTTTATTGAATTGGAGACGAGTTTTCCCGTGATGCAAAGGCGATGCTTTGCCCCATGGGAGTCGCAACAGGACAATGGGAGAGTGGGAAGACGGAGTGCAGAGGAAATTTTATGAGTGAGTGTATAAAAGCTCCATCCATTGACAATTGTGTTATTGCAAGTGCTGTGATAAAACATTCACGCGGAAGAGTGGAGAGGAAATTTTAGGCCAGCGCGCGAGGTTGAAACCTGATGGGGAAAAGGACAACGGAAACGAGTGGAAAATCGAACCCCTGGGAGATGCCTCAACAAGTCAATTAATTTGTGAGGTGTGCGAGCAAGGAAATATGCTAAATGTCTGCCATTTGATCTAGAGAAGATCGCTGTGGACATTTTGATAGCCATCCCAAATGGCAAATGAAACACACTCTCGGGGATTTTTGCTGTTGATGCCAATGAGTTACACACGCCGTGGACTAGATAGATAAAATTTTATGTGCATTATTTAGTGGGGTGTAAGAGAAGAAGACAGACTATTTTCTATACTATCCACAGCAGACTCTTTTGCCCACACATTACCATGACTCTACCCGATATCCCAGCCAATTCACCGTCTCAGCATCGCACGGGAATGGCAAGTGAATATTCAATACACATTGATTGTATTACAAGCATGTCGTTTGGGGTGAACGGAGGAGAAAGAAAAAGTGTCTTATCACATGAGATCCTCCATGGCAATGAAGAATCATCCCTGGGAGTCACCTGGTGTATTTTCAACTCTTATCTACAATGGCAGTGATCTGTGGAGTGCGAAGGGGTGGGAAAATGACCGTGGCTCTCGAGAGCAAATGGGTGTGAGCGGAAGGTGATGGAGTCATTTCAAACGAGGTTAAGTCTGGGTGGATGTCGATAACCCGCTTTTATTGAAATGGGATTCGTAATCGAGTCTCAGGATTTTACTCTCTTTTCACTCATTCCCAAAGCACATTCATATGCACATATGTACATATATTCCACCCATACATATGCATCACCTTAAACTCTCTCTCACTCCCTCGCATGTACTCCAGGACATTGAATATTTTATGTATTGTGTTTGGCATATTTTATGTACTTTGCTACATAGGGAGACCATATATCAACAATACCACCGTATTTCGGTATAAGAAAATGGCAAAGAGGTGGGATCCAATTTACAACTAAGGATGATTATAGTCAACCAAAATGCCTCGAATATATCTGTATACAGCTCCAGAGAACAAACTCCGAGAGTCAACAAACAGAATCACTCACACCCATTTCGGCAGAAAATAAGGGCATATTGCCGGGCTTATGTAGAGGAATGTGTAAATCGTTTAGAATTGCCAAAGATGCCCCACTCTGCCATCCCCCTCAAGGGTTTGGGGGTGGTGTGCGTCTCCTTTAAAAATATATGACGTCGAGACGGTAATGATTACCTGAATTAACTTTCACGTATTTTAAGTAGCTTTAATATCAACCCTCCCCCAATGTTCACCACTCTCACCCGTTCGTGGGCACTCTTTCAGAGGATTTGCCATCCTGACGGTAGGCTTGAGTTTTGCGAAGCATCAAAATTTAAATCATCCACCGCACACTGCCAAACCCCCTTAGAAAAATAATATTGTCAGAGAGTCGACTTTTTAATAAAACAACAATGACATATTCTAATCCTATTCGCGTCTTGCGACGGTGGGAGGAAAAAAAACTGTATTTCCTCCACGCGCGAAAGCATTCCTGGAGAATGGAAGTCTCGTTGAGTTCGCATTCTAAGAAATGTTGAGTCAAATTAAAAATTACACATGTCTTATTGTCCAATGTGTTATGCAATGAAAGCCCGACAAATGGATTGTTAAATAAAATAATGCTGTATTCTCTGCATGTTTCTCTCTTTCGTCACGCATTCGGAGATGTTTCGTGTGATAGCTATTTTCCAAAGGAAATACAATGAGCTTTTAATGGTTTGAAAGTAACAGAGTGACACTTTTTTTTTCTCCCGCCGAACACATTCTGACAAGGGTTGAAGCTTTTGTCTCATCCAACACATAGTCTCTGTTGTTACGTGTAAAACCATATTTGTTTGACTCTCGCATGACATCTTAGAAAAATCCATTAACTCTTGGGAGATGAACACATAAACTCCGTGCCGAAGAAAAAAAGAGGGTGATAAATAAATTGGAAATCTATCCAGCAGTTCGCAATCTGCTTTCCTATAGTTGATCTTATAATTAAATTTCTACGAAATTATGTGTGTTTGGGTGGATTTTGTGCGAAGGTTGTAAGAAAATTTAACGCTCGTTGTGCAAAACTGAGAATATCACTGGAGTGATTATTTCATTATTCAGAATTTGCGGGGGATTAATTTCATACAACTAACTTTCGAGAGGGAGAGTTTGTGTATCAGTGGGTGACATTTGCGGACTTTCGCCATTCCCCAAAGTATTTATTGAGGTCACCCCAGTTTATGTAACTATGTTATTAAGTTTTAATACCATCAAAAATTATGGGCATGAGTGATACAGTGTCGGGTGTGTAAAATGGATTTTAATGGCCAAATCCATCATATTTTTATCACCGAAACCACTGCATCATTCATGTCCGAAATTCCTACACACTGTGTGACAAAACATGGACACATTGTTGCACTAGATAGGGAGAAATGATGGACATTTGGTGAATCCGCAAATGTCATTGAGTCAGAGATAGATTCATAAAGAAAATAATGGCATAGCAATTTCACGTGATTGTTATAATTTGCACCTTTTCCATCACACACCTCACGAGTCTCCTTCCACATTGCCACACACACATAGTATTCCTTATTGCAGGGGAGATTTGAGGAAATGATGTGGTGTGGTGATAGTGATAAAGAGAATCGTGTTATTATAGTAATAAAATATGGCTATAGTGAGTATATAAATGTTACTTACCGGAACAAGAAATCTCCTCACTTCGGCCAATGCGTAGGCAATTCGAGCGTGAGCTTCAGCAGGTGCGGCAAATGTTGATATTTCAACGTGCAAATCTTCAGATAAATGCGAATACCTCGGATCTCCACTCAATCGCAATTCCTCCTCCTGTTGGGGAATGAGATTAAGATACACTCCTGAGAATATTACACACACACGTACACATTATGTTTCACACTTTGCTAGGATATTTATAGTAAAAACACTGCGATATTTTAATTTAATTATACCAAAATCACTTAAGTTTAATTAGAAAGTTACTCTCTAATAGCGTCTTATCGTGCTCACGTGCTTTTGCAAAACTTTCCCATCGATTTATAACCAATTCCATTTCACTCAGTATTCAGCAGTGTTAGGCAAAGGGGTCCCTTTAATAAATTTTGCAGCCCCCCTCCCCCTCCCGTTCATGCAATACGTTATGTACGCTACAAGAAGTAAGCCTCTCTCACCTTCTTACGATCCTTCATTGATCCACGGCCGAGAACTGCCATTTTGCACATTGTATCTTCCTGCAGGCGTTTCATGGAGTTCCCCTTGGGTCCAAGTAATTTTCCCACGAAATTGAACTGTTCACACATGGTGTGCGAGTCCATCATGATGAGTGAGAGAAGAGTGCAATAAAAGCAAATACGATTATTGAGGTCTGCTGGAAAAGCTCATGAATTGATGAAAAATTTTCATTGTCTTATTGAGGAATCTCAAATGCTATGGTCGAATGTATTGGACAGTCATTTCGGCATTAGCTGAAAATTGTTCCAATCCCTCTGCCATACTCAGATACACATTATGTGAAGGGTGAGCAGCGCTCGTCCCCAAAATGCCCAGACTGGATGTTCTCCAAGGACGGCAACAGTGAAACTTCAAAACTCTCGATGCCTCTTTTTAAGCTTGAGATGGGGATGAAACCATTATAGAGGGTCGTTTTCATAATGATGGCATTTCAAATTTATTGAGTATAAATCAGTAATGACGCCCCAGCGTCTTCCAACATAGAAATTGATAAGCAAGGCAAGGAAGGAGGCGGACAGAAAAGGGATGGCACGTGCATAAAATAATAAGAAGACAAGAATTACAAGTATATCTCAACGCGATTATAACATCGCCACTCCAACATGAGAATTCACTTTGGGGCGCGCTAAAGAGAGCAAAAAAGGGCGAACAGCAATATTTCTCACATCATAATCACATAATTCAATTAATTTGTTCTGAATTTATAATTTTCTCTCTCATCATTTTAAAATATTCCATCATACACGGAATTTTTTCACAAAAATCCACTGACGCCCTTTTGGAGGAAATCAATATCGACGATGTAATTTGGTGCTATTAGGGGTAAATGGGGCAGCTTCAGATTGGGGCAGCTTCAGATTTCTTAATTTTCTCAGAGGTTTTTGCATGAATAAATTCCTGGTCTTCACACAATGTTTGTAGTCCTTAAGGACTACAATTGACGAAAATTTGCACAGGATTGCCTTGACTGTTTAGATAAAATAAGTGAAAATTGAAAATCACTCACAAACTAGAATTTTGCTGCCGAATTGATTGCGTGTTTTCTCCATTAAAAAAGCCACAATTCGCGAGAAACTCTTACACGGGATATTGAGAATTTAGTAGAGATCATAAATATGCCCGAACTTTTCCTCCTTCGCACGGCCTTTTCAGTGGGTGGTGGAAAATGCACAAACACTGCACACGGGGCAGCTTCGGATCGCCACGGACTGACAACAGCGCGCTCTGACAGTCTGACGCAACATCACGGTCGAAATTTTCTTGTGGCAAATATTGAAGATTTTTCACAAAGTGCCGTTCTGTGCTGCATTGCTTCATCACGTTAAACGACTTCTTAGTGGAAAAGTGAGAAAATACACGCGAAAAACACTGATTTGCACTGATTTGATTTGTGGTGGCACTGAAGTTGCCACCACTCACGCATGGTGGCGTTGCGATACAGGAAAAATGACGGGCAACTTGCTTTTCGCTCAGACATTTTGACAGTGCGTGCAAGGGTCCAGAAAAGTCGCGAAAATATTACTTTAAAGGCGATTTTTAGGGAATTAAACAGTTTCAGTGTGTAGAATAGAAACCAAAGTGATCATTTGTCCGCGATTCTACAATTCCACAATGGAATTTATGGTAAATATCAGTGAAAATCTGAAGCTGCCCCAGAGCAATCCGAAACATCCCCGTGCGGGGCAGTTTCAGATAAATTACAATGTTATTTTCATTCCTCTTTTAGAGGAAAAAGGATCAGTTTTAATGCCCAATGAAAGGCATTTTCTGAAGCTCAACAGACAAGAGCTTATTTGAGCGTTGTGATTATTTCAATATATTCAGCCGATTTTTCAAGAAAAAATCCTAAAGTTGGAACAGCATTTTGAATCTGAAGCTGCCCCACTTACCCCTAAATTGCTTTCCAATCTTTCTCTCTGTCTCTTTTCTTCATAACATGAATAATTCAATTTCAACCAATATCATAATACAATTATAAGAGGAAAATCTGACGGCAAAGGGACAAATTCGGGGATTTTTCATATTACCTTTGGATGATCCCTAACTGGAACCGCCACTCTGACAGCCACTTTTATTGGTTTATCTCTGGTAATGTCCAAAAGCCGGCTCTTCTCACTCGATGATCCTGGGCAAAGATACCAGAAGGGCAAATTAGAGGAAACAGTCTCTCACCCGATATTAATCCCCAATTAATTATCTTTTAATCTAAAAACTTACTCCTCTCTAATAGCAGCCTCACACCCCAATAGCGCGTTATTTAATTACATAATGCCACAAGTTTGCTCAAGTTAAATCTTCAGCACACTCATCGAGAGCTCATATAGAGGAAATCCCCATAATATCTCATACATGTTATTAACTGCTTTTTGGCAAAAAGGCTGCACAGAATGGAGAATAATACGATAAAAGCAACAAGTTTCTCCATTTTCCACGGATAAGAAGAAGAAGCCTTTTTCTAGACCAAAGCGAGAGTCTTTCCTATTTATATATGTTGGCACATAAATAAATTTTATTAAATTACGACGTTCATCGCTAAAAGGAATGTAATGTATATTCCATATATTGAAATTTTATTTCCCAGCCAACACAGAATTTCATGTAATATTACACGCATTAGGGCGTATGCGTAATAAACATAAACCCATCATAAATCCGAAGGATCAACCTCCTAATCTAATTCCATTGAACTTCATATAAGGAGATAAAACAATCTCTTCATATATCGTTTTCTTTCTATTGTCTTAAATACTTTCCTAAAGGCTAAACGTTGGGCTCTGAAGATTACAATTAATCTAAACTTTTTCCTCAGAATTTTGAGATTATGTTTATCGTACATTTGGTAAACACAAAACCTGACTATTGTATTCACCACGGGGAGGTTAAATTTCAGCATGAAATTTGGATAAACACGGTGAAAATATCTCAAGTTTCCCTTAATTGTTCCCGAAATATGTTGAGAAAAGTTTACTGCCGACAAGAGTGGATGCAAAAGTTTTCTGCATGAAAAAGTTTTCTACAAAATATTTTTAAAAAGAATAAACCATGTTTAAAAATTTCGTCTTTTTATGCTAAAATGGAAATTCTTTAAGCATCAACTCTCTTAACACAATTTATGCATTAACACTCAAAAAATCCCCCCCCAATAAACTTTTCCCAACTCTTCACCAAGTCAAGTGAGATTATGCATATTGGCAATACGTACGAAATAGTGGTTGTATGGCTTTAAACATTTATTCCTGTCGAGAGGAGTGAAGTAAAAGGCAATGAACTCTTCATGCATACAAAGTATTACATTTTCAACATAACTTTGCAATTCCTCTCTTAGACAATTTAGTTTTGGCAAACTCAGACCGAGACTTTGCAACTCTGTGCAATTTAACCACTTGCTTTTAAAAGCTTTATCAAATGGAGACAATTCGTGTTCCCATTTAAAACATTTACATTGTAAATGAAAACAGTGTACTATTTGCATGTGACCATATGACTCTCGGAAAGGTGAATTCTAATTCATTGAGTCCCAATTTGGTGTTATAACAAAGCATATGTCATATTGATGTTATAGTTTAAATACACATTTCCTCAGATTTTATCATGCTAAAGTAATCACTTAGCTTGATAAATGTTTATATGCATTTTCTGACATATTATCCTGAATATTTGCACTTCTGCATTCATTATATTTCCCCCTTTCGCAGGATTTCTGCATAAATCACAAATGTTTATTAAAACTTCCATCCAAAAGGAGAGAACAGATAGAAAACACTATGATATTTCATCTCATTTCGCAAATTATAAACTCATTTGTTTCACCAAGGATACGTGATATTTCGAAACACACATAAAAAATGAGGTGTATTTTTTATGGGGATGAAAATAATGACATAACCTGAAAAAGCATTGCAGCTGAAGCATACCGAAAAGTTTGTTTTTTTTTATATACACACTCTGTGGCACAATAAATGTGCCATGTGGGACCAATAGAAGAAGACACTCTCTTGAGGAATTAATTCAATATTTTTAATTCCATTAGGTATGTGCACATAAATTTTCATTTAAGCCAGTCAAACCGCAGCACAAAAAAAGTTCCCAAACATAAGTGAGGGGAAATAAGGAGTGAAATTCTAACACAAATAAATATACACAAACAACAGTGAATATATTTCCTTTCCATCCCTGGCACATTTGCCATTCTCTCTCTCTCGCCTTTGCGCTATGCCATTGCCGCCCTCGTGCTCATGCAAGAATTTTACAAATTAGGTCACGTAAATAATCACATAATATGAATCATTATGCTGTATTCAGTTCCCATTGTTCTATGAGAATAACAATTAAATTTTACCATAAACAGGGATAACTCACATCCCTCAAAGACATCGCGGGGATTTTTCCAGCTATTCTGGAAGCAGTTGAGACAGATTGAGAAGACAAAAGTGTGGAGATTTCGACAAATCTGGCGTTATTTGTAAATAATACACACTCATCGATCCACTTCTCAAAACAATTTGAACAAAAAAAACACTCTTTATAACAATTTAAATAAACTGTGGTGTGAGCAAATGGCAATTGGTATAGTCATGAGATACTTTTTTATGTGCGCAATAGAATAGAAGAGCGTTGTAAACTCCAAAATGTTTATATCTCAGCCGAAAGCTAATAACATCGAATTAATTCCACAACAAATGATATATTTTGAGGTTTTTGCATGAATAAATTCTGGTCTTCACACAATGTTTTAGTCCTTAAGGACCTACAATTGACGAAAATTTGCACAGGATTGCCTTTGCTGTTTAGATAAAATAAGTGAAAATTGAAAATCACTCACAAACTAGAATTTTGCTGCCGAATTGATTGCGTGTTTTCTCCATTAAAAAAGCCACAATTCGCGTGAAACACAATCAAAGGTTATTGAGAGTTAAGTAGAGATTCTAAATATGCCCGAACTTTTCCTCCTTCGCACGGCCTTTTCAGTGGGTGGTGGAAAATGCACAAACACTGCACACGGGGCAGTTTCGGATCGCCACGGACTGACAACAGCGCGCTCTGACAGTCTGACGCAACATCACGGTCGAAATTTTCTTGTGGCAAATATTGAAGATTTTTCACAAAGTGCCGTTCTGTGCTGCATTGCTTCATCACGTTAAACGACTTCTTAGTTGAAAAGTGAGAAAATACACGCGAAAATCACTGATTAGAGCAGAAATTTCGAGAAGCACATTTTGGCGGCACTGAAGTTGCCACCACTCACGCATGGTGGCGTTGCGATACAGGAAAAATGACGGGCAACTTGCTTTTCGCTCAGAAATTTTGACAGTCCGTGCAAGGGTCCAGAAAAGTCGCGAAAATATTACTTTAAAGGCGATTTTTAGGGAATTAAACAGTTTCAGTGTGTAGATTAGAAACCAAAGTGATCATTTGCCCGCGATTCGACAATTCCACAATGGAATTTAAGGTAAATATAAGTGAAAATCTGAAGCTGCCCCAGAGCAATCCGAAACATCCCCGTGCGGGGCAGTTTCAGATAAATTACAATATTATTTTCATTCTCTTTTAGAGGAAAAAGGATCAGTTTTAATGCCCAATGAAAGGCATTTTCTGAAGCTCAATAGACGAGAGTTTATTTGAGCGTTGTGATCATTTCAATATATTCAGCCGATTTTTCAAGAAAAAATCCTAAAGTTGGAACAGCATTTTGAATCTGAAGCTGCCCCACTTACCCCTATCTCAGCCGAAAGCTAATAACATCGAATTAATTCCACAACAAATGATATATTTTGCTGTTATTTTATAGTACAAAGATGTGAAATTGAGGAAATGGATGGAATTAAAAAAGAAACCAACAGATATGTGAAGAATTTTAAGTAAATTTGCCCTATATATATTGTAAATATTGCGCACTCGTGCGCTATAGTAAAACGTGAATTTACCTAATATACTGTTTCATCTATCCCTTTTGCGTAAAATATGCAAAGAATTTGGATTTTTCCCCCTCGAACATATTCCTCGGTTTCAACATGAGAACCTCCCTCTGTAATCTATGTGATACCACAAGAGAATTTTCCACGGAATCGTCTTAAATTGCTCATAGTTTACTGATGGTTTAAAGTAAGAATCTCATCAATGTTTAGAAGGGATTTATTGTTGTGGCATGCTGAAGAGGAGCACACAATCTTCCATATATACTGACCTTTTCCCGACGAAGAGAATACACTCGAATCTGCAGAAGAAAAGAAAAGAAAGTCCATTCATTAGATTATTGGTGTGGAAAATTCAACAAATCTCTCCACAACTAATGCCTTTGGGGTTAACATCAAGTTGTGCTCTTACTTATTTCGCAAACACACGAAACTTTGATTGAGATTCACCCCTTTAATTTATACTCTATGTAACATAACACGAGAAGGACAAACATTTAAATGGCCAGACTCTTGATTACTTCATATGGGGTCAGGTGGAAAATAAATTAATCAGTATTGGCAATCTTCCCAGAGAGAGAGAGAGAGAGAGAGAGATTTCAAACATTACTCCAGATGCGATCTGTACCTTTATCCCTTTAGTCAAATCTCAAATAATTACACTTTGATATTCTGCTACATTAGAGATTCACAGGCAAAATTATTCATGATCCATATACGCTTTCAAACATTCCCTTAGTGCGTGCACTGTCGATGCCTAATTGATTAATGCGTCGCACTTGGAGTTGCGAGAGTGGGAACGAAAGGAAGAAAAACTACCGCCAGAAACCAGTGACAAGTGATTGCAATAAAACATGAAGTTGTCCTTCATGTTCGTCAACATGTAGCATCCACTATAATTAGCCTACATATCATCACAAAACATGCATATACACTTCACTAGATTTCTTTTCCACTCTGGCTGTGGGTTGAATTTTTCAGCTCCAATTTGGTACAGTCATTTTCTCAAATTATACATATTTTCTCATTCTACACCCAGAGTCAAATGCAGATACATAACAATGTGAATAAATTGGAAATAGAGGCATGTTGCGAAAAATGGGGCTGGATCCAATTATGTATGTATACATTATAATTTTGATTTATGAACCTACAGATGATATAAGTATACATTAGAATATTCCACCACCCACTATAGATATACAGTAGCGAAAATTATATTAGGACATCTAAGAAATTCAGGCCAATTTTCCTTCATACACGACTAATATACAATTTTCTACCAGGGACTAGGCAATCTAATAGAATATACTAGAAAATAGGCAGTGTCTTAAATTAATGTTCCCTACTGTATGGAGAGGGGTGTGTGGAAAATGAAAAGGTCTGCAAAATGCTACATATCTGTAGGAGAAAAGAAACCATCGCCGATGAAGGAATAAAACTCAACAATTCGCAAACGAATATATACAAATATCACAAATTCACTCCACTCGCAGATGCCAGAGATTGTAATAACTTTTCCCCTTTAGAAATGCTATTCACAGTGTGCCAGTGGTGTAGTTGTAAACTTCATGCAACACTTTGAGTCATTTTGCCAAGTTTCTCCTACATCTTTGGCCTCACATCACAATCGCACACCGGCTGTGACTTAACAAAAGACGCTATAATGTTGAAAATGTACTTAATTGAAAAGACAATGAGTGTCTTGCCATTTTAGTTTCACGTTCACTTGAGACTGAATTGAGTAAATTGCACCGTGTTCAACGTCTAATTCGGAAAAACGCGCACGTTCTGTACTGAATGAGAGTCATCATATCAATTACATCAATTGCCAATTACAAGTGGGGATAGCAAGGACCCTTATCTTGCTCTGCACCTGAGAGGATTTCACACAGAAAGAGTTCCCAGAAATGGTCACAGACTAATATTTTCCACACGTACACATATTTATGTTAATTTATACTATCGCATTACTTAGTTTTTGGCCAGAGACTTCAATACATCCATCCAAACCGTGCTTTGGCCGCACCAATAATTATGGCAGCAGTTGAAATTTGCACGCTGTTAATATTTATAATTGAATAATGTCAGGGGTTGGATGTGTTTTTGCACTAAATGTCGGTTTGCAGCATTTCATCTGCACACATATTGCACATATGTCACGCGAATTTAATTACAATATCGTATGCAAAAATCAATTATTATGTTCTTGCCCCTCACACTAATAAATGTCGACAATTCACAAGAGTGATGGGAGAAAAAAAAACGCTGAATTTTGCTCAACTTCGGTAGCTCTCATTTTCTCATGATTGGAAACCTCATTAGCACCCCATTACAGCATTATTACCGCGATGAAATTGAGCGTAAAGGTTGCTCCCTTTGCTAGAATACCGAATCCAGAGCTAATACAGTCTTCTACAGTCAACTATAGAATCGCCCTCCTAAAAGCTACATGAATCTTCCATTGGGCTGCAAAAAAGCTCTGCCACCCACTTCAGCATTCTGGAATTCGCCAGCTCACCAGATGATTTACATCTCTTCCCAACATTATTCGGTGAATTTTCCATTAAATTTCAATGCAAAAGAGACCCACTCCGGGCGGAAAAGACAAACTTCTTGACCTAAAAGTTCAGTCAAGTCAAACTCCCAGATGCAATTAATGCTGGATGATGGAGAGTATACAATACTGCCGAGATTATAATCTTCAAATTACTTATTTTCCTATTATTATTTAACTGGGAACTTGTTAAAAACTCTTATACAATATCAAAGTTATCCAAATGATAAATTTTTAATTAACCACTTGCAAGATCCCGGCGAACTTTTCACCAGTCTCTTTTGCCCAGCTTCGAAGTTTGACTCTCACTTGAGCGGCAACAATTTCTCGCGTTTGTAAGTGGATATATGATATAAAAAATGGACAGCGAAATTGATATGGTAGAAAAATTATTTGAGAAACTATGAGAATTTCTCAGGAGATTCCACGTCATGACAGTCTTCTCATATGGAGTTATTGCTGCAGTTATGCATTCAGGACAGCACAAAGTGCTTTATCTCCTTTCCTGCGGGGAGCAAATATTGAAAGTTGTTTCATTACATTTCAAATTGACTGGAGAAAGAGCACTGTAATGCATCATGACATGAAGTATATTTCCTCCTCTCTGGCACGTAAGTGAGTGAGGAAAATATGCAAGGTTAACTTCGCCAGGAAATACACAATGAATATTTTATTGCAATACATTTATAGTTCCTTCTGTGCAGCATCCGAGGAAAATGAGTAGCTGATGGGAAGATAGACTATCACCCTAAAATTTCATACATAGCAATACATATTTAAACTAGTAATGATACTCATTTTGCCAAGATTAATCTCAGCTCATCCTGAGAGAGTTATGGCACAAATTGCACATAATTTATTTCTTGTCCTATTTGTACAAACATAACTCAAAATTCTCCAGCATATGGCGTAGAAAAAAGCGCATAATGATGATATTTTTCTACTATATACAGAGAAATGGTGGCAGTTCATAGAATAGAATAGAATAACTCATCATAATTTGCGTTGATGTCTCCCTTTCACTCTCTTGTAAGAAAATGTATAGCAAACATCCTTTTGCCATGTACAAAAACTTGTGTAATAATACCCTTAATGTTTGGTTGCGCCACAAAAAGCGCCAACCTTCAATTCGTCATTGTTTTATTGTGAACCGCTTTCCACAATCTCTAAATGGAACTCGCACTTGTGCCAGAAGTGAATTTTCAACCCTCTAATTGTGTTTTGCCCAACTCTCAATGAACAAAATTCGTAATCATAGTGTGAACTCTTCATTTAAAGATGGGCGAATTTCACTCATTTTGAGCTAATCACCATGACAAAGTGCTTTCGGTCAATGAAGACATGCGACCGTGAGGTAGACGAGGAAACATTATTTGAAATATTCGTCAAGTACAGCACGCCCCTCTTTATCTTTGCCAATCCTTTCCATGCTCCATTTGGTCTCGGCTCCCCTTTAATTTAGAGTGCGAGGCGCACACTTTCTCCGGGTTGAAACACTATACAGCCACCCATATCGAATCGATTTTCACTCCCTCACGCCCAAATTCTGCCCCGCATTTCTTTTGACATCGCCCAATTTTCATGCTTTATCCTGAAATTCACCGAGTCCTTGCTGTGAATGCATTAAAATTAGAGGAAAACATTGACTGAGAGGCTCTCAAAACTGTCCATTTATTCATGTATCTTAAGGCTCTCTGCTGTACATCTTTCTATCAGTGTTTCATTTTCACCCACACAAGTGCCTTAATGAAAATTTGTGAGAAAAGGAAGGGCGAGAGGATGTTACTCTGCAAATTAAGGACTTCCACTTTAATGATAATCACCCACCTTCTTAAGGATGATAGTGATATATTGGATCAATTTTGCTCTCTACGGCATTCATCAACATTTTATAGAGGCCATATGGGTGGCACATAAAATTTTCACGACGCATTAAAATAGGGTAAAATGCATAATTATAAAGCATGGAATGCGAGAGTGACTGGAATTCCCTATGGTGTTATGTGCATATGAATTCCTGAGACATGGAGTATTTTGATTATTTATCTTCTCAATATCATAGCTTGAACTTTATATAAATCATTCTATATATGCATGACACTATTCTTAGCCATCTCTGACAGAGCCCAATTTAAACACAAGCACATCTCAAGATGAATGAAAAAGTTCGTGTGCGAGGAAGTGAGCAAGATATTGATAATATCGTTATATAAAACACTTGTACATATTTACAGCGAATCATTTTCATTTGATTCCTAACTGTTGATAAACTCAAATTTACTCAGTAAACTATAAATAATCATGGCGAGAGAAGAATTTAAATTCTCAATTGCTGAAAATAAAATGAACAGCAAATGGAGTGAAAATTTGCAATAAAACCTCAACCACATTGATTAAAATTGAAGCTTTGCTCATAAAAGCGAGTAAATGAGTTGATGCTCAAATATATTGGGTTTTCATCCATTGAAAAGAGAAAAAGAAAAAAAAAATTCCTGTGAATAAAGCGCTCTATTGCCACCAACATATCGCTTAAATACCATTTTCACTAAATACATTATGTCCTCCGTTTATTTCCCACCACATTTCACTCACTAATTTAATTAGTGAATGGTATATTATTATAGAAATAATTGGATGCCTTTTGATTAACAAGAGAAGTGCTCCCCACATAATTAGCAGATCTTACAATTAAGATGTCAAGCATGGCAATGCCTATCCATTTATATGTGCAATAAACACTGGGTGTTAATTAATTAGAATATCCTCTCGATGTAAATGAGAAGTTGTGCAAATTGTTACACGCCACTCTCGGGGAAAAGTGCGCGCGTCAAGCCTTTTTAGCATTCTCAAGTGGTGCCGAGCCTGAGATTTCCACTTTTAGAAAAAGAAGACACCTTGTTAAAATAAACCCAATCTGACATATACAGAAACCAGACGCCAAACTCACTCCAACAGCAATTTCTCCTCACCTTCTCGCACCGCCCACAGGCGCTCCTTGTGTGATATATGACTTCTCTCACCAACGGCGTGGGTGGTTTTCAACTTATTTACTAAGGGCGCGCAGAAAGTAAAGCGATACAGAAACAACTCGTGCTCAGCAATGAATGCAACCATCAACATGGAATGCATCACAACTTGGCCAATCAATCTGACAAGAATGTGCAATTTATCTTTAGTGAAAAATTCCTGCGTGATGTTTAACATGCTGAAGACTCTATTTTAGCTCAATGTGTGCGCTTCTTTTTCTTCTATATTCACTCCAATTTATTTCCACACACAGCGCAGCTATTTCAGATCAAAGTCCTTAAGTTCTCTTCAATTTTCCCTCTGCAAAGTTCCCAAAAGATGTGTCATTTGATAAGCACAGTGGAACACCATTTGGTCTCTCTGCCCAAAAACCTATGTAATAAATGTATACGCGCTCCTATCTTTTTGCCAGGGAGCGAAAAAAAAACATTCCGCATGAATTCTGTGCTATCTCGCCCTGGCGGTAATATAAAGAGAAAACTAAATACATAAGCAGAATTTCAACTTAACATTCAAAAAGCTTATTGACACCTATCATCCAATTTCATGGTAGACTTCACGGAAAATTTTCCATACAGGCATTCCTTGACGAATTAGAATATTCACTTTCAATTTTCACCTTTTATATATACACACACCCACACACATTCCAACCTGCATGTGATAAGAAAGAAAGTGGAACAGTGGAGCATTCAGCTTATTTTGTACGTGTGTAAGAAACATTTTTTGAGAGGCTGAAGGTTCTGGGAGTTGTAAGAAATACCAATTTTCCTCACTCTATTTTGTATAATTCAACCAGCATTTTCACTCTCTTTGCCCTCAAGCGCGAGGGGTGTTTGTGAAGTGAAACAGAAAAAAAGTAGAAGAATATGGCACACATTCGCGCTCCTCATTGTCTTGTAAATGCGCTATTAGGCTTATATATTCCACAACATCATTTTCAGATACTGCCACAGCGTCGCAATGTTGGATCGTGAGGTGAAATTAGAGTATATAGTTTAAGAGACGCGCCCAGAAGCACTTTAAACTATAAAAAGAACCTTGTTTTTTTCCCCAGTTCAATCAGAATAATTCCAATCAGCATAATTATTGGCTATCAATCAAGCATTGCATTTATTTTATTTGCAGATTATTTATTAATCATCAAACATACACTGAGCTGATGAGCATCAGTTGAACAAAAGAGCGAAATTCAGGATAACATTCACATCCCCACAAAATTCTGAATATTATTAATTCACATTATAGTACAGTCGCGAGTGCGATGAAAATAAAGCTTTCACATCCACGAATTTTGCGGGAGTTGCAATTAAAATCGCTCATGGGTGAAAAAAGCCGGGGAAATGTTTTGTCACGAGATGTTAAAAGTCACATCATTGTCTACATAAAACTTCTTCTTGTCTCTCTTCGCTGTGATAATAAAATGTTTGATAATATAAAAAGACATTCGTTAAATTCATCCACGCCAGAGTCTGGTGCTTATATATTTTTAATCCTCCTTGTCCTTTTTTCCCTTGATCCAACACACACACGCGTCTAAAAGTTCCCCAACCATCTGCACACATCGCATCCTGACCAAACACGTTGTGTGGAGAGTTTTCACACGATTTTGCTATGGGGTAGAATTGTTTGAAAGATGAAGAAAATGGGGAAGTGTAAACCGCACAGGCAAAAAACTTTCCCAGGCAGTACATAAAGTATATGTACACACATACACACATTACACATCACTCCATTGTGAGTGGAAATTGTTCTCAGTGGAAAATTTAATTTCAAGTGAATTTCATTAGTGAATAAAATTCATTTGAGGTAATTCTACCCCAACTCGCCTTGCACTCTCTCTCTTTCGCATTGTTTAAGGTAGACTGATGATGCCAAGATGGAGCAAATATATGCATAGCATTATACGTTGTAGCATTAATTTTCGATGTTACCACCAATATAATTTGAATTCCACAACGCCAAGTCAATTTCAATCTTAAATTATAATGCGGCCGCCACCCAGCTCTCATCACAATACGACACCCAATACTCCCCCACGCGCTCATCAAAACGCACCCCTACACAAATTCACCCTGTATAGGTGTACATCTGTTTGCGCCAACACCCACAAGTACACAACTCGTCAACTCTCATATTCATAATGCCGTGATTATTATGGTAAAATTGTCATTACATGCGTATACTGATTTCCGCATTGGGAAAAATAACACGGAAGGAGTTGATGAAAATGATACTCAAACAATACAAATGTTTTAATGGATGAATATGCTGGAAACACGTAAAGTTTATTTAAAGACAATGTCTAAATTAGGCAAAATCAAGGGACAGATATTTGAATAGAATATCTGCATTGCAAAGACCTTAGTTTCTACAGATTGAGGCATTTTCTAATTGATTTTGCTTAGAAAAATCAATTTTATTAGCTTTTCTAAGTTTTGTGATTGATTTAAAACCAATTCTAGCGATTAAATAACCTTCAAAATCATCAAATTTATGCATAAACAGGGAATATTATTTTCTTTTTCTCGCGAAAATTGAGCATTTGTGTTCAAAAACACTTCAGTTTGGGAAAATTTCAGTAGGAAACAGCTTTAAAGTCGATCATAACCTCAAAACTGTCATTTCAGCCTAGAACAAATCCTGAGACAAGATTAGTTAGTTAAGAAAAACCTTATAATATCTCCCCCTTGAGCGAAATCACACAAGTGACTTTAAGCAATGCCAAGAATCTTGCAATCCCAAAACTGTCTTCGTGGATAAATCTTGCGAGAGCTTTTAGAAAATGGAAAACTTTTCCGTGTACATTTCATATATATGTAAATTGATTACTCGCCACTACAGAGTGTTGATCCAGTATAAACTCGAGTTTCTTCTGCCATTCTTATATTTTCTATATCTCTAGAGTATTTAGGTGAAATACATTTGCTGATTTTCGGTATTAAGTAGAGAATTTGGGACGTATTTTTGTGTAGGAATTCTCTGGCTGGAGGGCGACATGATTTCTCGGGAAAAATCTGATGAACAAGACAAACAATAGCACATTTTTGCTTTTCTCCCATTCGAAAATATGTCAAATATAAATATTATGAAATATTTTGACAAAGTCTCCAAGTACTTCTTACGAATTCATTCCATATATACTTTCACTTCTGGCCTGGCGAGTCAAGTGTTATCATTCAAAAGCATGCGACTCTGGCGTACCACTCGCTTTTATTGTTTCATCTTTTGGGTCTCCTTGGCCGTGGAAGTGAAATATTTATGCTCCTACATATATACATGCATTCTCATGAAATCATTTATCATTACGCATTTCTCCACATACACACTGTGGAATTATCCACCATGTTCTCGCCATATCTACACGGCAGGAAGACAAATGAAATTATGGAAATAAAAATGATGTGATAAATCCTCCATATAAGTATTTATATAAATTTTAACATCACGATTTTGATCTCATACTCAGCATGTAACACTGTATAACCATGATATAGCTGGCTATGGATTGTAATTATTAGGTAAATCGCCAAGATTAATTTTCCTTGATCTTCCCCTGAATTTTGATACAAATTCAATATTGGGAAAATTGAGAAAGGTGGATGGATAAATGAAATATATTTCCTGGGTAACGAGAGGACGATGAACGCGCCTATTTAATTAATTATTAATCTCAAAACACTCTCGCCAAACTTAAGTCAAGCTCCTCTCATTCCATTCACGCCCAAAAATTCTGCTGAAACACATTATATGGCAGCTTCTTGAGGTTTTAATCTCCTGGCAATGTTGCTATTGACAAAGAAATTCCTTGACTCAAGCTTAATCATTCCAAGTGTATTAATCCCCACTTTTCCTCTGCATTTTATATGACTTGATACATACAACTTTTACGCGAGAATCACTAGCAAAGTTCCATGCTTTCTGTCTAATTATAATGAAAGTGCTTGCTATAAATCCGTCATTTCTTGTTTGATTAAAGGTGTGATTTCATAGTCGGATTAACCGAAAACTAAATTGTCTCGTAAATTTAGTGATCATTAGATAACTGTTGTACTAAAATAATACTGATTTTCCGAATTCCTACTGACTAAACCTGAATAGAATACTGGGATATTCTGTATTTTGTCACATTACCAAACAATTCACATTGAATATGCATTGAAGGAGGAACAGAAACTTACCACTTGAGCTACTGTTTCGCGATGATCGATCTTCCTGGCGTTCCATCTGTGCAATAGCCTCCATTGTGGTGGGAAAAACTTCCATAGCCGGTGTAAACTTTTCGCAAGCTACTTCTTTTTCTTCTGCAACCAGATTGTTCAGAGAGTCTCAGCCGCAAGAGTACTCCAATTACTTCTTCGCATCAGTTGACGAAGTCCCAAAAAGCAGGAATCACTCGTTATTGATTAATTTCCTTCCCACTCTCTTTCTCTTTTTCTTTCACTTCTCCGCGAAGAATCCCTTCTTTATTCTCTTTTAAATTGTTTCCTTTTTTATGAATTCTGCATGGGAATTTCCTTCATTGACTTTTCCTTTTGCTCTCTCTCTCTCTCTCTCTTCCGTGAATTTCATCTAATTATGCGATACTTCCCGGATATGGCACAACAAAGAAAGTTTTCGTCATGGCCAAAATCCTGTAGATTGTGTTGGTTGTTATTGGGAGAAAATCAAACGGAAGTCTGTGTCAATAATTTCTTCACTTTTCACCATTCACCAATTTTTATATTTCATCACCTGCAAGGAAAGAAAAAAAAACGGGGAACAATTAAATCATTTTATTACTCTCTTCGCTGTTTATTGGTGTTTGTGGAGTGATTTGAAGTCTAGATTTTAATTACTAGTGCCACAGCTTTGTGCCAAAATCTCATTAAAGATTTATTAAATGAGTTATGAAAATTGCCAAAATTCCCAATCTGTTGCATGCGTCAATATGCTGCAAATATTGAATTTTAGTATCAAGCATTGCGACTGAAATTAATTAAGGACCCCATCAAAAACACCCAGTCAATAGGATATACAAGATATTATTGTCAATTTTGCCATTCTCTCCGTGGGAATAAAAATTTTCCAGCGGCTTTGTGAGCCGAAACTATGCGACACTGGGCGATTATTTTACACCATTCACAATTTTGGAAGGATGAGAATTATCACAAGCGACCAATCAAATCCACATGAGCTCTTTCCCAGTCAATTTACTCGAAATTTTGTCCCCGAAAAAGGTTATTTTCCCATTCCTGATTCCGGTAAAAAGTGTACCATATTTACTATTTCACATTTGAAATTTTACTTACACACATATAAAAAAAAACCGAACCATATCGTGAAAAAGGGAAGGAAATGAGATTCTCTATCGTATTGAAGGAATTTTATATATATATACATATATACACACATTAAAATAAAATTCCACTTGAATTTCTCTCCTCACATAGCATCTGATTTGGAAATTGTCGGTAAAATTGAGCACTTTTCCGTCTTTTCTATAACCCAGCGCAAATGTGTACCAAAGAAATGGTCGTTTTTTCTGCTGCCTTTTTGCCAACCTTTAAGATCAATAACTTATGGGTGTGCAAAAAAAATATATATAAAAAAAGCTCTGCCTCAATAACATGTTTTATTTAGCCAAATAATAAAGCTTTTTTCATAATAAAAGTCATCCAATTTCTCACATCTTTTCACACCGCACCGCACATTTTGTACTATCATAAAAATATTGCTTGGCTGATACTTGGGGAAAAGTTATTGTACGTAAAAGAAAATCAATTGAAAAAGTCTTTCTCTGGGCTTTTCCGATTGTGCACATAAAACGGGTGCAAACGCTCCTGAAAGTCTATGGAAAAAAAGAGAGAATGAAGTGCGGGTGTGAGAGATTGTGGGTGGCAAAATCGTAATACTGGCATTTATTCATACATAATTTCATCTCCAGACCACGCACGCTGTAATGTGGGCGTTTAAGTGAAAATATACCACATTTTGCCGCCTTTTTTGCGTCTGCTCCTATGTACCAATTGTAGAAATATGCGATGGAGTGGGCGCAGCAAAAGGGTATCTCTTTATGTGCATCGAAGTATTGGAAGACTATATGTGAAATTCTTGGCTTCCTCTTATCCACGATAGGAAGTTCTGTTCTTCCAACTATAGTAGCCCCAAGAATTTTGTTCTGTCAGCAGCACAATGATATACTGATAGATCACCCTTTCACACATCGCGCCATATAGTCCATGCGAGAGACTGAATTTTAGCATATAATTCACCATATTCTACTGGAGTGAAAAGCCAAGAGATTTTCTACTCAACATTATAAACTTTCCCACATTTCAGAGCGAAAAGTCACACAGGATTTTCCAAGTGAAAAAAAGTACTTTAAGAGCAACACAATGCATATGGTTGTTGGCTCGCGAGGGATTCATCACGAAAAGTCTCTTGAATAATGATTGTTTTGAATATGTTCATTTCTACACACCACAATATTTTTTGCTCTATATACTGTGTATGTCTAAAAATAGATTTTTTGGCACGTGAAATGCATTTCAGCTTGTGGTTTCTCAATTTAAAGATTCTCATGTGATCAAACAAGAGAATTCTCTGCATTTTGTCTAACACGAAGGAACCATTGGTCTTCTAAATTAACTTGTTGCTGACTTATTGTTTTGTTCCAAACTATAACAACTCCACTTTTCTGTCGCGCACTGCATTTTTCTCAGACACTCCGTTTGCTATTTATAACAGCCCCATGAATTCTAGAGACCATCGCTGAGAAGCGAAGTTTGCATGTCTCATTGCTAAAATTCCCAATTAAATGACGTATTATTATTATTTAATGAAATTGTGCGTTACAGACACAATTAACATTGTAATTTATTTTCAGCACAAAACCACAATGTTGAAAATTTCATGGTTCAAACTAAACGAGGTGAATCGTTTATTGTTGCACCACGAAAACGCCAAACCACAGTTTTCACACATTGTAACACTCGAGGAGCCGCACAGAATCGTCTCAAGCTGCGATTTTCTCACACTGATTTAAATATTGATGCCTGCCAGTGGAAAAATCCTGAAGATTCAAAATTTAATATCCACGAAAAAGTGCCTGGCTTTGTTGCAAGAATCGCGTGCGATGAATTTACATCACAAAGTGAATGTACGGAATAAAATGCAATACTTTAAAGTTTAGAGCAAAATCGCATGTTAAACCTAACTTTGTGCTCTTCTTCTATTTTGCAAGAAGAAAAATCTTTTATGCATGAGCAAAACTCTTCAAATTCACTTTTGAGATGTTAAAATGATTTGGTTGTCTGAAAAAGGGCTTTTTTTGCTACATTTGAATGGATTATTTTACACCCGTCGCAATGTTTGCCAAAGTAATTACTATATTTTTCTACAATTTTTATTGCCTCTTTATTATAATGTCTTTAAAGAGTCAACGCCTGTATTCGTTGTTTTATTGCAAAAGAAAATAAATCGGCGGTGAAAAAAAAATCTTCTTGTGTACATTTATTTAGGATTGTCACGATTCAATCGTAAAGAAATCATCTCAAATTTATTGTAAATGTTATTCGTGCTCTTCTTAAATTTCTCTTTGGCGTACAAAATCATTTGAGTGGAAGTTACGGCAGGTTGTATAAAATATAGTTCACTCAGCGTCCTTTAGTATCATTTTGTTTAATAATTTGACCATTGAATAACATTTTGTATATCACCGGAACAATTGATTATAGAAACAGAGCAGAATTTGTGTGCTCATGGGTGAATACTGTGTCCATCAGCGAAAACAAATCGTTAATCATCACAGACAACGGGTGAAAATAGCTCAGCAATAGTGCAAAGACAGTGTCATGAGTGATAGAAACTAAATAGTTAATAATAGAGTAGCAGCAATTCAAAGCCAAAACGCTTTTGAATAATTATATTTGTCGTGTCGCCTCAATTCACATGCGAATTTGTCCAAGTGTCCGGATGTCGTTTCTAGCGACAAGGAGGAGAAGTCACAATCAAAGAGTCTCCTCACCTTACAGCCCAGTCAGGCGAGAGAGAAGACACAGAGTTCGTGTGTTTATCTTCACACCCACTATATATTTCTCTTTGTACCGTTTGGACTCATTGAGCGGCAAAAAGAAACGACCAGCGCAGGCAAAAGGAGAGACGCTCATAGTGTGAAGAAAACGCGACTTTTCTTTGCCTTTCTAAATTTAAGTTTTTGCCTCCAACACCCACGCATTTTACCCACCCAAAGTGTGAAAAATGTACAAAATATTGTTCAACCATTTCTCTATAGGCAGAAAGATGAAAATTTACCACATGATTAATGCTACAGATAAATATTTTAATAAACTAATCTCCCCAACAGTAAATTATGCCGTGAAAAATATTTATTTTTTCACGCCATGCTCTTCTCAACTTAATTTTTCACATTTTGTATATCAAGTGCCATATTTTACACACAATTCTCAAAATATATACAACAGGAACTCCTTTCATCTCCGCACACGTGGATTTTCCTTTGGATGTGAGCGAGAAATGAGAATCGTGTTGTAAAGTATGTTGAATTGCGGACTTCAACAAATGCATTTTCACGCTATTATATTACTTTTCCTCCTCAATCACTCTCTATGGCCAGCAGGCTGTGTTGGCCCTTTTGCAAGGATCCAGGGCACATGAAAAGTTATCCAATTTACATCAACGAAAACTTCTTTGTGGTCTCACCGGCATTTCGCAACCCTCGCGCCACTGACAGACCATCCAGAATTGGTTTCCAGCATTTTTCCCACACTAAATGCGGTTTCTGAAAACACACATTTCCAGACTTCTTTTACATCTCTACCATCAAACCATTTGGCTAGAAGTTTTTTTTGGGTTGAATAAGGAACACTCGAAATTGCTTCGTGCAATAAATTTTTCTGTACTTTATCCGGATACACTTCGCTTCCCGGACCGTAAATTAAATGCTAAGTGACTTGGAATTAAAGGAGTGACAGTGCAGTTGTTGAGTAAAGTTCCTTTGCTCTGAATGGAGGAAAAACATGGGTAATTTCGCGTTTATGCATTCAGAAGAAGATGCTTTGTAGGTAATTTCATTAATTACAAAGGTCCTAGTCTTCCCGCAGCGCGGATAGATCTCTCTCTCTCTCTCTCTCTCTCAAATTGTACAAATACCGAGGACAATTCCAGGGAGTTTTTCGTGAGGAAAACCAAGAATGAACTTCAGAAAATAGGGGTAACTCAATTATTAACAAAGCTCCACACAATTCAAGTGTATTTCTTCCCTGTTTTTTTTCCCGCCCTCCCACTTGCCGTGATAAGTGAGCTTTTGTGTATAATTGCGAGAAAAAAAGTCTGGCACAGAGAAATAGAAATTCCACAGCGCAACTGATTGTAAATAACCATTAAATTGTGTGAAAATTTGTCTACTCTCGCACAACAGTCGGTCCACCTTCCGTGGCATCATTATATAAGGGGGAAATTTGTCCTCTTTCAGTACATTATACATTTGTGAGGGAAAATAAGAAAATTTTGTAATATAAAACCCTCTCATATTCGGTGAAATGAAATTTTGTCTCACTTTCACCTTCGCTCTCTCTCTTTTCCCGCACACACGCATTTTTTGTGCCTCTTCACTTAATCAACAGCCAAAAGCTTTTTATTACACGCATACAATATAATGGTGATGTGTGAAGGAAAACAGAAGCTGGTGCCAAAAACACATTCTCAAATTGATGATTCCCTCTAATTATATTATAGCATCTCGAGGAAGACGTTTACATAAGAAAAATCCTACATCAAAGGTTAGTAGTTATGAATACGTCTTTCCAATGGGGTAATTAGTCAAAATTGCGATCACTATCGCATTTGCAACGTGTTTACAGAGGCTCTTTATTTAACACTCTGCGGATGTATGTGGCATAAGGATTAGAAGTTGTATGCATAAAATCAGATAACCACGGCAATTGATATGCATAATAATACGTGTATTGCTCATATTCCAATACACTGTTTATTTCCTCTTCGAAATGCAGAGAAAAAATGAGGGTTGTGCCATGGTGAAAAACTTGGCAATTAAATCTATGATTGCATGTGGGCATTGTTGAAAATTTTCACGTTTCCACACCCCTCAAATTTGCATTTTGCAAGAAATCTGGGGGAATAATTAAAAAATGGTCGATGCATCTCATTTAACCATCCTTTGCAGGATAATTTAACAGGTATGTAGTTGTGGTAAGGTAATATCCATAGGGGGGGGGGGGGGTAGAATTATCTCATCAGAATATCCCTCAATTATACGCTATATATAAACACATATCTGGAAGCATGAAGCCCAGATTTATCGCAAATGCCAAATCAATTAGGAGAATCTTACGGGGGTTTTCTATAGAGTTGAGGTGAGCATTAAGAGAATTACACAATATGTATGTAATGTTGAGAAGAATAATTCATAATTCATCTTACATCGACTTCAATAGGCCATTGAATATTTGTCACGCATGATGAATTAATTTATCGCCAATTCAACAGTTGAAATCACATTAAATTTACTACAAGACATTTTAAGTACATTTATTTTATATATCATCTTAATTGTCACTATTAAGTGCTTTGGGGAATTCAGCCCAACTAATTTATAGTTATTCTTGCAATTTTTACTACTACCTCACCAATTAATCTCGCCCGTGCGAATGAGCGCGTGAACTTCGTCAGATTCTCTGTCACACGAATAGTGAGTTTTATGGCACATTTATTTAATTTCAGGATTTCTTCCACCACCACTTCTGATGGAGTTTTTCAGCATAACAACAATAACAACCAGAAAACTATCTCCGCAATTATTCCGCAAACTTTCATCTGCACAGAAAATCCATCAAGTTTACAAAGTGCTTTCCGTTGTCACACTGCAACTCTTTAATATTAAAGTGCCGAACACTCTTCTACCATTTTTCTCAGACACCACCACAATTTTGCCTCATTAGGATGCCCTCGACAGTGCTGAGCTCAGCTTATCACTGCGACCAGACACCTTCGAGATCGGCGAGTGACTGACTCGGTGGAAAAAGTGGTTTAGTAGAGCGACTAGTATCGGAACAGAGCTATATTTTCCTCAGTGCACAATATGCTGATGGAGAAGCTCAACCCGAAGCGCGCGAGAGGAAATTCAACACAGGAGAGTGCGAGAGTGAAGAGAGAGAGAGAGAGAGAGAGAAAAGCGTGGAAATACAAATGTGAGATGATTTACAGAATATTTTGTATACACATTTTCCCCAACAGTTGCGGCAAAAGAAGCCAGAAGATGAGTGGAAAAGGAGGACGCCACTCTGTGCTTCACGTTGTGTGTTGTGAAACACACTGTAGAAAATTTCCTGGGAAACTCTCAGATGATTTTCCGCCACATAAGACCATCTCTCTTTCACCCATACTGTCAAATGGCGGGAATATCATCTCTCTCCCATTTGCCTGAGGAGAGAAAAGCGAACAGAGAGAGAGAGAGTGTGTGCGTGAATAAACGAGCAATCGAAATCATCGCTCGTTTCGTTAGCGACAAGGGGATGAAAAGTTGGAATAAGCCGTTGGAAAAATCTGCATAACACCCCACAGCAATTATGATGGACACAAAATATTCATCTCACCACTTAAGATGGTCATCAACACGTAAGAAAAGTCTCTGGCGCTTATCCGTTGAAGAGGAGAAAAAAACACCGTCAGATTGTATGTGTCTCTGAGGGCATCATGAAAAACCTTCATCCAATGAGAAAAGTTTCAAAAGAATTATTCTTCCACTTTCGCCTCAACTCGACAGCTTTTTCAAGGAAAATTGACGCTCAAATTGTCGGGAAAAAACTAGAGGAAGAGGCGCATTATGTGGAGTGGATTGCAATGCACGCTATATATAAAACATGGTGAGCAATACCGACATTTAAAAGTTACCTCAACGTCTATATTTGGCTGAATGGTGAGGAGTGAATTGATGGAAAAATAGGTTAACTACTTTGCCATTCAATAGAAGCAGAGGGAGAGAGAGAGAGAGAGAGTATTTTGCTGTCCTTTCCGCATTCAGCTCTACATATGATTAGCAAATTCACCCTTCCAATTTGTGGTGACCACTTAATCTTCTCCATGAAATACACACGAGTTAAGTACCAACTTGCTAACATTTCCACCAGTTTACACTTTTCCCCCCGCAGATCTGCAAATGTGCCACTGATGCAATTTTTGAGCTCTCAAAGGCTCTGCTCGTCATGCCAGAAATTCATCATCTCTTCAATGTGCAACTCAGTGAAAGAGTACTTAAGCAAATGTGATGTCGTATATTTAAACTAATTAGACTGCGAGGACAGGGAGAAAGATTACATGTGCAAGAAAAAGGGTTTGTACATACATTGTCGAGTGTGGGGAAATTACGAAGTAGAGGCTGTTTATTAGTACATTTTTCCTCACACACTGAGAAAAAAAAACATTGTAATTTTTCCCATATAAGAAAAGGAAAAATCCGTGATTTATCCAAAATTTTTCCACTTTATATGGAAATACCTTCTGTAATGTTTGAAACGTCGAGCAATTAATCATAACCACTATATGATGACAATTGCTATAAAGGCATGGAAAATATTTCCATTCATATTGTAACTTTTATAGAGAAAATACAAAAATTCTAATAATAAATTACTATAAAAATAGTAAAAAGTTTTCGGGACTTTGAGAATTTGTGTGAAAGCTCGAATAGGATTCATTGCCGTAGAGAAAATTACCATAATTCTGAATTTTGCTGTTGTATATTCCCATAATTATGGTACTCATTGCCATCAGTGTATTTCTACGACTTGATGTGCAGAATTAGGGAGGAAAAAATACCTCTTTTAATTGTACAACAAAGTATTCATCTCCGTTCATCTCTCGTCTCGACAATCCACCCCAGTGGCAGTGATTGTGATTTCGCCCCAGTGAAGAGCCCCCCAGAGAGAGGGAGATGAGTGTGGAAAATGGCGAGAAAAACCCAACACGATTGTTGGTATAACTGGCGATGGGTTTGGGGGGGGGGGGGAGCTGAAACGGTGAGGAAGGAGAAATGAGTTGAAATGCTACAAAGTGACATTTTCGCAAGCATGTGCCCCATTTGGGGAGAGACTCATACTTGCTAAACGGTCTGCTCTCATTCTCGAGATAATGAATCTGATGATTGTAAGTGAAGTGGTATGTGAGATGCGAGTAATTTTGGAAGAAATCACCATGACACGTCTCATGCTCATTAATACCACACAGACTTCTCCTGTCGAGCAGCTTGTGGACTTTTCCCCCTTTCATCCTCGGGGCGCTCACAACACCACCCATGAAGATGAGTGATTGTCGCAAGTCATTATTCCACAAGAGGATGCAATTCCCAACCAGTGAATATACTGAAACAGCAAATTGCTGCAGAATTGATGTTGAGTTCTACTTCTCAGAATTTGCATATTTATCTGAGTCTATACCGGTGGAATTAATCTCTATTTAACTATAGTCTCCATGTTTCAATACAATTATCTCAATATCTAGTGCATCGCATTGTTTTTCCTTTTGTGCTGACGAAATGTTTAGAAAGTGGGCGACAAAGTCATTGAGTATTTTGAAGATGCGAGGTTATCTCGTATATAAGAAACTTGCAAACAGTTCATCTACAATTGAATTCTCATCCAAAACTTTACCCACATATCTCTTCAGTAAAGCCCATGTCTTCTCCCCTGATGAATTGCTCTTGTAAGATAATCCACTATAGTTTCCACTCTACACAACCTCTCTTCCTGGCGGTCTAATAAAATGACAGAATTAATGGTGGTCGAAATAGTGTTGATGGCAACTTTTCACCAGTCGCCCCCATTTCGCAAAACATCACAAATCAAACTACTTCCTTTGATTTCCATATAGGTTTAAACCTGGCAGACAAAGTGATTATGATAAATGTATTATTAAAGGATATTTAGCAGCGTGCGCGTCAGAAAATATCGCACTTTTCAGACTTAATGGCCGCATAAGAAAATGTGAGGAAACTTTTCTTATTATCAATGAAATATCCCTTCAAGCATCAGTGACTTGATTTATATGGCATATTGGGAGAACCAGGGGAGAAAGAGTCCCCAGGATAATGATGGCATTTTTCCCTCTGGCCCATTGGGAGAATTAGGAAAATATCGGAGAAAAAACAACAAGTTAGAAAAACTTCAATAGAGAGAGAGAATATGGCGAAACCTTTTTCGCACACCACCCATGATTTTGTCCCCAAACTCGAATGGACGGATTGCATGGATGTTATAAGTGTATTTATGTATACAATATCATTGTCGGGTAGGCCGAGTGATAACATTTGGACCCATTATTCCACATATTATACATGTACACATATTTTCCACATACACACAATATTTAATCGAATTGTAGGTGGGTTTAGCCTGGGGCTTTTGCATAGAATTCGACAAATGTTTAATGCGCGATATTGAAGAGAACCAATTCACAAAATTTGTACGGTATTGGCTTTTCATTTGAGAGCGCCATGGAAGTGTTATAAAAGATTAAATACATTGATTGTCACCGGAGATTTCACATAACATACCTACCGATGGGGATGCCGAATTAGAGTATAGTCGTGCGTAGTAACAAGTTTCCTGGGGGTTATAAATCCTCTTAAGGGATGTGTGGTGGGTCGTGTTTGTCTTTCAGATGCAAGATAAACGGTGAAATATTAAATTTTCACGAGCAAATAACTCAATCTGGTATGGAAGAAATCTCTCTTTCTCCGGCATTTCTTCAAGACACACACGCTCATGATTCATGAAGTGGATGCGATAGAGCCAAATTCCTCTTCCTCATCATTCCCCAATCTCTCTATATGTGTAATGGGTAATATGCTCCTCAATATTTGCTTATTCAGTCTATACAGATTATCATCCCACTTCACTCGCTTCTCTTTCTCTCTCTCTCTCGCTTCCGCACTTTCTCTCGTCAATTACATGGGTCAAGGCACCCTCCCAAAATGTAAGATGTTAGTCAACGGCGGACCAATTTATTTATTCATTTTTATAGCCATTTCAATTACAAAATGGAGAGTGGATTAACCAGAAAGTGCGGTGGGAATTTGAAAAATGACTCAAAGCACACCTCGTCGATGACCCAGAGAAGGGTTTCGCCCCGAAAGGCTTGTCTGCAAAGGGATTATGCTAAAATTGCCCTATTTTATGAAGAAAAATACAGAGTTGTTAGAACTCATAAAATTTGTCATGAATTCTGGCATGAAATTGAACTCATCTGGTTAACAATTAGTTAATTTTTAATCAAATAATGCATTCTAAATGTTTCACACTGCGATTTTGGTATCTCTGGAGAATAGGAGCATTTGTTCTTACAGATTATGTGTCAGAGTCTCTATCAGTGTAATCCTGAGAAAGACTGAGATTGACTATTTTCTCAACTACTACAACGAAGCAAAGATCGTAAGCGATATTTCACATAATTTGGCGTAATTATGGCGATAAACAAATATTAGCCGGAATTCACAGACATTTACGGTGTTTCACTGAACGTCATTCAAACGACGCTGTCTTTTTCAAAATAATAGGGAACTTTTAGCATAATACCGTCGCTGGGTGTTTTTCGGTTGCCCATTTTATTGGCTCCTGTAGTCAAAGTTCGAAATGGATGCGAGTGGAATTTTTTCATCGTCAAAAACGCTCTGGGAAACACTATCTCGGATGGCACGTGAAATGTATGTGAAAAATTTCGATTGAATTGCATAGTGTTGACCAGGGGTTGAAATTCCAAGTGAAATTCAATAGCACGCACTCCGCTTTTTGCCGCGCGTACTATAAAAAAAAGCCAGAAAGGTATAGGAAAAGCGTCCAATCAATAAAATAAATATAGGGGATTTCTTCGTGTGCCCGTGGGGATGTTATGATATCATAAATTCCGAAGGTGTTCGTCGTGAAGAGTGCGGAAAAAGAAAGCTCTCACAATTTTCATTCACACCTTCCAAGGGTGGCACTTGTCTGGGGAGTCAAGAATTTTGTAGGCTCTCATGACTAATATTGTGCAATAAATCTCAAAAGTTATTTTTTTAAAGCTCTCCACGCGACATAAAAACAGTCCGAGCGCTGAGAAAAGAATTGCTCGACTTTTGCCCGCAGTTTTCACCTTTACAATTCTCAGATTAGACAGACTGGAAATAAAACTTTCCCGCGTGCATCAAAGTGTAATAATTGCATGAATTTGAGAAGGGTAAAGAGCTCAGTTAAAAAAAAACTGTACAATATCACATAAATTTGTGAATACAACCAACGTCATCGCGACGAACGAGAGACAGAGAAAAAAAACACTGAAACCATTTCTTCGTAAGCTTTGAAGTTCTTTGAATACGTGTTTCCCAACTTTAGCATTTTTCTCCCTTTCTTGCAGAATTGTTGTTTTATCCTTCGCGCACGCTTTTTCCCCCCAACTCGTATGGATACATTTTCATGCAACGGTGACGGGTTGACATTAAAAGAAAGTGCTTTCTTGAATTTTTTTGAGGAATAAAACACTGAAAATACTATATAACACGTGTGGCACGTTGTATTCGTTACAAGGCGCGAGCTTTTCGCCAAGAACACTAGATCCTATCTTTATTTCGCACTTTGTATACTGTGAAATTGAGATTTGTTCAAAGTTGGGTGAGAGTGGAAAAAATATGAGGAAGAAAAAGTATCATTTCTCCCATTCCAAGAAAAATTTTAAATTTAATTGCAATGTCATTTGCACGCTTGAATTCCAAACAAGTTTTTTGCTGCATTTTTTCTTGATTTTTCCCCAGAAAGTATTGCAACTGACCTGAAAATATGACTCGACATTTTCTCTACAATAAGTTCGTTAGGACATTTTTTTTCTCTCAAATTGTCCTCTAGAGGGAAAAATTTCCTTATTATTTACGGCAACGTGAAACATGTACACCTATCGCACCTTACGTAGGTGTCGAAAGCTCATTTATTTTGTCACGTAAGAAGGCAAAGATGCCACAATATAGCCGCAAAGCTCTAATCCCACAGGCATCAATAAGGAGAAATTTATTGAAACTAATAATATTGAGCGCCACCCTCAAAGCCACCGGGGGGTGATTAATATTTTTTATTAAATATTGAGTGAGAGGAGCACATAATAAATGAAGCAACTGATGTTGCCCATCGCAGAAGAGATTAATGAATCATTTTTTACTGCCTTCATCCCACTTCTTAGGGACTCGAGGGTGATTACCTTTGAAATGTATGGACGGACAGCGCTCGGATTCACCCTCATTAAAGCTCATGTACTCTCTGGCGAGCTCATGTATTGCAGGAAGTGAAAAATCACTGAATGACAATGTAATTATTATATACAAATTTTTTCCCACCTGAGCTTTTCTCTGCTTCCTCAGAAGACGACGAGGTTAGGTTTCCCATACAATTTTGAACTTCTCTTCTACGCACTTTCTCACAAAGATTTCTTGGAAATTTCACCGTAGACACATGAGATAAAACCTCTGCAGCTAATTGCAATTGATTTCAGAATCAATTATGCACCATTAAACGTGAAATTTGTACGAAAATGGAAGGGAAAAAAGACGCGCTCACATTGCCGACGACTATCAAAGCTCACTTCGGATTGTGGTGAATTTACTCTTCTCCTCACGAGTGTGGTGAGTAAAGTGACGTTTTGAGAGCACGGAAGATAATCACTGTGTTTTTCTTGTGTTTTCTTCTGCATTTTCTCACTAAATCGTGTAACAGAGTTCAAAAGGATGGCTGAGGGTTTCGAAGGGAACGGAGAATACTCCAATTACGGCGATGGATCGAGTGACTTTAAGAGGAAAAGCACATTGCAGCGCGATGTAGAGGAGGACGCCGAAGAGGCTCCTGTAAATGAGAAAACCACCGAATATGTCCGGGAACTGCTGTCTGAGCGGGTGCAAATAGACCGGAAGTACCCCCTGTGCGACAAACTGCTGGAACAGGGTGAGCAAGTGCGGCCACATAGTGGAAATTTCAGGGAATTTGAGCGAAAGTGTGTGTTTTCGCCGGCCGCCATGATTATCACTTTGGCCCATGAATATATAATAGATCAATATTTACTCACGAGGTCCTTTTTTCCCTTCTTCAGCCGACACGTACCATAGAGAAGTCCTCGCACAGAGGCCCGCAAGGCCCTGCCAAAGACCTGATAGATTGTGGGTAGTTTAGGTGTATTTTAAAAATTTAAATGTCCTGTGATTAGCTCTAAAAATCCTTTAAATACCTCTCGATCCTTGCTAAAATCTTCTCTCCTTTCATGGTAACTCACTCAACTAAACTTAACACTAGAAACAAAAGTGATTAAGTTGCGGTTTATGAGATTAATTATCAGCACGTTTGCTTTTCAGAGTGCTGCGCAACAAGTTAAGAGTAAAGTTGTATTGTTGCACTTCCTCTGCAGACGCTTCAAAACCACTCGTGTTAGATTATCGAAATCAATTTTGAGAACTTATATATGAAGCGTGAAAAGTTTTTAAATAAATCAAGAGATTCTTAATAGAGTTTTCTCAAACTAAAACTGTGGGCAACTTTCTGCTCAAGGGACAATAAAATTGTTAGAGAAACTGCAAATATACAACTCTCATTCGCTGGGGTTTGTAATTCAATAAGTCACAGAGCTTTTCACACACAGAGAGAGCGACGACGGACTAAGAAATGAGAGTAAGAGTTATTACATTGTTGGTATTTTCACCAACAAGAGGAGTTGTAAAGGATACACAATTGTAGCATGCAAATTCAGAGAAAATGTAAAGGATTCATGGGATATCAGCATTGAAGTAAATGAAATTCATTTGTGTATTGTTGCTTCGTCTCTAATGCTTTCGAAGGAATGACTTTTTATATTAAATTATGGTTGGAAAGAATGTGTGTGTGTGTGTGTTCACATCCTTTGGGCCCCAAATGAATTTTAGAGAATTCCTTTGTGCACAGGTATTTTCATGTCTCTCCAGATGAAATACGAGTTGAGGGTATTGTTTGAAAATTTAATTTTTCATTCTACTTGCAGAGTATTCTTCTGAAAAGTGTGTATGTGTGTTTTTTGTAAGAAAAGTCATGGAGAATTTTAGGATAGATTTAATAATTTCTATAAAATTCGACTGGCAGTACATTTTGTGAGATGATCATTTATTATTCAGACTCACAAGAGTGTTTGACATGTCTTTGGTCTCTCTAATGTCTTTTTTTTCTTCTCTTCCTCCTTGCAGAAGAAGAAGAAAGAAAAAGGGGTGGATAAGGATATTGAATTTTATAAATATTTTATCATATCTACGCAAATTGAGAGAAATACCCATTTAACCATTTGAGTGAAATTGCTTTTGTTTGGAATCATGTCACGAAAGGGATCCATGTATTGCGAATGTCCTTTTCTCATCGTGTGTGTTTTGCCATCGCCTCATTGTATCATTTATGGCGCACACAACACAACATATGTAACATATCGAATGTGTGTAACTTTTGAACTTATTTTGAGAAAAGAAAGTTTGCCATTTCATCTTTGCTCGGGCAGCGATAGCGAGATGAGGAAGAAGAAAAAAAAACTGAGGGCGAGAGAGAGAGAGGAAAAGTTGTTGCCCAGGAAAATGGTTTGCCGTCCGTAATTATGTTTATCGCTCGGGAAAGATATCTCATTAAATGAATTGCCCAATATGGGATGAATGGCCAGACCTTTCGCCACATTTCAACAGTCTTTGGGGCTTCTTTAAACAACTTTGTCACACTCTCCGGGACTGGATCTTGAGCGAAATTGTGGTCACATCGTCAAAAAATAAATTGAATTACTTGAGAATTTTCTCTGCTTAACACTTGATTCACACATCGTAACATTGAAAATTGTTAGATTTCGTCCTTCCCTTCGATTAGATCTCTTTATTGTCCTTGATTGAAATTAGTTTTTCAATCATTCAAAATTATTATTGTCTTATTGAGAGATTAGAAACCCAGCTAAGAAGTTCATATCATCCACATTTAACCGGAATTATAACAATTCCCAACTGTGATCTATCAATTCGTCGTCGTAAATACTGTCGATGATGCGGCGAATCGGGTTGATAAAGGTGTCTGAGATTCAATGCTTTTCTATTTCCCACCTATCTTGCATACATCATCTCCCAAAAGCATAGCCGAAGAAGTGTCGAAAGCCATTGAGGGTGAAATGGAATATATGGTTTATATTATAAATGTTGACACGAGCTTGATTACATTTTGAACTGAAATCGATAGGAGAACAACAAAGGCATCCATTCTTTATTGAGAAATGTGTTTTTTTTTTTCCCTGTGCGCTTCTGAGGGCCAAACATGGGCACAGAGTGAGAGAGAGAGAAAGAGAAAAAGAAGAAAGGGTGGACGTGCGGAAGGGGTGAAAAAAAGCGAAACAAGAAAACATGGGAGTAAAATAAATAAAGAAAAATCAATCTCCTGCTTTGCTGGATGGGCGCGATGAAGGAAGCTAGAAGCAGGAGCTTTCGGGATGACGAACAAATAGAGAAAGCGTGTGTGAAAATTTCTCCAGACGATATAAATTGTATTTAAATTTGAGGACAAAATCACAAGTGACTGGTTGTTTGGTGGGAAAGCGATGAAGGATGAAAAGTTGAGGACTAAATCACGGGAATTTATTATTGTTGATCCGATCAAAAAAAAAAAAGGGGGGAAGACAAGGAGAAGAATAAAGAAGTGAGGAAGGCACAAAGAACGACTTTCACAGGCAGCCATACTCAAAATTGACTTTTCTATTTAGTGTGTTATGATTTTCTTCTTGAACTGATAGAAGATTATTGAGTTAAAAAGTTTCTCATATTTTCTCGCTGTTGGCGTGTGAAGAACAAAAAAGAGTGTGAGAGAAAAAAGGACAGAATTGAGTATTCCAGAAGGAAAGTGGCACATTTCTTTTTTTCTCATCATGTTTTCAGAGGTTGGAAAAGCTGTGGCGCGAGCAAAACGACGACGTTGAGAAGATAAATCTCCAAGCAAAAGAGGGTGATAGAGATTTTTCATTCTCTGTCTCAACACGAAGATTTGATACATTTTCTTTAGTTTAGAAAGGTGGTATAAATTCCTCTGTAAATTGGTATATTTCAGTTTCTATTTTCTACATTCTGTGATGTGGAAAAATTGTGTGCCCAAAAAATGTTGGTGGAGGGAAAAGTTTTAAAAATTTATTAACATTGTCTGCAAAAGGGGAGACGAAGAAATACCTCTGGCTTTGCCATACACTTAACGCAATTGCCGAGAAAGTTTTCATAAAACTTGAAATACCACCACGAATGCTTCTTCTGCATGAGCTTCTTCTTCTGCTCCTATTTTTTTTTTCCTCTCGTGCCACCGGAAGAGTTTGTGTGAAAGCATTGGGAGTAATTAAAAGAGGAGAACTTCCTGTGGATGTTAATTCAATTCATTAGCATACCGCCGGGTCCATTGTCTCTTCAGCGCGTAATATAAGTTACTATTTTTTCATGGCATAAACTCACGTACATTCCATGAATTGTTTACTTAATATCATTAATAATAGCAAAATTAACTTTCATTTCACTCTCTCAAAACAGCAAATGAAAAGTGTCTGGATGGGTTTGAGTGGAGTTGAGAAAATTCTTGGGTTTCACAGTCTGGATAGGTGTGTGCAACCATCAGAAGGTGTTTTCCCTCTAGCCATTGATGGGCAAATGGGGTGGATATTTCACCCTGTGAACAATTTCACTCTCGGGCTCCATTAGCAAAAGTGAACACACACACACGCTCAACGCCCAAATAAATAAATTGAGATAATATTTTTTTTTACTCTCTTTTTCTGGCCAAAAATTGCCAGAGGGTCATAAATGAAAATGGGTTAAATCAATGGATGCCACCAACATATTGCTCCGTCTCCATCCGCTGTTTTTGGGGATTTTTTTTTGTTTTTTTGGAGAAAGGCGCGATATTGCGCCATGAAATTCACAGAATGTTTGGCGAGGAAATAATATCCATGAAAGGGAGTGAAAAATCCACTCAGACCCAAACTTTTATAGAAGATGTGATGAATTTCGGGGAATTTCTCATCTTACATTGAGAGATATTGAGAGTGTTATTTAATATTTCTGACCAACATAAAATATAATGTATAACTTCATGAGTGGATTTTCATATATTTTGCAACAATGTCCAAGGGGATGATAATATGGTTTAGAGTACATCACTTCTTAACACTTCCAAATATGCTTGATAGCACTTGAAATTCTTAGACTGTGTGCACATTAATTCTGAAATTATAAGAAACCGCATTTTTTGACATTTTTCCAACCATAATCTCAACATATAACTAAGAGATCTTCAAAGACTCTTTCTTAGCATAAGAAGTTGAGAAAAACATTGTTTATTGCATGAAAACGCAAAATCTCGTTACATAACCCAGAGAAGCATTATTACGATTATTTGTGCGTTAAAATCAAAAGAAATCTGAAAGATTTGGATAATTTTGTGAGTAAAAGAAGTACTCAGAAAAGGAATATTGTATGCTTTGGAACATTTCCACTTCTTAAATACTCCTGCTGATCTGTACACCACTTCTGACTGTATTATCTCTCTCTTGACAACATCCTCAGATGGGGGAGGGGGAAAGCACAGCTAAAGAGTGACTCAGATGAGATTTATTTCCTCAGCCACACAGAATTTATATAACAATTTATACATTTCGGTCGAACAACTATCTAATTTGCTCTGGCCTACAGAGCTTGAAAGTTGAAGGTTTTCTGCAGGATGTTGTGCCACAGGAAGAGCAAATGTGTGGGAAGAGATAGTGAAAGATTTATTTTCCACACTTCTTCGTGCAGTTGAGGAGTGAATGTGAACGAGAGAGAGAGAGAGAAGCTTAGACACATATAAAATTTTAACAACTATTTCCTCTTGGGTGGAAATTTGAGTGAAAGTTCCACTCTAACTGGTGTGACGAAGATACGACAAAGTTTTGGCCGCTTTTCTTATATATGTACGGAAAGTTAAATGAAATGAGAAGAGAAAAAGGCATTCTCGTTAATTGGCATACAAGCTTTTTCCACACACACACACAATGCCATCGTCGCTTTTATTGTCTGTCCCATTCCCGCTCTGAATTTTCTTTGCCCACCCACTTTTGTGGTCAGGCTTTTCTCCTTGGCATTAAGAGAGTGTATTTTAGGAAATTTGCTGCCAAATATTATAGAGTGTATTTTCACTAATGGTTATATATGTTACCTTTCGGTCAAGAGGGAAAATGAGGGTGAAATTCAAAGGCAAGATAAACAGTGTTGAATGTGAAGCCGCAGAGAGAGAAAGAGAAAATCAGAAAAAGAGTTTATTCATCTTTGAAATTTCCACCCTAATTATATAGACACAAAGATACATACGTTTTACATGGAATGTGATAAATGGAATAGGAAATAGAGGTGAATGTTAGTGGTTCCTTTTTGCCCTATATATGTACAGAATGGCAAAGGAAACTCCATTCGGCAACATGGGCAAAGGAAAAAGCACTTTTTCCTCGACAAGAAAAAAAATACAACTGCCAATAAATGATTTATTTAAGTAAAAAGTCTCCCATTGAGAAATGGACACAGAGGACAAGGGATTGCTATTATAGTTGTGTCGAGGCGTTTCTTGTGCAGTATTTTTCAACATGGTTTGTTGTGTACATATGGATCTCATAAATTGCTTACTGTTCACCTCTTGTACAGCATTATTTTATTTATGTGCTTGACCAATGCATTTATTTGCTTTTGTTATGCGGTCACCGTGAGGTGGGCAAAGAATAAACAAAAAAAAAGGAACGAGAATAGATACATTTGGCGCGAGGAGATTTCTCAACGGATTGTGTGTCCTGATTTCTCTTTCATGTGCTTCTTTTTTTTCGCCCATCACAGAAATCCAGAGAGTCCAGCAAAGTGGAAAAGTACCACCACGTGAAAATCGTTATGTGGACATCTATCGTGAGAAGCAGATTCGGGTGAATGTAAAAGTTCTTGTGCCCGTGAAGGAGCATCCAAAGGTGTGAAGGGAGATTCTCGTGGAGTTGCGAATGTGTCGAGTTAATTATGCATTGCTTGGCGGCACTAATTTATTGTTTCGTCTTCTCTTTTTGGGCGCAGTTCAATTTCGTGGGTAAATTGCTGGGCCCCAAGGGCAATTCCATGAAGCGCCTGCAGGAGGAGACAATGTGCAAGATGGCAGTTTTGGGCCGCGGCTCTATGAAGGATCGCAAGCGCGAGGAGGAACTCAGGGCGTCGCTGGAGCCAAAGTATGCACATCTCAATGATGACTTGCACGTGGAGATTTCTGCTCTGGCGCCGCCGGCTGAGGCACACGCGAGGATTGCTTACGCCCTGGCCGAGGTGAGAAAGTACCTCATTCCGGACAGCAATGACAACATTCGGCGTGAGCAGATCCGCGAGTTGCTGTCGGAGAACAATCCCGAGCACGATGTTGAGCTGGAGCAGCCAAGAGCCATTCCGCAACCTCGGCCACCGCCCGTGACGGCGTACTACCGCGCCGCACCGGCGCCAACTCCTCCGCCGCGCACTCAAGTCTCCGGACGCACTGTGATGCCGGCCAAGCAGAAGATCATGTCGATACTGGATCGCGCCAGAACGGCCATGGAGGAGAGTTATGGGTGAGTCTTTGAGCGCCTCAATGGTGATCTGTTGGCGATCTTTGACGTGTGTGGAATTCTTATGTATATTCAGTGTGATTTCCTTTGCTGATTCGACAGACTCATCACTCATTTGATAAAAGAGTCCCCAACAAATTAAATAAGTTTTCACTCTGTGCCTTTTCAGGCCGCCGCCGACGAGTGCGAGGCAATACGAGGAAGCTGCTGTCTTCGATGATCCGCCATACGAGGGATACTCATATGCGCATCACAGTTCCGCGATTCCATCGCGAACGCGCTACGAAATTCCCGAATACGATCCTCCAGAGTACAGGCGCGAATACTATAGAGGATCTCCAACGTATCCAGGTAATAAAGCCACGCTTTGTTGTGTTTTACTATTTTTCTTTTTCAAAAATTAGGATGATTGTGACTTTACGTAAGAGAAGAGAAAGTAATGAAAATCGCGGTATAAATTTATCGAATGAACTATGAATAATTATAAAACACATATAAAGAAAAGAGGAATATTTCAGCCAAAGGACGTCAAAAGCGAAAAGGGAAATGAAGAGATATAACATTATGTCTAAATAATAATTATGCAATGTGACTCGCCATTTAAAAAGTCTTAATGAAATCAAATATAATGCCAAAATACAGTGAAACCAAGTGCGACGGCGGTTCGGCCATCCTGGAAGAGTAGCGGTGGATATCCGTCGGCGCGCGGACACGAAGAGTCGTCGACAAAGCACCATCACGCCCATGCAAGTCGTGAAAGATATCGCAGCTCGCCTTATCAAACATCCAGATCATCTAAGTAAATGTCTAAATATAAATATTTCTACTCCTTTTGTTGCCGTAAAATCTGATTTGGACAGAACTGAAAAAAATGTCGGGGGTTAAACTAAAGCCCAAAAATAAGGAAAACGTTTTTAAAAAAATGCTTGCTAAAACATTTTTAAAATCTTTTTTAAAAACTTAAATATTTTTTGAAAAGACAAAATGATGAGTAGATTTAAGATTCACGGTAAAATGCCTGCAGAGAGAAAAAATACGATAAAAAAAAATAATACTTTAACAATTTGCAATTTTAGATTCTGAGGAGAGAAATAAAATAATTTAAAAGAAAGAGTGAATTGGCATTTAAGAAAAGAGCATTTTATTAATGCTCAAAATAACATAAGTTAGATTTTTTTCATTAAAAACTAAAAAAAATTATTTTACTCTCATCTTAACCGATAAAACAATTTCTTTAAGGTTCCATTGGATTATAAAAAGACAAGAAAAATGACAAGAAATATAAAAGTGTCTTTCGAATGATATGGAAATTGTAACAAATGCTAAAAGAAAATATACAAATGTTTCAGAGAAATCCGTGAAAATTCAGATTCACTTAAAAGAAAAAAAAAACACACACAAACACCAAAAAAGTGAGGACTTTATAAAGATGATCGTGCAAATAAATAAACTGCAAGAGTGAGAATTCAGCATTTATAGATCTAGAATTATGCTAATATGCCATTTGTTTCTGCAGGAAGCAGAGGACTTAGGTAGCGAGCGAGGATCAGCAGTTGAAGGTGAAAGAATTGCCACGAAAAGAGAGCGGTTATCAGCTGATAAAGGCAAGTATATGAGGAAATGTTCAATTTCTCTGCATAATTACATTAATTTTTCTTCCTTTTCAGACCGAAAACTTCAGCTCAAGTCACGCGCGCAGAAAGGATGCAAATTTCCCACAAATTTTACTCTATTCGAATCTAATCGTAGAATTATTCATCAAGAAGCAATTTATTGCAATCCAAATAATATTTTAGTAATGACAGTAAATTTATTAAATTATTATTGTGTGGTAATCAGAAATTTTGTATCTCTGTCGAATAGTGAGAGAATAAATATTCAAGGACATAGTGGAATTCTGCTTAATCCGTAGGATTCTGGATGACCAGCAGGATGAAGTCCTTATCCGGGGCCACCATGATTTCGTGCTTCTTGGAGCGGACGCGCAGGAAGGTGAGATCATTGGAAGGGTCCAAGTCCCTGACCACACTTCTCGCCTTGTCAGCCAGCTGACTCATCAATCCGGCGTACTGAACCGTCGTGGTGTTGTCAAGTGTGCTCTTCACGGGAATGCCTGCAAAGAAGACACACTACAGATCTGCTCCCTGACTCCTGGCGGGGGCGCTATTTGCCGCCAGTACCTTCATTATTCACAACAATTGTCCCGACAACGCCTTTGTGGGACTGAATTCTCTTCAGCGTCTCCTCAACTTCTTGCGACTGCAACAAATGGAGAATTATCAGAAAAATGAGGAGCTTCTCACACACTATTCACTTGCCATTTCCACAGGATCTTTTCAGGAGGATTTCGGGAAAAAGATTATTGATGTCACTGCTCTGTTGTTTTGGCCACTGGAGGGGCGAAAGTGTGGTTATGTCTGATGGTGAATATGAAAGTGACCCAAAATCCCACCCAAATGGAAATGGCGCGAAGCTTTTTCCCCTCTCACGCTCTGAGGAAAAATTACATTTATTCCCACATAAAAGTCTATTATTCTTTCACTGTTCTACCCTCTTTACCCTTTTGAAAGGCAATAGAATAATTCATGCCGATAAATACACATTTCTAGGCAGGTAAAACAACAATTGTCCCTTTGCCTATTGATGCATAGAGATGATTGTGGCTGATAAAATTAATGTTTTGCTGTGGCAAATGCGAGTATTACATGGAGTTGGTGTTCAGTATAATTGTGCTCTCTTGCCTGACGAGATGGAGAAAGTCAAGGAGAAAGTTGATGAAAAGGATTTGCATCTCTACATCAATGAGTGTTTTGCAAAGATTGCCGAAAAGAGTGATATTCTCGAGATTATTGCGCTGGATGATAACAGTGAGTTGATCAAGAGTTTCTTTACTTGAAGTCTTAAGATCTGAGGGAAAAGTTCTTTGCTTGAACATTGCAGACGATCCAATCAGAAGCACCATTCGTGATCGTCAAGTGAACTTGGATTATACAGGACTCTTCGGGTCACTGCTAATGAAGGCTCGTCGCGCCGTGAGGCTCATGGATGCCAATGATGAGCTCGTGGAGATCCGCGTGAGGACGAGAAAGCACGAGACATTCATAATTCCGGATGAGAATGTGACTTTCATCACCGTGCAGAGTTCCGTTGATAGAATCTAAAGTTCAAATGTTGCGCTCGCCAGTGGTGAATTCGGCCGCTATGTTCACCACCACTTTTCTCCGCGAGCGCATCGTCAGTGGAGTTTGTATTTCAATGGCTGCCAATGTGATTAGATTCCGTGTGAGTTTTCATGTGATTTTCCTGTCTCCCAGCGAGAGTGCATTGATAGTGTAGTGTGAAAGTTTTATGGAAGATCCCAATAAAGGTGGGTGTGATGGAGTTTCCGTGGATGCACGGCGCTGTGGCCGGGAAAAAGGGGTTGTGAGGAAAAGTGGTCAGTCTGTGACTATGTATATGTGTGGAGGAAGAACATTTTCTTATCACTCTCCCTCTCGGACTCCATTGCTCTGAGTGTGTGAGGTGGAATTTTCATTCACGCGGGACTGTGAGATAATTCCGCAGTGCCCCGTGATATATGGCACACAGGTGCAGATCTCGCTCTGTGACCCAGAAAGTCGGGATTGTCGGGAATTTGACATCTTTTCGCAAGATTTCTTTTCGTGGCCAAAACACTCCTTGTCTCTCGGCACTTTGGGGCGTTCGGCGATAAATCACACTCCCAGTTGACCAGAGAGTCTCAGTGGGTGTCTTCTCGCCATCTCAATATATATATTGATTGCACTGCGGGGGGAATGAGGACATCCACCCTCGAGCGAGAGAAAGGGAGAGACGGATCTCAGAGGCGCCAAAAAGTGAATAAATTTCACACTGCGAAATTAAATCGCTCAATATTCGTGGTGGAATGCGATGCAAAGGCGGGAGAATCTCCCTCGCTGCCCTATATAGAAGCCCACAATACGTGTGGAATAGAGCGTTTTGGGGTCGGTCACTGACTCCTGCGGCTCTTTCTCTCACTCTGTGTGTCCTTTCGCCCCAATGGAAAAGTGCGCTTTGATGGCTTCCACAGAGAGGGTTCAGGTCAAGGAGAACTGGCGCGCGAGTGCACAGAGGGTGAATTTGATAAGGCGCAATTATGTGCATTGGATAATCTTACAAATTGTGAGTCTAATGTTTGTCTCTTGTTTTTCAGATGGAAATTGAACCACGAATTGCGGTTTTGCAAGATTTACGATTGCAATCATTCGATTCCATTCGATTTGCATCGTACAGAACAGCATCGAAGCTGCGTCACATTCAGAAGTCCACCAATTGTGAGTAATCTTTCAATGCTGAGAATCTTGAGGGAATGTTGAGATAAATGTCTGTTTTGCAGTACATCTCGTGGATATATGGAATGTGATTGAGGCATTTCGCGAGAATGGATTGAACACACTCGAGCCGCAGAGTGACGTGAGTGTGGCTCGTCTGGAGACACTCGTCTCGTCACTCTATCACAACCTGAACAAGCGTCTTCCCACGGCACAGCAAGTTCCCGTGGATTCCAAGGCCAGCCTCCTGCTGAACTGGCTCCTGGCCGCCTACACCACGGACAACTCCGGCAAGATCAAGGTGTTCTCCATCAAAGTCGCGCTGGCGACAATGTGCGCCGGGAAGCTGGTGGACAAGCTGCGCTACGTCTTCTCGCAGATCTCCGATGGCATGGGTCAGCTGCTGCACTTCAAGCTGGGCGAGTACCTCAAGGAGGTGCTCACGCTCACGGCCGCCGTGTACGAATCACCCACATTTCACTACACGGACAACCTGGAGACGGAACTGTTCCCGCTGGACACCAAGGTAACGGTGAATGACTTCATGGGCGCACTGATGTCCGAGCCCGGACCGCCGTGTCTCGTGTGGCTACCACTGCTGCACCGCATGGCCAGCGTGGAGAATGTCGTGCATCCCACCATCTGCTCCGTGTGCCACAAGGAGAACTTCACCGGGTTTCGCTACCGTTGCCAACGATGTCACGCCTATCAGTTGTGCCAGGACTGCTTCTGGCACGGACGCGTGTCACTCAGTCACCTCACGGACCACGAGGTGAAGGAGTACAGCACGTACAAGTCACCCAGCAAGCAAATCGGCCACTCGCTGCGCAAGAGCTTTCGCTGTGTGCCCGACAAGCCAACGCAGGCCCTGCCGCGCTTCCCGGAGCAGCCCGAGAAGACGCTGAATCTGTCGCACATCGTGCCACCGTCGCCACTGCCCTCGCACAATGGCTTCGCGGATGGCGGCGTGATGGCGGGCCTGTTCGAGCGCAGCAGCACACTCGACTCCAGGGCCACGGGGTGCTCCATGGAGAGCGCGTCGCTGAACAGGGCGGCTGTGATGTCCAATGACGAGGAGCACAGACTGATTGCACGCTATGCCGCGCGACTGGCGCAGGAGAATCGCACACCAAATGCGCCGCCGGGTGAGGCGTCAATGACAGTGGATGGGGCGCGCCAGCAGCGGGAGCTAATTGCACAGTTGGAGGCGAAGAACAAGGAGATTATGCGGGAGATTGCGCGACTGAGGCGCCAACAGGAGGCGGAACAGATGAATCAAGAGAGTCCGGCGCTGATGAACGAATTGCGGGCGTTGCGACAGCGAAAGGGCGAATTGGAGGGACACTTGGGCGCCCTGCAGGACTCCAGGCGTCAATTGATGGCGCAGCTGGAGGGATTGATGCGAATGCTGAAGAATCATCAGACCTCGAGTCCCAGATCCACGCCAAACTCCAGTCCGCGCTCTGGGAAGAGTCCTCCATTGCCACAAGGTGGGAAAAATTACTTGACGAAAGATTGAATTGTGTGTTTGATTCTGGGTGACTTTTGCAGGTCCTCAGAGCGCAATCACGAGGAATTCGGCCCATCAGACTCAAGCGACTGGAATCAGTGGCAATTTGAATGATAATATGCCACAATTGACATACTCTACAGCTCCTTCAAGTGAGTTTCCCTCCTTTTTTCCCGTCCTACAACACTTGCGCATTGCTTATTTGTGATCTTGTTCGGCAGATGGAACACCGCATCTCATAACAACTGCACGTCCCGTTCGCACGGATTTACACTTCGCCGCTGACTCTGTGACTCATGCCATGTCTTCTCTGGTCAGGGAACTGAATTCGGGTGAGTTTTGCCTTGCCTCGCCGTCCGGATTCACTTTGATCTCTATTCCTTCTTTGTCCTCTCTTTATCACTTGCATTTTTATATGCCACGTGAATGGACATTTGCACAATATGTTTCTTTATGTAACCTCTTATATATATATATATATGATCTTTTTACGGTTTTTTTCACATTCAGTGTGTGGCAATTAAATAATGGACTTTAGGGGTCAGAAAAATGCAGGGTGATCATCATCAATTCATAACTTTTACGAACTCTGCAATGTTGCAACGACTCCTTAATCAATATTAACTATTAGCCAAGACATTATAGTACTCTTAATTAATTGCCACACACTGTAATTTATTTTCTCCATCTCATATTTTTGTCTCTTCCCTCACATATTATTTTTTTTCCATGAAAAAAAAATTGACATTACGAGTGGAGATGAGAAGATATCTTCAATTTATTTGTTATCTTTCACTATTAGAGGAATGTTAAATGTGTTTTTCAGAAGGATCAGAAGATGAGACTACGAAAAATATACAAAAAACTCTAGGTGAGTTTTCTCTCTGTCTTCTCTATAAACTATAAATGGCTCTTTGTTCAGAATCTTAATTGTTGCTTTCTCACAATGTAATTATATTGTTTTTTTCCCCTTTTGGTGCGCGCGCCTTGGCGAAGAAGACGTTTTTCTTCAGGATTGTCGTTGAAATGATGATTGAAGATATTGTTTTGTGTTCTGTGTTTGCAGACTTTGACGATCCGCAGAATTATCAGGAGTGGAACGAGAAGGACAATTCAAATAGTCAGTGGCAGGAGCAGTTTGCGCAGTGGAATTTGAATAGCCAGAAGTAGAGAGAGAGACGCCAAAAGATTTCTTAGCTATTTCCCTTCATGAAAAGCGTCTACAGTCGTGTGAATCTCATCAGTGGATATAATTTATAAGGATTAGAGAAGCATAGAGAGAAAATGACATTCCCACACGTGCAGGGGATTTTCCGTTTTCAGTGTATACAGAATTTAAAAAAAAAACCAGAGAAATACTTAAACTTCCCGACAGTACTTAAGTTTCTGAAACTTCTTGCAATACCAGAGAAAATGGCAGAATTGTATAGTTTTCCACAAATTGTTACATTTGTTAATAATTTTAAAACAAAGTTTTAAATTATCTACTTAAAGTATTAAGCGTAGGGCCTAATATTATATGTATTTGCTGAGTACCTAAAGATGAATAGAAAGTAGGACAGAAGAGGATTATTAATTCCTCGAATTTAGTGGCGCGCGGGTTAGTTTGGCGTTAAGGTGGAAGAATAAGTACCATTTTCTTTCTAATAACTCTGTGAAGATGTAGAGAAAAATTGCGGATTTTGATACATAAAAGAAGAAAAAAAATGCTATTCACAAACATTATACATTCCATTAAATTCGCGAAAGAGGTTTGAAGAATGAAAAAGAGAGATAAAAGTCGCAATATCGTGAAAATATTGTAGGAAGAGAGAAAATTTCAATTCCATTCACACATAATCAATTAATCAAAAAGAATTATAAAAAAAAGCATACTTATATATACATAGTGTAATGCATATTACCAATGAATGTCTTAAGCGTAAAGGTATAAAAAAAAAACTTAGAACGAAGCGCATGTGCATGTCAAAGAGAAAGACAAGTGTTGATTGAAATATAAATGAATATTTGCAAACATAATAAATTACACAGCAATTGCGCTCTAGTCCAGAATCGCCGCGTTCGCCACCACGCTGGGATTGTTGACGATCTCCCCGAGGCTGTCCAGCACCTCCTTGCGATAGTCATCGAAGTCGCCGTCGATCTCGTTGATCGTCTGCTCCTCGATCACGTACAGGCCGCACTCCGTCTCGCGGATCAGCCGCTCGTCGTGCGACACGATGATCACACCGCCGTTGTACTCATTGATGGCCTCCGCCAGGGCGTCGATGGACTCGATGTCGAGATTGTTGGTCGGCTCGTCCAGGATCAGCACATCTGGACCGCTGAGACAGAGCTCGGCCAGCGCCACGCGCGCCTTCTGGCCACCCGACAAGTCCTTCATCTTGATCGTGTGCGCGTGACTCACCAGTCCGAACGTGCCCAGCGCCTTGCGCGCCTTCTCGTGCTGCAAGTTGAACAAGCGCTGCAGATACTCCGCCGCGCTCTCCTCCGCCGTCAAGTGCTCGCCGGAATGCTGATCGAAGCGCCCAATGCGCAGTCTGTGATTCTTGCGCACCTCGCCGCGCTGGGGCTCCAGATCGCCGCACAGGAGCTTCAGGAAGGTGGATTTTCCCACTCCATTCGGTCCCACGATGGCAATTCTGCTGCTCAAGTCAATGCCGAACTCCGTGTTGATGAACAGCGGCTTGTGACCAGGAAAATTGAACGTCACCTCTGTCGCAGAGACAAGAATCACATCATCATCATCGTCAGCACAAATAATTCAACAATTCCACACTCACCGTGAAGTCCCAGGATCGGTGGCTGCAGTGGCGGCGGATCCGGAAAGCGGAACTTGACAATGTAGTCTCGTGGCTTCGTGAGCAACTCCACAGCTTGCTCCTCATCCTCATTCTTCGGCCCCTTCGAGCGGTTCTTCTCCTGCTTTCGCGTCAGCGCCTCCTTCTGCTTCTTCTCCGCCGTCTTGGTGGACTGTCCGCGTGTCTTCATCTCCTTGATCTTCTTCTCCTGCTTCTCGTACTCCTTCAGCATCTCTTTCTTCTTCTGCACGTGCATCTTCTTGAACATGGAATAGTTGCCCTTGTAGTAGTGCAGCTTCTTGCAATCCAGATGAATTATCTCGTTGCACACATTGTCCAGGAAGCTCTGGTCGTGAGACACCACCAGCAACGTCTTCTTCCACCCCTGCAGGTAATTGTCCAGCCAGATGACAGCATTGAGATCCAGATGATTCGTCGGCTCGTCGAGCAGCAACAGCGTGGGTTCCATGTACAGAGCGCGCGCCAGGGAGACGCGCATTCTCCAGCCTCCGGAGAACTTGTTTGTAGGTCTGTCCTGCATCTCCTTGGAGAATCCCAGACCGGCGAGAATTCTGCGCGCGCGGGGCTCCGCCGAATCCGCCCCGATGGCCTTCAATTCGATGTACACCTCATTGAGTCGCTCCTGGGCATCGAAATCCCCGTCTGAAATCCGTTCACTCAATTATCATTTGCCTCCAAATTCACACTCCTTCAACTCACCCTCAATCTTCGCCTCCAGATCCTTGCACTCCTGCAGCAGATTGAGCCTCTTGGTGTCTGCCTTGAGGATGGTTTCCACGGCTGAGTTGTCATCGGCCACGACTTCCTGCTCACACAGCAGCACGTCGATGTTGGGAGGAATGGCGAAGGCACGCGAGGCGAGATGCCGCAGCAGAGTCGTCTTGCCGTGTCCATTGGGGCCCACGAGGCCGTAGCGCCGGCCGTGGGCAATCAGGAGATTCGCATTGACAAACAGATCGTTTCCCTTCGCCGAAATGGTGAAGTTCTCAATCTTAATGTCCACCGCGTGCTCCAGGGCGGCCTTCTGGCCGCCACTCTTCTGCGCCTGAGACATTGTGAAGTTGCTGTCGAGATCCGACGCCCCTTGGCCACCCTTCCGCGTCATTGCCTCCACTTGGCGCTCGTACTCCTGCTGCTTCTTCAGCTTCTTCTTCTCCTTGTGCGTCATTTTCTTCTCCGTCGGCTCAGAAATCTCAAGTTGCGCCACTTCCTCCTCCAACACGTCATCAGGCTCCACGGGAGCCTCCTCTTCTGGCTCTACTTCAACATCCTCCTCATCCTCGTCCAGCTCCTCGTCCTCTATCTTCTCCTCAACAGCGACTTCCTTCGCCTTCGCCTTCTTCGATTTCTTGGCCGGTTTCGCCTTCACCGGAGCCGCCGTTTTCTCCTCCTCAGACTCCACCTTCAGCTCCAGATCCTTCTCATCATCATCCCCCGACCAGTCATCGTCCCTCTTCCCTTTCTTCTTCTTCGTGACCCCGCGCGACGCTTCACTGTTACTCACCACGTTGCTCTTCTTTCCCTTGGACTTGCCTTTCGAGGTTACATCTGATACTGAGCTTGTCTCACTCATGTCCTCCTCGAAGTCCTGGTTCTTCTTGTTGCCTCGCTTCTTCGACATCTTCTGCACAATTTCAATCAATTCCCTAAGCTACAGATTCGACTGACTAATGGTAAATTGGAAAAATACTAAGCACTAGAATCACACGTCAGGGGAGGGGAAACCTGCCAACGGACAACTCGACGCGAGCGCTCACTGCGGACCCGGAAGGAACAGGCAAGCGAGTGTTTTGCTGCAGCTGCGAAGAAAATGAGTCAAATCCTGCGAGGAAGTGTGAGATTTTGCAGCAATTTCGTGAGAAATCGCAATCCCGTCAATGCAGAGCTCATCGACGTGGCAATCAAGCCCAAGGGGTATTATTTGGAGAAGAAGAATGAATTGTTTCACAACACGTGAGTAAACATTCACAATTCCGGCTCTCTTCGCAATTCTCACGCTCTTGTGATCCTTGCAGGCTGCATATTGAGCACACCAATAACTGTGTAACGGCGAAAATTGTAAATCCTCATCGGCAGATTACAGTCCTTCGCGTGTCCACGCAGGAGTGGTCGCTGAAGAAGCACCTGTACAAGCTCAATGACACCGCGGCCTTTGTCCTGCTGGCCAGGGTGCTCGCAGAGCGATGTCTCCGCGCCGGCGTGACTCAATTGGCCCCCTCGGCCAGCATCAAGATCGGACCAGAATTTCCCAAGCACAGCATCTTCCTGGAGACACTGAACAAGAGTGGAATTTCCATGATGGAATAACAACGCATCGTCCTAGCAGTAATCTGATTTATTTACCCATAAACTAGTTCATTTCTACTCGTATTTGTGCTTAATATCGTCCCAAAGTTTCTGCAAAGAGAAGGAGAAAAGGGATCAGCGGAAAACTGGTGTATTATGTAATCCCACTTACGCCTTTATTGACTTGACGGAAAAGCGTTTCTGAGCCCAAGTCGAAGGCTCTCTCGAAGAAGAACGCAGATACCAGGACTCCCACGGCGTAGGTGGACGTTCGGCGGAACACGGATTTGTACAGGAAACTCATTTTCTAGCTGCTTTTCTCGCCTGAATCCTCCAGAACCTCTTGACAGCTGGCCTTGTCTGATCTAACCTCACTAAAGGAAAGTGTCATGGCGGAGAGCGCGGATTTTCAATTGTAACGGTTTTCATGTGCTCATCGGGAAGTTTTCTGGAGAAAATGCATAGAAAAGTGAAGAATTTCTTATCTGATAAGATACGCAATAATCACTTATTGGTCAATAAGCATTTATTGATACAGAAATCTACTCCCATGATTCCTTTGTCTCACCAAAACTTTAAAATGCGCTTTTGAACTCCCTAATTCCGGGAGTTCAGAACTCCTCGTGGAAAGGAAAGTATTTGTGGGTGGTGAAGGCTGTGAAGGGACACGTTCTCTCACCAGTATTGAAGGATTGCATAACGCAGAGATCCTCGGGACTCAGTTCGAAGTCGAAGATCTCAAGATTGTCCTTCATTCGCTCCTTGTTGGAGGATTTGGGCACAGGAGTTGTGCCCAGTTGCACCAGGAAGCGCAAGACAATCTGTCCGGGTGTCTTGCCATACTTCTTCGCCATGGCTATCACTCTGTCGTCCAAAAGCGCTGGTTTGGGGAACTTGGGATCCTTCGCGGCATAATGAGGCCTGCCCAGGGGACTGAATGCGATCAAAGCGATGTCATTCTTGGCACAGTATGTCCTCAGTGGCGCTTGATTGATGCCCGGATTGCATTCAACCTGATTCGCCACCGGCTTCACTGAGCAATTCGCCAGGAGGCGAGTCAATTGGTGGCTGCTGAAGTTGGACACGCCAATGCTCCGCACCAAACCCTTTTCCACCAGAGGCTCCATCGCCCTCCACGTGTCCAAATAGTCTGTGTTGCTGAATAGCATTTCTCCGGCACTGTTCTTGGGCGCTGTGTCCTCATCCCCGTGGAATTCCATGCCAAAGGGTGTATGCATGAGATACAGATCGATGTAGTCCAGTCCCAGGTTGCGCAGAGACATGCGACAGGCTCTCTCCACATGCTCAGGATCGTGGTGGATGGCGCTCAGCTTCGTGACCAGGAAGATGTCCTCACGCTTCACGACTCCCTCAGCAATTTTCGCATTTATTGCCTTTCCCACCTCATTTTCGTTGTTGTAGGAAAAGGCAGTGTCCAGATGGCGATACCCAATGTCGATGGCATACTTTGTGGCATCCTCACACTCGCCCTTGAGTGCCTGGAAGCGAGAAGATAAGACCAATTAACACGTCAATATCAAGAGAGTGTTTTGTGGGCTTTTCTCACCAAATACGTTCCCAAGCCCAATTGCGGCATCTTCTGCCCATTCCTCAGAGACACAAGCGTTGCCATTCTCCTCGTAATTTCGGTAAATCCCGTCCTCAGAGCAGCACCAAGAATTCCCATCCGCAGCTGATGACTGGGTTTCCGCCATCTGACCGCGAAGTGCAGCCAACTTCACGCTGTAGCTGTCTCACTTTGCTAATCCTCCTTGGGAGTTTTACTTTGGGAAAAGTTGTGAAAAACTCAGTGAAAATGCTTGCTGCCCGCGCTGCTCTTGCGAGATTGGCATCCCGGAACTGTAAGTCATCTCGGGGAGTAATAATTAACCCAATTGCTTCGAATAGCGAAGGAATTCCGGAAGATAAAGCTGAGATTATGTAACTCCGCTGGAAAGGTCACTTTCCTGCACAAAACCAGCATTTCCCACAAATTTTCCTCCTTATCTGTGTCCAATAGATACTTTTTTGACTCTTTGGGAGGTTTAATTTGGGTTGCAAGTGATTTAGTGGCAGGAAATTGAGATGAAGCATTCTAACCTCAATCCGTGATGTTTTGCAGTGGCAGGAAGAGCTGCTCCGGCTCGCTGCTATCACGGAAAGAATCCCCACAGCCCATCCACGATGGATCACCTGCCCACGCCGCAGGGGGACTTCTATGAGCTCCACGCCAAGCGTCAGGCCAGGTTCAATAAGACCCTCGCGGTGGGAATCGTGACTTTCGCCATAACTTGCACCGTTGCGAAGGAAAGCGGCCTCCTGCACTTCAACTGGAGCCCCCCAGACACCTACGAATAGATGGATTAGCGCCCCGCAGACTAGTTGATTGAGAGAGAGAGTATTTGAAATAAATTACTGGTGCGCCAGAACTCTCGGCATAATTTATTAACTCTTAGTGCGAACGTGCGATTTCCGAGAAGAACTCAAGGATGTCATCAATGGAGAAATCCAGCGTGATCATAGCACCAGCGTAGCACCGCTGAATCCTCTCCTCCAGGAAGTTATACTGCACAATGAACTCCTCCTGCATTGCCCGCCACACCACTTGCAGGAGATTCTCCTCCTCGCAGAGATGCTTCTCCACTTTCTTGTACAGATGCTCGAGGCCCTTCTTCACCTCTCGCGCTGGATACTGCGCAATAACTTTCCTCAGCTCCTGCTTCGAGTACGCCATCTGATAGCTGATCTCCTGCTCCTTCACGCCCTGCTGCACCTTCAGCTGCACACCCTCGAAGAAGAGATTGAGCTTCTCCAGCGGCCGACCGAAGTACTTCGTCACATAGGCGTCCAGAGCCTCCTTGTAGCGCACCTTCGCCTCCTTCTTCTGCCCATCCAGAGCCACCACCTTCAGCTGCGCCAGCAGGGAGTGCATGTGATGGTAGTTCTCCATGTTCACCACCTGCCGAGGCGTCTTCGAGTGCTCCTGCGCATGATTGGGGATCATCTCGAAGATTGTCGCCACGAGCTGCGTATACCACTTGTCCAGGTCCGCTCGGCGCTCGGATTTCTTGAAGATCTTCTCGGCGCTCGTGCTAAACTCCTCGAAGTTCTCCACGTACGGCAAAAGGCCGCACTTTGATCGCTTCGGCACCTTCGCTTCCCGCACGGACTGCAATTGAGTCTGCATGAATTTGTCAAAGTTCCTCTTCACGTGCACCAGAGCCGAGGCGAAGGTCATGCTGAGGAAGGAGTGCGCATCCTGGGCTGACATCACATGCTGAGACAGTCTCACGAGGACATACATTGAGTACCTGAAGAAGAGGAGGTTAATATAGTCTTGGGAATTCCCATTTAATTCACCGCCAATACTCACAGGCTGTCGACCTTCTCGAAGCTCTGGATGAAGCTGTTGAGCTCTGGCTCCAGACACCCAAATAATTCTGTCATCATCTTGCGCACCTCCTCGTTGATCTGCCTGTCAATCCGCTTCTGTGGCGGCGACACCACCACGGCCTGATCATCGCGCTCGGCTGCAGCAGCATCGAGAGTGGTCTGGGTGTTGCGACTCGTGGGACTGAGAACGTCCATCTGGAAGAATGAGATGCAGAAGAGCTGCTCACTCAGCGCCATCGGCTCCAGATCTCCCAGCACTTTCTCCAGTATTCCATCCAGCTTCTGCCTCTCAGCACCCTCAATTCCCGGCGCCCAGAGATCCCGGTTGATGCCGATGATGCCATACGGCTGGAGGAGCTGCTTCCCACGCGTGGCACTCGTGGACGCGGCCACATCCTCGCGCATGACCTGCTGCCGAGCCTGATCGAAGAAGTGGCGGATCTCGCGATCGTACACCTTGTTCAGAGAGCTCGTGTACACCTTCGCCAGCTGATCGTACGCCTTCCTGTCCATCGCCTTCAGCCAATGCATTAGCTCGCCATAGCTCGCGAGCTCTCTGTGCACGGAAGTGTGCTTGGGCAGATGCGGATCGCTGCCCTGGCCCTCGCCCAGGTCGTTGCCCAAGTGGATGAACATGTTGTTGAGATGCCGACTGATGGTTTGGGAGAACTTCGCCTTCCACTTCTCGAAGCGCTTCCGCTGATCCTGGACAGCCGTGAGGCGCAGCAGGGCGGGATCGATGTCACTGTTCATGGCCGTCTGCAGAGCCTTGCCGGCAGCAATTGCCGCCGCCAGTCCCGACGGCGACGTGAGATCCGTGTCCGTGAGAGCAACTTGGTGGGCATGAGCCAAGTCCAGTTGCGTCACAATCCTCTCCAGCTCCCCCATCAGCTTGATATTGTTGGCATTTGCCACTTCGATCATCGTATTCTTCTCGCCCATCTTCTCCATCGTGTCTCGGATGTGACACAGGATCTCATCATAGGCATCCAGGCGTTCCTCCACTCGTTCCGCCTCAGCAATTGCCGTCTCAATCTGTTCCATCAGCGCGTTCACTTGCTTCTCGGACGCCAACACGCTCTGCACATTGGCACCGTCCAACTCCTGTAGGTTCTTCCCCAGCTGCTCCATGAACTGCTCGGCATCGCTGATGGCGAAGTTGCACTCGCCTATCAGTCGCGTCAAGTGCAGCTCCTCCTTATCAGTGAGCGCATGAAATTCCTCATACGCCTCCGGATCGTCACCATTCTCCTCTTCATTCACACTGTCGCTCTTCTCGCGCGCCACACGCTCCGGAGACAATTCCGTGAGCCACGCCTTGGGAATGTTCCTGAACACGGCCTTCTCTCCGGCCACATGCTTATTGATCTGCTTCCACAGCACCGTGATGAAATTCTGTCTCTCGTGCAGATTCACGGCGAACCACTTGTACTGCTTCTCCAGCGAAATGTCCAACTCGTGCGTCTCCGGAGAGTCCAATTTCCCATCCACCACCTTCACTTCGTCCAGCGTCCACGTGCGCTTCTTTTTGTACACACCCTTGTCGTACTGCTTCACCTGCGCCAGGGTCACCTGGACCACGCGCGAGCGTGTGGCAGTGACGATGGTCAGATAGGAGTTCTTCTTCTTCTTGTACAGCTCCGTGACATTGCAGACGGACAAGATGCGCTCGTCCGACTCAAACACTTCCTTTTGCAGCATGTATTTAATGCCCGCCATCGTGATTTTCACAGCCGATCGACTGGCAAGCACCTTATCTCACCCTCAACGCCCCTTTTCCACACTCTCCTGCCCGTTTTCACGGCTTTTTCGACGCTTTTCCTCTCTGTTTTGACACCTCTCGCCTGTTGAAAACGTCACTGCTGACGTCACTCGCCGCAATTCGCCACCAAGAATTTCAATAAATCGGACCGTCGTCCAAATTGTCGTCCTCCTCATTGAACGCCTCCCCATTGTCGAAATAGTTGTTCCCATAGTCATTCTCATCATCCATCTCCTCATCCTCCATCTCCGGATCTTCCTGCTCCTCTTCATTCTCACTCTCTGGCTCCTCCTTGATTTTCGTCATCTTCGTGCGTTCCTCTGTCTGTTCCTGTCTCTCCAACTGATTCAGTTTCGCCACAATGTCCACCGCCTTGACTTTTTTCCCCTCAGTCTTCACTACGACTCTCTGTCCTTCGCGCTTCCTCAAGCGCTTCGCGCTCGGCCGCAATTCCGCCGGCATCGTGTCCCAGAGAAACTCGCCCTTCTGTCGGCTCTTAGATGTGTCCTCCAGCACATCCTGCAATGATTCTCTCTTATCACTCAACTCCCGGTTGGATGAAATCCCCGGAAAGCTTACAATGTATGCATCTGAGTAGCGCTGGACCTTTTGTTCCGGCGTCTTGGTTTTCGTGAAGTACGGCGAATCTCTCAAGTACCCAATGAAGTCCTCCTTCCACAACACCTTATATTGTCTCTCTGAGGAGTTCTGGAACAGTAATCATGCTGTACGAAAGAGAATGGACAGAGAAAAGCCACGAAAACTCACGTCCAAAGCTACTGGTTTTGTTGCCAACATGGGGAAGAGTGGCGGAGGCGCCAGCGTGCGATCAATTGTCTGTAGATCCTTTCCCGCGCAGCCCATCATCTGGAGCTGCTCCTGGGTGAAGGAGGAAGTCGCCCGACCTCTGCCACGACCAGCCATTGCTGAGATTCACGGGAAATTGTCGAGGAAAACACGCGACACGCTGCAAACACGATTCACAGCATACATAGAAAAAAAAAAACTGTCAGTCAGCGGCGAAAAAACCCCTCAACGGATCCACGTGGTTTTTATGGAGGGAAATATGAAAATCAATGGGAGAAGAAATATTGTGAAAACTTATTTATTAATAAATAACATTACAATTTCCACTCGTCTGATCCATTGCAAAAACTCAATCAGCAAATATTAAAAATAAATGAGTTTGCTCAACCTAAAGAACCGCCACATAGAGTAGCCTAAACATAATCAATGATACAAGAATTACAAATAAAGAAAAGCTAATTATAATATAGGCACAATGATGCAAATGATATGATTATATTCTTGAATTTTTTAAGAAAAAACTGTACAGTTTTTTCCGTGTAATACTTAAAAACTAACAAAAATCGATGCTTAAACAATCCCATGGGAGAAAAAAGAATGTAAATCTAGAATCAAAGCCAATCTCACTAATTTCCTCATGTAAAAAATCCTAATTTTTTTTTCTTTAAGCCTAAAAACACAAGAGTTGCGCCTCCAACTCTTGTCCAGTTAGTGTTGTTTCTCTTCTCAGTCTTCTTCAAGTGCTTTTCTAAGGCCATCGATCGTATGTGTGTGTGTGAACAAGCTTTTTGGGGGTGTTGGAAAATACTTTAGTCATCGATCGTCAAGCTTCATAAGTTGTTCATCGCCAGCTTCACATTCTCCGCACTCACGCCCTTCAGCGCCGCAATGATCCCACTCATGTTCTCCTCGCTGTACTCCCTGCCCTTGAGGCTGGACACCACTGGCAGTGCATCGCCGCCCTGTGACAGCATCAGCGTGATCTCCGTCATGATGCCGCCCTCCACGTCCACGTGCAGCTTCACATTGTGGATCTTCTCCTCGGACTTTAGCTCAATGCTCTTCTCCACCGAGAACTTTGGCGTCCGCCCGAAGCGCCAGTCCCACGCCTCGAAGTTGTCCCTGAGCGTCGTGATGCCCGGAAACCACTTCTCCGTCGGATTGATGAGCTGAAAGCCGCGCTGTTTCATCACCAACTCGCGTCCGCCATCCACAAGCTCCGTGGGATTTGTGCGCAGAAATTCATATCTGCAGCAGGTTATTTTGGGCAGGAGAAAAGAAAGAAAATCAGGCATTAGGGCAAGTTCTGAAGGTCTCGCAATAATAGAAGAACGTCTCAAAGACCCGCCCTCTCGAAAGCTCCGCCCATTGAACAAAGAAAAAACTAAAGTCTTGATATTGCTCAAGTTATCAATGTAAGAACATTCTAAATGCCTCAATATTAACCATGATATTTCGACTACTTTCTAACCACAATCTAAGAAATACTTGTGACTTTCCGTCAAACACCGCCCACTTGAATGCCCCGCCCATTTAGTATCTGAATTACTCTATTTAACATCGCTTCTCGACACTCTTGATATCAGTTCGTCCATAATAGCTGTTTTACGGCATTCCTCATGCTGAATTACAGTCTTGGTGTACGAAAATTATCAACCTGCGCTATCAAATGAGCCAGAAAATGTCTAAAAATATCTGTGTTGGAGCTATTTTCGAAATTTTTCCCCCCTCCTATTTTGCCTTTATAAACCCAAAGAGCGAATGAGAAAATACCCCAAATAGTCACAGTGAAAAATTACTCCGCGACGCGTCTGTGTAAATCCACATGAAAAATTATATTAAAATCAATTTATGTAACCATCATAAACATACCCAATGGCGGACAGCAATTGTGGCACGTTCACTTGTTTGTTGGCATCCGTTAAATTTTTCACTTGAGCTGGAACAGACTTTGTAGCACGGCTCTGAATGTCGTTCTGCAAAATATTTACAAATCAACAATTTACACATATTATAGAGAAGTTTGTCTTTCTCTCAAATCCCCAAGAGAAGCAATATGAGTGGCGAACATAGAAAAAAGGCGCCTTTTTTGTCATCTCTTACGAGATTAGCACTGCGCGTTGTGTGTATTTTGGTTGAGAGAAGAAAATCTCTACAGAGTTTATCGCAAAGTGTGCAAATAAAATTTCTTTTATCAGCGCGCTCCTCGAGAGAACGTCAATTGAAGCAAAAATTTTCATGACACTCGCGACATTTTCACTCCCTTTTTCCCCTCCACAGAGACCCCCGAGAACACTTCTCCCAACCCCATTTGTCATTTTCATGAATTTTCCATTGCAGGAACAAACAAAGTCATCTATAAAACAGAAGGAAAAACATCCACGAATTACAAAGTGTAATTTTTAAAGGCCTGAGCGCCTCTCATTGCATTCCCTCAGCTGTTTGCTCGTCGCTTTTGTGGTGGTGAAAGAACCCCTGCATAGCTCTAGTGACACATGCGATTTTTCTCTCTTCCCTTCTTCTTATGTAATGCAAGGAATTCTTCTCAAAACATCCTCCCTTTGCTGTGCGCACATTTGTTTACAGTTAGACAGATAATCGCACGCAAAAAGTGTCTGATAAAAACAGCAAAAAAAAAAATTTAAACTCTTCGCTCACAGTTCAATAAATGGAAAATTTCCATCGTCTGTTTGAAGAAAGGAGTAAAATTTGGGGGGGGGGGCAGAGTGAAGCAAATAAGAAGTCAAGTGCATTTTTAATCTTCTGGCATTCTTCCAACTACTCAAATTGCGCCCAAAACTGACGCCTCAACAGATCAACACACTCGACGCCAGAATTTTCACGCATTACTCTTTCATTTTCCATTGGCTGCGATGGTTGTTTTTGCTGCTAAATTATTGTTTGTGATGTTTTTGATAAATCGCAACAATTCAATTTGGAATGGCTTTTTAGAAGAAATTTCAAGACATTCTTGGCGAAAAAGCATGTACAAGAACTCACTTAATGGTCATCCTTGTAAGCCTTGTTTCAATGGCAGAAAAATTGTATTAACGGATTTATTTCATATAAAGCGTTTTGCTTTGATAATTAACTGGAAATTGTTTTATTTGACACAATTTGTGAACCATTTGCTGGTGAAAATGGATTTTCGATTTGTATTATTAGCAAGAAATACGAATGAGTTAAATCGAATAACACTTTTCCCAGAAAGAGTGCTTTCGTCTGGACTTGTGAATTCCTAGAAAAGTCTAGAGAAGAAGATGGAATTTCTGCCTGCAAATCACTGTAAAATGTCGATAGCAAATTGACGGACAGTCAATGATATCAATTAATACCACTCAATCTGGTTAAAACTGATATTTTTCAGTTCTTTCTCAATCTATTCTTAGACACATAATGAGAAACATTTTATTTACACCGCCGATTATCACTGCCAAATGCCATCGCACACAGAGTCTGCATTACAACAAAAACACAAGTCAACAAAGAAAAAGGGTATCAATGAATGAAATGTGCCATTTTCTCAACTCATGCTCTGGATTTCTTCGTCGTCCCTCAAAGCGAAAAAAAAACCTTTACAGAGAGCGAAATAGCCGGACTGCGCGAGTGGGCAAGAGGACAGAAGAGGAGCGGAAATTATCACTAATCTCCTCTGGCAGTCTTCACGCCAGAGTCACAAAGGCAATTTTCATGTGTCCGATAACTCGTGTGACCCAAAAAATCATAATAGAACGAATCACTGGGCGATTACCGACCAAAATACACCCGACCAATGTTCATCATTCAATTTGTTCCTCATTTTTTCCATCTCTCTCATTTGGCTTTTGCTGGGTTTTTATCGTGTGTCTCGCTGCTCGGCAATTTCTGTTTTCCCTTAAATCGCCCCCAGAGTCTCATGACTCTTTATCTAAAAGGGATCTAATCCCTCAATCAGTGAACCTCTCTTTCTGGGTATCAGACGACTGAAAAGCAGTCTTTTATTGCTCTATTTTTCCTTCTCTTCACGAGCAAGCGCGAGCGTATTTTGATAGCGAAACCCAAAGAGTTGATTATAAATTGATAGATCTCTCACTGGTCTTTTTTTCCTTCTTTCAGCAGAGAATCTATTTTAAGGCATTCGCACACACACACCACGTTCGCCTCCTCGTGAGATTTTCCCTCCTCACCACACACATTTCACATCAGATTAACTTCTACGCAGTTTGATCGTCTCATTGAGCTCTCTATTCATTGTCATGGCGACAATTGAGTGGCAGACTCACCTTTTCCATCGTCAGAGCCTGAGTCAGCTGATCCTTGTTGCTGTTCACCAACAGCGTGCAGTGATGATAGGCGTTGGGTTGTCCCAGCTTCGCGGCTGTTCCTGAAATCTGCTGTCATCGGAACAATTAGTATTTTGCAAATGGGCGGAATGGCAGTGTTTCGTCTCACCTTCTTGCCGCGGAACAGGATGTCGTCGCGCTCGGAGATGTCCGCCTTGATGCTCCACTCACGGAACAGTGCCCTCGTGATGAGACTGAGGTTGTACTTGCGGTTGTATCTGTCGCGCGGCGTGAAGAAGGTGCAATTGAGATTGCCGCGATCGTGATAAACGGTGCCGCCGCCGCTGTTCCGCCTGGCCAGCGCCACACCATTGCGTTCCAGGGCGGATATGTTGGCCTCCACCCAGGGATTCTGGTGCCTCCCAATCACCACGCACGGATTGTTACTCCACAGCATGAGCACGTGGTGGTTCTTGAAGTCGAAATTGCGATAAATCCAGTCCTCCAGCGCCAAATTCGTGAAGATGTCATATGACTGGGAGATGAACACGGACTTCTTGATCTCCTTGTCCTCCAGGGCGGACGCAAAGCCGCGCTGGGGCACCAGAGTGGCAGCCTTGAGGCCCAGAGCGCGCACTCTCACAATCGCTGCCATGGCTTTTTGTGGGGGAACTCAACAATAAGACGCCACTGATTAAACACAACAGAACACTACTCTGGTGTCCTTTCCAGCTGATCACTGCACTGCCACAGAGAATAACCACTTGGGAAAGATCCTAAACACACAACGAATTTCGGGGTGTCTCTCTCACACCAATGTCAAGTCCAGTATTTTTAGTATTTGCTGATTGGATTCTACTCCTGTCGGCCAAAAGGGGCTCTCTCTGCTCTCCTGACTCCTCGTCGGGGCACTCTGGTGGGGCGCGCGCGCTTAGTGTTTATCCGTGTAGTCGGATGTCATGGAGATGAGGTACTCGTGGAGCTCGATGGTCTGGTGGAGCCACTTGAATCCCTGGTGGAGGCCGTTAATGCGGTAACGAATACCTAGACAGTCTTTGCAACAGGGCATTCCTCTCTTATCTTGTCACAGCCAATGCACAGACGGACGGGGGCTCTTCCGGCGCACGCAACAATTGTCCGGAGACTGATGGCTTCACTATGGAATATTCCACTGCCCACTCGAGTGACAGAAAGACGATTGCGGATGTATTGATGCCGCCGCTTGCACTTGTATGCACTTGCTTTATCACTCCCTGTCAGGGGCTCTCCTTGTCTCTTCTCTGACCACCAGTCACACAAGAAACTCCGCAACGAAATAGCTGGATGACCGAGCTTCGGGTGCTCTTTTATAACCGTACGCCGCCATATGCATTCGGTATCGTTCGACGGCCACCCCGTAAAACAGAATCCGCGCGAATTCCTCCGACTATCAGTGGAATTATGGACGAATTCCCCGATGGAACAGCACAAAAAATTAATTTTCTAAACTTGTGCGTAAGCAAATGTCGAAATGCTCTTTTACAATACTAGGACATCCAGGAAAATACAGTTGACAAACTCCCTTGATAGAGTCTGCTTCACTTCCTGTGTGATTTACCATAAATCAACCATACATTTCATATGAACCTGAAGGCGACAATTCTCATATTGCAGACAAATACTTCATGTACAACATAAATACTCATATCCACACGGCAGAGGTGAACAACCCGCAGCTGATTGTGACATCAAAAGTCTCAAAAAATTCATCCCAATTTCTCTACACCGCCTCTACCCTTGGCGCTGTTGTGGGTGGGACAAGGAGGCCACTGTACACGCGACAGACATGAGGCGACGCGAAGATAGTGTGTAAATTTGGGTCGTCGGACGAGTGAGAAAAGGTTCCGTATTCCAGGGTGACGATAAGAGCGATTGGCGAGCGAGATCACGCTGTGAGCTCCGGATCACTCTCAATTTATCTGTTTCTATGCGCACATGCGTGGCGTGAGTGGTGCATTCGGTCGCGTGACGACTTAGGGCGAATCTCTCGTGTGTCCTTTTCGAGGCAATGCCACGATCACGCTCTCGCTCTCAATTGATCTTGATTGTTCTTGAATTGACTCAATTCAAGAGAGCATGAGCGAGAGTGAGAGACAAAGAAGTATTAAAGCGCAATATCAACGAGTTTTCATATGGTGTTAAACGTGTGAAATATTCCAGAAAACAAATATACACGATGATTGGCATTTTGAGGTGATGCTTTTTTCTTGAAATTTCAGGAAATCATCTTCACACATTTGAGAGCGCGTGTGGAAGACACCGAAATAAGATGTACTTTGAACTCTCACAGTGCACATTTTTAAAATGAATTTCGCGCTGAAAATGTGCCAATTTATCATATCTTTCAGCTGGTAATACAGCTGATAAAAGTCACTCACAGTTCAATGCTCTTTGCGACAGACTGAAAGAAAATTGCGATATTTTTAGCATTAAATGTGGTCCAAATATTTTTTGCACCAATTTATGGACTATTCTGCAGATACCTCCGATGACCCTTCCATGGACAAGTAATCATTGAGAAAAATTGCTATGGCGCGAATAGGCCTTTGCCAGCACTCTGCTGGCATGCTAGTTGGCCTTGGTGTCATTAAAAAGGAGTGAAAATTTTCATTTCTGCCGTAATCGCTGGTATTTCCGCTCAAAATGTCCAGATACGTGGCACGAGTGGGTCCCAGAGTATCTTGTGAGTATTCTACAGAGTCTCGAGCACAGCGTGTTGTGGAAAAGCGTAGAATATTGTTGAAAATCTCGCTGGGAGAATATTACATAACATAACCCTTCTTTCTTCGATGGTGTCTTCCAGCTGCCCTGGCGAAGTATGTTTACAACTGGGCCGGATTCAATCAGTACGGTACGTTTCAGTGTCCTGGCGATGAATGCAATCACTGACGATGTCTCGTGCATGTGTTTAGGGCTCTATAGGGAGGACATTCTGTACGAAGACGACGATGTGCAGGAGGCAGTTCGTCGTCTTCCGCGGGATTTGTACGATGCCCGGAACTTCCGCATCATCCGCGCTCTGCAGCTGTCGATGACCAAGACCATTCTGCCCAAGGAGCAGTGGACAAAGTACGAGGAGGATGTGAAGTACCTCGAGCCCTACCTGGACGAGGTCATCCGGGAGCGCAAGGAGAAAGAGGCTTGGCTGAAGGAGAAGTAAAAGAGAGCAGAAATTGATTGGTAAATAAATTAATGTCTAGATATAAATGTGATCCTTTTATTTGTCACGTGTTTTACAATATTTCGCATGGTTTTATTTTCTCTCGAGAGTATTTGGCACAATGCGTTAAAAACCATTTAAATATATATAAAAAAGGATATGTTGAGGGGTTATTATTGACGAACATTTTTTTTCCTTTTGTTAATTTATACACATGTAGAAAAAGTGGCAAGAATTCCTCCTATAAAAATAAATGTACAAAAACAACAAAGATTTACAACATTACAGAGGACAAGAAGGGACGCATTTTGCAATGAATGTTAAAAAAAAGCCTCTCCATTGAGCTCATAATTCCCCCCGTAGAAAAAATCCTGCCCAAAAATTCGTCCATCCTTCACAAGTCATCATCGCCAATCCCCTCGAAGGCTTCGTTGTGGACAGACTCCCTGCCGCTGCGGAAGAACACAGCAGTGGAGATTTTCTCCCTGATCTTCCGGCGCACCGACGAGGACGCCGTCCGCCTCTGACTGGCCACGTCCATGTCATTCTGCAAAGAAAGCACACACGCTCAGTTTCCTGTTGAACAACAAATCTTCCACGGCCAACTCACCAGACTCGATATGGTGTCACTGGAGCTGGAATCGGAAATCCTCCCTGACGATCCGTCGCGCCTTATGTAAGACAATTGCGTGTAATTGGCTCGATGCACCTGCATGTTGTTCATGTCAGCACCACTCTTCTGATTCAGCAACTCATCAACCATGCTCTGCAGGCACACAGACATCAGCATCGCCTGCTCGCTGGCCACTGTGATCCACTTGAGGCAGTTCTTCGACATGAGATACTCAAACGAGAGCTCCCATTTGTGCCGATTGCTCAGAGAGTCACCAGAAATATCCTGTCCGAGAGAACAGAAAAAGCTTAGGAAAAACATCCTCAAAAACACTCCTTCGCCAAATACTTACATTGTGAATTGTCGTCACTCGCCAGCATCTCATCCTTGTGACCTTAAACTTTGCCTCCTGCACCTTCTTGCCCACCACAGTCCGCGTGCAGAGCTCCTTATTGCCAATGGTTACACAAGTTTGCGTCTCCGGCTCGGGATAATCCACAATCGCTCGCTGAAATTGAATCACACCGTACGATGGCAGATTTCGCGCCATCTCCAGGAACTCCTTCTTATTGCCATGCGTCTGGAGCTTCGTGAGTTGATCTCGAGTCTCCTTCGTCGCCAAAATCCACCTGAAATTCACCCCAAAACAAGTGTCATTCTTCCCCTCAATTGTCACCAGCACAAATTCCATTCTCACCCTCTCTCAATGTCGCTCAGCGTCTGAATGAAGAGCAAATTAAGCGCAATATTGTCCCGCATCAGTTCCAGATCATAGCACGGATCCCAGTAGTTCTTCCTGATCACTATCTTGCACTCACGCAGAATCTTCTGCGTGACATACGGCGCCTCGAAGTCCATCAGCTTCCGCGTGAGCGTCACACTGCCGTCATTTTCCTTTCGCATAAGGAACAGGGCGAAATAGTACGCGTACTCGCGCGGCAAATCGATGTTATCGCACGCCTTCTCCAGCACCTTCGTTGAGCACTCCGTTGTGTAGGCATTCACCACTATCCGGAAGCCATTCATCAGGTACACGTCCAGGGACGTCTCCTTGCTCTCCGTGTACGACGACTCCTGCTGCGCACTGAGCAGGAACGTGCGCAGCAACTCCGACTTGGACAGAACAGGATCTTGGCCCACTGCAAGGTGCAGTGAACGCATTAGGAAGTCGGTAAAAAAAACACTCATATCGTCTAATCTGAGTCTTAACAGTGACCTGAATCGAATCAATGACCTCATTCGCTGTATATCAGCTTATTTACTGTTTTTTTCTACTGTTCATTCACAACTAAAATCCTCGGAATTTGAATTTTGAACTTGAGAAAGTGATTTTACGACTAAAAAACCCACTTTGCGAACAGAAAGATGTAATTTTTCATCATAATCGAGGTCAATATTGGAAGAGGGTAGATTTCAATCCCCGCAGAGAGTAAAAACCTTGGTAAAAACGAACTCTAAGCACGTTTTTAACAAGTTCCTGTCATTCAATCAATCCTCAAATTACCCACAAATGATAGTGAAATATTGATTCAACAACTGATTTGCGCCCTTCTGTCTGCAAACTCACCCAACTGAATGTATCGCTCGAGATTGGCGCGACGCTCCTCCAGCTGCGACGGCGTGAGTGGGAAGAACTTCTTCGGCGGGAACGACGGGAGCACCAGAGTGGGCAGAGAGCGCTTCAGCTGCTCGTGGAGACTGTGCAGCTGCTTGTACCGCAGGCAGCAATGGAAAGTGCCATTGATGTGAATGTTGAAGCCCTGCAAAAAAGGTGACAATCGCGTGGCATCAATTAGCAAATTCACCCACACCGCGCGCTCAATTGACGACTGTGAGCGGATCCCAACTGGGCGACGTAATTGAATAAATTCAATCACACGAGAAGCCCTCAAAGCCTGTAATATGAGAGATTGAATAACACACACACACACACACGGTGAACGCGCTGAACAATCTCTCATTGCTCTGTCCTGTAATCAATTGAATTTCCCTCTCCACATACAACTTCGGACGCTTGAGATGAATTTATCGCCGGGGTCAGAGTTCATGGCAACACACTCTTTGGCATCTCGTGAAAATCGCCCACTTTATCAGTGACAGAGGAATTTCACCAGCTGTCCGATAAAACGATGGGCGAACAGACAATTTTCCCTTGCAAGACACAATGGCAACTCTCTGCGAAGAGACGGCATAAATTGCGCATTTGATTGCCCAACTGAGACGTCATCTCAGCCTCTCTGGAGACGCAGGAAGGAAAGATGTATAGCTGAGTAATATTTTACATACTGTTAGAATGCAACTGAGAAAACTGATATTTGTGCTCCACATCCTCTCTCCACACGCTGTGCTTCAATCTCAGGCATTCTCATGAATAATTCCCCCCATTGAGCCACTTGTGTTTTCATTTCGTGCCAAAAAGAAAAGAAGCCAATGCTCCATTTTGCAGTCTAGTGAGCACACGGAAAACTCCTCTACATTTGCATGGCTTTTGCCATGGAAAATAAGTACAACCATTTCCGAGATATGCGAGAAAATTATATCATATTCCTTGTTTACACACCTTCCGATGTGCATTTGTGTGCGAAACGCTTCCCAAAAGTGTTGAAAATCACATTTTCTACATGCCCATTGATGACACAAAGGGAAGAGACGCCCATTTCTGCCCGTGAGATGTGTATATAATTGTGAAAAATGCAGTCGCGTCTGCAGATGAAAAGTGGAGAAAAAGTGGCATTTTCAGTCGCTCTGCCGCTCTGGAGGTGAAAACCGTGCGCGGCACCGCAAAAGAGACCGTGCGAGAGTTCATTGGCACTGTTAATCTGTTTATCAGAGTGGCAGAAAGTCCCCTCAGTATTTCTTTTCTATTTCTTCTCCTTTATGTAATTGGCAATTGATATAATATTTCGCGAGGCACGCGTCTGTGGAATCATCATTAATTGGCGTGAAGCACAATTTGCATTGATTGGCAATGGTAAGAAAGAGAGACAGCGTACAGTATATGCCATATAGATGATGTTTTGCAATCAATTTGTGCATGCAAATAGTTTGCCTTGGCTTTTATGTGGGCGCGCGCTTTCGGTAAAACATAAGCCGTGAGATTGTCGACAAAGAGACTTTATGACTTTTTCTTTGCCTTTTTTTCATCTCATCATGATAAACATCCAATCAATTGTGTGGCTTGATTGCACACACGAAGTCTCCCTGTTATGTCTGTTATCAATGAGTGTGTCTTATCATGGAACAACAAAAGAAAGACACAAACAGTGATAATGTGAGGTTAGTTTCAATTAAGTCACTCAATTTGATAAAACAAGCAAATTCACTACATTTTCCTCACTCTTTCCGGTGTATGAGTGAATGAAAGCGCCCAATTTCACCAAAAAGAAAGCTCTTTATTGCAATTTTACCTGAATTTAATGAACTTTCTGCCACAAAATTAATTCATCTTTCTCTACACCGTCAACAATGGACCGTGTCGTCAATGGCGGTGGCTCATCCTTGACGTCCAGAGAAAGTGAATGGAGTGGGACGTAGGAAAATTAAATATCACGCAATTTGGAGCACTCAAAGGCCACCCCGTGTGACCCCAGCGATGACTGGGGCGCGCCATATGGTCGGAAAAGCACTCACCGTGAAGGTTGATCCGGAATTCTCGTTGACAAAGTCCTGCGTATCCGGGATTGAGAAATGCATCTCTGTGCGACTTTCTGGCTCTGCTGCTTCACCAAAATCCACCACCTACGCACTCTATAGACACTTGTGCACAGATTCACGGCGGTAAACCACGGCAATTACACTCCCTATCACTGCCATTGTCCAATTTTGACTGGGCTTTCGGGGCTTCTGGAGCACCGAGAGGGGAAGAAATGTCTGTTTTAGACACAAAACTCCACAGAAACTTCACACATTCCGGGTTCCTCGTGTCGCACAACTCCCGTGCAACAAACTGTCGTCGATCGAATGAAAGTCTCCACCACAAGTAATTAAATTAATTAATTTGTTGTGGAGCTCACAGCCAATCTCTGAAACTTCTCCGTTTTCTTCTTCTTCTTCTTCTTCGCCAGGCACTTTGCTACGCGCTGTTATACGCGCCACCAGCGCCGCCATGCGGACATTCCTACTGGGCGGGAAAATTCAATGTGAGCAACCGTTGAAATATTCACACTTACAATTTCTAAATTCGTATATTTTCAATGCTTCCTGATGCAATAAAAGGCCACTTGACACCCATAATCTATGTACAGCATCGCAAGAATCCCTCATTACAGACTAGTTTGTGAATCCTGGACAGTGTCCTTCGCCTCAGCCTTCACTTCTGTCTTTTGGCGCGCTTTCGCCAAGATGGCCTGCAATTCGGAACTCCTTGCGGTTTTGTACTGCAATTTCACCAAGAATAAGTCACCTAAAGTCCAGCTGATAGATTTCCAAACTCACCCCTGAAACATTCCTCTGCACCGTGAGTTGTGACGCAAGGCGTTTGCCCTCGTCAGGACCACAATACTCCTCCAGAGTGACTCTCTTGAGGGCGAACAGCTCATTTCCATTGATCCCGTGGAGTCTCTTCACCACATGCTCGCTGAACCCTTTGGCTTTGAGCCACTTCTCCACCTCGGCAGACGTCGATGACTGCTGAATGAAGATCTCAGGGGTCTTCATGATGTCCAGACCGCGTCTCTTCTCACGGAAGAGCGTCAGCACGTGACGCAGCTCTTCCTGCATCTCCTCCTGACCATTCTGCTGCATGCCCATCGATTGGCGAGCTAGAGATCGAGGGAAGAGAAACACAGCCCACGTTAAGCGACATATACAGCAGAAGCACCCGACAGTGTGTTAGTGGGCTTCAGGCAAAGTGCATCCTGAGGATCTTACACAGGGTGTTATTCCTGGAAGTGGCCCGCGACACTGGCGCGGAGGTCGACGGGACGGGCGGCGGCGGTGGCGGAGGCGGCTTATTAGTCATTGACTGGCGATTAATGATCGCCACTGTTTGGTTCGCATGGTTAATGTCATCATCCTCGGACTCTGAATGGTACCCACTACTGCGCCCTTCAAGTGCAAACATTAGTCATGGTTAATGCTCTACTCTGCATCTACTCTTGAGCGTGTGGCAGAGTTGACAGAAGGATAGGAAATAGTCACTGGGTTTGGCGATTAATACACAGATGCGAATATCTTGCAAAATGTGAAGCAGTTGAGGATTTAAGGATGATTCTGGACATCATTTTCATTCTCATCAGATTGTGTTTTTCTTACACTCTAGAAAATCGCCTCCTTGGTTCACATTTTCCAATTCAAATTCTGACAATTATTATTGTGTCTCGGCTAAGACAATTTGTTTTTGAGAAAGACTTTTGGCATTTATCTAGAGACGAATTGTAATGGTGAAAACACAGCATTTGTAATTTGTAATTTGTCCGCGATCATCTCTTTCTTCCCCTATTACAAATGCTGTGTTTTCACCATAAATAACCGAATTAACTTCTTGCGCAGCTCTTTAAACACAACGCCAAAGCTAGTGGTATTAATCTACAAACTGGAGTTCTTTCAACTCTGCTCGTCTCTTTTACTTTTGCTTAATCTAATGTTAATTCATCTGCTAATTGCAAAATTCCATCACCAAAAATTCTTCTTACGTGTCAATATAAAATGAGATAACGAATAAAAACTGTATAAATACCTGGGCACACAGTGGATGAAAACAAATAAAAATAAAACACAGTTGTTTTTGGATGGGTAAAGGAGGAGGAGGAGGAAAATCAAAGAGTGAAGAGAATCAAAAGTACAACATGAAAATCACAGTGAAATGCACTGAAAAGGCACACAAAACAAAGCGAGATCAACGTGATGGTGTCGAAAAAAATGCACACACAAAACAGATAATTGTAGAATGTATAATTTCTAAATATATATATTTTTTTAATACCTAAACGTAAAGTTTATGTATAAATGATAATTTGCTTTCCTCAAAAAAAAAAAAAAAAAAAACGTTATAATATATTGAATTTCAGAATGTATCTTAATATTCTATTAATCTACTGTAAATTATACTTTCATCATCTGTTTCATTACTTTTCATAATAATATTAAATTCTATGCATAACGATCATAACTAAAATTACTATTGCATGTCAGAGATTCTTGTCAATCTCATATTAAGTTAAAATAAATGTCGATGATTAACCTGGAAAAGTAGACGTTTTTTCATTCCAATTCACGTGTAATAATGAATAAATTGCAAATTCAATGGAGTAAAAACACTTGTTCAATGTTAAAAATTTACACAAATGGGAAATGCAATTGTGGTAAAAATGGCCATTAATTTGCTCTAATATTTCCCTCTATGGAAAAATAATTAGACGCACTTTTTTTCTTTATGCAGGCGAAACACAGAGAGAAAAAAAAGTTACTCACACAGGCACAAAAAGAGATAAAAAAAAGAAAAAAAAGCTGAACGTACGGGAGGCAAAATGAGGTGTTTGCTGATAATAAAGCAAGACACTAAAAATGATGTTTATTCTACCAGTTGAAACATGACTGAAGAGAACACTTAAATTTTTCCCAATGTGCGTTTGTTTGCCTTTGCGGAGTGACACAGAAAGTGAGTGATTGGAGAAATGGGAGCAATAAATTATCATCTAAAGTAAAATTGTAATGTAAGAAATAATATTGGCCACAAAACTACCTAAAAAAACATGAGAGTGAAACATCTTTTCCAAATAACCTTCTCTCTCTCTCTCCTTCTCTCTCTTTGCAAAGAAAAAAAACACCCGCGCGCGCGAGAAAGTCCCAAAAAAATTGAGGACACATCGCATCTTCTTTTTGGCTACTTAACATTACATTTTCACTCTTTCATAAATTATTGAATATCTGTTTGATGTCTTTGAAAATTTCCACTCCTGCATTAACATCGGCTTTTCTCTCTCATCTAATATTTACCCATACATATAATTATTCTATCCATGGAGTCTCTAACGATAAAATGTGCTTCACACTCTTAATGTAAAAATCCAATGAAAATGTTCAGCTCAGCTAGAAATAGCGAAATTCACCCTTCTTACCCAGATGCTTATTCCGAATCCAGTCCGCTGAGCCCGGAGGCGGCATCATCGAAGGTCCTGACTCCATTTCCTGTCCGACAAAGGCACAACAACACATCATTGATTAGAGAGTGTGAGAAGATGTCAAGAATTCCACGAGATTACCTGTGGATTCCCGCCCATTGTGGCGCGATTCTGATTGTACAGAGGATTGTTGAAGACATCGTTGTCGCTGTAGTTGATCGGCGTGACAATTGTGTGAGGAACATGAGCCACTTGACCGCGGCTGTTTCTGGCCTTCCACCACTTGCGACTGTCGTCCAGAACCTTAGAAGTGAGACAAGTTGTGAGTCAGATGATGAATTCAATTCTCTCTCTTTCTCTCTCACCTCGAGATACTCTCCCCGGACCACAGTCAGCTCCTTGTCATTGTTGGCCGTCCTGGGATACGTGACCTGCACAATCTTTGCGCCCTGGGACTGCAGCTCGTCCACCCATCCGTCATTGCCATTGGCATCATGTCCAGCCACCGCCGCCGTGATGGCAGCCGCCGCGGCCGCGCCATTGCGCTCGATGGAGTCCACCGAGATGTCACTCCTCGCACTGATATCCCTCAAGCCTGGACTAGCAGGTGCGCCGCCACTGTACTTCTCCATCGACGGCTGCGGATCGTAGTCGAAGTCACCCACGCCGCCCGACGCGTAGTGCAGCTGATGGGTGTCAATCTGCCTCTTGCCACTCACCGTGGTCGCATTCTCCAGCTCCTCCACCACCGGATAGTCCGGCGACCAGCCGTCAAAGAACACCGGATGGTAGGAGCCCACGTGTCCTTTCCACTGATCCCGCGAAATCACCCACGCGTCGCCCAGCGATCGCCACAGTTCCGTCTCCTTGCTCGTGACGCAGTTGATCAGCAGATTGATGGCCTCTCGCGTCAGCAGTGGATTGATCACGCGCGCCGGCAAATTGGGATCATAGTACGTATCATGGGACGCATCCACAATCAACGCCAGCGGCGTGAAGAGGAAGTGCACGAGTTCCGGCGCATTGGGATCGTGAATGTGCGCCTTCAGCTTGGCCAGCAAATTGAACGACAGCTTGAACTTGGCGAAAATGTCAATGAACTCCTTCTCGTGCGGCGGTCTCGTGCGCAGCGTCAGCAGTCCCTCTCCCGGATCCTTCTTCTTTGACTTCCTATTCCTGCGGCGCCTCTCCAACTCACGCGTCGCCGCTGCCGCGTGTTGCAGCCGCGCAATGAACTTCTCAATGTCGTCAAAGCAGTGATTCAGCACTGTGACATCGCGCTCGTACTTCTCACTGGACGTGGAACTCGTCTCCGGATCATGGCCAACGGCCAGACCAGCTCGCTCAGCACTCACGCCAAACTCCGAGTCTGTGTCCTGATTGTGGTGCGCCTGCTCGTGATGATAGCTCGCAGTGTGGAAGGATCGTGCGCTGGACTTCGCATTTGGCGGCGTGGGCAGTGTCTCCCGATGCTGCAGCACGACCTTTCCAGTCCGTAGCATTTTCAGATCCTCCACCAGATGCACCGCTGATATACTTTGGCACTGCAATGAGAGCCACAAAGGCGGTCATTTAATGCACGATCACACAAATCGATAACATTCTGCTGCCCTTGATACTACATGCGCTCAAGAACTACCATACGAAACACTATCGCTCGCACTGTTAATTTGCTTTGTGATAAGCATCAGAGTTTAATGGCTCATTTCGATCACACTTAACCCAAGCAATTGATTGTGTGATTTTCAACGCCACTCAATATGCCAATATAACTAATAAATACGATTCACTTCATTTGGACTTCCTGTGCCCAAAATGTCAATTATCAGTGTAGGACAAAGAATGAAAATTAGTCATGCAAACAATTGTCTGCATTTTGATAACCATTGAAATAATCTTTATATCCCAGACGCAAACCTATATCAAGATTTCAAGACGAATCATATATGATTTCGTTGTGTTGCTGAGACTTGTAGGATTGCAATAGGCTAAACAATACGTGTTAATTTGAATACTCACTTGAAAAATGTGCATCTCAGAGCGAGAACCATTGCCACCATTGCCGACGATAAACACCAGAATGTTGTTGTACATCTCCATTGGATCGTTGCTGGTGAAAGCAGTTGGTTCTTGAATGAGGGACGCTGGGAATTTCTCAATAATATTCTGCCATGGAAGAGAGACAAAAGGTTTGCCGTTTTTAGAGTCACACAGCAGTCAACGAAAAAAAATATATAGAGAGAAATTATGGAATGTAAAATGACGAAAAAAGGCATAGAGAGATAGAGAGAAATAAATGATAGGTACAGCAAGGTGAACTGAATTATTGTGTGTGTGGGAGAATACCGACCCCAGATTCGTAGTCCATAATCAAGATCCACTGTTTATCGAGGCACAGTTGCATCTTCTGCGACCAAATGCCCGTGGTCTTCTCCAGCTGCAGCAATCGTCGCATCCCGTCCGCTGGATAGACAATGCCACTCTCCTGGTGCACCGTGAACGTCGCCAGGTGCTCCAGCAGATACGTCGGCTTGTCGCCCAGATCACTGCCAGGTCGACTGTCGCTCCGCGAGTCGTGCTCGTCCCCGGAATAGCCTCCATTGGAATAGTGGGCCATCGCTTCTGCTCCTCAAAAAGTCTCGTCCTCCTCAGCGCAAAAACAGTCACCAAGTTCACAGGCGCTCTCTATTATTCTCTGTCTCTCTGCCTCTGTGGAAATACAAGTGCGGAGAGAAGAAGGAAACATTTCAGTGTTATCACAGAGTGAAGATACTTGAGAAGGGAGCGTTATCAGAACCTCTTTAATTGATACACTCACACACACACACACACGTCACACAATGAAATTATTGCAGAGATGCTTCAGCGCTGATATCAGATAAATCGATGATATCATTTTATTTTCAACCTTCTCAACGTCGCGTTTATTGAGGTGATTTGACGTTGATAATTTTTACCCAAAAGTCTTTCCTATTCAAAATAACACACTCTCTGCAATTGCGACAGACAAAAATGTGTAATGGTCTAAATGCCAGAAGACTGTAAGACGTCAAATTGGTAAAGGTTGGACAGGTTCACACAGAAATTCCCCAGATTGAAAGTGAAACCATTTAGAAAGGAGAATAACAACACTCTTCAATAGAGAATCCAAAAACTGCCAATAGCTCATCAATCACGAGACATATTTTTTAACAAGTATGATTCCGTGAATCACGCGCTGCTTAGCCGTATTCTCCGCAAGGAAGTCATTTGACACTTGTATTTTTCAGAGCTGTTTTTCCCCCTTCATCAGCCAAAACTGTATCAAATTTCTCTGACTAATTTACAGCCACTGCCTCTTTATCGAGAGCCCAATGTCCAATGGCGCAAAAGCCCAATCGCACGACATTGGAGGTAAATTTGTGAGGGTGTCTTTCACCATTTGGCGTTAGGTGGACAACAAAAAAAAAAGATCGATTGGGCAAAGAGTTATTTATTGTTGGGAGCATCAATAAAGCGACAAAGAGGAAAACACCGCGCACGATGATTGTTTGGCAAGAGAAACACTCACTCACATTATATGCTTCTCCAAAATGAAAAATACACGAGGAAAAATGTTGATCATTGGCGCAATAGAGAGTCTCAATTGAGTGTATGACAAAAAGAGACGATATTTTGCCGCAGTATGATTTGTGTACGCCTCGCCGTCCGTGGAGGATTGAATAATAATTACAGCGTGTGTTACACTGTTAGAAAAAGGAACACAAAAGTGAGAGTGAACAAGATGAGAGCCACACCTTGAGCCAACACACACACTCCGCGGCCTGACAAAACACACAAGAGACATCATCCACGAAGGTGAGATGCTGCGCCAAGGAATTCCATCAAATTGGCGCGCTCAGCAATCATCAATGAATTCCATCGCTGCTGCACAACCTCTTCTATCGCCACACACACTCGCGCGCACAATTTGACCATCTTCGGCCGTTTGAGGACACTTCGCCAGAGAAGGAGGCACATTGAAATTTCCTCTATGCCCAAAACCACCCAAAAGGTGATCAATTGTATTCAATTGTCCGTCATTTTGGGTAGCAAAAATTCACATTGTGCGCACGTAAATTGAATTTAAAGTGTATGATTGACAATAAAAAAAAGGTGAGAATTACTTACAATCCATCACATGCACTCACACCTCATCTGTCCTCGCGGGAAGATTCTCTTATGCGTGTGCACACACAAAAAACGCACAGAACAGTTGGAAAATAAGAGCGCGAGTGAAAAATGAAAAACGTATTATTCAACTGAGTGGAGACTTTATACAGTCTTTCGCACTGAATTTGTTGAATTCCGCCGTGTTTCTGATGGGAGAATTTTACTATTCGTATCTCGCGGGCACTCCAGCAACAGTCCTGTCCCCAAAGTAGTGGCGCACACTCATTCTGGAGACGAAAATCCCCATGATAAGACCTCATGATCCACATGAACCAGAGATAAGAGTGATAAGACACTTTGGAATGTGGAATTCCGTTTTTTTTTTCTTCTTGAAATGTTCATGAAATGGTGATAAAAACTGACGAGGAAACATTCAAAGAAATTGCACATCTCGAAAGTGTGGTTAATTGGCACTTTTGTGCTCCAGAAACCCCAGGAAATGAAAATGAAATCTTCAGTCTCTTAAAAATGTTAACGAAAACCCAAGCAAACTTTAGAAGAATTTGATGCTCTAATCATGATTCTAAAAGCTGATAAAAATTACGCTACGCCCTCTGGTGACATACAGTGTCAACGATTATCCATTCCAATCGCGGGTTTTTGGTGGTTGCGCCTGATTTTGCTGCATTCAAGCAATCGTTGTAATCTAAATATCTGTCTTCATTGCCGTCTATATGGGCCAGACACTATATAAATTCGGCGATAAAGTCTTTTTGTGGAAGCCTCAAGGTCAATTACACTCATTACCACTCTCACGACCCGCAGCTCAGGATATTGACAAAAACACTGCACATCTTCGCCACACTAATTACAGGTGCGTCACTATTCTCCATACTATATCGCATTCCACACTCGATCAGTCTGTCTCTGTCCAACATGCCGCCATCCATTCATATTCCACTCGCTCGCACTCACGCCCAGGCGCACTGATCGGCGACCCCGCGATCTCCTGCCCGCTGAATACACCTCTCTTCAGTCCAGCAGCACACCGTTGTGGTGGTAAATTAAAAAACCTGTTTTACAATTAAATTCTTTGACGTTGCGTCTGTGTATTTCTATTTATTATCAATATCATGCTCATTTTTCCCCCTCACACTGACTCTCAGGTATGCCAGCAGAGAGTGCGGAACAGAGCGCCCGCGGTCGCTCTGCCCTCTTCGCCCAGGAACAAACTATCACTTTTCACCTCTCTCTCTCTCCTCCTGAATTCCACCCTTGGAATCCCTGACCTAATCAATTCCCTTCGTCAATCCACCGCAGCTCCCGCAAAAATATCCAGTCACGTGTCAACAAAAATGAGAGAGCGACTTTCATTGTGGACTTTCCGACATGACATTCTTTTGCATTGTTGGAATTCAAACGATTTTGAGCACCTCAATTTTCTCAAGTCCATCAGACAGACAGAGAGAGAGAGAAAAAAAGGCATTTTACTCGTTATACTAAAATTGATCTCCTTGCAGATCGGCAATAAATATGCGCACAGCGAATAGAGAAATCAACACACTGATTTCTCTGCTTTGGCTTCTGGGACAAATATTTGATCTTCTCATTAAGAGAGTTTTTCCTTCAGGCGAGAGACAAACAATTGAACTTGTTTTCCAGCAACTATTTATAGAGGTAAAAACTCACCCAAAACTGTGGTCAAGTCTTGAGGTTTTTTTTCTTATCTAATCAGGTGCTAAAATCTCTAAAAATTTCAATGGACTGTTGTTGCGTGAATTTTCTACATACATTTCTTTCTTTAATACACAGTAAACTCCAGTTTTTTTCTCTTCTCTCTCTCTCCTTTTTTTTAAAGATTCTCTGTGCAAAATGTGTTTTTCTCTCCAACTGAAGATATGAATTTTCAATGAAAACAAGCATATAAAAGTGAGATTTGAGCCACGCATTGCACGAAATCATGTAATACATCAAATCATTGCGGCTCCACTGATTTTTCATCTTCCGCGGAAAATTGCGACTTTCTTCCATCTATGAATCATCCATTATATTCTTGAGAGATTACGCCAATTTTTTTCTTTTCGTTTGATAAGTTCTCTCCCAAATACAGAAGAACTGTGAATCCCTGGCGCTTTGCTCTCTCGCGTGGTTGTATTTTCCATCGAAACTGTTCGAAATGCCAACTCAATTGAATTTGTGTCAATTCTCAGCAGCAATTAATCATTTTATGGCCATTAACTCTACTCATTTCTTTCACGAACACCGTGGGCTGTTCTCGGTTTCGATTTTCAAATATTGCAAAAACTATTACACTCCGAAAGCATACCCTACATCACCCACATGCATACATATGCACCCGAAGATCATTTCATTGACGAAATATTGCATTTTCAGCAAATTCTGCAGGACAATTTGTGTGAAATATCAAATGGAGTTATTTAAATTAAACCACGCCCATTTGGCAGCTCCGCCCTCTGGGATTTAAAGACTATTTGATTCCTTCTGAAGTAGATAAAGAATCTATTGTCACGGCCACTCAAAAGCTCCTCCCAATTCCGCTATTATAGTACAGATCTCAGATCTTTCAACAGAGTTTAACAGTGCCATTACAAAGGACATCAGACAAGGAGTTTCCTCAAAAAACACCATCGAATGGGGGTGCAGGACAATCTCAGGCGATGACCAGATGAGACACAGCGCCACTGCGGCGCTTCAGGGCGACCGAAGAGGGAGGAAAATTCGAAAATGCCTGGACAGACCGCGCGATAAGGCCACATTTTTGGGTGACACGGCACAGGTGGAATCGTGGGTGAGATTAGTGACGCTGGCAGGTGGTTAAGCCGCCACAGAGTGCGCCCGAGAGAGCCATTGAGTGTTCTTCTTTTTTCATTCACACGGGCAGAGAAAGAAAGGCCATCCCGTACGGGAATTGCAAATGAATCCCAGCCAATTCTCAGCTTCTTCACCCAAAGGCAATGCCAAAATGCTAACTGTTACCTTCTTTTGCTACCTCACTTTTCACCGCGCGCCACCTCAGCACGTAATCTCTCCTCGCGGGCACACACAAGTTCTCAAAGTCGTCTCTTCTCTGGGGGGCGACCGTGAAGCTTCAGCAGGGAAGATTCAAACAAAAGTCGCCATTTGCGCAATTAGCACACAAAACACACAGCTTGAGTGGCGATGATGGAAAACTAATCACACACGGCACAGGGGCGTCAAGTGGGACATTTTTCCACCACTCGGACTGCACACACTTGCACTGGCGAGTGTCTTTTGCGACTTCCACCTCGGCTTTAGCTCCAAAATCTCATTAAAAGTGTCTCCCACTTCACCGACACACCTGTTGCACCTCCAAGAAGCACGATAACACTGACCGCTGCTGCCACCTCGCCACCCACCACGAGAACCTCGCGCAGTGGTGAATTTCTCCACCTCACTTGATCGACACTGGCGATGTTTTCGCCACTTTGAAAAGTGAAACAAACAAAAGCTTACACACTCCGCAATTAAGGCTTTATTTCCTCATAAAATCCTCTACAAAGATTGCCTGTGATGATCTTTAAGCTGGCAGAAATACTCTAAAAATCCTTGAGATTGATAAATCACTTCTTGTGCGACATCAAATTTAAGCCTAATCTCACTCTCATCATTAAAATCCTAATACTGCTGATAAGCAAGATATTTTATAAAATACACATCAAATGGAAAAGTAAATAACTTAAGAAGCAGCCTCACTTGAAGGCACTTTTGTGATCATTTTACACACTGAGAAGTTTTACTTGACATTGAGAGAAATCATAATAAAATCCTACACACAATAACGTAAAGAATATCATCTAAAATATGTCCTAAAAATTATAAAATTCCTGAATTCTTATCACCCGATCGTTTTCGCATGTGAATTTCCACCAATTTTGGATTAATTTCCTCGCTACTACAATTCGTATCTTTCATTCCTTATCCATTAATCATTAGAGAGAGAGTATACAAAGTTCAAATAAAGTCAAACTAAGGACTAAGTTGAAAGAAAAGGGCAATATTCGACGTTGTACTAACATAATTCAATCATAAATGTAAAAAAAATAACATGAAATGCATCGCTCCACAGAGTATTTTCCTCACTTCGCCTCTCAGAGTCTCTTGAGATTCCTCTTGCTCCGCTTTGAGCCCGGCACAACGGATCTGCGGTACTCCTCATCAGCTCTCCCTGGGGATTCTGGCTCCAGCTGCACGCACTTTCCCACTTCGTGGCGCTCCATGAAGCATGTGGTGCAAAAGGTGAAGCGACACGATTCACGCGAGCAAATGGCATAAGTGTCGTAGTTCATGCCATCGGCAATCAGGCTGCGATCCTTCAGGCACAACTCCTGTTCGAATACAGTGAGATTGCTGGGCAATGAGTGGGATTTTCCCACCTTTCCCAGAATCTTGTCATCTGGCTGCGCCACCGGAAAGGCGGAGATTGTTGAGTTTGGCCTGAAGAGATTCCTCTTGGCCGGAGATTTCTTCGCCATGGCCATTGAGCAGCGCCTGCGACGCCTGGGACTCATGATGAGGCTCGATTTGCTGCACTTCGGACAATTAATCACCTTCGCATGAGCATCCAGACGATCCAGGAACTGCAAATAGAATGGAAAGATTAGGCTTTGAAATACAGAGAAGAAGAGAAATAATTGTGTCTCACCTTCTGATGATCCCTGTGCTTCCTGGTGGAAGGACTCGCGGGCGGTGATCTGATAGCATTCTGCCGCTTCGCTTGTGTGTCATCATTGAAATTCCAGTCACGCAGATGAATCCTCCGGACAGATGGCTTCTCACACACTTTCTTCACCATAAATGTGTTCTCCTTGATGGGAATCTGCTCTTGTTCGTACACACTCAGGCGCTTCCTCGCCCGACGGTGTCCATCGACGAGAAATCTCCACTCTCTGCACACATTGTACACCGCATGAAGATCCTCTGGTCTCAGGTAGCTGAAGATGCGATCCAGCGCAGGCACAGTTCCCGCCAAGCGACTCAGAATGTTCAGTGTTACAGCGCCATCGTAGCAACTCCTCTTCGGCGGTCTGCATCGTCGCGGCGTTCCCTCGCGATAGTCCAGCGCCTTCTTCGCCGGCGAAGGAGAGGCTCTTGAGCTGTATTCCAGCGCTTTCCTGGCCCGCTTCTTGGGCGGCGTGCACGGCAAGTGTGGATACAGTATGCGATTCTTCTCCTCATCCGACGAATACTGAAAACTCATGGGGCGCTTCGTCTTCTTCGGCGTCTGCAGCACTGACGGCGAGTAATCGCCATTCACCACAGCTCTTTTCACACCCTTCGTCGGCAGCACCTCCACAACACTGTCATCGAGGGACATTTGCTGTGACGTGATACTGATGTCCATCACTTCCTCCTCACCATCATTCTTCACCTCCTCGCGTCGCGGAATGTCCAGGAAGTCCAAGGAATTCTTGTGTCGAAACACAGTGGACTTGATCGTGCTCCTCGGCATCGACACGCCAGTGGCGGCGTCTTCAGTCATGCTTCGCATCTCGTGAAAATACTCCTTGATGCTGTGCGAACTGATCTCCTCCAATGGAATCAACTTCAGTCCATCCGCCTCCTCGTGCACCGTCTCCAGACCGCGTCCAGACGAAGAGAAGCTCTCAAGACCAGCAGCCGGAGCAACATCGCGGCCACTCTTCCTCCTCACCTGCCGAAAAAAAACCACGGAAAAGTCAGACAAGTTCATTGTCGTGGAAATTCATTAAAATTCTCATACATGGCAAATTAGTTTGAATTCTATTATCAGTGGAAAAAAAAACATGATTTCACTCACATTACAGAGAAATTGTAGGAAATAATAATTCGCCATACAGCGATAATTAATGAAACTCTTTCGCGAGAGTCAAAGGGCATTTTTTGTGGCTCTCAAAACGTATAGAAATTCTTCTGATAACATTTTTCTATTCACTTAACCATCAAGAGACTCTAAAGTTGCACAATTTTCGTTCAGAAGCTTTTGACAATGGGTGAAAATTGAGTGTTAAATTATATTCAAATCATTCTACTTGCGACAAGTTAAATAAATCTCTAAAGAAAGGCATTGAGAATCTCTAAAATTCCTCCTCGCCAAGCTACAACACTCTTTGTCATGAATAATTAATAAGAATTTGCTGAATTTCGGTGGATTTTTTTTGCACAAAAAAGAATAAATCTTCCAAAATCGCAGATGCGAAAATAACACATAAAAAATTATGTATTGACTGTGACTAGAGCTATAAAATATGCACATAAACCAAGGTAAATTGGCTATTTAGATAAAATAGAGGCTATTCTCGGCCAGTTTGGTGGATCAGCTGAAGAAAGCGCTCCGGCAGGGCGGAAGACACGGGCGGGAGTCTCTCATTTCACTGGTGAGCTTCTTCAGTACCGTTTTACAGCCAACACCACAATTGATCTTCTTCTCCTTCTTTTTCACTGCTTGAGATTGGGAGAGAGAAAAGGGGGAATCCTTCTCTCTTCGCCATGCCGAGCACAAGATTGCTTTTTAATTAATTACAACAAAATTAATGAAGCAATTTAATGAATAAATAGGCAGTAAAACGTGAGATTATATTCTCAAGTGACAAAAATGGCTCATTTAACAAAACATCGCGATGAAAATTCTACCTCAATCGAAAAATCTATACAGCTTTCATTGGAAATGTAGGAAATAAATAATAAAGTCACAATGATATTCATCACAGCGCAATTCATGACAAAGTGCTGAATTTCATACAACATAAATAATATTCCTGAACGGAATGCAAGGTTTGATTGAAGCCTGAATTAATCTTATCCATTAAACCAATCAAATTATTCTTTTATCCTTAATCTTCCCCTTATAATTGAGCAGAAATCGTCTGTTCTTGACTTGATAAGACATTTCTCAATGGACTGCGCGACTTATCATGCGAAATACGAACTCTTTTGCCATGTCTGCAAAACCACGTTCAATGATTCCAAGGACAGTTTTTCGGCACTCACCTCAGCGCTGCTGGAGTGCTTGGGCAGTCCCAGGAGATTCTCAAACTGATTGGTATTGAAGGCAATGAGCGCCTGGGCAGGATTGCCATCACTTGCCACGTCCTCCTCAATGTGAATCGGCGATGAGCACTGGCCGAAGAGTTTGGCGCTGTTCCTGCTCACTTGCCACTTCCTCGGACTGAAGCTCTGGATCTTCTTTAGCAGCTTCCTCTTCATCTTCGGCGATCGCGATTTGGGCAGCAGCGGATTCCAGCACACATTCTCAACAGTTTCCACGTAAAAATCTGGCCGGAAGCCGTGCTTGATTGGCGTGCTCGAGAGATTGTCGAACTGATTCTCACCGAGAATCTTGGACGCCGACTTGGAGATATTGGAGATGGGCGAGAGTGGAATGGAGGATTTCTTGCGGAGGAAATTGCTCTTTTTCGGCGTCTCAAAGTCCAAATTCTCATCGCTGACGCGCACTCTCTTCGGCGTTGCACTCTCATCCGTGTCCAGACGGCGCTTGAGAGGAGAACTCTTGGGTGTGGTGAGCTGCAGGGCGGAGAATCTCTGCAGATTCCTCGTGGTGGGCGTCGGAGGCTCCTGATTCTCATCAATCTCCGCATCCTCTTCGATTGTGCCGCTGCGATATTGATGCGAAATCTGAGATTCACTGGTCGCACTCAACTCCGACGTGTAGCCACTATCGGCGATGCTCTTCTCCAGCACTTTGCCCGGTGAGGAGCGACACTCCATCGGCTGGCGAAAGTGATCCATTTCAACCAGAGAGAAAAATACTGTAAAATCGACAAACAATTGAAGCTTTTGTCACGATGAACGGATCTCTATGAAAGCCCCAGAGAAATTTGTGTCCAAATCCCAAGATAAAAGTGAAATGGGCAAATATTTGCCGTGCGACGCGTCTATTTGCTTTGCTAAACACTCAAGCACGATTGGAAGAGTGCGAAAAAGTGGAAAACAGCCAGAGAATACGAAGGCAAAAAGTCGCGCGGAGCGATTTTTGCTTGGCTTGGCCTCCATTGCGTCACTCACCTGTGGATTTGGTACGCAAAGACGCGCACTACACACTAAAACTACACGGGGATAGGGGATGTGGGGCTCTGGGGACTATTAGAAGATGTTAAACATCCCACAGCGAGATCAAATTGGGTGGAAAACTCGAAACAGGAAAGCGAGGTAATTTTCTAGGACGCACATACTCAACTGACCATCTGACGATGAACTTCCATGACAGCTCGACAGTGCTGCCAACGCAATTTCGATGTTTTTTCCATGTACTAAAATCGTGCGGGCTGTCAAAAAGCGGCCCATTTTTTAGTATGGAGAAAATGTGAGCAAGGAAAAAGTAGTTTTTCACAGTAATTAAGTGAGATTTGTGCCTAATCATGAATGCGGACAAGGCTCTGACGATGCTAAGGGCGCTTCCTCGTGTTTCCCTGAGGAATATCAAGGATAATCCTGGAGCCGCTAGAGCCGTGAGTGTTCTTGAATCTTGACCAAGAAAATCCTGGGCAAAATCACATAATAAATAATCGAATTTCATCCGGATTGTGTAGAAAAAACGAGGCCGAGGACAGCACGGCGGAGACAAGCACGGGCATGGCAACAAAGGATCCGGCCAGAGGCAGAATTACATGCGTTTGGGCTATGAGACCGGGAATCAGCCCTTCTACACGCGCTTCACCTACGAGCCCTACTATCGGGGCCACCATCTGAAGCGCCAGTATCCGCCGATATCTCTGTTGCAAGTGCAGACGCTCATCGACACAAATCGCATCGATCCCAGTCAGCCAATTGACTTGGCGACCTTCTGCACGACGGGCCTGTTCACCATTCTGCCATCTTCCCGGCACTTTGGGATGCAGCTGACGGACGAGGGAGCGGATCTGTTCAAGGCGAAGGTGAATATTGAGGTGCAGCACGCTTCTGAGCTCGTGATTGCTACGATTGAGAAGAATGGTGGCACAATCACAACAGCCTACTACGATCCCTTCTGCCTGATGGCTCTCGTGAACCCCAAGAAGTGGTTCGAGAAGGGCGTCCCGATCCCCGAGCGTGCCGTGCCGCCACAGGACGCCGCCGAGTACTATCTGGACGCGAAGAATCGCGGATACATCGCCGATCCGGAGCAAATCAGCCACGAGAGACTGGCTTTGGCGCAGAAATACGGCTACGAATTGCCACGGATTGAGGATGATCCGGAAGCAGAGATGCTGCTGGCGCGAAAGGACCCCAGACAAGTGTTCTACGGTCTGCATCCCGGCTGGGTGGTGAGTCTGAAGGATCGTGCGATAATCAAGCCTTGTTAGTGTGGCGAAGTAGTGTAATAAAAGAGATCAGCAGCAGTAGCGACAACAGATGTGTGGCTTTGTGGAGTCACTGAGGATCTTCTGGTTCCAGGACTTGCGCGGTGGAGCCCATGGAAGGCGCTCCTCAGGCACCACCTGATTCCGCTTGATGGAGATTCTTCCGTTGCAGGCGGCGCAGCGCGCGGCAGTGCCTGACAATCCGCTCGGAGGACTCTTGCGCTGGCCAGGAGAGTCAGCAGCGGCACTCTTGGCGGACGACCTCTTGCGTGGAGTGTAGATGAACTCACGACTGAGGAAGTTCGGCCGCGAGGTGTTCCAGAAGTTCTCCAGGCGACTCGTGTTCATGATGGCGCCCAATTTCTGCAGCAATCTCACATTTTCGCGCTCAATTGTCGCCTTTCGCTCAGTCTCCTTCTGGATCTTCTTCATCTTCACGATGACATGGGGATAAGTGGGTGGCGAGGAGAAGTCTATTCTGGGTCCGGCGCTCTTCACCTGGACATGAAATGGGAAGTTAGGAAGTCTCTCGTCACTTCTCTCCAAATCTTCTCACTTTCTTCCGGTGCTGATTGTATCGCTCCACAAGGAAGGGCTTCACCAGCAATTTATCCCTCTTCGTCAGCATCTCCGATGACGCCACTGAAGTCACTGAACCGCCCTGGACAGAGGAATATTGATCAAACGCAGGCAACCCGTAGAAACGCAATTTCCCCCGACAATTACTTTATTTGGGACTTCATCCCCCGACTCTCATGGGTGGCGAAACAAGAATCACGCCATCTCCGCGCACAAACAGCATGGGAATGGTTCTCTTGGTGGTCTTGTACACTTCCTCGTAAGTCTCCTCGTCCACTTCGCACACGGTCACGGTTTCCTCAGCATCCCCGAGGACCATATTCAAGTGCTGATCGAAGGCCTGGAAGAGAAGGCATTTCCTCAGGATATTCTATGAAGCCAAGTGTCTAGATAGTGCTCACGTGCAGTCGCCCACGAAGCTCTCGCTCGTTGCGCATCTTCACGTAGATCTTCTCATCCAGACTCAGGCGAATGAGATCCAGCGGCTCCTTCACTGGAATCGTCTACAAAGCGCCCCCGGAAACTCCCAGATGAGTGCCATTTATTGAGAGTATTTCATCGTCTTACCTGCTCATCGTCTGCCATTGGAGAGTTTTGGGGATTATTGGCTGTTTTTCCAAAGAAAAATGCGTTTTCCGACGCGTTGTTTTGTAAACAATGCCACAACCTTAACCTACAAATCTTGCCGCAAACGCCAAATGCATGACGTCATACACTGCTAAAAAAGATTTATTATCCCTTTGTGTTATCCTTATTATGCTTATTATGAATGTTAAAAATGTTGGTTCACAAAATAGTATTAACTGTGTTTACAAATGAATTGGCCAATATTCCACGTGGATTGATTTGTTTTGATTATTCAGCTTATTCTTGCAATTCCGAATATTTTCACCTTTCACCTTCCTATGAGAAATTGAATAGATAATTTTGGTGTTTAGCATAAAATATTATACAGTCGATTAGGTATAAAATGCGAGAATCCCTGGAAATATTCTCATTCGTTGCGGTTGTTTGTTCAGTGATTGTTATCAAAATGATGATTCAAAGTCAGAGAACGAGGAAGAACTCGGTTTTCCTCACGGATCTCGAGGAATATCCCATATTTACCAAGGGTGACTTCACATTGAAGGTTGATGTGAGGTATTTGAGTGAGAAGAGTAAGAAAAAGGCAGAAGAGGAGCTCAATGAAACGGAGGAAGTTAAGACAAAGGCTTTGGAGAGAATGAGTGAATTGATCAAAGGTCAGTCTAGCTTTTCTCATGCTTGGGATGAGTTATTAAATTGTGTATGATGTGTTTTAGGAGAGGAAGATCTTGATATTCCATATGACAATCGTCCTTTCATGGTGAAATTCCTAAGAGCTCGGAAGTTTGATGTCGACGAAGCCTTCACACTGATGAAGAACTATTTCAAGTTCAAGAGTGAATTTCCTGAGCTGTTTAAGGATGTTGTTCCTTCGAAAGTTGCTTACATTCTTGCTATGAATGCTGCCTTCATGTCACCAGTTAAGGATCAGCATGGTCACACAGTTTTGATGGGTCGAGCAGGTGATTTAGCAAATTATTTGTTTTATTTCCCAATTAATATCCATGTCGATCCAAAGAATTATTCGATCCCGATATCGCCACGCCAATGGAGTTCATAGCAGCTGGCTTCGTGATTGGAGAAGGAATCATGATGGAGCCAGAAAGTCAGGTGAACGGATTTGTTGGTGTCATAGACTGCAAAGGATTTTCTTACAAGCATTTTAAGAAGATCACCATCAGTTTGATAAAGCTAGGTCTACGCTTAGCGCAAGTAAGACATTTTAGTTATTTCTTTACTGGGATAATTGTGATTGAAATCAAACATTTTCAGAGCGTTGTTCCAGTCATTCCGAGGCGAGTTCATTTGATAAATCAAAATTTTTACGTCAACGCTCTTTACAAGATCGTAAAGCCTTTTCTACCCCAAGAATACATCGATATGATCTATTTTCACGGTGAAAATATTGAGGAACTCTATGAATATATACCGAAAGAGTGTTTGTTGGAGCATTTTGGAGGAACTATCAAAGATCCTGAGATAACTGAGGAGGAATACAGGGATTATCTGAAAGGATTCGATGAGGAATATCTCGCTTTAAATGCTCTGGGCTACAGAAATTATAATTTTTGAAAAATTTACATAAATTATGGGGCAATTGAACAACAAATATAAATATTTATGTTCACGAAAGAATATTTTTGGAATCCAAAATTTATCATACGTTGCTTAATTAACATTTTTCAGGTAATAAATAAATTATTCAGAGTTTGTGTTTTATTTTCCTTGGCCAGTTTGTGTGACTAATTAACAGTGTAACAACGGTTGAAAATTTTGAACTGTGAATGCGTTGCCAACTTCATTATTATTGGGGGAAAACACGTGCATTCGTCGCAATGAAATCATTCGGGAAAAAGAGTAAAAATGCGTGGAAAGAGGTGAAAATCTCTGGCCAACTGGCCACAGATGACACCTTGACGAATCTCGAGGGATTCATCGGCCTGGAAGTGCTGGAAAATTATGATAAACAATTTGTGGTCAAGGTAAAATCAAAAGAAACATTTTGGCATGAGTTTTCGCTGCAATATTCACGCATTTTTAGGGAAAACCGGGAAAATCCGGGAAGAAGAGACAATCAGAAGATGATGAGAGTCCCACCAAGAATCCAAAGAAAAAAGTCAAGAAAGGCCAAGAGAAAAGCGGTGAGTCTGAGCAGAAAATCACCGAAAAATCAAATGAGAGTTCCAACGACGAGGAGGAAGACTCGAATGTGGGGCGCTTTGTGAGGATCTCAAGGGATCACGAGGAAGACGCAATGCTGACGATTGAAGATCTCGAGGATTGGCAGAGTTTCGGCCTGAAAGAGCCTCTACTGCAAGCGATAGCCGAGAATGGGTTCAGGAAGCCCACGGAGATTCAATCTTTAACTCTTCCGGCGGCGCTAATGGGTCGCCGGGATATTCTGGGAGCGGCCGAAACGGGTAGCGGGAAGACATTGGCATTCGGGCTGCCTATTCTGAATGGAATCATGGAGCTGCAGGAGAAGGAAGTGGAAAATCCGGATGTGAAACTGAGGAAAACCGTGAAGATTGTGAAGGGAAGGCAGGATCGAGACAATCTGACGCCTCCGCCTGAGGAGGTGTCCGACGAGGAGGAGTATCCAGTGCCTGAGCAGATCAGGAGGAAGCTGTATGCCCTGATCCTGACGCCCACGAGAGAGCTGGCTGTGCAGGTGAGGGATCACATTAAGGCTGTGGCAGTGCACACGGGCGTCCGAGTGGTGGCGATCTTCGGGGGCTTGGCTCTGGTGAAGCAGGAGCGTCTGCTGAGGCAGTGTCCTGAGATCGTGGTGGCCACGCCGGGGAGATTCTGGGAGCTGCTGAAGGAGGGCAATGCGCACCTCAACAAGGTTGACGACATCAGCTTTCTGGCCATTGACGAGACCGACCGGATGATGGAGAAGGGACACTTCGAGGAGCTGACGCTGCTGCTGGAGCGCATCAACAGGATTGCGGAGAAGAAGGCGCAGAGGCAGAACTTTGTCTTCTCAGCCACACTGACGCTGGTGCACGATCTGCCCGATTATCTGAAGTTCAAGAACATGGGCAAGAAGAAGAAGGCTCAGAAGATAACGTCTGAGAAGAAGCTCGAGTCCGTGATTGAGATTCTGGGTATTTCGCAGCCCAAAGTCGTGGACGTCACGAAGGCGAGCGGCACAGCGGAGCACTTGACAGAGTGCAGGATTGTGTGCTCTCTCACGGAGAAGGATTACTACCTGTACTACTTCCTGCAGTGTCATCCTGGGCGTACAATTGTCTTCTGCAACTCCATCGATTGCGTGCGTCGGCTGGCGCACCTGTTCAGCCTGCTCCAGTGCCGATCTCTGCCTCTGCACGCCAGCATGGCGCAGAAGCAGCGCCTGAAGAACCTCGAGCGCTTCCGTGATGACGCCGAGGGGCTCCTGATTGCTACAGACGTGGCCGCCCGGGGTCTAGACATCCCGAATGTGCAGCACGTGATTCACTATCAGGTGCCCAGAACGTCTGAGAACTACGTCCATCGCTCTGGACGAACAGCGCGGGCCTCCAGAGAAGGCATCACGGTTCTCCTGATGGAGCCCAGCGAAGTCGAGTGCTACAGCCGGCTGTGTCGCACTCTGGGGCGCAGCGAGGATTTGCCGGTGTTCCCAATCAACCAGCGCCTGCTCACAGCGGTGAAGGATCGCGTGATCCTGGCCAGACAAGTGGACGAGATGGATCTGCGCGAGAGGCGCACGCAGAAGGAGGTGGGATGGCGCGAAAAGGCCGCTCGTGAGATCGATATGATACTGAGCGAGTCGGATTCCGAGGCGGAAGATCACAGAGTGGAGAGAAAGCAGCGACATGAGCAGGAAAAGAAGGCGCTCAAGGAGAAGCACCAACAACTGAGCAAGCTCCTCGCCAAGCCGCTGTTTCCCAAGGGATACAGCTATAAGTATCCCACAGCGGCTGGGCGGCTGGAAATGCCCGCGATGCGCGGTCAGGATGCTGTGGATGTGATGAAGGCGGCCATCCAGAGTGGGAAGGAATCGTCGAAGGTCATCAAGAAGGCGATGAAGCCGAAAAGGAAGAAGGTGCAGCAAAAGAATCAGCAGCAGAAGAAGAAAGATTGAGGGATTTTTGTACATGATTGGTGTAATAAAATATGATGAAAATTAACGCGCGAAATTACCACATCTGCAGCGCCAACTGTCTTCTCAGCGGCGCACTAGCGGGGAAAAACAAAAAGTCAGTCTCGCGATGATCGATTTTTGCGCTGAAGCGTGAGAACGTCTCGTGAAAAGTATGTTTTTTCACTCCAAATGTGGCCAAAAAGTGATTTTGAGTGAGAACAACACACGTGCCACGCGCCGCAAGAGTGACTTCGATCACGGACTGTGCCTGAGTGCTGATCCGCTGGAGGACGACAGGCTCTTTGAGATTCGCATAGTTGAAAAGGTGAGAGTCTGGGCGATTTGGGGCGCTCTGCAGTTGATGTATAATTGTGTGCTTTGCCGTGCAGATTCACGCGTGGAGTGGGAGTCTGGAGATTGGCGTGACTGCCGTGCCGCCGGATCACTTCGAGCAGCTGCCAGCGTGCGCGACGAAACTCCGCCATGGCACTTGGCTCATGTCCGGAAGCTCTGTGCTGAAGGATTGCGCCACCATCGTGGAATTCTATGGTATTGACTTGGAAAGTCTCAATGAAGACGACCGTGTTGGTGTTGTGAAGAGCTCCGCCGGGGAATTAATATTCTATGTGAATGGGATTTCGCAGGGTGTGGCCGCCACCGGACTGCCCAGGACACTGTATGCCCTCGTGAATCTCTACGGAAAGTGCGTGGAGGTGGTGATCAGTACGCCCACGACGTGTGAGTGTCACCCCAGCAGTACACTCGTCACGCAGAACATCGACATTCCCATGTCGGTGGACGTGTGCGTGAGTCCGCCGCCGGGAGCGGCCGCGGATGCGCTGGACATGAACGATCGGCTGCGCTTCCACACGCGCTGCGGCAGCCTGGTGAAGCTGAGCTCCAACTCGCGAACGGCCGAGCGCCGCCGGCCGCTGGATGAGTTCAATAACGGCGTCGTGATGACACACAGGCCGCTGAGGGACAACGAACTGTTCGAGATCCGGATCGACAAGCTCGTGGACAAGTGGTCGGGCTCAATTGAGGTGGGCGTGACCACCCACAATCCCTCGGCGCTACACTTCCCCGCCACGATGACCAACATGCGCTCGGGCACAATCATGATGTCCGGCTGTGGCATCCTCACGAACGGCAAGGGCACGCGTCGCGAGTACGGGGAGTTCAATCTGGACGAGCTGCGCGAGGGCGATCGCGTGGGGATGATGAGGAAGTCCAACGGGAATCTGCACTACTTCATCAACGGCCGAGATCAGGGCTGCGCGGCCACGAAAGTGGCGCAGATCCTCTGGGGCGTGATCGATCTGTACGGCATGACCATCAAGGTGACCATTGTGGACAGGGATGAGCGCGAGCAGCAGAATCTCGTGACGCGACGCAACAATCTGGCGTCGCAGAACACTAATGCTGGCAGCACAGGCAATGCCGCTGTCGAAGCGGTGTCCAACATTGTCGAGACTCCAGCGACACTCATTGATCTCGAGGCTCTGCCTTCGGATAGACTCACTTTTCATCCCATCTGCGGATCTCACGCCACGGTGACGCATAGCGGACGCACGGCTCTGCGTCCCAATGCCTCAGATGACTTCAACAACGGCGTGGTGCTGACCAGGAGGCCACTGAGGCCCAATGAGCTGTTCCAGGTGAGTGGAATCTCTGCGTGGAGTTGCAATAATCTGTCTGAGTGTTCCTTTTCAGGTGCGCCTGGAGAGAGTTGTGAGCAAGTGGGCGGGATCCATTGAGATGGGTGTGACCACGCACAGTCCCACAGAGCTGGAGTTCCCCTTCACGATGACCAACGTGCGCTCGGGCACGTGGATGATGACTGGCAATGGTGTGATGCAGAATGGCACGACTGTGATTGAGCAATATGGCCAGAATCTCGATCGGCTGCAAGTGGGTGATCGTGTGGGCGTTGTGCGGAAGGACGATGGCGTGCTGCACTTCTACGTGAACAGCATGGATCAGGGTCCGGCGGCCACGGGTGTGCCGGAGAAGGTGTACGGCGTGATTGATCTGTACGGCCAGGCGGCGCAGGCCAGCATTGTCGACACGTCAGAGTGCGGAAGTCCAGACACGGGGAACTCAACCATCTCCAACACGACACTCTACAGCAGCGAGCCGAGGCTGAGATTCCATCAGGTGCACGGCAGGAATGCCAGAATCTCCAATGGCGGATTCACGGCGTGTCGACCGAAGGCACTGGCGGAGTTTAATGGATCGATTGTGTTCAGCAATCGTCCGCTGCGCCAGCGGGAGCTGTTCGAGGTGGTGCTGGAGAATATGATTGATCACTGGACGGGGAGCATTGAGATCGGTGTGACGGGCGCCAGGCCTGATGAGGTGAGCCTGCCCAGCACTGCCACTGACCTGAGCCACGATACTCTAATGCTGTCGGGTAGTTCGCTGATCTACAACAGTGTGATTGTGCGCAATGGACTGATTCCCTTCGATCTGGACACTCTGACAACGGGAGCGAGAATTGGGGTGATGAGAAATGGGGATTTCATCCACTTTGTCATCGATGGAGTGGATCAGGGAGCAGCGTATGAGCTGAGAACGCCCAATCTTTATGCTGTCATCGATCTCTACGGTCAGTGCGCTCAGGTTAGCATCACCACACCACAGCTGGACATCCGGGCGCCGTATGCCACCAGTGAGAACTCTCAGAGCCTCCAGGCGACGTCAGTGATACAGCCGGCGCTGGAGGCGAAGCACCGCTGGTCGTGCATCTCCGGGAACATCTCGCTGTCGCAGAACTGGACGATGGCCAACCGCTGTGTGAATGCAGCGGCGGCTCTGTCCCACGGATTGGCCTTCTCGGAGCATCCTCTGGCCGTGGGTGAGCAGTTTGAGATAAAGATCACAGAGATCAACCAAATGTACGCCGGATGCCTGAAATTCGGCGTGACTGATCTCAATCTCACGGATGAGCACGTGAGGAAGAACATCCCGAGCACAATCAAGAGAATCCCTGCCAATGTTTGGTACATTTCGTGCAATGAGGCGCGCTATAATGGATCTCTGATCAACAGATCTCTGGCGTCGCTTGAGTGGCTGCGGGTGGGTGATCGTCTGACACTGGAAGTCACTCCGGCGCGCACTCTGCACATTCTGCTGAATTCTGAGGACATGAATATTAGCTTCCAGAGTCTTTCGCCGGATGTCTACGCTGTGGTGGAGTTGATCGGCTCCACTATGGCTGTGCAGGTGATTTCGAGGTGTCAGGGTGCCTCGTCGCCACTGCGGCCATGCAGTTTGCGCCTCCAGGACTCGCTGGAGTTTGGTGTGGATCCGCTGAACAAGCAAGACTCAATGCTGGAGTCACTAGATTCGGATATGCTGGCCTTTGAGTTCTCAGATGTGCATGGGAAGCAGGTGCAGCTGTCGGAGGACAGGAAGAGTGCCTGGCGTTGTCAGGGATACAACAATGGAGTGGTGTTCGTGTCCAAGCCGCTGTGCAAGGGACAGAGCATCAGTATCCGGATCGATGAGGTGAATAGCAAGTGGAAGGGAACGATTCTGGTGGGTGTTGTGGGCTTCTGTCCCACTGCCAGTCACGTTCAGGTGCCTGCCAGTGCCATCAACATGAAGAGGCCGTGTTGGGTGTTTGCCGAGGACTATGTGAACATCAATGAGAATCGAATGCAGTGTCCCTACGCGGTAGCGCTGGAGGACATCCAGAAGGGAAGTGTGATAACGCTGCTGAATCACGCCGGCAGTTTGACTGTGATGGTGAATTCTGTGACGCTGGACGATTTGGTCACGGGATTGCCTCATCATGTGTATCCGGTGTTTGATATCTATGGCAAGTGTGAGAAGATCTCACTGGTCAGTGCGGAGGTGATGAGGAATGGGAGTCCGTTTAATGAGGAGGTTTCACTGCAGAACACACTCGAGGCTGCCGGTCCGGAGTCTGAGTCGAATGTGCCGCAGTGCGAGAAGGCAGATCTGGAGGTGCATGAGAAGGAGACAGAGACTTCCTTGCCATCCATCAGTGCTCCTGGACCGTCATCAATGACGAGATCCGTGATGGAGAGTGTTTCGGAGAATCTGCTGATGAATATCTCCATTAAGAATAGATCCATGGAGGCGCGCAATGATCTGTCGAACTCCTGCTGTCTGCGGGAATCTCTTCAGCTGCAGCACTCGACGAATCTCAATATTCAGCGCAGTCAGAGCACACAGAGATTTCACAATCAGGAGGAGCCGCGAGTGTACTTTGAGGCTCCAGATGTGCCGGCGTCAGAGGTGAACAATGACTCCAACTATCTGGAGGTTGAAGTGGAGGAGAATCGCACGGAGCAGTGTCTGGAGTCACCGGGCAGCTCTGCTGGGGCTGTTGGTGGGGGTGTTTCTGTGGATCTGGAAGCGCTGGCCACCACTGAGGCGAGAGAGTGTGAGTATCGTGAGTTGGTGAGTGACTTCAAGAAGACTCTGGTGCTGCCCGATGCCTTCTTCAGCTACGATCATCCCACTTGCTACTGTCTGGATTGTGTGCCCAGTGCGCAGGCGAGTCTGGTGCGAGGATGGGTGAGATTCAAGCTGAATCAGGAGACGTGCAATGCTGGAGGGATGATAACGGAGTGTACAGACTGGACGACAGCCTTCTATCTCAGTCGCGTGAATAGGATTCGTCCGATTCTGGACAGAGGACATCTTCTGCCACTGGGTAAAAGAAAAGTGTTATTTTTTTATTACTGTTTCGTGGTCAACATTTGACTATTTCCTCATTACACTCTGTTGCAGACGCCAATGAATCTTCCGTGGCTCAGTTGCAGAAGGATGATTCAGGACCTGGAAAGCATCTAATACTCAGCACAACGCCAAATGTCGTTCCCATTCTGCCCAAGCACACGTAAGTGATGCAATAATCATCCCCATGGAGGCACTTTTTACAATTGTGCTGATTATCTCTTGCAGGTTCACTTTCGGGAACACACGCGTCACCACGTCGTTCGAGGTGAGGGTGAGGACGCAGAGTCTGTGTGGATACAGGGAGGAGGATGGTGAGGAGGGAGCCTCGACAGATGAGGAGCTGTGGACAACCAAAGAAGCTGGAGCGTGCGTGATTACGGCGCTTCTGCTCAAGATGGAAACAGAGCCATCCGGATGCTAGACTCTCTTTATTTTAGTGATCTCAAGAGGACATATAAATATGCTTCAATCAAGTCGAACGCTGTGAATGTTTTCACTGGCCACGGAGTTGATCAGCCAGAGGGATTCTTGGTAGCTCCAGATGAGGCAAAGCATCTCTGTGGCTTGGAAATGGAGAACATCGTGATTCTCAGCTGTCAGGGGTGTTCTGTGTGGGGAAGAGAAAAGATGAGGATTTCTGCGCATATTAGCAATGAATTCATCCTTACGCTGTGTTCCACTTGACAATTACTCCATCGCGAGGGATGATGTAGTAGAGGAAGTTGTGGGAATCCACAGTCAGTGAGCGTCCAGAGCCCAATAAGCTTCCTATAATCATTGTTTCCCAGAATATCACGTCATTTCGGTGGAATTCTTCGTCGCGAATCCGTCGCATGTCGCCAAAATGGAGGGAATTCCGGGTAGAGTCATAGAGATAGAGTTGTCCTGTGGGCAGGATGACGGACTCACTGAATCTCGCGGTGTCTTTGGAGCAGAGTGTCCGGAAGGACTTCTCCTCCAGGGAGTAGACGACAAAGCAGTTGCTCTCCTTGAGTGTGAGATAAGCTCTGGTGAATCTGCCTGCGTGCGTCTCAGGATCAATGGTGAGGGAGGTGAAAATTCCTTCTGTGGCATTGCCAAAGACATGCCGATGGACTTCACTGTTCCAGGGCGTTCGCAGATTGTAGACGATGAGCTTGGGTGGACACTTTGGGGAGCCTCTGTCGATTACCCACAATCTTGACTTGGCATCCACAGCTGTTCGCCAACTCTGGACAATCCTCTGACATCCTGTGGCCAGATTGTGCGCCTGGGCATTGGGAAAGCGACGAGCGACGAAGTGCAGCAGGTTTTCTGGCCACGAAGTCTCCACAAGAGTGGCAATCTGACTGGTATTCTTACTCTTGACCGAGAGGAAGGCTTTCAGATGGTGCACAGACACGTGCAGGAGCTCAAAGTCACACTGCTGAACACCGAGACTCTGCAGGCACCAGCCATGTGTGGCATTGAGGCCAGTTGTGAGGAGGAAAGCGCCGAAGATCACTCTGATTGCAGTCATTCCAATGACATTCACTGACAAAACTCTTTTGCCTAATCAGCAGAATTTCCTCGGCCCAGAAAAATAAAACTCGCGCGCGATATTTATAAATAAGGTTCTATATTACAGCGTTTTGATTAAATTCATTAAATTAGTGGGTATTTTACACAGAGACAAGAAAAAATGGAGGCTAGGAGGGTGTTTCTAGGCATCACAATAATTTGAAAATCGCACGCTCTTCTTCACATCTACATGGCGTCAAAGTGGAATCTGTGCGCCTCCTGTAGCTTCTCCAGCTTATCCTCGCGCTTCTCCTTGATGTACAGGCCCAGGATGATGAGCATGATCACCAGGCATGTACCGCCCAGCGCCACCATGCTCATGAGGATGAGTTTGCTGGGCGTGACGAAGAGCTGCGCCTTCCAGCGCCACGGCTCCTTGATGGGCCATGGCACCACGATGACCTGGGAGTTGGGGATGAGTTGCGTCCAGGTTTTGGACTGATTGGAGAGGCCCACGGTGATGGAGTCCACGAAGTTGGGCGTCCTGCCCAGGCCAAAGATGGTGTAGGGCAGATGCAGGGCGAAGTAAGCGGATTGCGGAATCTGCGCGGACGTTCCTTCCTGCGGATAGCCATCCTGCGTGATGGTGTAGTACGCAATGCGAGGACCTGGCAAATTGGTGCCTGAAAGACAGGAGAGAGCATTAGGACTGTGGCCTTGCTGAGGGCGTGGCTGTCACTCACCGTAAGTCTTCTTCGTCCTGCCGAGGGGTGTTTTGGTGGTGGGAACTTCCTTGTTCACCAGGCCCGTGAGGACGATCACCTTGACGAAATTGGCGTCGTAGTCGAGGGAGTTGCGGAAGGCCTTCGTCCTGTACTGACTGCCGGACTTCTCCACAAGCACCACGTCCAGGATGCCGTCCTGGTAGAAGTCATAGAAGGCGCCGGCAACTGTGCCATTGGCGAAGGGCGCCAGAGCCTTCCAGCGTACGACGAAGGTACGCGAAATTGGGCTATTCTTGCGCTCCGACGGTACATTCTCCAGCAGGAACGTCTGGATGGCGTCGCCCGGATGCTGCTGCAGAGTGGCCAGTAGATCTGGATAGCCGTCCATGTTGAAGTCTCCGCCGCGCAGCGTGATGGCATTGGTGAAGAGCTGATCGTCCGGCACGACGAAGCCCCACTGCTTGTTGTCCGGATCCTTGAAGTTCACCTCCAGATCGTGGAATTGGTGGCCGTTGTGCACGAGAATGGTGGAATTGCTGCACTTGCGGTCGAAGCAAATGGGCAGCACCAGATTTATGTTGCCCTTCAGCTCGGCGTCCAGGAAGAGCGCCTGGCCCACGTGCTCATTCAATCCTGTGGGCAGATCGATGGTGTGACTGTACATGAAGCCATCGTGGCGATCAGTGCCGTTCCACACTTCAAAATTGCGCTCTGCCGTGATGAACAGATCCGCCGTGAAGTCGTGATTCAGGTCAATGAACGCGTGGGAGTGTGGCAATCGTAGTCCAGCCTTGTGATGCATTGGCATTTGGCGCATTTCTGGCGTCGAGCGGTCCTTCTTGAACAGCCAGAACGTTCTCTTGTCCGTCGTGCTCTCCAGTCCGAACAAATCCATCACCATGTCATCATTGAAGTCCAGCACCATCGGTTCTCCGTGAATGTCCAGCAGCTTCTCCTCCTCGTCTGTGCAGTTCATGTAAGACGATCCGCCCCAGTTGACGAACACGCCCAAATTGCCGTCGGATCCCTTCACAGTGATCAGGACGTCCATGAAGGCGTCCCCGTCGAAATCCCCCGGAACCACACTCGAGATCTTCAGGTTCTTGAACGTGCACTTGGGTCCCTCCTTCAGCAGTGGCTCAGTGTCCGAGCCCAGGAAGATCTGCACCGTCCGGAAGTCATCGCGCAGCATGAACATGTCTGTGAGTTCGTCTGAATTGAAGTCCCCAAAGGCTGCTGGGACTCCATCAGTGGCGGAGCCAAAGACAGTCTGAGTGAAGTCCAGACACGAGCCCAAGTGCAATAGAAGCGCCAAGGGCAGAAGCCTGAGGTACTCTTTCATCCTCACGGAAGGCTTTCCTGGGGAAATCCACAGCAGAAATGGTGAATTTTCACGTTTTTCAGGACACTAGCAAAAATTTTCTTTTGTGTGCAACACTTTGACACTTCTAGTTTCCACACATGAATCACACCAAATTTTAGAAAGACGTGTCTATGGAATATCATTAGATTTGTCTACTCTTCACTGACGAATCCAATTTCAATTCAATTCAATTTTAATTCCAATAATTGTTTTCATTCTTGCTTCTAGAGCTCATGATTTTTCCGCTAAACTATCGCGGTTTTCAAGTGGAGTAGGACGTATCGTGAGATCGTCCCACGGATACATTCCGATGTGGAACATCTTTTATCAGGAATTGATTTTCCAGTTTCCACAATTTGTCAGTATTCCAAGAAAAATAGTTCCATTCGACAAATGGCGTTTGGTTCATGTGAAAAATCTGTGTTCTGTTCATTTTCTCAGTGATACAGTGCGATACACACGACAGTAAGGTAATTATTAAGTGCTAAAGATGTCGGACAACAAGGAGAACACCGGCGGCGAGGACGATGTGATTCCGGAGGACTTTTTCGACGACTTCAGCAACACGGAGTTCATGGCAGGTTAGGAAATCAGCGACTGGGGCGCTTCAAAGACTGTTTCTACATGGTCTCGGGGATGTTTTCCGGCAGGTCTCGATGTGATCGACACCTGGGATGAGGGCGAGGACTCGAAGGATAAGCGCGGAAGTCGGACGACAAAGAAATCGGGCGAGAGCAACAAGGAGTTGGAGCGTGCGTCTCAGGATCGCGATCGGAAGCGTCGTCATTCTGGGGAAGCAGCGAGCAGGGAGTCGACCAGGAAGTCTCCGGAGAGGCGGAGGCCTCGCGAGACGCCGGAGCACGAGAAGCGGAGACGCTACTCGCCGTCGCGGAGGCGTTTGGATGTGAGACGTCCGCCTGGCGGTCGCAGATCCCGCAGTCGGACAAGATCGCGCAGCAGATCGCCCAGGGGACGCAAGAGGGGAGCGGCGAAGAAGACGCCCTTCCTGGAGGAGTTGGCGCAGAAGCTGGCCGAGAAGGGGCACAGCCTCACGGGTCTGCAGCCGAATCCGTGCGCTTTCCAGGCGCAGGGCTTCTATCCGGATCCTGGGTAAGATTGAATCGTTGGGTTTTGCATCTCTCGCGGGTGAATTGAGTGCCTTTATTGAGTGTGAGAAGAGGTGAGAAATGCGATTTCAGCGTTTCGCAGTGTCAGATTTTGATATTTAGACGTAAGTTGAGCCTCGAAGCAGGATTATTGAGTTGAATTCCTTGTTTTTCTTGAGGTCACTTTCTAATTCTGAACATGTCACAATCCGAGTTGAGCGCCAAAGTCGTGTCCTTTAAAGCCTTATGTGCACCACAGGTATCAATATCCAATGCAGCCTCAGATTCCTGGGATGGTGATGCCGCCGTATCCTTACCACCAGCCTCTCGTGGCATATCCGAATCTCGCGCAGTTCCCAACGCCCGTGCCCCCGCCGGAATACGGCCCGGCGCTCCCACCGCAATTTCCAGCAGTGCAGCTGAACAACGTCGACAACGTGGCGAGCAGCAGTCATCCTGTGCAGTCACCGATGATTCCGGGCACGAATCCAGAGCCGCCGGAGCCAGCGCTGAAGACGCCGCAGCAGGAGAAGTACCCTCTGGGGCTGGCGCAAATGCTGGAGGACAACTATGTGGAGGTGAAGGAGAAGATCACAGAGCTGTCGTCCAAGGATAGTATTCTGTTGCGCTGCAAGAAGGCGATAGACGCGATGCGCGGCGACTCCAAGGCGTCGAATGCCTTCATCTTCGTGCCCATGACGACGCCCAAGGTTGTGGCGGATGGATCGCCGGTGGGGAAGTTCCATCACGTGAAATTCCCCTGGTCGGCCGACAAGTGCGAGATTGACACACACTTTATAACGCTCTCCAGTGCACGAACACGGGAAGTGGCACAAAAGCTGGGCTTCAACGCCACCAGGATCATCAACAAGCTGAAGGTGCAGGACGTGACGGACAAGATGACGACAGGCGGTGCACAGCCTGTCCAGGATATCAGCATATCGGCGGACAATTGCTGCACAACTGCGGTCCAAACCGAGCGCTTCGAGTGTCCGCGGTGTTTGGAGAGGGAATTGCGCACGTCGTGGGATCAGGCCAGCCAGACGGAGCCGATACCCGCGAAGCCCACCGTGAAGGACGTCCTGCCGGACTACGATGAGGCGGTGATCAGTCTGCTGGCGCGCTTTGGGCAGCAGCAGCGCGATATTCTCATCTACTTCATGCGACTCATCGATCGGCCGGACTACGTGACACCGTATCACATCAACACACTGACGTCTAGGCTCCAGGATCTGCCCAAGAACATCTACAATCAGCTGCGTCAGGCGGCACAGTCCGCTTACATTGTTAATCCATCGCCGGACGTGAGACGCTTCTAAAAGCCATAGAAATTGAACTAGAAACGTAGAAATTCACTCCTCAGCAGCCAAATTCTGGTGTCTCTGAATGGGTTTGTCATCAGCATGATTAGGAGAATAAAACTTGTGTAATTTCTCATAATTGTATTTCGCGTCGTGTCTCTTTCCGGGAGAGTCTCCTGGTCAGTCGCTCGCGCTCCTCTCGCTCATATCACAGAGGAGTGTTGAGGCCGGGCGGCCTTGTCCAGTTCCATGCAGCTGCTCTGGCCGGCGGGCGCGGCATTGAGCACGAGATTCTCCACGGAGCGCGAGTGAGAGTGCCTCAGGGACGCCCTCAGCACCTGCTCCACGCATCCGCCCAGCGACGAGGCCCTGTGGAAATTGGTGCGCCGCGGTCGCAGCAGCTGCGCCACATCCTGCGCCGTGAGACGCTGACACGCGGCCGGCGGCGGCTCCGAGCGCCTGTTCGTGTGGCTGTTATACAGGACGCGCGGCCCCATTTCGCCAGACTCACCGCTGGGATCCACAATCACCGAGTAATCCGGCGGCGGGCGCGACGGCGAGGCCTCGGCGTGCCGGCGACTGCCGCTCGACTCGCCCAGGATTCTACAAGAGAGACAAGAATTCAGAGAGAGAGAGAGAATTTTTAGTAATTTATCAATAAATTTGCATAATTTTGAAGCTTCAAGAACACGTCCAAAGTGATGTCAATCGCAGGATTTTAATAATTTCACTCCACATTCTTTATGTTCATTCCATAAGAATCAAATTAGCTTCACTTGGAAATTCAAAAAATCAGAGAAAAGCGCCCGCAAATTCTCATGCGTTATCATTAGAACGTGATGCAAATTTCAACAAGACTAAACGACAGCGTTTATGTTGTGATTTAGTGCCTGTGAATCTAAACAGTGATAATTTATCCTTTGTGATTATCCTAAATTTGATCTAAAAAGACGAACGATTTGTCTCTTAACATACTTTTCATAAGTCCTACACAGATTAATTAATAAACCCAGATTATTCGTTCACTTGTGACAAATTCGGCTGATTATTCGTGTTTCGTGAATCGTGTGATTGTTTAATAAATATCAGCGCAGAAATGTGTGTTAACAACATTTAAGTTCTTAGTGAAAAGTGCTTCTTTCCGCGGAAAAACAGTGTGAAAGATTGTATTTTAGTGCATCGCGATAATAGTGAATTTGATTACAGGTAAAGACAGCTTAATCTGCGCTACAATTTTATGTAATTATCACGGATTATCATTAGAAGACTAGATTCAAACCACCAATAAGTAACTCATATTCTAATTTTTAATAAATTTCCTTTGCCTTGTGAAGCATTTCAAGAAAACTAAGCAATCAAAATTCCTAATGATCTTGTTAATTTTTGAGCAAAGTAAGGAAAATCATGTATTTCTGAGTATTTTCGAGGAATAAATGGGAATCAGGTGGCTAAATTGAGTTCTATCCTTACCTCCGGACGCTCCTGCGAATGCTCTGGCGCAGCAGCTTGGCAATCCTGGCGCCCGTGGCTGTGGTGTACGAGGGCGGCGGAGTGTACTTTGGCGGCGCGTCGTCCTGGATACTCTGATGATTTTCCAGATTGATCGTCGTGACGGCAGCTGGAGAAGTCGGAGGTCTGTGTGAGTCTGGCCGCTGGAAATTCCTCACGCGGCCCACGGAGTCCACCTCAGGACGATAGAGAAGCTGTATGCGCTGCGCGGAAGAAACAGTGTCAAATTGTGGAGGGGAAAGCAAAGAAGGAAGCGAACACTCACGTCTAGAATGTCCGGTGGTCCCTTGGTGATGTATCGATAGATCTGCACAATGGCCACCACGGGGATTATCTGCAGAATGGCCACTTGGAGGAAGCCGCCCACCTTCCTCACCCACAGCGGCCAGTAGTTGGTGCCGCGCCAGTGGAAGAACTCCCTGGCGTTGGACACTTTGTACTCGAAGATCGCGAGGACGATCAGTCCAATGGGCAGCAGCACGTTCCACGCGAAGGCGATGAAGGCGGAGAAGGTCTGTGTGAGGTGGAGATCTGTCACCAGGAGATCTGAGCTGTACGGTCGGCCGCGGATGAGGAAGATGGCGACGATTTGCGCCAGCCACACCAGCATCAGCCACCACGCGCCACCCAGAATCACATCGAGGAAGTGGATGACACCGATGCCACTCTCTGTGGCCAGCGGGATGGCCAGCAGCAGGCCCGTGACGCAGCTGAGCAGCACTGAACTCGGCGACTCGCCCAGCGAGATGGCGATGGGCTTCCACATGGCACTGAGTTGGGCCAGGGCGAAGAGCAGCAGCACCAAGAAGCCCAGAAGACTCCACACCGCCGAGATGTTGACCCTCGAGGCGGCCGCGAGTGTGGCGGGAAAGAGTTCCGTCACGAGTCTCAGCACTTGGTAGCCACTCTCGCGGGATGGCACCATGCCGGGCCGCCGGAAGCTCTCGCCCACGACTGAGGAGTACCTGGGCAGCCACTTGGACGGCACAGAGACAATCTGTGGCGGCAGCGGCGCATCTCGCGGATAGAGAAACACGTCCGTGGCGAGATTCTCATAGGAGCCGGGAAAGTAGAGGTAGCCATAGTTGAAAAGAATCTGCACGCAGCTGTTGCCCATCAGCGCCGCCATCATGAGGCCGTACACGGTGAAGAGCGCCACCAGGAAGGCGTCCCGTCGCAAGTCACGCGAACTGGAGCCCTTGGGTGCCGTTGAGCGACTATATATCGTCACCACGGACGCCCCCGCGAGTCCCCACGTGAGGAAAGTCTCCTGTGCCGCCGACATCCAGCTCTGGGAGTTCATGAAGAAGTCCTGCCAGTCCGTGGCCGGGAAGATGCTCTGGAAGCTGGTGAAGTCAATCATGGTGAGCAACTTTGTGCACAACACCGTGATTCCCAGCGTGGGCAGAATCGCCAGAGCGTAGACAAATTTCCCGTATGAGCGCAAGCCGCGACACAGCACGATGAACACGAGTGTCCAGAAGATGGAGAGATTAAAGGCCACCTGGAAGCGCACCGCACCCAATCCTGAGCCATTGCCCGCACGTCCGGCGGCGCCCAGGTGCCATCGCTGCAGCACAACACCGTTAAAGTACTCTGGCACTGTGTCAGACAGTCGTGTGTCATTCGACGCGCCTCTGTACAGATCGAACGCCTCCTCCCAGCGATACCGATCGTCCCGGGCGACGAAGGAGTCCCTGAAGTACACCAGCAGCCAGCCCACGGACACGGCGGAGTACAGCGTGATCAGTCCCTGCACCAGGAGCAGCGTCACACCCACCCCGCGGCTAATTGGACTCACGCGCCACATCGACACACATCCGGCCCTCATCTTGGCGCCCAGACTCATCTGAAGCCACAGCATTGGGATGCCAAAGACCACGGACAGGATGAGGAATTGCAGAATGAAGTTGGCACCAAAGTGGACACTCATGATGGCGAATCTGGAGAAATTGAACAGTCCCAGGGTGCATCCCATTGTGGCCAGGGCGCGACTGAAATTGTGTGGCCAGACACCTTTGCGGCCCACCACATCCTCCATCTCTGGCGACGACGTGTCCTCCTCTTCCGAGCACGACCGGCTGCGTCGAGGTCTGCAAAGAGAGACAACAAGGACACGCTCTGTTAGTGTGCATACCAAGGACACTCCTCACGCACCGACCTCACAAGGAGCGAACTTGTGCTGGCCACGAGCACCAGCATAGCTGCAAAAGACACCTTTTCGCCCGCTGGCTATTGATCGACACCCCGCAAATGTTTGGCTGATCCGTTGCCGCGACAACGCATCAGACACGCTCGCAATTGGGCCAACATTTCCGGTCAATCGCTTAAAGCCACACACAGAGGGTGAAAAGGACATGGGCAAAAACATTCGATTGAAGGTTGAGAATCCTCACCTCTGTGGCGTGGCTTCTGCCGATGCCGTTGAACTGGACGCCGAACTGGAGATGGTGGACGCCGTGGGACTGGGATTCCGCGATGTGGCCACAGAGCTCACCTCCGACGGGACGCGCGCTGGGGCGCTGGCGGGGCGCTGGTGCGACACGATGATCTGCGGCGACTCCGCATTGATGGCCACCACGCGCGACTGCATCTCCGCGCGCCGTCCCAGCTGTCTGGGGCGCTCCTCGGCGGTCACTTCAGTCAGCGCCACGTGAGTCGGTGTGATTGGGAGGCTGTGCACGGGCGGCAGCGGCGCTGGGCGAACGGGACACAGCTGAGGCTCCCTCAGAGTGACACTGTTGAACGCCACAAAGTCCCTCAACTCCGCTTCCGAAGCCATCGGCGTCTGTTCAGTCTCCTGGCAATCCTCCACACGCTCAGGCAGTGCAATCGGTCGGGTTTTTCTCATTGAAGTTCTCCTCCATCGTCTCTCCGGTGATTCTTCGGCACCTGCAGCACGAAAAGACAGACAGAAAAAGAGAAGAAGCCCATTAGCCAACACAGAGCGAAGGTCTCCAATTTCAGTGTCATCAACTTTTGCTTCCCGGATCAAGAATCACACTTCCACCACTCTCGACTGCCTGCCATCAACTGATTCCTCCACAATTCAGTCCGCACTCTTGCGTGACTGGTTTTGCCTAGCGCACATGTCTCTCCGCTGCCCAGCCGATGGAGGTGGACGGACATTCTTGTGAGTGTGGCCGAGAGAGAGGAAATGCGGGACAGCATTTGGTATTCCACTCAAATTTCCCATATATACACCGCGCGCAAACCTCATTTGCAAACACTCTTGGCCCAAATCAACGCCCAAGCTGCCCTCTTTTCCCCACCCGGTCGAGGTCTGGGCATCGGCAGATGAATTATGAAGCACCAAATCGATCTTGGTCACCTAATTGGTCTTCAGTCCCTTTTTCTCAGTGCAATTTGCAGACATTCAAGGTAGGTTTTTCCTTAGTGCAAATACAGTGTGAGGCAGATAAAGTGTCCCAGAGAAACTATTCTTCACTTCTCATCGGTAAGAATTTATTTCTTGTCCTTTGAGTAAATTGTAAGGGAACCAATACTAAATAAAACATATGTTTTTGGCTATTTTCATGAATTTTTCTTTTTACGAAATGACTTTCTTTTAGCACGAAAAATTGGCGTCAATATGACGGAATTCACAATATAACTAAGAAAACGGTAAGACGAGAAGCATTAAATTCCTTTTGAGGGACAAAAAAGGTAATAATACTTTTTTGATAAATCCAATTTACTGCGTAAACAAGTGTTTAAGTTTATGATGGGAAATAAAGTTAATAGTAGTTTATTTTAATCGTTTGATTATGTATGTCACCTGTTACAGATATCCTAAAACCACTGAGAAAAGCATGGAATTATAATCGTACATCGTCCGTATTATATTATTGTTAATTCCAATTGTTACATATATTCAAATAACAGACTTTCCAACCAGTGATAAGCGAGTCCGGAAGATGTGTGAACTTGAATGCAAGGATTTCCTGAGTAATAATCCGGAAAGTGTTTTACTTTTTGCCACTAAGGACAACCTAAAGATTCATATTCGCCATAACAATTTTGTTTTAATGGTTTCACTTGTTGCTTTGGAAAGTCTTCAATTAACTTTCCATGTCAGTTGCGCGAATAAAATAGCATAAATCACACTATATAGCAAAATTTCTTTCGTTTACGAGTCGATCAAGGGCATAAGCGTGGCAAATTCAATTACATGCAAGGCATATATTGTCATATCAATTGCCACAGTCTGTAGTTTTCTTCTGCATTACATTTTATAGTATCTCACCAAATTTGTGTGGTATTTCCACGCACAGCTGCAGGCAGAAAACCCACTCAAAAGGCCATTAAAAGGCCCAAAATATACTCTAAACTTAACCATTAGATACCAAAATCGTGCAATTCAGTGTTGAAGCTCTCAAAAGTGAGAAAACTCGTTGAAATTTCAAGTGTGCGAATTATTGACCTAGCACTTAATAGACGAAAAATGCATCGTGCGTGCGTTATGAATATTTTCTGAAGGTTTTTTCCATGCTGATATGCGAAGATGCAAATAGATAAAAATTCCCAACACACCTTTTTATTCCATAAAATGGAAAAAGGCATTTTTGAAACAACTTTTCTATGGTCAGTGTTTAGCGAATAAAATGAATTTCCATTTCGCCGAAAAAAAAAACAGAAACACAACCACGCGCTCAAATAGTGGGCAAGAAAGGTAAAAATTTCACGTGAGAGTGAAACGAACAACTATTATTGAATGGGAGACAATAAAAGTCAATTACTAAGCACTGAATCAATTCTGGAAGGTAATCAGCAGAGAGACAAAGAAATTGGAGAATTGGTGAGTCACAGAAAGGGCAATAACGAAAAAACCCCTCAATTAAAGGGCTTTGGCTCAGATGTTTCTTAATCCCAAGCAAAGAAAACTTGCAAAATGGTGGAGAGAAGAAAAAACCCGTGGCTTCTCGCTGGATTTAGCACGAAGATGATGCCAAAAGAAGGAGAGGAATTGCCAAGAATAATTTTCAATTGAGGAGAGCCTGAGCGTAGAATTTATGGTCAGTTTAATGGAAATTGCACATTGTCTTCTTTACGGTTCAGTGTCTTTTTCTCTCTCTTCTCTTTAGCTCGCTTGTTTCCCGGTCTCTATTTGACCACAGAGTCCGCGGAATCGCTCAAGACAATCGCGAAAGTGAAGATGGTGATTAATAAGACGAGAAAAAAATCGGCGATAAAAAATCAATAAGACTGCAAATCACAAAGAAGTCCCTTTAATTACACTGGTGGAAAATCATTCCTCCTTGTGATTCTATTCGCGAGATCGCACAGAAATCCGCGCTGGTCGAAATGTCACTCTCCCGCCAAGAGAATTCGTGAAATTGAGCAATTCTCACAACAGCAAATTATACATTGCGGATCGACAGACTTCTTGTAGATCAACCTCAAATCAATTTCTTTGTTTCGATTTCTCACGACCAGCGCGCGCACACCTTCAAATCATTGTGAAATGCTCTCTCTCTCTCCGTCTCGCGACGACGAAAAATTCTGCCATAGAGAGCAATACAACAAAACTGACGTGTCAATTTGGCAATTTTTTGCCATCATAATTTATGATAATTTCAACATGTGCAAATAAGGCATTGATTAGCGCCAAGAGAGAAGACCATATCGTTGACACATTTCGAAAAATATGCCCCAAGACATAAAACTAATAACGCTTTTTTCCACCTTCTCCTCCTCCTCCTCCTCCTTTAGCACAAATGCCAATTTTTCCGCAAACATTGCCTCACCTTCGCGAAGAATACACTCCATGTCCATTCCCCATATCATTTGCGTGAAATTTGACGGCATCACGACTGCCAAAGGCGATTAAATATTGATAGATCAATTGAGGACTGGGTGAAGAAGCTTCTGTGCTTCACAGACACAATGTTGCATAACAAAAAAGGGTGAAGGTAGGAAGTTAAGAGAGTGAGAGAGTAGGCTAAGCTCCGCCCATTCACATACTCCGCCCATTTCTACACCTCATTGGACATGAACTGCCCTTTCATTTTCTGTGACTATTTCTGGGCTTACAAATTGTCATGTTGTTTTAGGAATTAGTTGATCCTTTCATTGTGTTTAAGGACATGAACAATAAAGCCATAAATACCGTAAAAATTTACTAATAACCTTTAATAAGCCCTTATTTCCTCTTTTTGGTCGCTTGAATTAGTTAACCAATATTTAATTAGTACGTTCTGGCGCTGATCTATCGTTTGCATGTTTACGATAATGAATTTTTAGACGACAAAGCACTATTCCGCACAGTGTAGAAACATCTGCTGCTTCCTCATTGATTGGAAAAAGGGCTCAAATTCATCTATCGCACGACAGGAAGTGACCCGGAACCGCCTGACCAGAGAGAGGGTGATCATGGGAATTGAGACAAGAGACACTCACCAGGTGGTCCGGAAGTGTTGCGATTCGGCACAGAGGCAATGGTGCACCTAAACGGATGCCCACGCGAAGCACCGTCAGCGCCAGTTGTCCTTCTGCTGATTACTTTCGGCAATGTTCCGCCTCCGCCGCCCGGCAACCACTCGCTCTTCTTCTCCACCTCGTCCAAATACGCGTCCAATTCCATCAGCGTGTCAGCAATATCGGGCGTCACTGTGCCATCATTCGTGTCCGATGTGAATGACTGCGATCGTGTCACAATCTCGTGACCCTCTTCGCCTTTTCTGGTCCTCACTGTGCAGTACACTCCCACGCCGCGCTCCAGTGGCGACTCCACGCCGGATTGCGGGAGTCTGCTGGTGCCACGGTGCCTGCCGATCGTGCAGCTGCCACCTATAATCTTGTCATTATCCGCCGCCTCCTGAACCCGACGCCGCGGCAGAGTCCAGCGATTGCTTGCGCCACCCACACGCTCCTCATCATCCATGCTGTGCCGCCTGATTTCCGTGTAACTCGTGTGACTGTCGATTGACCCCATTCTCTTCCGCGCACACAGAGTCTCTCACTTCATTGCTAATCACACACACACTGTGTCCTTCTTTTCCCCTAGAAGACCGTGGAGAAAATATAAGTATCCTTTTTTTCACAGCACAATCGCGCGTTCAACAACACTTTAAGCACGGAAATTGAAATTCACTTCTCTTTGTCAGTCTCATGAGCTCTCTTTCTTCGCCAATTGCAGCACCAGCACTGGAAGAGAGACAATTTCATACCATCATCAGCATCATTTGGTATTCACAAATCGGTCTAAGTGGAATTATAGCTCTCTAGCGGAGTTCACTTCTCTTCATATATGCATTATTTGCCACGTGACCCAAAAAGAGCGCGCTCGTCTTGCAAAACTGTCGATATATTTTGCAAAACACCTCCTCTCTCTCTCTGTCTGGCTGTATTTCTCAAAAATACATTGTCGCAATATTTGATCTGTTTGTTTTAAAAGACACCGCATCGAAGAAACAACTAAAAAAAAGATAAACACTTTCGTGTATGATATTTATAAAATAAAATTGACCACAGAGACAAAGAGTGTGAGAGAGAGAGAGAAACAGCATTTATTAATTCCGCGATGGGACAAGAAAAGACACCCAAGTGTGGATGATCACTCGCGATCACCTTGCAAAGTGATATTTTTGTCATAAAATTGCAACATGATCAGCATCACGATCACACTGAGCTGATAATAAAGTGTTTATGTGAGAAGATCTGGGCAAAATTAGTGGTGCAGCGGAGAATGTACGCGATCGCAAGTCGATCATGATTGCGTGATCGACCATTTGGAATATCTCCGGTTCACGATGAGGCCTGAACCTTGAACACACCACAACGCTGTTTCTTGTTAAAAAAAAATCACATTGACCTTCTAAGAGAGGGAGAGAGGAGCACAGCACAAAGTATGGTCACAAGAGGCCCCTCCTGAGGCAGCCAAAAACACGATCATTCCAAGACTAATTAAAATTTCAAATTGCACTCTGCGCTCACACTCCTAATATTTATGTAATTAATTCATCACGATTATTAGCCTCACCATCGAGAAAACAAAATGCTAAAAAATGTATTGTGCAATTATAACGGTTCCACTCTTTTTTGCCATATCACAACAAATTTCAAGTGTTTTTCCTACTTCGCGATCACTCTTTTTTTGTCCAGATCTTCTTTGGCTCCCACTAGAGTCAAAAGTGCGTATCGAAAGGTCCCCCAAATACCCGTTTCTTTCCCTTCTCTTAACCCTCAAGTACAGGTAGATTAAGAGAAAATTTCAATGCAAGTGGATGGAAAATTAACACTTTGCCAAAAAAAAAACGAGAAGTTCAAGACAAAAACCATAAGACGATCATTTTTGTCTCTCTAAACCGGTAAAATACAAAGTCTTTCTGGCCTTTTGCACACTCATATAATACTAATATATTTGCTCTTTTAGAGCTCTAAAAGAAAACCGTTCTTTTGCCCACCATTCACTGCAGGTCGCGCACATTCAACTCTCTAACACACAAGATTGCGCACTGATCCTCAACTCCCCGATTCCACTGTTAGTCACTCTCCTCCCGATCCTCGGCGCTTCACATCTCAGGCGAGGCTCTCAAATGGGGGCGCACAGAAAAGAGGGAAATGCAGAAACAGTGGCGATTCTCGAGTGAATGTTCCAAGAGAGCCACATGAACTGGTGAACGAGTGCCTCGATCACTTCAGTGACTCGAAAACCCGTTTCTCCATCGCCACACACACAGCCAAGTGACCAGCAGCTAAATCGCGGGGAGAATTGAGCGAGATGGAGTCAGTGGAAGATCACCGAGCGCGATTGAGACACGCTATTCGGCTCCCCAGTCGCTGAATCTCAACACAAACTCACGCGCTTTTGCTCTCACACGGAGATTTTGCCGAGATCTTCAGCATAGCCATGAATGGCAGCTGAGCCGACCAAATTAGATGATCTCAATGGCACAAAAGAAGTGATCTTTGAGGTGAAAGATCACTGCAGGAGCGTTATTTCAAGAAAAGATGAATATAAGGCCACAAGAGAAACAGACAATATAAAGCTAGAGTTCAAATACTGAAGTTTTCAAGGAAATAATTGCAATTGAAGGGCGGAGCACGCGAATGGGCGGAGCCAAAATCCAAACACAGTCCTTATTCTAGGGGAAAAAGGGCAAATCTTGCAGCATACCTGCACTTTCTGCTCTCGCAGCCGCTCTCAGGAGGCAAAGTTGGCACTCATGGCGCCGCTGGTTGCAACACACAGCTTCTCTCCGGGCATGAGGCAATCGTGTGCGTGGTGTGCTGCCCCTCATGCGCCCCGGGAGGCAGACGGCGATTGTGTCTGTGGCACCAAAACGCACGGGGTCAATGCATCAAATGCCGCGAGATTTATCTCACACACGCTTCCAGATCTCATGACGTCGACTGGCGTGCATTGTGTGCGATTGCCAGATACCAGACACACTTCCAATGCTCCGCACTGACGCAACTGACTGCATAGATTTTCCATGTGCTGAAATGCGGTGAGGCGGATTTTCTCGGAAGACCAAATCCTGGTAGAATTTCACTTCCAGGAAGGGATTTCTTCTTCCAGTCTCTCGTTTTGTGGATTTTAGTTGTCCATCATGCCGTTTTCGGTGTACATTTCGTCCTAATTGTGATGAAATAAAGTGCCTAATTTTTTCTGGACACTTCTGAGATTCACTGGCAAGGAAAAAATGCCTGGAAAGCCTGGAATGAGAAAATAAGGTTAGGAGTCATCCAGATATGCATCCCTTCATGTTTTTCACCTTAATTTTCCGCTATATTGACACATTTGCTCTACTTTCTCCATATAATTTTCATCTATATATCGTCTTTGTCTCTCCGAGCTTTTCCCAGGAAATTCACTGCATTATCTCTGCATATAGAATTGCTTGCTTTCCTCATTTTGTCCTCAAGTGTAGTGCAAAATATATGACTTATCAATCTCCAATTCAAGCTTATGAAAACAAATTGTACAGAATTTCTCGTGAAAACCAAGAGAAAATCAGTTTTTCCGCGCGTTTTGCCGCTTTATTTTGCTTTTCCGGCATGGATTCTGCGACACTAGCACTTCTCAGCTGAGCGCACCGCGGCGCTGTAGTCGCCAGACGAAAAAAAGCTTGTGTGTTGAAAAAAGTGGTCTGCATCTTTTCTTATTCTTATCAAGTTTTTCTTGTGATTTTCGGCCTAATTGCACCACAGTCAATTTACGGGCACGGCGAGTGATTAGCCGTTGCTGTGATAAAGCCAAAGTCCGCACCAAATTGACGTATTCTGCGCCCATTTCAATGACGCCCCGATAAAGCGGGCGGTTTTGCGAATCCGGGAGTGTTAGCTTTGTGGGTGATTTTTTTCTGTGACTCCGTGCGCCCCAGAGAGGCTCGATTGAGGATCAGAGTGATGGCAGACATGGCAAAGATGGATTTTGAGTATCTGTCGCAGAAGCACCTGGACGGGTTCGATAGCTACAAGGTGAGTCACATATTTCTAACCTTCATTGGATGCTCTAGCCTTGAAGTGGGAAACCGGAAAATTGCACAACTCTCCGTGTCTCTCAATTTCCAGTACAGCTCCAAAGACACCTCACCACTCAGCATTTACGTGATGCATCCGTTCTGGAATCACATCGTCACGTACTTCCCGCGCTGGGTGGCTCCAAATCTCATGACGTTCCTGGGATTCCTCTTCACCGCTCTCAACTTTGTCATGCTCTCGTGGTACGATTGGGGCTTCTGGGCTAGCAGCGACCTGCCGGGCAGCCAGCCCATTCCCAACTGGTTCTGGGCACTGGCGGCGTTCAATCTGTTCCTGGCCTACACGCTGGACGGCATTGACGGCAAACAGGCGCGCCGGATTGGGCTGTCCGGGCCGCTGGGAGAGCTCTTCGATCACGGCCTGGACAGCTACACGGCCGCTCTCATCCCCGCGTGCCTGTACAGCGTGTTCGGACGCCTGGCGCCCAGCATTTCGCCGCTGCGCATGTTCTACATCACCTGGATGGTGTTCTTCAACTTCTACTTGTCGCACTGGGAGAAGTACAACACGGGCGTGCTATACCTGCCCTGGGGCTACGACCTCAGCATGTGGGGCTCCACCATCATGTTCCTCATCACGTACGTCGGCACGTACAGCATGTGGAAGGCGCCCTTTCCCTTCGGCCTCACGTCCGGGGCCGCGATGGAGAGCGTCCTCCATGCCTGCGCCCTGTCTAGCCTCCCCATGTCGCTCTATAACCTGTACAAGTGAGTCCACACCACCGCAAGTGGTTACCGGAAGATTTAATTAACTTCTCTCTCTCTCTCTTTTCTCACCAATTATTTCCCAACACAGTTCGTACAAGATGAAAACCGGCAAAATGCGTTCTCCGCTCGAGGCTCTGCGACCTCTCTTTCCCTTCGTCACCTTCCTCGTGATCTTCATGGTGTGGGTGCACAAATCACCCAGCAACATCATGGAGCGCGAGCCCAGAGGCCTGTTCCTGCTCAGCGGCACCATCTTCAGCAACATCAGCTGCCGCCTGATCGTCGCCCAGATGTCCAGCACGCGCTGCGAGGCTGTCCACTGGATGACACCCATCTTCGTGGCCGCAATACTGCTGGGCATGGCCTTTCCATCCCTGGAGCTGATCATCCTCTATGCACTCTGCCTCGGCACGACTCTCTGCCACTGGCACTACGGCTCGAAAGTCGTGCAGCAACTCTGCAGGAAGTTCAATCGCGTGTGCTTCTCCGTCGGTCCAGCTGTAGCCCAGTGAATCCCTCTCCCTTCGCTTCTCCGTGGCCATATATTTATTTCACACACACACACACACCCACACGCGCTCTATTTATCTCTTCCTGTCCATTTCTTGCCGTTTCAAGTATTCTCCGTAGTCGTTTGTCGTTTGAATTTTAGCATTAATTACAAAGACAAAAAGAGATGTATTTTACCTTAACACTTTTGGCTTTTACTGTCCAATTTCGCCCTCCACGAAGGACTCAACGTCCGGAAGGGATGTGAGGAGGGATTTCTGCACAAAGTCATACGCCATGGGGGAAATGTTGTACAGACTCGTGGCGAATTTGTTGATTTCCACACTGGGCGCCTCGGGAAAGAGTTCTTGCTCCACAACGAGTCGCTCAAAGGGTGTCATGAGACGCATAAGTGTCTGCATCTTTGAGAACTTCATCTCCAGCTCCTCAAGCTCTTGCCGCAAGCCTGTGGATTCACTCTCGCTCATCTGCAACTCCTGATAGAGTCCCTGCACCAGGCGACTCTGATTTCTGTACATATCCTCGAAGTCCTGGCCGCTGTTCACCTCCTCCTCGGGCACCACCATCACATTCTCCGATTCGCACTCCACTTCGTGGCTGTAGTCAATGATCACACTGTCCGCGGGTAGCAGCTCAAGATTGTCGAAAGGATCTTCTCTCCCGTGAAATATCGTCGGAATTGCATCCTTACGCAGGCGCACTTTGAATCCCAGGGATTTATCCTTATATCTCTCCTCAAAGTGATCACTGCAGATTCTGGTGTTGGCACTCAGGATGCGATTCTTCCATCCCAAGGCGTGCATCCACTTGATGCCCATCTCCTCATCTGTGGGAAAACTGGCCAAAGAGAAGCGTGAATTTACAGACATTTCTTTCACACAGATTCTCCTAACTCACTAGTGAAAAGACACTCCAGTCTTTCTATTGCGTCCTCGTGATGAATTTCCACAGTTTTCCACGGAGCATTTCATGTTTTTCCCCTGGAGAAAAGTTCTCAGAAAAACACACCTTTGTTTTCTATGAAATGTCACTTTTGGGCAATTGAGGTTAGGGTGAAAACATAGTAAACAAATCTTTGAAATTTTTGGCGTGTTTTTGGACATTTCCTCCATATAGCGATGATCCAAGCAGCAGGAGCAGCATCTGGGATACCAGACAAGGCTTGGCAGCCGCACTTTGTCTCCCTGGACACGGCGTAAGTAGCCAAAAAGCAGCACTTTCAGTGAAAATGTGATAATTTATGAAATGTACTTTCAGGATGGGAGAGATTTCCATAGAGTTGTACTGGAAGCACGCCCCAAACACCTGCCGGAACTTCGCTGAGCTGGTCCGGAGGGGTTACTACAACGGCACAGTGTTTCACCGTGTCATCAGAGACTTCATGATTCAGGGTGGCGATCCCACGGGCACAGGCAGAGGCGGCACGTCGATTTACGGCGGAGAGTTTGCCGATGAAATCCATCCAGATCTTAAGCACACCGGAGCTGGAATCCTGTCGATGGCCAACTCTGGTCCCAATACGAACGGCTCCCAGTTCTTCATCACCCTGGCGCCCACTCAGTGGCTGGACGGGAAGCACACGATCTTCGGCAGAGTGCACACGGGGATGCAAGTGGTGAAGCGCATCGGAATGGTGGAAACTGACAAGGGTGATCGTCCTGTGGACAATATCCAGATAGTCAAAGGACGAGTGGAGAAGTTCTAAGTGAAACGTGTATTAACGCATTTTTCCTTCTTTTTACAATACAGCCGAAATTCCGAACGCCATAATTTGTTGTCTTCTCACTCCCTGACGATGACACCAAAGGGAATTTGACCGTTGTAGAGAGACATGAGCTTCCTCTCCATTTCCCGCGAGATGGGCACCTGACTGAAGGACATCTTCAGCTTCCTCGAGACGTGCTCCGGCTGGAATGTCACGAGAACATCCTGCTTCTGGCGATCGGTCAACTTCCAAAAGTCCACAGAATTACACTTCTCATCTTTGAAGCTGAACTCCAGGCGACCGCCATCGTTCACCAGTGTGCAAGTCAGCGCATTGTGTGTCCTCTGGCTCGAGATGGTGGCGCGAGAGTTGATTTCAGCGCTGGAGAGCACTTTTATGCGCGGCAGAGATGGATTTGCGACATCCGTGTCGGACAGTGAGTCTTGAGCTCGCGAAGACTCTCCAGGGTTTGGTGTTGTGGGCTTGCAGTATGTTCTGATGTCCTGAATGAGGCTCTTTGGATTGTCTGCTGCCACTGAAGTCCTCCTGCTCACGAAGTAACTGTGGTCATTCGCGTACGCCTTGTTGTTGATGTATTTGGCTTTGGGAGACCCAGATTTGAGTCTGTTGTACTTTTTCGGAGACTGTTCCACAGCTCTCGGCGTCAGGCGCTCCACAGAGACACTGCAAGGCTTTATTCCGTGCATCCTGTTTAAATCCTTGGGACTCTCCAGGACCCTCACCTTGAGTGACGGCGGAGAAGTCTGAGAATTCAACCTCCTCTTCCTCGTGAGATCATCATAAGTGTTCAGTTTTGGGGCAACGTTGGCTGGCGAATCGTCTACTTTGGTTTCACTCACGAAAATCACCTCGTTGTCCTCCTCATTCTTCATTTTCTGCGCCACCCGCTGCCTCAGACGGTTAATATTCAAGGTCTTCTGGTTCTCCAGACATCGCGTCCGGAAGGTGTAGAACTCCATCGTGAGTTCGTAGCAATGCATACAGATTGTCTGCGGCAGATCATCGTTCTCGTTCAGCTGCAGAAGTGACGAACAAATGCATGAGAAGCGCCCCCAAATAACCCTCAAACAAGCCCTCAATGTTGCCCCACAAACTCACCGAGATGAGAAGTGTCTGCTGGACAATATCAAACATCTCAGGGAAATCCGCACAAGTCATGATATCCTTGAGGTCCTCACTCAAGCACAGGCGACACTGCATGGCTGCGACCACCTAAACTCCTCTAGGAGTGCACCACAAAGGCAGTATTTTGCAATTTTCCTCACTTCCTCGCAATTATAAGCACTTGTTTTCCCGTAGAAAAATGGCGCCTCTCCGAATCAACTCCGAATCCTGCCATCGGACAACCCTGAACTGTCAGAAGGTGATTTTTCAGTGTGTGTGCGCGAGTTTGTGAGGTTTCTCCGCTGTTTTCTCCACTTGGGAGGCCTTTTTCCCAGTTCTCAGCTGAAAATACCCACTCGTGACGCCAGTGTGCAGCCCCCCGTGAGGTGTTCCCGGTGAAATATCAATCGCGTGTGGTGCAGAAAGTGAGGGAGAAAAAATGGAAACAGGTGGAGCTTATGGGGGTTCCAAAGCAGGTGCTGCCTTCGATCCCATCGCATTTGTTCAGCGACCTCAAGTCATCCTGCGGGCAGTGTGCTGGGTAAGTGGGGGCACATCAGTGCCCCGAGGGCCATCAGTCGCTGGCTCGAGAGGTTCCCAGAGAAGGGAAAAAAAGTCACAGAAGGAAGATCGATTTTTCTCCCCACGCCTCGTGTCGTCTCCTTCACACCCACACGGAAGTGCGAGCGCTCTCGCTTGCGGGGGTGCTTGAGACTTTGTGTGGCCGAGGGTTGGGGTGGCGCTGTGTGCAATTGCGTGGGCGTATGTCAGAATGTGCTTTGCGCCTTCTCGCTCGCGTCCGCCCAATTGGCGGTGGAGTGAGCGAGATAAAGAGGATATCCTTGAAATGAGGATGTCACAGTGTGCTTGTCTCGCTCTCTCCACTCAATTGAAGTGTGCCAAGGACGAGGCACGAAGTGTCCTTTTTTAGCGAAGACATGTCCGTCAGTTTGTCGAGAAATCTAGCTGATTTGACTGAAGGTTCGATCCTTCCAAAAATATCTACTATGATTGATAAATAGTAATTGCGAAAATGTTTGTCTTACACTTAACGATTTTGGGATTTTCTTGCTAAATTTCTGGGTAAATATGAATCTCGAGAGTTTCACTGTGAAATATTCCAGATCTTTGTTAATCCTTGTCTCTTAACCAGTCAATAATAACCAATACTTGTTTGTCCAGCTGTTCGCCATCATTGTCTTCGGCTGCATCTCGTCTCAGGGCTGGCGTGTGGATGACGCGGGGAAGGACGTGTGCCTGTACAATGGCGACGCGAACGCGTGCAACTACGGCGTGGGAATCGGCGTGATCGCCTTCCTCGCCTCAATGGGCTTCATCGTGGGCGAGTATCTGTTTGAGCAGATGTCGTCGGTGAAGACGCGCAAGCACTATGTGATGGGCGACATGGCCTTCTCGGCCTTCTGGTCCTTCCTCTACTTCATCGGCTTCTGCTATCTGGCCAATCAGTGGGGCAAGGCTGAGGATCCGCCGATGGGCTACGGCGTGAACAACGTCCAGGCCGCCATCGCCTTTTCCTTCTTCTCCATACTGACTTGGGTGAGTGTGATTCGATCGCGCTAAGACGAGATTGAATCTCTTTTGGGCGATAACAACTTGCTCAATATGCGTATTTATTCACAACGTTGATCAGTGAACCAGAAATTCAACGGTTTCTGCTTCGATTCTAAATCATAACTGTTCTGAGACTCTATTCTTGAACATTTCTCATCGATATTGACTTCTTGTGTTGGGTTTTTTCTTCAGGCGGGCTGCGCTTTCTTTGCATATCAACGATTCAAGCAGGGCGTTGACGCCGCCTTCGCCGCCTACGACGCCGATCCCACCGGCGGCAATGCGTACTCCAGCTATCCTGTTGGCAATGATGCGGATCAGTACCACGAGCCGCCGTTCTCTGGCCAACAGCAGCGCGGTGAGTAGATTCTGTCGACACGCTCAACACACAGAGCTTATCTCACTGTCTGTCGTTTTATCTCGCCAAAAGGCACAAATGAGTTCCAGGCACCGACGTATTAAGACGAGGGCGGATTGTGTAGATAAGAGACTCTGCGGAGGAATTTATCTGGACTGCTAAAGATGATTTCTTCAGTAGTTTGTTTATTTGAATGCACACAGAAGAAGACAAACTCGCAATGAGGTTGCGAAGCATCAAAGCAAAGATGATGATAAAAAAAACAGGATAAGACAAACTCACAACACACACTCAGAAGGTATTAATATTGTGGGCGAAATATTAAGAAGAAAGAGAGTGAAGATGAAGATGAGGAAAAAAAAACGAATTGATGGTTTTAATGTTAATGCATAAAAGTTATTAAAGCAAGATGAGAAAAAAAGTAATAGTGAAGAAATGAGAATATAAGATTTATTGTTGTTTGCCAGAGAAGACAAAAAGCAAAGAAAAGAAGACAAATTTGTATAGATCTTTAACACAAAATGTTGATTTTCTTCTCACACTTCCTTTCTCTCATCCCATATTTTCCAACCAGAAGTGGCAATTATTTTGTCTTATCTTATTGAAAACCCACGTAAAAAGGACTCTTGAGGGATTGAATCCATATCGTTGACGTTTTGCATTTTGTGTGCAAACTTTTTGGGCTCAAAGAAAAGAAGTGACGAAAAAACATTCCCATCGGCGTTGATTTTTTGGACCAAATGGAAAAATGATTGAAGCAAGAGGGAAATGAAGAAGATCCACTCATTCTTCAATATCTTTGATATCATTCCCCCCGATTTTTTATCCTTCCCATCTTTTCTACCGCGACACTTTTTGTACGAAGAAGAAAAAAGGAAGTTTTGGGAAGATCGAATGAAAGAGAGAGAAATAATACTTAATAATTGGGAATCTCAGTATTTTTGTGCGTCTCTCTTGCAAAAATTTTATTGTATCGAAATGAAGGAGAGAAAAAAACCACTTTGTTTTCATGAGCAAACAAGAATATAATATATAAATATATATGAAAAAATGCAATAAAAGATGATAAGACAATGTTGAAAGACACTCTGCTTTATAGACAAAATGAAAAAAATACAACAAGAATTGTAATAAAGAGAGATTAATTCAATCTCGAAGTATTTATAAATGATGAGAAATGAAACTACATAAATGAATTGTAAGGATTGTTTAAAGTGGAAAATAATGTGAAAATGGCGTAGAGTTTAAAAAAAATATTATTATACATATATAGAATATAAATAATATTGTATTTAGAGACATGATTGATAAGGGAGAAAAAGTCATAGTAAAAAAGGCGTTAATAATTCATTATTGATAAACAAGAGAAGACAAAAATTCTAGTCGCTGAAAGAAGAGAAGAGAAGAAAAATGTGTATAATTAAGGTTAAATGGAGAAAATACTGCGCTGTTCAGTTTATCTTTAACATCCATTCTAAATCCTAAATTGATCCTAAACTCTGTTGGGCTTAGCGCAGTATGAAAAAAAATGTTCACTAGCAATTTGGGGGATTTTTGGGGCTGAAGATTACACTGATTATTATTTGGAGGAAAAAAGAATTGCTTCCCAGAAGAACGTAAAATATTTGGTTGATTCTCTTGAGAGAATTTTTCTGGCATTTTTTGTACAGTTCTTGTGGAGGAAAGAAAAAATCCCTTTCTTAACATTGACGAAAATGTAGAACAATAATAACTCGAAATATCAAACTAAGAGTATAAATTTCACCCACCAACACTTTTTAGATGGAGAATATTTAGAAAGTCTATCTTATATAGAAATATATCTATTTGAGTTTATTGCTTTTCGCCGTGTCGCAAGATTGCTAAAAGAATAAAAAAAGATGTGCAAAAGTCACTGGGAAAAAGTGTATAATTGTTCTAAATGTGTTCCCGTGTGTAAGAAAAGGTTATATAAAAAGGAAAGTGAAAAGAAAGAAAGGAGGAAAGAACTTTGGTAGAATTGTAGTTTTTAGTGTGAGAAATGAGATCACAGAGAAAAAAAGTCACTAACAATGCTTAAGAAGGAAAGAAAGAATAAAAACGGAGAGAAAGGCGAGGAAACAATAATAAGGATAATAGTAACCTGAAGATACTTATGTATTTGTGTATAAAAGACTTGTTTCAGCGCGTCTAGTCGCGTTAGTATATATAATTTGTCATTTGTTTTCCCTTTTGTGATACACCTTGTTGATATTCTCACTGATTTTTATTGTCATTTGCTTCGCCAAACTCTTTGTCTTGCCTTTTGCCGCCGTTTCTGTTTGGCGAGACGCGCACTCAAGTGTGGAGAAGAGGAGGAGGAGGAGAAGAAGAAGAAGTAGAATCCCAGGAAAAGGAAAACACTCATGCCAAAATTATACAATAAACTTAAAGGTGGAGGAGAAAGAGAGGCAGTATTTTTGTGGTGAGCCAGAGCGACATTTGGGAAAGTGCAGAAGAGACGCAGTGGCAAAAGGGTGGCGCAGAAGAAAATACCACAAACTATGTACGTTTATAAATAACTTATTGTGAATAATAAAGTATATTCCCTCGATGGTGAGAAATTACTCTTGGAGTTTTCCTCAAATACTGCGAAAGACATCAAATGAGTCGTTGCAACATTGCGGATTTTCTATTCAGGTTCGAAAAAGCTATCAATTTGGTTTTCATAGCTTGTATTGGCGGTCACCCGGCAGCGCTAGTGTAAAATACGGATGAAATACGAACGAGAGTTTCAGGCCTCGCAGAAGATAAACTCCGCACGTTCGTAAATAATATTAATCATAATCATAATGTTAAACGTATTGTTGCATCGACGGCAAAGCCAGGTATTCATTGCTATTTAGATTTAGCGGATGCATTTTATCACCGGAAGCGAATGTAAATCGAGCGTGGAATTTTAGAGACTTGTTGATGAAGTAAAATTTGTCAATCTATGCAATTTTCAGCAACAAAGGGCAATAAAGACACGCGAAAAGAGGAAAAGCACAAGAAACTAAATGTCCTGATAAGTTTTGGCGGAAACATGGACGAAAACCGCGTCTTATTTAAAGTCTCACAGGCAGAATTCTGAACGCATTTTAGTGGTGAAAATGAACACGAAAATAACTTCTGCGGCAGTTTTTCCTGCGCTTTTCTATCTTGTGATTCTTCTCGGATTCGGTGAGTTGTTCTTCTCATATTTGAAGACAGTGTTTAAGATTTCAATCTCGGTTTTTTCTTAGATTCCTCAGTGGCACTGAATCCAGGAGATGGTAAATTCCCTTGTTTCCCTCGCATTTTTTTTAGGAAACATGAGTTCTATTTTCTTTTTAGTTTTTGCCATAAAAATTGGCGGGTTTGGGAATGGTGGACCAATTTATTCAGGTTTGTACAAAGCCGATAATTGTTATGGAAAAGGAACTTCAAATGTTAAGTGCAATCTTTTTTTCTGCTTAGAGAGTATTACCGTAAATGGTGAAGGTTTTGAGAAATCAGGAAATTTCAAACTTGGTATGCTAAATTCGAATGACGTAATTATAATTGTTTCTTGATCCTTTTTTTTCTTACAGCTGGAATCAATGCTCATTGTAAGATTTTGCCAAATTTAGCTTTGCGGAAGAGTTAGAATGCTTTTTGAATATATCTTTCAATATATTTTTTAGGGGATCAGTCTATTTACACGGACGGAAGAGCAGATGTAACGTTTTATGCTACTGGTAAGAAAATCCACGCGTTAAATATAATGGATTTTACTATGCAATTCATTTTCTTACAGCAATGGATGTCAATGCCATTGACATTTATCTGAACGAAGTTTCAATTTTGTTTTTTTTGGATAATCTTGATCTGGACCTGCTCAATGGCGATTAATGTATTCACATATTTTTCAGTTGCTGACTTAAAATAAAAAACAGCAAACTTAATTACATGACTTTTTGCAAACATTGAACTATTTTGTTTGATATATTTCCTCCTTGGCACAGAATCCGATGCATTTTCCGTTGCATTCGATTCTTTGCGCCTCAATTGCAGCGACCTCTGCGAAACACTTGCTCTAGTTCCATTTTGAAATTTCCGTATGAGAAAATTATCTCTTCCGTGGCCCAAAAATGCCTATTTTGTGGACAGTCTTCAGTGAGACCTCATCTGAACAACTGTAAGTGATATTTTATCGACAAAAAAGCCACTTCCAGTAGTGATTTGTGGTTTTCCGCGATTTTTTATCTCGCCTTTCCAGAACGTAACCTCACTTTTCTTGTTGTTGAGCTGCGCAGAGATTTTACAAATGGGGAATCTTTTCAGTAGCAGAGCACCTGTAGACATGAGTGGACCTGTGGCACAGTTCGTTCGAGACACCATCGCCAGCGACAAGGTGGTGATCTTCTCCAAGACGTACTGCCCGTACTGCCAGATGGCCAAGGAGGTAAGTTTTCCGGCATTTTCCTGCCTTCCCAGATATTTGACAGTGAGACGCCTCGTTCCAGCAATTCCGGAAGCTCGCGCAGGACTTCACATCCATCGAATTGGAGACCAGGGATGATGGCGCAGAGATTCAGGATGTGCTGGGCGAGATAACAGGTGCCCGAACGGTGAGTTGACGCCCATTTGCACTCCCCTCCCCTGGAGAAATGCTCTAATACTTCATCCTGTTGGCCCCCCTCAGGTGCCCAGAGTGTTCGTGAACGGACAGTTCATCGGCGGCGGAACGGACGTGAAGAAGATGGCAAGCAACGGAAGTCTTCAGCAAATGCTAGCGTGATTCATCCTCGCGAATTTCCCCGAAATACTCTCTGTCTCTTTTCCGCGGATATAAATAAACACGTCAGCTGATTCACAGTGTCATTTCCACTTTTCCTCTGCACTTCATCGCATTATTAGTCATTGTGGTGTCCAGGATGCAGATCCCCTACTGGAAGGTCGCCATCTACGGAGTCACTTTCCTGGCGTACGCCTACTCTGGCTACGGTTCCCACATCATTTCCTCGCTCAGGGACTCCCTCATGGCCGCCGAATCGGTCCTGGGCGACGTCTTCCGGAACATCGGGCCGCTGGCGCAGAAATTCAAGACTGTCCAGGAGGTGTTTGACGCCGCTGTGGAGGCGGATTGCATCTTCAAGTGTCCAGGAGGTGAGTGCCAAAGTGTCTCAAGTGCCTCCGGGAGGAATGTGAGGTTGTGAGTCCTTTCACACCGTTAGAAACGGTGTGGCAAAGTGGTTAATTAGGCAAATTATCGAAAACACTTCTTATCACGGCTTGTGCAGTCAAAATAACATCATTCACTCGCCTTATCACTCCGATAAGTCCACAAATAGAAGCAACTTTTTGGGCTCTACAACCGCAGGAATTGGAAGTTTAATGTGAAAAACTTTAATGTGTTTACAGGCGAGACTCCGAAGCAGAATTGGTACCACACGCCCTCGTCCAACGGCTGCGGGGCGCTCGGGCTGAAGGTGGACAAGCAGTACTTGCCGGCGGCCGAGATGGAGAAGTGCTGCGACGCCCACGATCTCTGCTACGACACCTGCAACACGGACAAGGAGCTGTGCGATGCCGACTTCAAGAAGTGCCTCTACCGGCACTGCGACCAGTACGAGGCGCTGGGCGAACTGCCGGCCAAGGGCTGCAAGGCGGCCGCCAAGATGCTCTTCACCGGCACCCTCACGCTGGGCTGCAAAGCCTTCCTGGACGCCCAGACGCGCAGCTGCTACTGCTCGGGAAAGCGGCGCCGCGAGCTCTAGACCACCTTGTAGCGCCCCTTATTGAACACATGGTGCGCCGTGGAGAGCTTCAGGAGCTCCTCCTTGATCAGCCGCGTGATCTCCCTCTTGGCCTTCTGCACCGCCAACTCGTTGCAGCTCTCAATGGCCAGATACAGCTTCCGCTCGCCCTCGGGCGGATTCTTCCCGGGCGCCACGTACGTGCCCCTCACCGTCAATCCCGCCTCGGAGTACTCAGAGATCTGCGCCAGCGCCTCCTTGGACGTCACCTTCCAGCGCGCCTGCTGCGGGAAGTCGTTGATCTCCAGCTCCTCCTCGTACTTCTTGAACGTCGCCTCGCTGTCGGCCGCCGAGGGCTCCTCCTCCTCCTTCGGCTGGTAGTTGAGCTTGTTGTTCAGCTTCGCCGCCAGCTGCTCCGCCACCGTCTTCGCCGTGATGATCGGCTGCGCTGCCGCACCTTTGAGAATCGCCTCAGCCGCCTGCTGCGTGGCGCCCTTCGCCTCCATCCCCAGATTCCGCGCGATGTTGATGCGCGACGCCAGACGCTTGGCCAACTCCAGCTTATCCGTCGACGACGTCTGCGGCAGGTGCGCCGTGGCCATGGGCACTTCCACCTCCTTCACATTTCGCTTCGCCGCGAACATGCTCTCGATCTGCTGGTCAATGTCCTGATCCAAATCGTCCTCCTCGTCTGAGTCCTGCAGCCCGAGCGCCGCTTTCTGGAACTTCTTGCTCTCCTTCACCGCGTTCGCTTCCTGCTCGTCAAACTTGTAGCCTTTTCCGCTGAATCCGCCGCCCGTGTGCACTCGCTTGCCCTCCGCTTCCTGGCCAGTCTTGTACTTCGTCCACAAACTCTGCAGATCCTCCGGCACGGATGCTCCTGACAACTCCAGCGCCCTGATTATGTCTCCCGCGTACCTGATAAAGAAGACGAAGTGATGTAAAATCGATTGGAAGTTATAAATTTATGCTTAGCGAAACTCTCACCTTCCCTGATCGTCCGTGATGAACGTCCAGGCGAATCCCTTGTTGCCCGCCCTTCCCGTCCTGCCGCACCGATGCACATAGTCCTCATAGTGATTGGGACAGTCGTAGTTGATGACCAGAATCAGCTGCTTCACATCCAGCCCACGAGCAGCCACCGAAGTGGCGATCAAGAGCTTCACTCTGCCAGACTTGAAGTCCACAATTGTGGAATCCCTGTCGAACTGATCGATGCCACCGTGGAGACTCATGCACGGATAGCTAGCCTTCATGAGATCCCTCAGCAGGATGTCCGCGTTCTCCTGCTTGTCCACGAACACAATGATGCTGCCGTGCTCCTGGTAGTGACCCAGCAATTCCAGCAACTTGAAGAACTTCGCCTCGTCCTCCAGCACCGCCACGTGCTGCTCCACATCCTTGCACACGACAGAGCGTCCGCCCACCTGCACTTCGATGGGCTTCTTGAGGATCCGCCTGGCCAGCGCCTCCATTTGGCGCGGAAATGTGGCACTGAACATCACAGTTTGCCGATCTGGCCGAATGTTGTCGATGATGCGCATCACTTGTGGCTCAAATCCCATGTCAAACATCCTGTCCGCCTCATCCAGGACGATGTACGTCACGCGCTTGAGATTTGTCACGCGTCCAGAATTCGCGGCCAGCATGTCAATCATCCTGCCCGGCGTGCACACGATGATCTCAGCGCCACGCTTCAGTTCGGCGATCTGCTCGGAGATTCCCGTGCCGCCGTACACACAAACAGCCCGCAGATTGATTGGCTTGGAGAACTTGCGAATGTCCTTGCCGATCTGCATGCACAACTCGCGCGTAGGCGTCATGATGATGGCGATGGGCCCGTCGCCGTCCTCCAGCGGCGGCTGGTCGAGAATGTGGCGGAACATGGGCAGGATGAAGGCCAGTGTCTTCCCACTGCCCGTCTTGGCGATGCCAATCAAATCTCGGCCCGACATTATGGCCGGAATCGCCTGGCACTGAATGGGCGTGGGCTTCTCAAATGACAGCCTCTTCAGCACGTCCAGCTCCTTCTTGGACACTCCGCAGTGCGCCCAGGTCTTGATGGGCTTCGGACACCCTTTGCCCTTCACTTGGATGCCCTCCAAGTCCGACCGGTACTTGTCCACCTCCTCGCCACTCATCTTCGCCAGCTCTGGCACTTCCACGTAGAAGTTCTTGCGGAAGGGCGCATAATTGACGCCCGTGTGATCAATCTTGGCCAATTCCTTCTTGTGTTTGTTCACCAGATTCGCCGCTGTGTCCTTGATGTCCTCCACTTCCTCCTCGGACGAGTACTCGAGTCCGTCCTGGTTCTGCTCGATCAGTTCGCCCTTCTTCTTCGTGCTCACCTCAGACTTCTTCGCCACGCCCGTCATTATCACCACGCCACTCCCGGACTTCTTCATCGGCTGCGAGATCTTGTTCACCTTCCTCACCTCCTCGTTCACTTCCATCATGAAGGCGTCCAGCGGATCGATCTCCTCCTCCTCGGGCACGCCATCTTTCGGCGCCTCCTCCGCTTCGTCCTCAGAATCATCCTCCAGACTCCACTTCTTCGCCGACGGCAGCGTGATGTTCGCCAGAACGCTCACCTTGTCCTTCTTGTTCACCTCCAACTCCTTCCTCTTCCGTTCCGCGCGCCATCGCTCAATCCGCTCGCGCCTCTTCGTCATCTCCAACTCCAGCCGGCGCTGCTCCTCCTCCTTGTCAATTGCGCCCATATCGAAGGTCTCCTCCTTCACCTCCTGCGCCTCCTTCGCCTCGCGCTCTCTGTTGCGCTCCTTGGCCAGCTTCATTGCCGCCTCGCGCTCCTTCGCGTACGCATAAACGCCTTTGCTGCTCTTCGACGAGCTGCTGCCGTGCTTCCTCTCCCGGCTACGATCTCTGCTCCTCTCCGTGTCTCGCCTCTCCTTCTTGGACCTCCTCTCCTTGTCCCGTGACTTGGAGCGCCGGGCGCGCTTTCGCTCCGGAGAGCCGCTTCCCCGTCTGTCGCGTCTGCAAAAGAGCCCCAAATATTGTAACATAACCTCAAGTATTGTTTTTTCACAATTTTCCACGAGAATATCGCGAAAAAGTGCATAAAGCATTATTACACTCACCCGCTTGTGTTTCCTCTGGCCATTTTTGTGTGAATATTAGATATGCGAGAGTTGCACAGGTATTTATGCGAAAAATACGTATAGATCGGTATTTAATTGGTTTGTGACAACACCGACGTTCCGAATTTTCCTTTCAGAGCGTCCGGATTCCGAAGATGAGCCGAATGGTTGACGAACGCGAGCGTGACATAACCTCAATATTCAATGTTTAACAGTTGCGCATTTTCTCTGATTTTCCTTGTATTTTCGTGAATTTTCATCCCTGACATGCTGAAATTAATCTCCAGACTCTCGTCGAGGAGTCTCTTGAAGAGATCCACAGTAATCAGTGTTGAAATCACTCAGAAATCACATCTTTCCGACAAGCGTCCAGCGGCTTTGCGAAGCCGGAAGGCAAAATCGAGTACAAAGGAGGTAAAAAGGCGGTTTTTCGTCCTTCTTAGGACCCTCTCTCACCGGAATGCTTTCCTCTTTCAGGTGCAATACTTTGTCGACGCGAAGAGGGTGAGAGCGATTGGCGGCAAAGGTGGAGATGGCTGTATTTCTTTTTTGCAACTCTGGGCGAATGACAAGGCGGGCCCGGATGGGGGCGATGGAGGAAACGGGGGCCATGTGATCTTCCAAGCGTCGATCGGAGTGAGGGATCTGCAGAACGTGGGCAGTGTCGTGACTGGAGAGAGTGGCGAGAATGGGCGCAACAAGGATTGTCATGGAGAGTGTGCCAAGCACACTATTGTTCCTGTGCCGCTGGGGACGATTTTCCGGGACTTGTCCGGACAGATTGTGGGTGATCTGGGGCGCGAAGGACTGATGTTCATCGGAGCGAGAGGTGGTGCTGGTGGGAAAGGGAATCACTTCTTCATATCCGACACAATTCAGGCGCCAAAAGTCTGCCAATATGGCGCCGAAGGGGAAAACATTTCGTATCAGGTGGAAGTGCAGAGCATCGCTCACATCGGCTTACTGGGCATGCCGAATGCCGGAAAGAGCACCCTTCTGCGTGCCATCACGAGGGCGCGGCCCAAGGTTGCTCCCTATCCCTTCACGACGCTGAAACCTCACCTGGGAATTGTGCACTATGACGATTACGTCCAGATCGCAATTGCCGACCTGCCCGGACTCATTCCTGGCTCCCATCGCAACCGAGGCCTGGGCATTCAATTCCTGAAGCACGTGGAGCGCTGCAATACACTGCTATTCATCCTGGACGTGTCCGTTGTGGAGCCTTGGCAGCATTTCGAGCAGCTGCAGTTTGAGCTGAGTCAGTTCAATCCGGACCTGCTGAAGCGCACGCAGATCATCGTGGCCAACAAGATTGACCTGCCAGAGAGTGAGGAGAACCTGAAGCTGCTGCGGCAGCGCGTGAAGGTGCCAATTCTGGAGATCAGCGCCAAGAATGGCACGAATCTCAACACGCTTCTCTCCAAGATCCGGGAAATCTACGACGCGGCTCAGGAGGAGGCAGAAAATCAGGCTTCTGGTGAATAATATTCCCTATTTACACCTTGATTGACATTGATTTGCTGGACAGACTGAATAGAAGGAATTCTTTGATATGAAATATATTTTACAGTCCAAAGACACTGGAAAATCTAGCTTTTGCTTGCGTTTATTCAATTTGCCAGTGCACCAAATCCAGAAATCTCAATACAAATGGTGAATTTTATAAATATGACACTATTTTCTACACGTGCGGATGCTGCAAAATTATCAAAACAGCCTGATTTCCTCAGAATCTCGCGTGAATCTCTCTTTTATTGATGCTGCGAATGCTTTAATTGAGCTTCTTCGTGGCGAAATCCTCAGCAGTTTGGATGATGTCCTGCACCTTGGCCAGGAAGATCCCTTGAGCGCGCTCTGGAGTGCCTCCGCCGCGTCCGCCGAAGCCACTCGTGACGTGCGTGACCCACTCGTTGGCCTTCAGTGGGCATGCCTTGTCGGGAACGACGGCCATTGCATTGACTTTGCCACTCTCCGACTCGACGGTGAGATAGAGGCGCGGCAGGGCGGCCAGGCGCGGTTGCTCCTTGCCCAGGATGTCCTTGGGAATGGAGATCTCATGCTCGCCCACGTCCAGCTGCATGACGAGGAACTTGGCGTCGTTGGGCAGCGTCTCATTGATGCCGCTGAGATCTTCCAGCACTTTTGTCACGGTTTCCTTCTGCAGGCGCTTCCGCTTCTCAATCACAGCTTTCGTGAGGCTGTTCAGGGCATTCCTCAGCTCGTGCTTCCGCACGTACGGTATGACGGATTGGGCCACATTCTCCTGCAGTTGGGCGATTCGCTTGAGTGCGCCGGAGAGGTTTGTGCCAGCGTCCACAAGCTTCTTCAGCTCCTCGGCGCGTTCAGTGAAGAGTCGGGCGCGCGTCAGGGCATTGTCCGCCTCTGGACCGGTGAGGGCGACAATTCTGCGGATGCCACGGGCGATGGACTCTTCGCTCACCACGACAAAGTGCCCAATGTGTCCTGCCCAGTGCAAATGAGTGCCGCCGCAGAACTCCACGGACGTCTTCAGTCCTGCCTCGCCCTTGGGATTCTTCTCCAGCTCATCCACGGGCACCTCGAAGGCGATCACTCGCACGGGATCGGGATAGACCTCATCGAAGACGGATCTCAGGCCCTGGATGGTCTTGGCGAGGGCCAGACTCGCCTCCTTGGCGTAGATGCGGACGTTTCGCCGTGAGTAATCGTTGACAATCTCCTCGATGGCCTGAACGTGCTCAATAGTGAGTCCAGAATCCAGATTGAAGTCAAAGCGGAGTTTCTCGGGCACCACAAGCGAGCCCTTCTGGTTCACGGCGCCGCCCAGGACGCGAATGAGGGCGTGATTGAGAGCGTGAGTGGCTGAGTGGTTGTTCATCGTCAGGCGACGCCGCACTTCGTCGATCTGCAGCTGAACAGTGTCACCCACTCTCAGGCTTCCCTCCACTTTGCCGATGTGCAGAATGAATCCGCCGTGATTGAAGACCTTCTCCACGAGGAATTCACCTTCTTCGCCCTTCGTCAGCACGCCATGGTCGTAGATTTGTCCTCCGGACTCGGCATAGAAGTAGGTCTTGTCCAGCAGAACTCCAGCTGTTTGGCCGGCAGTGACTTCCTCTACAAACTCAGAACCTACGCGCAGGGCGACAATCTTCGCCGGTGGACTGGGATGGAAGATGTACTCGTTCTCATTGTCTGGATTGCGCTCGTAGCGGTATTTGAAGGAGTCATCAGTCGTGGCCACACCTTTGGCCTCCAGTTCAGACAAGGCGTGCACATCCAGCGAGATGATGTGCTCCTTGGCAGCCTCCTTGCCCTGAGACAGCACATGAGCGCGCTCCTTGGCAACCTCATAGGCTTCCATGTCGATGGCCAGACCCTTCTCCTCGGCCATGAGATGCGTGAGATCCACAGGGAAGCCGAAGGTGTCGTACAGTCGCCAAGCCACGTCTCCGGGCACAATCTTAGCGTCGCCCAGCTTTGCGATGGTGCGATTGAGGAGATTTCTGCCCCTGACCAGCGTCTTGAGGAACTGCTGCTCCTCCTCATTGATGATATCGACAATTCTCTGGGGATTGTTGGCAATTTCTGGGAATGTGTCGCCCAACAGTTCCACCACAGTGCTCACCAGACCGGCAAACATTCCCGGCTTGGCGTTCAGCTTCTCCGTGGCAAATCTCACGGCGCGCCTCAAGATTCTCCGCAGAACATAGCCTCTGCCCGTGTTGTCCGGACACCCACCGTCCGACAGGGCGATGGTGATTGTGCGAGCGTGATCAGCCAGGACGCGATAAGCCATGTCCACGCCGTCGTTGTCCTCAGCGCCAACCCTCCCCTGGTACTTCGGAGCGCCCGTGGCGGCCTGGATGGCCTCGAAGATGGGCACAAAGATGTCCGTGTCGTAATTCGATCGCTTCCCTTGGATAACAGACACCAGGCGCTCGAATCCCATTCCGCAGTCAATGTGCTTCTTGGGCAGCAACTTGAGTTTCCCATCAGCCTCGCGATTGAACTGGATGAAGACGAGATTCCAGATCTCCAGGACGTCCGGATCGTCCATGTTGACCAATTCGGGCACACTTCGGTCGCCGATGCGATCGAAATGCAGTTCAGAACACGGTCCGCAGGGTCCAGTCTCGCCCATCTCCCAGAAGTTGTCCTTCATGCTGCCCGGAAGGATGTGAGCCTCTCGCACGCCGAGCTGCAGCCAGATTTCACGGCATTCCAGGTCGGGCTCGAGTCCAGCGGCGGCGTCACCGCCGAAGTACGTCACATAGAGGCGCTCCTTGGGCAGACAGAGGCGCTCAGTGAGGAATTCCCAGGCCCAGGTGCAGATTTCGCGCTTAAAGTAATCGCCAAACGACCAATTTCCCAGCATCTCGAAGAACGTGTGGTGATACACATCCTTGCCCACGTCGTCCAGGTCGTTGTGCTTTCCGCCAGCACGGATGCACTTCTGCGTGTTGGCCACGCGCTTCCAGATCGCCATGTCGCTCTTGGGATTCGCGGTGCCCAGAAAGATGGGCTTGAATTGATTCATTCCGGCATTGGCGAACAGCAGCGTCGGATCGTCCAGGGGAATTGTCGATGAAGAGTGGACGTAGATGTGCTCCTTCTCGGCGAAGAAGTCCAGGAACTTGCGCCGTATCTGCTTGGCTGTGAGCGTGGAATCCATTCCGGGGACTGCAAAGAGGACACACCAATTGAGGTTAGAGTGAATGGTTGTGAACACATACGTTTATCCGCCTGGGGCGCTATGGCAATTCCACAGACAGGCATTCTCTGACTCGTGTAATCTACTTTGAGACACCTTTCACCTCAATGCAGAGCAATTTGCTGAGCAAACACGAAACATTGACACGTTGCCATGAGAAGCCGCCGAAGAATGGCACTTTCTTCAGTTTTCTCACCTTTTCCTACAGATTTTCCTTATGACACACAATCACTGGTACTCTCAGAACTTTTCTCTCACTCCACGCGGTGGAAATTTACTGATTTCACTCGGATTTTATGATGAAATACGCCTGCAAACTCCTCTGACGAAGTGCGCTCTGGCAGTGGGAAAGAGACAGTGTGATGTCACACATAGTTTTCCGGAAAGTGTCCCACAATTGGGACTAATGTTTACATTTTTTATTCACATACAGAAACAGGGGAAAAAAGTAACATTTTCTCGATTTTCTCACACCTCTAAGCCGCACTTTGTCTATAATTCTTCACATCGATCATCTTTTTGCCGCACATCGAGCAGATGCCCTTCTTGTAGGCGCAGGACTGGCAATAGTGACTTCCTGCCTGATGAACCTTCTGTCGGCAGATTCTGCAAAGAAGCCCAGATCAAGTGCGATTTAGACACTCTCATTCTACTCTGTATTCATTGATTAATGCAGTAAATTCGATAAATACCTGCAAGGTGGGAAGGTTTTGCCAATGGGATTGAATCTCTGTTTTGCTGTCACGAGAGCTTTGTTTTCATTGATTTTCCGTCCGCCAGACTCAACTGTGTTTCTCGCTCCCGATTTCCATGTGTCCGGTGTCACTATTTTGTCGAGTTTCTTCTCACATTTCTCACAAACCATCGCTAAAACTGCAGAAATGCACGAAACAGTGGAATCAAAACAAAACCCTTGAAGTACAGAAATGTCCCAAATTGTCTTTCAGTTAACTTCACACCCTTCGCGCCTTGCACATAACCTCACAGTTTGAAATGTAACGACAATGAAAATTGCACACACAGAATTTTCCTCCATTTTCGTGCAGAGACCATTATTTCCAATATTGTGTACATCTTCATGGAGAGGCATAATCATGAGCGGAGTGAATGCGAGAAAATCCGCACATAAATCCTCCTCTTTTGGGGCCAGAATTCTGTGTGTATTGAATGGAAAATGGTCGGGCGGAGGATATTGATATGTCGCAGAGCAGGCAAAGCGGATTGCCAAACAGTGCACACAGAAGATGGGTAAAAACTATAAAAGCTAAGCTCCTGACATTCACCCAGTCACGATTTTGAGGCATCCGAGTGGGATTTTTGGGATTCGTCAAATTGATCGATGGTGTGAGTTTTTGACGTGACTTTCATTCGCTGTGTTGTAGATTGACTTGAATATATTCAGGGATTATTCAGGACAATTTTCCCACTTTGCGGTGTACACAATATCAATTGAGAGGTGCAACTTTGCTGAAACGAGAAATGTGATTTCCAATTAAATGCTAAACTTCCTCAGGAAATTCGATAAAATCTCATAGTCTGCAAATCAAATTTCGCTGCAACTGGTGCCACATTTTCGTAGCATTTTCTCCACTACAATTCATGGAAATTCACAAAGTTGGAATGCAATTGAATGCGATTATCATTTTGCAAATAGTTCGCCTTGTGCCAAAGTTGAGGTCAAATGATTCTCTTGAGAGTCTCTTGACTTGCAGAATCATTATGATTTCTGAGAATTTTCTTGTATTTTGCCACACAGAATAAAGTTCATGAGGTCAATCAACCTGTACTAGAATTGAGACATTCTTTCTCAACCACTTGCTGATATTTTTGTCACATAAATTGCGCTCGACATTCTGTTCAGAGGATTTCAGCCCCTTTTTCAACCCCAGACAGCTCTTTGATAAAAATCCTACAACAATTGAGTGCAGAATTGACAGGAGAAAGGCAAGCGTTTCCACTATTTTTCCACGTCAATTCACCAAACTGATAATTATGATTTTGATGATTCACTTTGTTGGTATGTTTGTCGAATTTCCCGAAATTTCCCGCAATGTCATAGCACGTTTTGCGCGTTCATTTCTTTTTCATTCTGGTCGAATTCATGCCGATAAATCACAGCGTGATTGTTTCATACAATGCAATGGGGCGAGGGTGGAAAAAAAGAGGAATTTGGCGTACAAGAAACTTCGAGCACGCACTGTAAATCGCACAATTTATCGCTTCTGTAATTTCCAATGAATCTCAAATGAATATTGACGGAGCTTTTTCACTCACGCCGTGAATTGATGGTTTGTCGTAAAATGTTACAGGCAAAATCCACTGTGGGAGTGACAAATTTTTCCACGTGAAAAAAGAAAATATTATTCAATATCGCAGCAGTGGAATCTCGCCCAGAATGGAATTTATGCCATTTTATGGGCCACTCCCTTCACAATCAGCCGCCCTACAGCCGGGAAATTTGCAATTTTATGTGGAAATTCTCATCATGAAATCATATCATTTCATCGAGGGAAATTCAATGAGTGCACATCGTGCAGACGCGCCGGAGTGGAGTGTCTGAGCGACGTGAGGGTGATTTGGCATTGCCACGGAGGTTGTGCACGCTGTGCGCCGACCCGGCCTATTTTGGGAGCCTCTCCTTGGCGGCAGTGATGCCGAGAGTAGTTGGCAGATAGGCGAGCACGCTTGGGTGTTGGGAGGAATTCTCCCAGTATCAGCAATGGCAATCAAATCACCTCCGCTCCTCCCGAAGCCTATGCAAATAGTGCTCGGCTCCTGTGGGATGGCGTTTATACATTGGTGGGCCTGGAATTAGTGGCAACGATCGCAATTTGTGAGTGATGGTGGAACAACCCTCGTCAAGGCGTCGCTCCACGTGCGCGCCCAAGGAATTAATTGTGGCACACAGGCTCTCGCAATGATGAGAGGATAATCGCTGAAGCTCTCTCTGATGATGGTGTTCTCGAAGGGTTAAGACGACGCGTCGGTGGGGAATTGGCAGATGAAATGCTCTTCCGCCCATCAAATCATTCAAACTCTTATCAAGCGTCAGCCCCGCAGGTGATCAAGACAATGGCGTATGAGAGGAAGGAATGTTAGGCGAAAGGCCTGGGGGTGTCGTAATTAAACTTAAGCAAGACAAATTCATCCGCCGAATCCCATATCCTTCCCTCGTCATCCTTGCAGGTGTGATAAATCGCCCAAGATTGGTGACAAGTGCGAAGGTGAAATTTCCCTGATGATGACATGTACAAATTGCCTGGCCAACCACGTGACTGGCGGGGCAGAGGCTTTTTACTGGGGCTCCAACGCCAGAATTCAATCCAATCGAGTCTATCCGGAGGGGCGAAATGAATGACTCCGCTTGCCACAGTGGACAGTTGATAGTGTAGGCAGAATGCGGAAAAATTAAATGTCGAAAACAATTTTCTAACGCCCCAAGGGATTAAATAGATTTTCCACTCTGCAGAATTACAGACACATTTTTCGCATTTCGTCCAATCAGCGGAAAAAATTCATTGATTGCGACAGAAGAGTGATTTTTCATTGGTTTTTACGCTAGAATGAAGTGAAATTTAACCCTATGCAGATCTAAAGTTGAGTCTAGAAAATTCTGTCATTCAAACTCTAAGCGTCATATTCCAATGGCATTAAAGTTATCGACAATTAATGTCAATAAGATTTTAACAAAATTTTTAGGGAAAAAATAGCTCATATCCACAATTTGTGAACTAATTAGTCCATGCCAGTTTTATTTTTCCTCTAAAATAGTGTTTAATGTCTTATCTTTGGTATTTTCTACCTAAATAGCTGACAAACAATTGATCTTATTTGTTAAATTATCCATTTTTGCTTTGATTGTCAGGCTCAATTTTGCTAAAATTTGTGTTCTCTGAGAGAAATGATTTATCAATTTTTACTTTCTCCTTTGGCACTATTTTAATTATTCCTATATATGTACATATAGTAGATCGGAAATGTGATCAGAAGTTCAAAACTTCACCGAACAGTAAACACAGTGAAGTGGTTTTGAGAATGACAAGCCTTTTGCTTGCCTTAACGTCCTGAAGCGGCACACCAAAGTGTGCGGTGATGCAAGAATGTCCCACATATTGAATGGGTTTCTGAAGGAGATTCTCTCGTGTGGGTGAATTGATAAGGTAAGATTAGTAAATAAACTTTTAATTAAATTACCCGTGAATTTAGTGTTGCTCCTTATGCAAGTAATGCAAGCTGAACTTTATCGTCTTGGCCCAACTTCTCCCTCTCTCTCTCTCTCTCTCTCTCTCTCTCTTTCACCTGTTCTCGCTCTCACTCTTGGTCACTTGGGATTTTTGCACGTCTCCGGTAATTGGATTTGAATGTCACCTGCGGGATTTTCCCCTTCGGTGGCGTTTTGGGTGTGTTGACACGCGGACTTTGGATCCCTTTCCTGCCGTCTTGCTCCCGGAGGCGAATAATGATGTTTACGGAGAAAAGGTGTATCAGCGTGTCGGTTTAAATTGGACGAAGCGGACGTCGTGGAGAACAATTTCGCTGGCCTAATGGTCAAAAGGACCCTTTCGCTGTGGGAGCGGCAATAAAAGATCCAATATATGGGTGTTTTCGCTGTGTCCGGAGTGAGGGGTGGGAAAATAACAACCCAAAGAGACACGGACAAATCGCAATTTATATCACCCGCCTCAAATGGATGTTGCAGGTATCATATCGTCTCATTGAAACTGAGATAACGGATCAGAAGGGATGGGATTTTGCCGGGGAGTCACATGAAATGGATTTGTTTTGTCGACTCGAAGGATTTGATTTCTCACACCCACACCATACTCGAGTTGGGTATTGATTTTGACGTCGTAAATGCAAAGGTATATCCACAATATGGCATTTTGTGCTCTCTTCTGCTATGTCTTGTCGCTCAAAGTGGGAGATTTTGTCATTAAATTCAACAGCAAACGGCTTTGTATCGATGGTTATTGTTTTAATTAAATGTATATATAGTGAGCACATGGACAGATGGCGCTGACCGCAGCCAGCATACTTTGATTTTAGCATCACACCGCAACTTTGCAATTAATTTGCTGCACATTGACAGTGAATTGAGTTTGAAAAACACATTAAATACCATTTAAAATAACTGAGCTGATAAAATTAAAACCTCAAATTCGTTTAATCATGGCAAAAAATAGAACATTATAGAAATTTTATGTCACTTTATGTACCTATATTTAATTTAATAAGTCAAACAAATTATTACAATATTTATAAACCACGCTGTCCAAATATTTGTCACAATCAATTTAATATATTTTTGAACTAATATTGCTCGTGATGTTCGAGTGAAAGGTTGAAAATCAGTGGCCAAATTGACTGACCAGCAAATGAAGATTAATTTCATTAAATATTACGTTTAATTATATCCAATTCTACGTCAAATATAAAAGCATTAATTCACATATAGAAATTTATTCATCACGAGATTGTAAATATTGAATGAATACGTTTGCCATTAAATATTTCGCATAATCGCTCGTGTGAACAGTTTTCGCTAAATCCTAGCCACAACTGTTTAGAGTACTAATTAATAATCCTGGACAAATTTGTCGCACGGAAAAATGTGTAGGTGAGTTTTGGAGTTGAAAGCTCTGCCTGGAATTTCTTTAGCATATCATTTGCATCCCAAGTGTTGTGGCACGGCAATAAACTGGCTGTGAAATGAGTGGTAATGCTCGTCTGGTTATCATGGGGATATTAAAACGTGTCTCACGCGATACCATTTTGTATTTAAATCGTCAACATTTACCGCCATTATTGTTCATTTAGTGTTATAATTTATTTATTCAGCTGCCATAACACTTCTCTTCGCTAAACTTTGTTGTCTTGCTTAACAAAAATGACTGTGACTTTGCTAACATCATGTAGCACATGTACATTAGTTCATTTGCCGAG